CGTGGGGGGGATCGAGCATAAAAAGGTCCGGCGGCTCTTCCGTTGTCCGGCTTGAACAGTTGAAGCTCTCCACAATCTTGGTCCTCAGATCGTTACGTTGCAGGAGGATGTCACGAAGAGGCTCGAAGACACGTTCATGTGCCAGCTTGCAGATGTCGCCGTCGTCGATATCCCGATACTTGATTGAGCACAAGCGAGGATGAAGATTTGAACATGCTCGATAAAATTGCGAGGTCTTGTGGTTTGAATCAAGGGCTTTCTTTCGGAGAATTGTGAGCGAGTCGAGACGGGCAAAAAGAGGGAGCAGCTCGGGTGTCGCAAATGCAGATTTGGCGGAAATGAAAAGATGGCGTGCATGTTGAGCGCTCAAAAGAAACTTGTAGAGAGTGGCAATTTTTGTCCCCGGTTCCGCATCGCTGAGCGATAAGATGCTGTAGTTTGTCTCGGAGTGAGATTCGCCGTCGTGTACGAAGATTTGCCGTCATACACGGGTGGCGTCCCAATGACATACCCCTGTTCTGATCCATAGTCCAATTGTACAAAGATGGCCTTTGCACGCTTAAAGAGGACTTCGTAGTATTCTGGAGAGGAAAGGTCTGAGCCTATGACGAGTAACAAAGATGATAAGACTTGCCTTCCAGCCGGTCTTCTTTGTGCTCAAGGAGGAGACCGAAAAAGTCGAGCGACTCTAGTTCTCCCAACTTGTCGACGACTGCCTTTGGTATACCTGAGACTTGGTTATCAGCGAAAATTACGGTCTGTGAACGTGGCTCACTCTAACCTACTCGTCACGTTGCTCATCCAAAAGAGTTGACGGAGGTTGACCAAGGCTCCAAAGACATCCTCAAGATACTCAAAGAAGACGGCAGGCGATGTCACCTCAGGGTCAAGTCCCTTACAATCAGGGCCTCGGCCGAGGTTCACGCGATCATAACCACAGGTCAAACCATCACCGCTGTGTCGATAAAAGGCATCCTCAGTTGGATAAGTTCGCGCCTCGGCATCGTAGTAATCATCGGGATACCCATAAATGACCCCATTGCTCAGTCGATTGTCTTTGATACCTCGCTTCGTCGCCACCTGACAGAGCATGCAGCCAACTACTGCATTCGGAAAAGGTCTTTTTCCTTCGTCGGAGTAGCTCGGGTCAATGGAGTCGTCTTCGTCAGTTCCAATATTGCAAAAACGACCGTCGCGATGAGGCGACTCAGTTGTCGCGGGCTGCTTGACAAGCTTCGTACGGTCTTTGAATGCCAAGTCTAGTGCATTCCACGGCCGCCACGGCTGAAGCTTGTTCTGAAAGCTGGGGCGGATCTCATCGTACCTTGGGAGGCCCCAGCGAAAGTTGATGCTGACCACCTTTGCTGCGAGGTCGGGATAAGTGCAAAACAGAGATCGTGCATGGCGGAGGTGCACAATCGTGTCGATCGTGAACTCTGTCGGCCAGAACAGCTGCCGCAGACGTCGATTGACCCATGCCAGAGTGTAGTCAGGGACCAAAAAGGAAGACAAGTATCCCTCTTCACTTTCCATCCTCCAGAGCAAGTCCACGTAAGAGTGAATGAGGCTTGTTCGAGATCGACGTCAGATGGCATCAACTGGCTGCGAGGTTCTGTGATGTACTCACTACAGCAGCTCGTTGGGCAAGTCGGTAAGAGTCACCATGGTGGTTTGCGAGATGAACAGGATAGCGAAAGCTCCTCGTGCTAAACAGCTTCCTACACTGCCTCACCTCCACGAGGTTGGCTTTTCGATTCATCCTAGAGTGCTCCAGTGCCTTTGACACTAAGAAAGACATAAATTAATCTAAAAACATAATCATCTTTGGATTTATTTGAATTCGAACTTTTGGGCGTCGATTTCCCGTCGCTCAGCAGGCCCCTGATGATACGCTTGAATCGTGTATTGGCAATCGCAATTCGCGACGCCCTCTTCGACACAATTAGGACATTTGATGGGGCGATCCTGCACCGCAAGGTCAGCGTCATCGTTATTTGTGATTGTTTGCCGAGACTGCTCCTTCGTCAGAATGCGACTGTTTCTTTACAGGAATTGTGATTTGTGACGAAGTCTCCCTCTATGATTAAAAACGGACTTATCAATCGTGAGAAAGCGACCGCATGGTCATGGGCGTCTCAAACGATGATGTTGCACAAAACAAATCATCCTGTACCACTCTTTCCCAAAAGCTAAAAAGGAGAGAGGGACCAACTCGAAAATTCCCCTGGGTATCCCCAACTACATTGTCCTCAACGTTCCAGCGCTGCAGAGCCGGTCTCTTCTTACAAGCGCAATCTTTTCCAGCATCAAGGCGTCGACTAGCTAGCGATCCCTTCTCTCTTACAATCTTCACGGTCCTTCATTTCCACCGCAGGCCGGCACTACACGTCGTATCATGAAGCTTTGCAAGCTTCGCCTCTTCGTCTTTTTGCTTTTCGAGCTATCTGTTTTATCTTTCGTGTACGCTATCGGCGACGGCGACTGCCATGACGTGTTCAGCCCAGCCTGCAAACAAGACGGTAAAGACTCGAACCCATCGAGCCTGTCCTCGCCAACTCCTTCGTGGCCTGCGACTCCCATCACCTTCACCTCTCCTTCGCCTTCGCCATCTCCGCCAGATGATACACCGCCGGACGACAATGAATGCTACGACGATGGTGACGGTGCAGACATCGGCAACCCAGATGACGATGGCACCGCCAACGACAATGTCGACAACAAACACCTAAACAATAAGAGAGCAGGGGCTTGTACCAAAGCACAGAGAACAGCACAAAGGGCTAGGTCTGGTCAAATTTGTGAGGGGTACGGCACAAGTGCTACCTCACCGCCCATACAACTACGATCGAAGGTTGTTAGTGGGGCCAGTTACGCAGAGAGCTGCGCAGCTGCTGACCAGGAGGGGGAACCGAGCTTTGCTCTCTACTATAAGCTCACGACTCCGAATGATATTGATGGCAGTGAGCTGCTATAAAGCTTCATCTCGTGCTCATCAACTAACCCCATTCCTTTCTATGCAGGCCTCATAGATATGGCGGGATCATGGACTCATTATGGTGGATCTCTCTCCCAAGCAAACACTGGCCAATGCGATCATCTTGTGTAAGTTTATGATAATACCTTGAAGGCTACTTTTTCTTACTTCTTTACCAGTGAAATCCAATGGATCAAGAAACGGATGGACGAGCTGGCCGACACGGCCGCAGCAAGAGACAGCAAAACGTTCCCCGACAAAAAAGCGGTCTGGGATAAAATGTGTGACAGAATTCGTGCAGATACAGAACAAGGATCCAAGATTCCGGCGGTCGCACTGAGAAAAGCACTCAACGACCCCACCAACTTGCACGGCATCCCATCGACGGTCAACCAAGCGAAAGCGCAGGCCGTCGCCAATGTACTCAGGAAAAAGTCCATTGCGGACTGGGCTGTTGACGGAATGAATAGCCGAAATTACAACAAAGCGACCTCCGGAGTAATCGCGTGAGTGATGAAGCTTGGAACTATCTGTTGACAATGGCTGATGATTCAGAGTAGCTATCTGACCGACACAAGAATCGTCGATGGACAAAACAATATTAAAGCATATACTGAGATTGCCGGTAGTATTCAAGACGTTTTGGCGAAGTACTTTGAAAACGATCCCATCTTTCCAAAAGATGGCTCGATTGACTGGAAAAAGCAGATCAAGGCCGACCACGTCCAAATTATTGCTGGTCTCCAGGCAAAGCTTCCACAAATCCAAGATTCATACAACACGTACTGCGACAACCTAAACGTTGCCGATGTGGGTCGCTTCTTGCAGTGATGGTAGACATTGACTTAATAACAAGTACTCCTGCACAGAAAGCAAATCTCAAGCCAAAGTCTGAGGACAACGGTTGCTGTGACAACAAATCCTACTTTGAAGACCAGTCATCTACGTATGTTCAAAGTCCTGGGAGCCCAAAGAGACAGCAGACGTACAACGATGCGCACCAAGACCCCGACTACGATCCAGCTGACCCGAACAGCTGCTGCGACCCGGAATTCTACTGCTGCCCTAGCGAGACCTCCAAGCGTGGACTTGGCGTCAGGCGGAGCTTTGCTGGCTCACTCATGTGGCTGCTTGAAACAAGACAGCAGAATTCAGACCAATGCCAAAAGAAGAGAGACAAGGACAACGGAGCTGTGGCGGATCCAACGAAAGAGAACGAAAAGCCCGATAGAGATGAGGTAAACAAGCTTGCTGGGCCTGCTATCGAAGCTCTCAAGGCTCTGAAGAGCCTCCCTCCACCACTTGCGGCCGCTATTCCCGTCTTGGTCGACCCTACAGTTGGTTTGCTACCTCTGGTTCCCCTTCTCGCTGTGCCCACAGCGCACGAAGCCAGGGACAAGATCAAGGCGCCCTTTGAAGAGCTTGTCAACAAGGCTTTCATTCCCTTGGCGGCAGCAACCGACGACGACGCTCAAGCGGCCTGTGGGAAGACCACAGACGCGCTCAAGGATATCATGAAGCAAGCCAATATGAAATACAACTTGCGGCCGTGCGGAGTGGCCGTCATTGTGCCTTTGTCTTCAACTTCATCTTCTACTTCGGCACCCACCTCGACGTCGTCTTCGTCAGCCCCTCCAGTGCAGAGCACAGCTCCGCCGGTAGGCCGCGATCTTGAGTTAGCAATGTCGTCATTTCCAATGATATCGGTCCCCGACCCAAAGATCACCTGCAGCAACAATCATGTGAGTTGACCTGTGGTCCTGTGACTGAAAGGGGCTAGGCTGATGGGTGACTTTTGCACTACCGTAGGCGGGTTGAGCTGGGGATTGCGCCAACATCATGCCACTTTTCCACGACGACAAAGACCTTCCGATCCTCGACAAACAGAAGAACAAGATCATCTGTCAAAACACGTGCTGTGTCATTGCCAAGCACAGAGATGGAGTCGATGACCTCAACGCAGGCGACCTGGCCAGATGGGGCAGCAACGCCAATCTCTTCTGCAATGGACCAAACGAGCAGACGTGGATCCAGGGAACAGAAGAGGGTTTCAAGTCGGCAGGTGGGGGAACATACAGGATGTGTCTGAGCAACCACGAGTCGGCAGACACATGCAAGTGAGACGAGTACCTTTGCTGGACAAAGTGCTCGTCTTCTTCATACTTTCCTTGAATAACGAATGTGTTTTCAAGGCATCCCAACCGGGAAAATGCTTTCTTTCGATGTGGATATAGCTTCTTCCTTCTCTGAAGTATCGAAATGCTCAGAATTTCGGACCGTGCTTTTCTTCCGGCTCGACGTCTGCTAGAGTCGGTCCTCTTTGCTGTAGTAGACAGTGGTTACCTATCTCCTTTTGCTCTCGCGCTCACGCACAGCCCAGTGGTGACACCGAACCCAAGTTTGTAGTACTCGACCGGCTCCTCGATCTCCTTGAGGTTCTCCGCGTCCTTCGCTGGTGTTAGATGACGAGTAAGATGGAAGACGAGGCGAGTCCGATGTTTCGTGCGCCATCGTATCGCCATCGGCCACAATGTCCGGCTGCCAGCTCGCGGGCCGCTCCCCTTCTAGTCCTTCATCCATCACGCGGTTATCGCGAAGACTACTTTGGCAGTATTAATCTTACACTTTGTCTGCAGCAAGAAGGGTGGTCGAAGCTTCTCATTTTACCACTGTCCTGTGCGCAGGGTATCGGACTTCGGAACGCAAGAGTACGTTAAGCGAATCCTGCGCAGCTACGCACATAGCCCGAAAACCCATGTTCACGCGGCAGCTACGGCAAACCCGGAACAGGAAGATTCTCGCTCTTCTTCCAGTTGGTCAGGAGCCCGTTGGAAGGGACTCCAAAAGGATCAAGAACCTTGTCTGGCACATCTTGGCCCGCAATTGGCAAGCCAACCTTTGGTTCGAGCAGACCGAGCTGGACAAGGGCGCTGGCTTGATCCCAATAGAGGCTCTCGAATGCCAGCTTGTCGCCGCGCAGGTTGACAATGCCGACCATGGGGATTCGCAGACGCCGGTTCGTAGGTGCGACACCAGGTAGAAAATATTCAATCTGCTGGCTGATCAGCCACTGAATGGAGCCATAGATCCAGGAAGAGAAAAGCAAGCAAGAGACAAAAAGAGAGTCTCACCTCTTGCGTGTGTGTGCACTCGAAGATCATCTCGTCAATGACTCGATCAGGACCCAGCGTCCTTGAAAGGCCGACTAGCTTCGTGTCTGGCGGACTGCTTTTTGTGAAATGATGTTCGTAAAATCTGGCCAGTTGCGCATGGCCCGCACCGCCAGTGAGGGAGCTGACGTGATTGACGAACGGGTCGCTGACCATCGTCTGCATGGTCTTGAAGCTGTCTCTTTCGACAAATTCATAATGAGTGTGTCTGTCCCACAGCTGCTCACGATCAAATCGCGGCCCAATGGTGTCTTGGAGCAGCTGCAGGGTACGGCTATATGACAATGACGAGGCGCTCCGGTCCGCATCGGTGCGCGCTTTCGCAAAGGCAAAGTGGCGCGTGTTGGAGGAAAAGGGAAAGGCAAAGGCCCAGCTGCAGGGATCCGAGCAGCTGACGTCGGGATAAGAGAAGTATTCGCACGCTTTTGGCTTCCGAGGTCCGACGGAGGCGCGAGGCTTGAACAGCGTCGGGTCAAAAGGTAGGCTTGAACGGGGGACGATCTCGTCGAGGGCGGCCTTTTGGAGCGCCGAAAGGTGATCTGTATCCTCTCCTGAAACGTGGCAGATGTACGGTGGCTCAGTGTTCTTTGGAAGCATCGGGAACCGAGGGCCGTAATGGACGACCGCGCCCACATCTACGTCCTCCATAAGCTCCCCCACCAGGCCAGCGTCCTGTGCTTCAAGCCCGACGGTGATCAGCGCCACGTTCTTGGAACGTCTGTCCAGTCCGGGAGCAGCAAGGAATGCTTGTCGGATATCTTGCCGCATGTTACCTTTCCCCGGATAAGGTACAACGACAACATGGTAGCCTTCTTCACTGAGATTCCCGGCAAATGGGCCTATGCCGGCGCTGTCGATAGGGGCCAAAAGGATCAACACAGGCGCATCTTCAAATGAAAGCGTCTCGCTGTCGACTGAGCTCTCATAGAAGCACTTCATCTCGAGGCAGGTGCACCGAAATTGGATAGGACGAAGTTTGGACGTCGTCGAAGCGCGCGCGCGAAGCTTTGAAGACGAGGAGAGCGCTACACTACTACTACTGCTCTGTGTAATAAAGGGCTTGCTTGCTATTCGAGGGTCCTTTCTACACGTGCGTTTAGGCTTATCATTTATCTAGACCTCGGAGAAGTAGCGCGGATCTTGTCCGCTTACAAATCATGTTCACGCCGTTCGAACACAGGCCAGATTCAGAAGGAGTTACATTGTACTGTGCAGTACAGTACCCAGAATGGAATTGCCAGAGTCTCGAGAGGTCGATCCTATTAAAATGCACCTCGTGTTGTCGCACCGGCGTCGTTCGGCGCACTATTAACCGAAGCAGCTGCCGCCGTCGGCTCTTGTTCCTGAGTCAATGGCGGCGAGAAGGATAGCGCAGCATGACAACAAGGGCAAAAGGCCTGCTTGGTGAGCCACTGAACGAGGCAGACCTAGGAAAGGGGGCGTCTTTGTTAGTTGACGGCATCTGAGGACAAGAAGAGAAAGGCGAAAATCTTACTGCGTGAAGTTCATGGCCACAGTCGAGAGTGCAGCTCTCGCCAGCAGTACCTGTCTGTTGATTCCCACTGGCACTTCCCTCGATGGCAAGTGCATCTGAATGAGCCGTTGGAGAGCCATAACGGACGACCTCGAAGCAGATGGAGCACATGACGTCGTCGGTATGGCCCGCTCGCCACGTTGCCGAAGATCTCGCTCTCCGTCGAGAACTCGGGCCCCCCATTGCCCCCGCTGCCGTCGCTGTCGGCGACGTGCGTGCTGAAGGCGACGGGGGAGAAGTTGGGCTGTTGGACGAGCTGTCTACACCCCATCTTCGCCGAACGAATTCCAGACATTCGACAGATCGCCTGGCTGATGTCCAAGTTATCGCGACGGCGCCAAGCTGAGATCGAAGCGACAGGAGCGATAGCACGGGCGGCAACGAGGTGGGGGAGAGCGTCGGAAGTGAGAGAGTCACAATGGCGTACTCGATGGCTCCCACGGCGTGACCCCAGAGCGTGGCCAGATTCTCCAGGAGCCAGCTGAGCTCAATTTGCACTTCGACGCCCTTGATTCGGGGAACTTTACCCGGCCTTACGGGGCGGCCATCTGCGTCATAGAGCCGCATGGGATTGTGTGGCACGCCGCCCTCGCTACTTCTAATGTTCTGACTAACATTGGTGGCCGTCTGCGTTTCCGGCGTGGTTGAAATTTGGTCAAGTAAAGCGCCGTGGCGACGCCCTGGTTGAATGGTCCCCATATGATTGAGGGCGCGCTGCCGTCGCCGGGCCGCCATTGCACGATTGCTATATCGATTTGAAGACGCCCGTCCGGTGAGGACATCGGCCAGGCCTGGGGGCAATGGGAGCATGTCGATGATGCCAGGCGAATGAGAAGGTGACGGGATGCGAAGCGTTTGAGGGAACAGACGATCCAAGCGCGGATGTGACAGCTTGGTCAAGGGGACCACGAGGGACAGAAGCGTCGCTGTAAGCTACCAAGCAGAGTACGGTCTTGCAATTAAGCGTTCTTCGTTCACTCCACTAGCTGAATTGGTGCAACTCACCTCGAGAAAGACGATGACATGGAGAGGCAAGAGAGAGCGCTGCTCATGCGACCGCTGCTTCTCCACATTGCTCCGGCTCGGCCCCCATCCTCTCAGCATCGAGCTAGTCGAAGCAGCAAAGGCAGACATGGCGAGCAGTGCGAGCCCAATGATCTTTGCGATCGCCAGGCCATGAGCAGCCATCATTGACCTCTTTGTTCGCCCTCGCTCAGCTGCCATCGTCGACTTTGACGCATGCAATCACGTCAACCTATACCGGCCTTCTGCCCACAAAGCCAAGCTCTTCCAAAGCTCACCTTGACGATGCCGTCCTCAACCATCATGCCACCCAGTCGGACAACCCAGAGGACATGTAGCGGCAATATGGCCGGCAAGACATCGGCGTCGAGGAGCAAACTCAAGCTCGGCCGCGGGAGGTAGAACACAGAACCTGGCGCTGGTTGTCCGCCCTTGTCGTGGGCTTTCGCCTTTGCTTTTGCCCTATTGGTGCTCGTTACACTGCTCTCGCGGACTGTAGACTCCGTATCTGCCTTGCCCTTACCCAAGCCCTTCTCGTTTGCTTCGCTCTTGATCCTTTCTCTGCCCTTGCCCTTGCCCTTGCCCTGCCCCTTGGTCCTCGTCCTGGACAAGCCAAAGCCGAAGAGATTCGAGAAATCATATCTGCTACCACGCGATGATCCGGCATGCGCAAATGAAGCTGTTGATGCCGAGTGTGCACTTGAACCACTGACACCACCTTCGGCCCCTCCGATCCTGAAGCTTGCGACGACGTCCCGTCTGGTCCGATTTGAGAGATCTTCTGAACCCTTGCCGCTCAAGAGGAGGATAAGAAGCAGCAGCGCCAGCCGAGGTCGGTAGACGTCTCTCCGAAACGTGTCGAGGGTCGGCTGACTGATGTGCGGAAGCACCCTCATCGTTGTCGTCGTCGTCGGCGTCGAGGGCTTTCAATCAGCAGATCGCTCCCTTGTCTCGGAAGATGATCCGTGCTCGCTGATCGCGCAACGCACGTGGAATATTTATGACCGGTAATGCGCGCTCGGACCAGGCAAGGCTCCTTCGGCGCTTGGTCTCTTCCTTGTCCCTCCTGGCGATCCTCAACTTTGGCCGGAGAAAGAAGAGGTCGGCTTGGCTTGGCGAGCAAAGCAGCGCAACGGCAGAGTTTGCCCGACTGGCGCAACGAGAATAAGGTTAGGCGGTCTATTCGAACCGTCTCTTCCCTCTCGCCAGCGACCTTGCCTCGCCAAGTGCTCAAGGTATCGACGTGGGGATCAAGTTGAGAATGCGATCAGCCACGAGGGTCGACGATGCAAGGCTACTGCGAGATATGCCATCGCTTCCGCTCTTGGCAATGGGCTCGCTGGGCTCGCAATGCATCTGGTCGTCGGAGATGGTCTTTGGCAGCCCTTACCTGCTTCATCTCGGTCTATCCAAGTCGGCCATGGCCTTTGTCTTTGTCGCCGGTCCTCTCAGCGGCCTCATCGTGCAGCCAGTCATCGGTGAGCTGTGACCCTATGCGTTTCACAAGATGCTATGAGAGACAGTGTACTCAAGGTTAAGCTTGTACGGCAGGCATTTTGAGTGATCGGAGCACGCATCCTTGGGGAAGAAGGAGGCCGATGCTTCTAGCTGGCCTTGCTCTCAGCACCGTCGCCATGCTTCAGATCGGGTATGCCAAGTCAATAGCCAGTCTCGTGTTCAACGACGTGGGCACACGAGAGGTTGCTACTCGGGTCCTTGCCATTTCGGCCATCTTCGCCATCGACTTCAGTATCAACGCAGGTGAGTGTGCTCTTGAAGTACCCAAGACGCAGCTCGAGAACGGCGCTCACACAGCTGGCGGAGTATAGTCATGGCACTCGACCGATCGCTGCTTCTTGATCTTGTTCCTTCGCAACATCAGCCCCTCGCCAATGTCTGGGCAGCTCGGCTAGCAGGAGCGGGATCTATTTTGGGGTTCTTCATAGGGCAGATCAATCTGTCGACCTACCCGCCCTTCTCCTGGTTTCCTGGGACTTCTACCGTTGGTTTGGATGAGTCTGCAAAGGCAATTCTGGACGAAACAGAGGTCCAGGTCAAGTGCGTCGTCCTTCTTGTCGTCTTCATGCTCGTGTGGACCCACATCGTTACGATCTTCGCGGCAAAGGAAACACCTCTCGCGCCCTCGACTTCGTCGTCATCGTCAAAAAGGAGTAAAGGAATCGCAATAATAATCAGTCCTCTGCGGCAAACATGGACAGAAGCAGTCGAGACGGCAAAGATGCTTCCTAGGCCAGCGTGGGAGATCTTCAGGGTACAATTTTTTGCCTGGATTGCCTGGTTTCCTGTTCGTGAGTCACCCTCTCCGTTCTCAGATACCGCTTTCGCCGTGCTGAAAGGCTTTGCTTCTAGTCTTTTACAGCACGACGTGGATTGCCAAGATTGCGGCAAACAGTCCTGCACACCATGACTCGGCCTCTTCCGTCCGTTTGGGGTCGCTCGGAATGCTTATGCACGCCATTGTCTCAATATTCTTCACGATCGTCTCCCCGAGCCTCTTGCAGCTCTTCAAGCGGCTAGATCTGGCCATCTTGAGGAGGGCCGATCATCTCACGGCCGTCTGGGCCTTTTCAAATCTGGCGTTTGGCTTCGTCCTCCTTTCAACGTATCTAGCGGCAAGCACTCGCAGCATAGCAGGTGCAATGGTCGTCATTGCTCTCACTGGATTCCCGTGGGCGTTTGTCCAGTTCGTGCCCAATGCTCTGGTGAATTTTACCCTCTTGTCGTTAGCCAAAGCGTGCCGGTTGACTCACAATTCTTGAAAAGCTCGGCATTCTTATCCAGAAACACGACACCGAAGAGTCCGAAGACGGAGCCCAAGGTCATAGCGATGCCATCTCTATGAGCACCGTCACCCACACCATTGGACATGACGACGAGGAAGATCCTCGGGATGGGGATACTAGTGGAGGGCGGCCGCGGCCTCATTCGCGATCGAGCAGCATCCATGCGCACGCTTCACAGGGTGGCGAGATTGATGGTGAAACCGATGAAGGCAGAAAGCGGTCGAGCAGCGCACACGGCAAGCACGAGCAAGAAGAGGAAGACGATGACGAGGGCAGCGCACAAGAAGTTTTGTCCTTTGGGCCTCGCACCGCCCGTGACGTAGAAGACGGCAATTCGTCGTCTTCAAACGAAGACGATGGTGAGGCAGGCAACGAGGATGAAGAGGAAAGTTTGATGCGGGAAGGTAGAGAAAGCAACGGACGCAGAAGAGGAAGAAGGCAGAAAAGAGGGAAGAAGAGGTCAATGGCACAACGGAGCGGGACGGTGTTGGGCCTGCACAATGTAAGAGTCGCCAAACGCTCGTGCTCGACTCGCTCACTGACACACTTCGTTGGCGAATATCAGATCAGCCTTGTATTACCCCAGTTCTTGACGACGGTCATGAGCACAATTGGTGAGCTCCTTTGCTTTGATTCTAATTTCGGCGCGCACTCACGCTCACGCCTGCCGTCGTCTTTCATCAGTCTTTGCCCTTGTCGACTCGCATCAAAAGCCTGTCGAGAATGGGACCCCTCAAAAAGACGAAGACGAGCTGACACGCAACGATGGCGATGCTATCGGCCTCGTCCTACGAATCGGCGGCGTGGCTGCGCTCGTTGCCGGTATATTTGGCCTGAGACTGGCTGTGAGGCATCGGGCCGCGCTGAGCGCTTAGATTGACAAGCGAATGTATAGATGTGCTCCAATAATGACCGTTCCATTGCAGAACGCGAAGTGTGATACCCCAAAAGATCGACAATGACATGTAAGCAAGCAAAAGTGGCAACAATCTGGAATAAAGGGGTTGGGGTTGTTGTTTGCAGTAGATGAGAGAATAGGAATAGGACAATGTTTAGGCGGTATGGTGTACTCATGAAACCCTGACGACGACGGCGCCAGACTCCTCTTCACGTTGACCAACACGCGCCACGCCCTCAAACGCCCTTGGTCCGTCGGCGAAGCCGAGAATGCTCTTGATCCTCGGGACGACCCTACCTTCCTCAGCCGCCTTCTTGACGGCCTCGAGGGCATCCCTGCATTCGGCCGAGTCGCCTCCAACGAGATCCATGGCGACCCATTCGTAGCCAATGTGTTTCTTGTCCTTTTTGAAGAAGCTGCGCCGGAGGCTCCGCAAGTGTGCTTTCAGCGTCGGGTTCGCAATGAGGGACACGCCACCGTGCTCGTCGTCGCCAAAGCACGTCACAAACTGTCCACCGTGAGCGAGGATTCGGCGAGCACCATCATAGATCCGCCGGCCGCCGACAGTGTCGATGACCAGGTCAAAGCTGCTCTCGTGCAGCGAGTTGAGAGCCCAGAGCGGCTCACCAATGACGACCTCGTGAGCGCCATTGGCTTCGCACACGGCCAGACCGTCTGATACAGACGGCGGACACTGCGCGACGATGATGAGTCCCAGGCCGTTGCTCTCCTGCATCGTAAGCAGGCCGACGCCGTCGTGCGCGTTCAAGATCAGGCATCGAGCCCCACGAGGAAGCTGCGAGCAGTGGTTCGTCATGATCTGGTACGCCATGACGCCAGTGCTAGGCAGCGCAGCAATCTGCTCAATGGTCAGACAGTCCTCGGGTGCCTTTGCCACGAGATCCTGCTCCACGGTCATGAACTCGGCGAGGGCGCCAGACTTTTTGCTCTCCTGCAGTCCAAACACGATGTCGCCCTTTCGCATCCGTTTGACCTCCCACCCGACTTCCATCACACGTCCGCAGAAGCTGCGTCCGGGCACGAAGCCGTACGCCGAGGCGTCCGATCGGATCTTCTCGCGCAGAATCAACCGGTCAATGTCGTCGATGGCCACTGCAATGACTTGCACCAGAATCGAGGTAGAATTGAGCTTGCGGGGCGGGGGCGTGTGCGACGTGAGGGCCATTGTGGTCTTACTGAGCTCCTCCTGGAGCTGGTGCGCCATCGATTCGTTGCTCTGCGAGTCCATCGAGGAGCGATTCCCGTTGGGAGACGTTGATGCATTGGCACTTCCCAGCTCGGCCATCGAAGCTTTTCTCGACTTGGACAGCGTACGACCGCGGAGCGCACCTTCTTTCGACCGGAATGCTCCGCTGGTTACTGCCACTGTCGACATCGTCGTTCGCGCATACAAGCGATCGTCGATGGTGTTGGCGCTCTTGATGGGGTCTTGTGGCTTGTACGATGACTGAGGCACCGATGGCATGCTGGACGCGAGCGAAGCCGGCGCACCCAAGCCGCTCGATGCCGTCGAATAGCTCTCACGGCGAGATGGCTGGTGCAAAGAGGCGTTGCTCTCGTTGGCACCAGAGGCCCACATGTGTCCATCGACGCTCCTGGGTGAAGGGACGTGACCAGTAGTGTGCCTCCCTTCCGAGCCTGGCGGGTGCAGATAGGCATCTGTCGGTGCACCGAGCGGGGCGTTGCGAACAAACGACGGCGTGTTGCCGACGTTGATGCTGCTAGCGCTCCTCGATGCAGACGAGTGTGGATGGGGGAAGTGAGCGGCATGATGACCACCTGTAAACGAGACAGGGCTCGTCGCGCCGCTCCTGCTCTGATCGATGGGGCTGTTTGCGCTGCTCTCCCACTCGCTAATGGCTGACATCATCGACGTCTGGGCCTGACCACCGGGACCGGCTGACAGGGTGCGGATCTTGCGTGGATAGTGGGGGACACCGCCTCCAGCAAGGTGGCTGTTCCGGTACGAAGAAGAGCTATGGTCCGATACAACGCTGCCGGAAGCAGCGGACGACGACACAGCCGACGATCGACCAGAGGCACTGGGCGCGGGAGACGGCGACACGGACCTTGAGTGAGGCGATGAGTCGCCCGCCGATGAGGTGGTCTCACTGTGAGTCGTAAGGTGAGGCGGCAGCGCCCGAACACCGTCTGTCGCTGTCGAAGGTATCATTGGGACCGGCGGAGCATCGGCAAGACTGCTGAGTGCAGACGAAGATCGAATCGACGATTGCGAGTGTCTCCTTTCTGCCTTAGTTGTCGGTGACAACTCTCCGGTTTCGTCTTCTCGCGACACCTTCTTGCCCTTTCCTTTGCTCTTCTTGCGCTTCACCGTCGAATCACTCTTGGCCACCGTCGTCGCGACAAGGCCAGGAGGGAGATTGAGGCCTTTGCCCTTGTACTCTTCAGAGCCAGCCGATGCCACAGCGCTCCGCCGCTTGGCCGCACCGCTTGACGAAGCCGAAGCCGACGACTTCGATCGGACGAGGTTGCTAGACTTGGTGGGCCCCGTCAATTTGTTCGCGCGGACGCTTGCGGAGCGCTGCATCGAAGCAGGAGATTCTTGCTGCTGCTCCTGTTCCACCAAGGGCTCTGCTGCACCGCCAGAGGGAGGGCGCGAAGAAGCGACATAGGAGTTTCGAGTCTCGAGCGCAGGTGGCGTAGGAGGAATGAGCTTCATGCCAAATGTCGGCTCGCGCGTCTCTGCCAGCGGCGTCGAGTCTTCGTAGTACGTTGGCTCTTGTCGTGGGCCAGCAAGGGGCGTGGCGTCATCTGCATTGTGGTAGTGCTCGACTTGGCCATCGAAGCTGCGCGGTGGTGGCATCGGCAACTTCTTGTCCACTGCCATGACCGACTCGGGGAGCGCCGTCGTGCGGCCGGGAGAGTCGTTCCTTCGAGCAGCTAGCGGCAACATGCGCTCGAGCACCTCGGATGCACTCGGTGTCGTGGGCCCCGCTGTGCTCGCGACGCTGTCGATTTCCGAGGATGGCTGCAGAGGGCTGCGAGCATGGGCAACTGCGCTCTCCTTGTCGTCGTGTTGCTCCACATCCTCCTCTTCGGATCCTTCTTGGCTGTCGACAAATTCTTCCTCGGCTCTCCACTCGTCTTCAGAGTCCGATTCTTCTTCCTCGTCAGCCTCGCCGACCTCTTCTTTCGCCTCTGCCTTGGGATTCTTCAGCTCGGGCAAGGCAAACGTGCCAAAGCTATCAAACGTCGGCATCTGACCAGCGCCTGCACAGAGGTAGACGAATGAGATCTGTCAATTCCTTCCTTCTGACCTTATCCGGCAAATGAGTCTCTCACCTTGTTCATCTGCCAGCTCGCGCGCCGTGTGGAACCTCTTTGAATCCTTGAGGCTACTCCCATCCACTGCGACGCTTGGTGCCTCGGATGCTTGCAAAGAAGCAGGAGCGACAGCAGGTAGTGCCTCGTGAGCCTTCGTAGACGAGACCTCTCCGACTTTCTCGACTGGCTTGTCTTGCCGCTCTTGCTCTTGTTCTGGCTCCTGCTTTGCTTCAGCAACAGGCACTGCCATCCTTTCTTCGACCTTCTTTGGCGTCGACAACGTCTCTTGCTGCTCCGCTTGTTCCTGTCGCTGTTCAGACACGATCGGCTGAGCTTGGCTCTTCGACTCGAGCTTGGCCACCTTCTTGGCTCGCTTTTCACCCCAGGCCGACGGAGGGGTAGCATCAGCCGTGCGAGTGGTGGACGGCGCCAGTGACGCAGAGGCCGAGACAGAGGCCGGCACTGTACTCTGAGCCTTTGTTGCCTTTGCCTTTTTGTCTCCTCCCTTCTTTTCTCCAGGAAAGGAAAAGAGCGTGTCTGCGAGAGAGCGCGAAGGCTTGACGACACCCTTGAGGGCCGACTTGGCGGGCGCTGGCTTGTCCTTGCTCATGGGCAGCGTCGCCGTTGGTGGCGAGGAAGGCGGCGATGAGATGCTGCCGCTATCTGAGGCCGCCGCTGCCGACGACGAGGAAGCCGGCACCGCGGTCCCGATCTTGGGCGAGGAGAAGAGGCCAGGCAGGGTGGATCGAGTGTCCTCCTCGACCTCTTTGACCTTTGGTGCCTCTGCTGGGAGCTTGCCCTTGGAGATGGCCACGCCGCCCATTTCCTTGGGCTTTGGCGCACGGTTGCGCGGACGGTCCAGAACGCTCGTCTTCTTCTTCTCTGGCGAATCAGGCATCACAGGAGATGATGGTGAGCTTGCTGCTGCTGCTGCTGCTGCCGATGCTGCTGCAGACGAAGAGCCGCCGCCAAAGAAGCTGCGCAAGCGCGAGCCGGTGGATGCAACCGTGGAGGAATTGTCGCTCGACGTTGATGCTTGGCGTCCGTGGCCCAGGCTAGATTCTCGCTGCGATACAGAGGGCACCGCCTTGCCAACTGCGACCTCTGCTTGGTCATTCTCGGGAGACAGCTTCTGATCGAGAAGCCAGACGGCGGCAAAGCTAGGCGCCATTCCGCTGACTTTGCTGTCAATCGTCTTTGTCTCTGCCGCAGCAGCTGCTGCCGCACCGGGAGCGGTGGGTTTGGCCGCCTCCTCTGCCCTCAGCCTTCGCACCTCGCTGATGCGCTCTTGCGCATTCCTCGAGAGTAGGTCTTGCGCCGTGGGGCCCGTCTCCTGTGCGGCAGGGCTGTCGGTGGCGACTTGCAAAGCCTTTGAAGAGGACGAGGACGGCGCACCGACGTTGAGGTCGAGCTGGTTGGTCAAGGCCACCGAGCGTGCATCCCAGTCCGTCTTGTCAAACTTGTCGAGGATGCTCGAGAGGGACCCGCCAAAGAAGTCATCGCCGACCTTCATCTGCCTGAGCCGCTGCTGTTCGGCCTCTGCCCTTGCACGAAGCTCGACGTCCTCGTCTGACTTGTCGCCAGCCGAGTCTGAATCGTCGTCGCCGAGCTTGACACGGCGCGAAGACGAGGAGCGAGAGGCTCGGCCGCCGTTGCGGATAATGGCGCTCATACCAAACGAGGTCCCCAGGCTCACGTCGCTCAGCCTTCGCTGCAGCGTGGCTCGAGAGTTGGACCGCAAGCTCGGTGTCCGCTTCGACGTCTTGTCCGAATTTGCATCCTTGCCCTCCATTGTCTTGTCGAACGTCACTGTGGGCGCCCTGCCCGTGTCGACGCTGCGCACCGAAGCCGTCTCGGTGAGATTCTCCTGGGCCTCTTCTTCCTCCTGCCGCTTTCCTTCTGCCTTGTGCCTGGCCTCCGCGTCCAGATCGAGAGGACCACCAATCTTGTTGCCGTCAGGGGTCTCGGGCTCTTCTTCCGTGGTGTCGTCTTCGGCCACGGGCTTTGTGGTGGCGATCTCGCTGACCGGTTGAGGTGGCCTTGCGTGGTCAGGCCTAGACGCAGGCTCAACACCCCCAGCAATCTTTGGTACGACTCCGTCCTCCTCTGGCGTCTTGAAACCCTCCGCGGTGGGCATCCTTGGCGACGAGGCTTCGATGGCAATTGCCGGTGCTCGGTCTGTTGCTTCTTGGGAAACACCTCGGAATTGGCCGCTCTTCCGCAGGGCTGCCTCAAACGCTCGATGTCTGCCCTCGAGCGTTGGTTTGGCGACATTGCTGTGCGGGTGCATTTCATGGCCCACACTGCTCGAGCTCTCCTCATCCTCTTCATTGACGACATCGAGTGAGGGCTGCTCCTGCGTCTCGTCTTCATCTTCGTCGTCGTCGTCGTCCTCCTCGTCATCGTCCTCTTCCTCCTCGTCATCGTCATCCTCATCGTCCTCCTCCTCGTTTTCATCTCCCTCTTCCTTCTCCTCCTCGCCCCCTTCGCTCGCTTGCTCCTTGCCAGGCACTTCTCCCTTCAATTCTTCTGTCCTGAAGGCGCCTGGTGGCGTGGGGAGATCCCGGTCAAGGGATGTCCGGGTGAGCAGCTGGGGACTGGCGTTGGAGGGAGGCGACCAAGTTCGGTGAATGTTGGCGACGGCATGGGGACTCATGGACCGTCGTTTGCTCCCATCGCCGCCGCCGCCGCCGCCGCCGGCCATAGGGCTCAGAGGCCGATCTTGCGGCGGCAGAATGACGGAGCCCGGCCGAAGATTGCTGGGGGGAAGGCCAAATGCGCTCCCGTCCATCTCGGGAGTGCCACCGACTACTTGGCTGGCGGCTCTGGCAATGAGGTCCTGGTGGATGACGCCTGGATCGCGCATCGCCTGCTCCTGGATCGCATCCTCTTCCAGCTCCCTCTGCAGCCGCTCTACGGCGCTCTTTCTCCGTTGCATGTTGGCGGTGCCAGTCTTGGCGACAGCATCCTTCATGCTGGGCGCGTCGCGCAGTCCCTGCCACGCCTTTGCCACCTCTGAGCCCGACATGCTCTGGACGAAGTTCTTCCAATCCTCTGAGCTTGCTCCTCCAGAGCCAGTTGCCGGCCCAGTAGAAATTCGGCGCTGGGAGTGAGACGATGCGACCGAAGAAGGGGCAGCGGGAGAGGTAGGGGAAGTAGTGATAGTGGACTGGTGGGACATGCGCTGCTTTGACGACTTCTTCTTGAGCCCAGCACTGGGCACCTGGCTCAGCAGCTGGGGAGAGCTGTTGCCGAGGGGGGCGACGCCTGTCTTGACATCGTTGATGCGCGCCATGGAACTGTTGGTGGGGAGTGGGGGTGCATCAGTCCCGGCCCTCATGCTCCTCGTCCGATTGGCAGGGCCCGAGGCATCGCCGCCGTAGTCGCTTCTCGACGCTCTCCCGCGGCCAGACCCCATCACTCCCTGTCCGGTACCGGCACCGATGCCGGCCATGCCCTGGGCGGACGAGAAGGTGCCGTATTGCGGGCGCTGTTGCTGCTGCGACATGCCCCAGGTCCGGGCACCCCCCATCCCTGGTGGCTCAGGCTCCGAGAAGATGCTGTCGCCCGCGATGCTGGGTGCCCTGCTGCTGCGGCCGCCGCGCAGGCTCCCCACTTCCCACCAGCGGCCCTTGCGCCGGCTGGCCGTCGCGTTGCTATCGGCCACGCTTCCCATCTCGCTCATTCCGCCGTCGTTGTTGTTGAAGTCATAGTGGCCTGGCATGACCGAGTCGCGCTTCTTGCGCCCAAATCGACTCGTCGTCGGAACACTCTTGGATTCCTTTCGGCTGCCAAAGAAGGAGCCCGACATGATCGACGAAGGCGCGCGGGGCGCATTGGGCAGGTCGCTCGGTGCCGTCCATTTTCCTCCTCCCTTGCCGCCATTGTTGCCGGTGCTCTTCGGGTAGCCGCTGGCTGCCGACGAGGTCGAGGGCTGCTCCGAGTATGACTGCGATGGCCGATTAAGGATCGAGTCGAGAAAAGAGTGGCGGCCCATGGTGCGGCTTCCCTCTCTGTGGGTGGTGTGTCAGCCGAAATTTGCTCCTCGTTGCTTGCTCCTCGTTGCTTGCTGCTACTCGTTGCCGTGCTGCCGTTCCTTATTGTCCTGATCGTGGGCCGTTATCGTCGCCGTCGTCGTCGTCGTCGTCGTCGTCGTCGTCGATGAAGTCGACTTGCAAAGAGAAACAGAAGTCGTCAAACGTCTGCGCTGATCATGGTCGGGCCCTCGTGTTCCGTAGTCGTGAGCTGAGCTTCTTGTGCGGCCGCGGCGGGCGGCTCCCAGACCAGCGTTCCTTGCTGCCCCAAGTCGAAAGGCCCAGTCGCGACTGTGCTTTTCAGCAATTGGCAAGTGGGAAGAAGGGTTCGGAGAAGGGGCAAATCTCGGAGCCCTTTGCCGGACCTACGTTGGTGGCTCTGAGATTCCAATGGGGATGGGGGAAACGGATCGCCTGTCTCGTCTTGGCTCTCTCTCTCTCGCGGTCTCTCTCTCTCCCATTTACAAATTCTCCGTTTGCCCGAACACCACGTACTTACAAGCGCGACTACACTTGGTTCCTTTTTTCTTTGCCTAAAGAATAAAGTGAAATCCAAGATTACTTACTATTCCGTGGACAAAGGCATGCATCTCGCCGATTCCTACGCTCCTTTTAAAACAAGTAAAACGATGAAGGGTCGCATTAGTCTGAAAAGAGAAGTGGAGAAGCAATCGATGGCCCGGACCGTGACGGCTTTTGAATAAATGAATAAATAAAGTCCTCGTTGGGTTGGATCAATTAGAAAGAGGGACCAGAACACGCACTACTGGTATTCATGTAATTGTTATAATTAGTAGCAAAACTGCATAGAAGCCTTGAGAGTAGATGTGAAGCCTGACCCTGACGGCAAGAAAGATCCGGGACGCATGGTCCCCACCTCGGGACAACCAGCTAGCTGTCTCTGCTCGGCGTCTTTGCTCAGCCAAAGCCACAAGACCCTCAGTCATATCAGTCATCTGACAGTACGACGGACTCTCTCTCTCTAAAATAGAATGACTGGTACGCAAACAGCCCACCGTATACAGTACCATCTCACACCCACGCAAGCAATAGTAAAAAGCCGATGTGATTAAAGAGTCATGTCCATCACTTGCCCTTTGCTGCGCCCTTGGCCGGTCTGTTTCGGCTCCGGGGAGGCGGTCTCTTTGGCGGCGGCAAGATGCTCTCCGTCTTTCCCCCTGTCGCCTTGAGAGTCTCGTCGGCCGCAGCCTCATCGCCGGTCGAGGAGCCGTTGGTCATGATGGTATCTGCACTGACACTGGCCGACATGGCTGCTGACGCTGCCTCTGCTTTCACCTCTTCCACTCTCTCCTCGTCGACGTCGGCCAAAGGTGGTGGTGATGCTCCGTCCGACGACGCCTTCTCCGCTCCGGGCTCCAAGTCTGCCCGCTCCTTCTCCTCTTCTGGCTGAGTGTCCGCTGGTCCATCAACTGTCTTCTCCACCGGCCCTTCACTCGCAGCTGGAACAATGACTACCGGCTCTTGGCCATCTATCATCACGGTCTCTGATTCCTCGTCCGTCGTGTTGTCTATGAGCGCGATCTTGTGCTCGCTCGCATCGTTCTCCTGTGCTTCGCTCGCGGTCTCTATACTGTTCTCGTTGCCCACCGCCGTGGGCTCTATCGGGGAGTCTGCCTTGCCTCTGCTGTCATGCTGCCCTTCCGAGGCTGTCGTTCGTCCCGCGACGCTGTCCATCATTCGGTCCGCCTCCTCCTCATCCACACCTTCCAAGATTGTCCCGGACTCGAGGTCGTCTCGCTCACCGGCAAGCTTCAATGAATCCCTCGCCCTCTTACCGTCTTCCAGGTCGTCCCTCTGCTTCAATTCTGTCTGCTCCTGCTCGACCTGTTCGTTGGCTTGCTTCTCGAGGCTGGCGATGACGTTGAACTCCCCCTCTTCTCCCTCTTCTCCGACGACCTCGAGTGTAGGAGAGGGTGGCAGAGGGACGTACTGGGCCTCTCTGACCTCGGCACCGTACGGGCCATCCATCTCCAGCTGCGCCGTGCGCCTCTTTTTCGCCAAATCGGGCCGTACTCTCCAGTACCGCTGCACGATGGGATGAATCGGCGGGGGAGGCATGCTGTACACCTTTGCCCTGTCCTCCTGCTCGAGCCTGGCGTCTTCTTCGTCAGGAATGCCTGCTCGTTCGAGCGCCTCGAGCTCCTGGGGCGTTGGTGGCAGCCGAAGCTTCTCGCCATCGTGGACGATCTCATCCTCGTCTTCCTCGGCACCATTAGAGGTAAAGGTAAATGCTGGCTCTTGGCCTGCTGACGACAGGGTTCCCTCACCCTCGTCGCCCTCCCCAAGCGGCATCTTGGACGTCGAAGGAGTTGCGTCGGGTGTCGGGGGCGTTTCCCCAGGCGTGCCCGCGACAAAGCGCCGATTACTCTTGGGCTTGTCCTGGAGCGCCTTGATCACCATCGACTCGGGCATCTTGACCACATCGTACACCGTCCTCTCGAGCTTGCCGCCTTGGGCTTTGCCCGATTCTGCGTCGAGGAGCGCCCGATGGAGGGAAAAGGCAGCTGGAGGGATCCTGACCTTGCCCGTGAGGATGTCGCCGGCTTTGATTCCAGGCCAGTAATAGAAGCGTTCATTCTCATCGAAGCTGCAAGCTGGCAAGTCTGAGACACAGGCTTGTGGAAAGGGGAAAGAAGATGTGAAGACGAGAACGGGACTCACCGGTCGAAGAAGACCTGGCCCATGAGCTCGACGCCAGCGTACATGCCTCTCGTTCGGACATACGAGAAGATGGGCGACCTCTCGATGCCTGCTTCGGCGCTCGTGCCCGCGCCTACAGGGCCAGCAGTGATGGCTGTTTCGGCGCCAATGGTGAATTTGTGCGTCTTGAAAGTATCGAGAGCCTTGTCCGTGTTGATGAGAAGGATGGCGTCGATGAAATCGATGCCCAGCAAGAGGCCTGCCGACATGTTGTTGGGAGAGATGGCAGAGGGTGCGGACCACGAACCATCGGGCAGTCGGGCGAGGACGAGACCGGCGCCACCGCCGCCTCCAAAGGGCGCGATACCGCTACGCATGCTCGAGAAGATGCAGATCCCCTTTGCCTTTTTGATGGCCGATGGAGGCTGTTGCGTCGAGCTCAGTCAGCCCTCCTTCCTGCACTTTTTTAAAAGGAGGAGTATGATGCGAGACTCTCACAATCTTCTTCAGGACCTTTCTCTTCTTCTTGACGATGTTCCCCTTGCCGTCCGAGACCTCTTCTTCTTTTTCCTCCTTTTGCGGTATGCCTTCGACGGTAAAGGCCCGCAGGATCCTCTCGCACTTTTCGATCTCGAGCGGCATGTCATTTGACATTGGCCAGAAGCGTTCGCCACCGACCTTGGCCGAGACGGCATTGGCATAGCCAGAGACCCAGTCGGACACCTTGATCGACTTCTCGAAGCCCGAGCGGCCCCATCGCGACCACCGCCCCTCTTGGTTCTTCTTGTCTGACTCGGTTGACATGACGGCAATCGCCTGTGCGACCTGGCCGTCACTCGTTTGTCTAGGAGCAGAGGTCGATGGGGGTTGGCGTGACGTAGATGTGAAGACGGTGAGTTCCTGGCAAATTCAAGATTTAAACACTGCGAGGCGGTGGACCGGCATGCAGCGAAGGTGGAGAGCGCGGGCGACGAAATCCGACGGGGCACGTGTTGTGATGTGAAATTTGGTCAGAGAAGCTTGCAACAGTCAGTCATTCGTCTTGAACATTACCACTTAACGAGGAGAATCGAGGTCCAAGAATGGCAGCAGATATCATCACGACGGCCTTGCCACAGCTGGATCAGCCCATCGTCGACTACCTATCTGGCTATGTGGAGTCGCCGGACGCCGATGCAGCCGACGAAGTCCTTGGCCTGGTCCGGGCCATGCTCGAATCGGCGACGCTCAACGACGCCGCGGGCCGCAGTCGCATCGATGAGGCCGTGAGCAAGATTGCCAAGCTGCTTCCCGACGCTCCCTCCACGAGTGCCGGTCTGCGCAGGGTCGAGCGTGTCGTCGACATGGGCGCACTGGACCATTCCAAAACGGCCAACTTCGAGCGCGCAGGCCAGATCGACATCACCCATGGTGGTGTTGTCCACAAGTCGACGGTCGACGTGCGAAAGCTGGAGAAGCAAGAGGCGAAGACCAAGGCCAAGCTTCAGAAGCGCGCTCAACGCGACTTGTACGAGACGAGCAAGCTGGTGGAAAATGCCAAGCGGCAGGAGAGCTACGAGGAAATGTTCCTCAAGGTCAATCCACTCGAGACTGCCGGCAACCGGAGCAAGAACAAAGACATTCACCTGCCCAACATCGACGTCTCCTTTGGCTCCAACCGGCTCCTGTCTGGGGCCAGCCTCACGCTGGCCCATGGAAGGCGCTATGGCTTGATTGGGAGAAACGGAACAGGCAAGAGTACGCTGCTGCGCAACATGGCCCTTCGAGAGGTGCCCATCCCTACCAACGTCAGCCTCCTCTACGTCGAGCAGGAGATCACAGGCGACGACACACCCGCGCTGACGGCCGTGCTCAAGGCCGACGTCTGGCGTGAGAAGCTGATGGAGGAAGAGCGCAACATCAACACTGAGCTGTCTGCCATTGAAGAGGCCTCCAAGGAGGGTGGCGAGGAGCAGGAGGGCCTGGCCAATGGTACGGTCGCCGACATGAACACGAGGCAGCGCGAGATCCGCAAAGAAGAGTTGACAGGCAGGCTGGGCGAAGTCCAAGCCAAGCTTGTCGACATGGAGGCCGACACGGGACCAAGTCGAGCAGCGGCCCTGCTCAATGGCCTGGGTATTCTCGACAAGGACCAGCAACGGCCAACGAGCTCCTTCAGCGGTGGCTGGCGTATGCGACTGGCTCTTGCGCGAGCGCTGTTCTGCAAGCCGGATCTGCTCATGCTCGACGAGCCGTCGAACATGCTTGACCTCAACGCCATCGCCTGGCTCGAAGACTACCTCGTCAACCAGTGGCAGGGCACGCTCCTTGTCGTCTCGCACGACCGAGCCTTTCTCGACATGGTCGCCACAGACATTGTTCACATGCATTCAGAGCGCCTCGACTACTACAAGGGCAACTTTACCCAGTTCTACGAGACCAAGGAGGAGCGTCGCAAGAACCAGCAGCGCGAGTACGAAGCGTCCGAGGCCAAGCGGGCACACCTGCAGGCCTTCATCGACCGGTGGCGCTACAATGCTAACCGCGCAGCCCAAGCCCAGTCCAAGATCAAGGAGCTGGAAAAGATGCCCGTCGTCGAGGCGCCCGAGACCGAGGATGTGGTCCGGTTCCGGCTGCCGGAAACGGAGAAGCTGTCTCCGCCGCTGCTGCAGCTGGACGGCGTCAAGTTCGGCTACTCAAAGGACAAGACCCTGCTGCGCGACATCAACTTCGACGTCGGCCAGGACAGCCGAATTGCAATCGTGGGACCCAACGGCGCAGGCAAATCCACCCTGATGAAGCTTTTGATGGGCGACATTCAGCCGCTGCAGGGCGAGCAGAAGCGAAACAACAAGCTGCGCGTCGGCTTCTTCAGCCAGCACCACATTGACCAGCTCGATCTGAGCGTGAGCCCCGTGGCGTTTTTGGCGGCCAAGTTCCCGGGCAAGTCGGCAGAAGAGTACCGAGCCCACCTGGGTGCGTTTGGCATCAAGGGCACCACGGGCCTGCAGCAGATTGCGACGCTCTCCGGTGGACAAAAGTCGCGCGTGGCCTTTGCGCAGCTGAGTCTCATGCGTCCCCACGTCTTGCTTCTCGATGAGCCGACGAACCATTTGGACATTGAGGGCCTCGATGCGCTGATGGAAGCCATCCGGCAGTGGAACGGCGGCGTGATTGCCATCAGCCACGACCAAAAGTTTGTCAACACAGTCATGGACGAGCTCTGGGTCGCCGCCGACGGCACGCTCAAGAAGTTCTATGGCGATGTGTCGGCGTACAAGAAGATCATTGTAGAAGCCGGCCAGACTCGCCAGTCTTCTCACTAGGCTGCTTAGAAATAAATCCACTCGAAAGGTTTTCTGACTCTGTGCCCCAGGTCAAAAGCCCTCTCCCTCAAGACTGGCCGACTCTACCTGCTTTGTCGTGTGTGCCATTCCGTGTAACTGACCCTCTCTATTTCGCCACCATCGAGGTCACAGAGGTGTGATAAATACATGGTCAAAAGGAGCCCGCACACTCTCCTCGCATGGATCCAGTGATGCCGGGTGCTCTCTAGTTCATGGCGCGGTAAGCGATCCAGGCGCCGAGGAGGAGGAGGGGGATGAACATGAAGATGGGGCTGAGAAGCGAGGTGGGTAAGCTTCAAAAAACAAAAAAAAGGGAGGGGGACAAAGGGAGTCGGATCAGATGGCAGTACTCACTTGCTGTTGGCCTGGGGAGGTTGGGGCGAGACGGCGGCGGCCTTTGGCTTGGACTGTCAGAAAGGCATCCATGATGGGTCAGCACACGACATGCACCTCTCTTTTCTTTTGAGCTGCTATCTTGCTCGGATCGGATTGGGATGGAGAAAACTCACGGCAGCGCCACCTTCGATCTCGCCGACGAGCATGCCGGGCAGGAGGGCACGCGCATCGTCCGAGTGGCCCACGTCCTCAAAGGACTCCGTCGCGTCCTTTCCAGCCTCGGAAAGCAGCACCTCGTCGCCACCCGGGTGCTCATCTGCGAATTTGCTGACGTCGTAGACTGGGCACAGACGATGCTCATCAACGTCAGCGTCCAAGGAAAAGCCGAGCAAAGAAATAAAGGCAACGCAGTGTCTCACCCTTGCCATCGACGAGGAGCCAGAGGTCGCCGTTGGACTTGTGCTCGCCGAGCTGCTCCATGGTCACCTTCTTCTCAGACATGTTGCCTTGCAGTCACTCGGTGTGTTTGGGGAGTTTGTCAATGCCGTGCGGGTGTAGATGGAGCGGATTGGAATGAGACAGGCGTCACTTCAAAGGGGCGCCGTGGCTATCGGGAAAAGTAGAGGTGGTGGTGGGGAAGCGAGTTCGGTGGCCTACTACTTTCTTCCACACTACTGATTGGTCCATCCAACTTTTCGCTTTCCAAGCCCGGCCTTACAAAATTAGACGGCGATACAGCTTTCCTTCGTCCTCCGCACGCCACGCGCAAGTGCTGAAGCTTGAATGAGTAGCCGGGAAATTGTCTGCAGAGGGTCGTTTTTGTAATCCTACAAATAGACAGGCACAGGATATAGTTATAGTAACGCGGGCTAGCTCCGATCCGGTAGATATGACGCCGGGGCGATGCTGCAAGCGAACGATCTGCTCGCCATTACTCATCACCGTCTTCGTCATTACCGTGCCACAGAAATGAAATGATATTCGGTCCATCGGTGGAAAGCCCTGATCGTTGCTGAGGCTAGCCTCCCTATCGTGGAAGTCTACATGTCTTCGAAAGAATGAAAAGCGGGGCGAGGCCGAGGTGCGAAAGCTCAGTTTGTGAAAGGTGGACACGCTGAGTGCCACGTGCCGAAGATCCAACTCCACCCAACGTCCTCTTCATCACGGTGGTGCGGTCGGCCTCGCCCGCCCAGCGGTGGAGATGATGAACGGGGGCGTGACAACATGTGAATCATATCTCCGTCTCCGAAGTTGTGATTGACCTTGTTCAGCGAAGCTCTATCAATGCAATCAGCGCATCGCTCTGCCATCTCCATGGTAACAGCACAGATATGGCCGAGCAAATGACAGTGTCTCTCCTGACCGAGGACGAAGCATCACCGGACGTCGTTGCTCAGGATGCCTTGAGCCCAGAGTCGGACGAGCCGCGACCGCTTTTTCTGGAGTCGCCTTCAGCCTCGCTCCCTTCATTCTCGCCGCCTTGTACGCCGCCCGCTTCACAGGACAACAGGGCAGCCGTCTGCAACCACAGCCCACCCCAGTGCGTGCCCATCGCCACGCCAAGCCCTATGGTGGATTCTTCTACAGGCTTGTCGTCCATGCCGACGTCCAACAAAAAGGAAGTGGTTCGCCAGGCCCAGCCGACAAAAGCACGGGCAAGCGCAAAGACGACGCTAGAAGAGGACGATCTTGGGCTTCGCGGCGGCCCTCCAAGAGCCTCGATGTTCGCAGAGCTCGACAGGCTCGCAACTCTGGACAAGTCGCACCAAGCCAGTGTTCCTGTCCAGTCGGGCCAAGCCAGCTGTCAGGACCGCAGAACCCAAGCACCAGTGAACAAGCCCAACGGCACCGCGTGGCAGCCGGCCGAGTCGGCCATTGTGGCCCGCTGCATCCTTGAGGTGGGCGAGTCGCTCATCAAGTGGGACCACGTCGCGCAGCGAGTCAACGACGAGTGGGCGACGCGATCAGTAGGCAACAGTACGACGCTCAGAAATGCAAAGATGGCCAGAGCTCACTGGGTCCAGACGCTCAAGGCAAGACTGGAGAGGGAAGCAGGACTCGAGGTGACTTTTAAGCAGCCTGTCAGGACAAAGGCACCGGTTCGAAGGAAGAGGGAAAGGGTCAATCAGGGAGAAGAAGAGGAAGAGATGAGCGAAAAGACCAAGAGGAAGAGGTAGGAGCTGAAAAGCGACAATTGGCCGTCGAATAATACGGACGAGGACAAGTAGGCGACAGCAGACGAACCAAATCTCCGTCTCCACCTGCCTGACCCGCCGCGTTCCAGGCAGCAATAGAATGAAAATCAGTCATAGAGCTACCTTGCACAAAGAAGACAGTGTATGTTTCAATTCCATCGGGGGTACAGCGAAACAATAGCAAAAGTTGCGCCATGCCTCAGAGGACGAGAAAAGGAGAGTGTGGAGGAAGGAAGAGTGGTGAGATGGGGGGATCAGTTTCTACCGACGAATTGGTAGACGACGCGGCGGACGAGGCCCGAGAGATGCTCGGGGTTCTGCGCATACGTTCCCATGACGAGCGACATGCCGGCGCTCGTCAGCAGGAGATCGCCGCCGGGGACAAAGGGCACCCAGCTGCGCTGCCGGGCGACGCTCCACGCGCTTTCCATGCCCTTGGGGAGCACGTACATGGCCAGCTCCGTCCGTCGTCGCGAGTGCTCGACGAAGAGGGAAAGGCACGTGGCGAAGCCGGCGAGCCAGTGCACGGCGGTGCTCGTCAAGAAGTCCTTGACCCATGTTGGCGTTGCGGCCGAGAGAGCGGGGTCGGCGATGATCTTTGCATAGGCGTCGTGGGCGGCGCAGAAGATTGTCTGGAAGATGATGACAAAGACGCCGAGGAACGACGAGGAGCGGACGGAGCCAAAGAGGGAGCGCAAAAAGACACGGATGGGGTCCTTGCGGAAGGCACGCATCCGCAGAAAGACGGCGGGCACAAAGTGCAGCGTCGCGTACACGGGCAGGATCCACCGCGTCACCTCGAGGAAGCGATCGACGGGACTCCACAGGTGGCTGTTCTCCCAAGGGTGCACCAGCTCGCAGGGAATGGTCCTGAACTCTTCGCCCGCATCGGCACGCTTCATCCACTCGACGATGCCCGCGACATTCTTGCCCGTGATGCCGCGACGGTTGTTCTTGCTTGGCGGTACGTTGGGGTAGCGTAGCTTGCCGCTCGAAGTCTTGATTGGCGAAGGGATGGTGCCATCGGGAAAGTACTGCAGGGCCTTTTCCGCCTTTGCCACGCTCGAGTACTGCGCATCTCGGTGGATGTCGGTGGCCGGGGGCGCAACCTGGCTGGCCTGGGTGATCCACGAGATGTAGGAGCGCGGGAGCGTGTGGGGCTGGTTGAGCCAGGCGTACATGATCTGGCCGCATGCCAAGCCAAAGGTGAGGACAGCGCCGTGGGGGATGGTAATGAGGCCCCGTGCGTGGGCAAGGTTGTAGAAGCCCTCGAAGCCACGGACGAGGAGCTGCTGTGCCAGGCTGATCCGGCTGTCCTTCTTCTCGACCAGGATGGCCAAGCCGCTGACGGCGCCGGCCACGTAAGCGTGCCAGACTCTGCTTCGGGGATCCTTCATGAATGCGCGCCGCTTCTGCTTCGCCTTGATCATCGCCTTTTCACGCCCGCTCTTGCCTTCGAGCTCGGTGAGGCCGCTCTTTGGCGTCGCCGCGCCAGGCGTCGCTGCACCCGTGCCCGATCCCAGCTCCTCGCCGCTCGTGTTGCCGCTGCCCGGCTGGCTTGTCGCTGCTGAAGCTGCTGAAGCTGCTGAAGCTGCTGCTGCTGCTGCTGCAGTCGAGGAAGTGTTGGCCACGAGTCCCTCTGGTGTCGACTTGGACCTCGATGACCGGTTCTTTGGTGGGGGAAGCGGCGTGAGAAGCCGGAGCGAGTTCTGCGTGGCCTTGTACAGCGCCGTCCACGAGGCAAACATGAGGCTGAACCGGATGTTGTCCGCGCCAAAGAGAGCGAGCACAAAGGCGTTGCCCTTGACCTTTTTGGTGCGGATGGCGCGGATGAGGGCAAAGACGAGCATGACGCTTCCTCGGAGCATAAAGGCCAGGTTGAACCCCCGCATGCCGCCGCGAAAGACGTGGACGGCGAGCCTCTCCCAGTCGCCCGGGATGCGTGCCTCCTCGTCCTGGGGCCTCCAGATCTTTTGCCCGACGCTCTTGCGCAGCTGCCCTGGGGGCATGTGGGCCAGATCTTGGAGCGCCTGGACGCTGAGGCTCCGTCGCAGCTGCTTCGCGCTCTCGCTGATGTTTGGCGTCTGTGGGCCTGATCGCAGCCGACGCTTCTCCTCTTCCTCTCCGTCGTCATCGTCGTCGTAGTAGTACTCGTCTTCGGTTCCACCCTCGTCGTCGCCCTCGTTGCCGTTCTTCTCCTTGCTGGCGGCACTCGCAGAGCCATCGTCCATGGCGGTAAAGTGGGGTAATCGCAGGCCCGGGTCTCTTCGCGGGACGTCGTCACCTGCGCCGGCTCCTCCTCCTCCTCCTCCTCCTCCTCCTCCTCCTCCTCCTCCACCACCACCACCGTTATCGCCGATGGTGAAGCCGGCGCCCTTTCTACCGCTCGCCATCGTCTATCTTCTTCCGCCTCGGAGTGACGGAATGATGAGGGAGTGAGACGAACGACAGCGACCTCTAAAATCATATAAAATTAAAGACGCTGCTGCCCTTCATTCATTCTCCACAGTCACTTTCAACGATGCGAGCTGACCGAAGCGTGCCTCGGTCTCATAAGAGGCTTTGCGCGGCGCGTCTCGGGAGCCTGCAAGATTGCCCCAACAGAAAGTTGGGTTTCCTTCCCCCGCCTTGAGAGGAAATGTCCTTTGAAACCGGCCCCTGCTAGACTGCTAGGGCAAGGCTTGCGCGCGCCTTCTTTTGAAAATTTTATTTCTCTTTATCGCGTGAAATTGCAAGGTCTTCCCCGCGCGCGCTAGAGGGGCGTGGAGAGAAGTGTCCCTCGATCTTCTTCTGTGTGAAGCCGAACCTGTCAAGCCGATAGCAGGGGCAGATGCTGGGATGGCAATGACAACGTCGAGATAATGTCCAGCGAGTGTCGAACAGCGTGTGACAATGCATCGCACGAGATAAGGTGCAGAGAGAGAGACGAATAGCAGAGAATTGACGGGCCGTTTCATCTAAGACTGCGCGGCGCGGTTGCACCCCCCACTCCACACTGCCGTTCTCATCCTGTCGCATAGTGAAGGAAATGGCCTGGCAGGAGCTTTCCCCTGCCAAGAGACGGACAGCAATGACCGCGGCGATGTCTCAGACGTCGGTAGGATAGAGTCAAGCGTTACCTTTGGCGCAAAGGATGCGGTGAGGATCGCGCAACGTCTTTCATGACAGACAAATGTGTCGCCCAGCGAAACGTCGCCAGTCAGACTCAAGTCGAGAAGATTTGAAGCGGCGACCGACTTGAAGCACATTCATATAAGGAGTATCCAAGAAGCCAGTGACAAGACGGATCAGGCACACGGGGACCAAGCAAAGGATGACGGCAAAGCAACATCTTCCCACCTCTCCGTACGTTCGCGGGCGCACGCATGTGTGAGGGGACGGTGACGGGGCGGGCATTTCCTTAATTGCCCCTCTTTCCACCTGACGGCGGATTTCATCGCATCTTCCTTCGCTATCACCTTCTGCAAAGACGGTACTGTACAGAGAGCTGCTCGCCATGTCGACGCCCTCGGCGACCTCAGGCTCTTCGATCACTCCAGCTGAGCTCTTGAGCACACTGCCACCATCTCCGGACAAGCCCACCAGTGCATTGGTCGACTTGACGGATGAGATCGAGAACGAAAAGCAGAAGTCGGCTCACCCTTACGCGACCACGACTGACTGCGGCAGCCACGGAAGGGCGGATACTTCTCGTGAAGAGCATCCCTCGGCAGGCACTTGCGACCTCGCAAAGCGACTGAAGAACGTCGAGGCAAAGCTGGGCCACATTGCCGAGGCACAGGCAGCAGCCGTGACGGCGGCTATCCAGGCGCAGGAGGAAGCAAAGGAAGCTCAGACGCTGGCGGGCAAGGCCCAAGATAGGGCCCAGGCCAGCGAGATGCAGGTGGGAAAGATTGAGGGCAAGACGGTGCCGATGCGCGCAGTCGAGGACAAGATCAAGCGGGCCGTCGAGGAGATGCTCAATGCGCAGCAGGACTCGCTCCTTGCAATCAAGCTCCAGGTGGCCGAGCTCAAGGGCATGGTCATGGCAACTCTGCAGACTCGCAGCCCCACTACCATGGCAGAAATCCCACACCACGCCGAGGAAGAAGACGCCCATCCATACGTCAGATCGGCGACGCCTCCAGACCATGCAAAAGAGATCCATGATGAAAAGCCTGAATCAGCAAGAGGTGAGCATCCTCAATGCAACCACAAGCGAAAGGAAGCTCCACGTCTCGAAGCTCCGGGAACGAAGGTCCTAGTGGAAACGCCCAAGAAGCGTATAAAGCATGCAAAGGGTTCAGGTAAGGAGCCGTCGACGCCAAGCTCGTCTGGAAAGTGCACCGACTCGGACAGCATCAAGCCTACATCTTCGTCGCCCAGCATCTTGCAACTGCTCAAAGCAAGCCAAACGTCCACATTCAAGGAATCGAGTTCGGTTGCCGGGACGAGGAAGACCGACGAATCTTCCTACCATGAGGACGCTCGTTCGTCAGAGGAAATGGAGATGCTTTCACCCTCGGCCTTCTTCGGGCTCGTCGACTTTCTGCGAAAAGACCGAAGATGGGTGAACGACGCCGTGCTTCGTCAGTACATTCCACGAACCAAAGGCAAGAGCAACGTGGCGATTGAGGCCCTCGTTGACATCTGTACGCAGCACATATGCATCTGTGAGACAGTCAAGCTCGACACGTGGGGGAAGCCAGTCAAGGCTTACAGCCTGACGAATGTGGACGAGCCATTCTGGGAGGAAGCAGTCAATGCTGAGTACTTTGATCACGTACGCATGCTGAAAGGGAAGACGCCGGCGCCATGATAGCAATGCTGGCCGCCTGACATGCGACCCAGGCTTTTTGTATTCCAGCACCATATTCTTACCGAACGTTGCCGACTCTTCTCAGCTCTCACCCTCACCTCAGTTTCTCTATCTGTTCACCCTTCGGTCCTGCTAGCGTCGTCATAGCCAACAGCGCAGACCGACCCTCCGAAGTCTTCCGAAAATGAAATCGTCTCTTCTTTATGTCGTGAATTCTCTCTTATGCCAAGGCTAGATACAGTGCTTGCCTTCTCTGGGGAGGCTATCGTACACAGTGAGGCTATTTGAGGGGAGGTGTGTGTCTTTTATTAAAGCGAACCGAGGGATGGGGAACGAGGATTTATCTAGACTTGGAGTGTACAAATTTACATGGTTGAGAGGTTGTTTTGCGACGCTGCTCGTCTCTGAACGACAGTGCGGCGATGGGCAAAGCAATCAGATGGCCTTGCGAAGCTGGTGGACACCGACGGGGAGCTTTGTAGATGGAAGGTGAGGCGTAAGGGCGATAGGGCACAGAAGAGGCGAATAGGCAGTCTGGACTCACGATGCCATCGGAATGCGCCGGCTGCACCTCAAGATATCCTCCTCCGATGAAGCTGAGCAAACAATCTTCAGCCGCCCTGAATCCTCTACCATTCCCCAATCTGGCTGCCGCTCACCCAACAATCTTTCCTATTGGAGCGAGCGAGCGAAAGTGAGCCGAAGTACAGTTCCACCCAGTTTGCGTTTCTCTTCCCTAGAGCTACTTACCGAGGGTCCAGGGCATGGACTGCGAAAAGCTGTACTCGACTACATCTCCGATCCTGAAGCCATACATCGACTGAGGCTTGGGGGCCGTCGAGTACATGTCGTCGTTGGACTAGCTGGAGAGAATGAGGTTAAAAGGCCGGATTGCGTGCTGCTCAGTTGCTAGAAGACGCCGGAGGACCTCGGCGCTGTATGCCAAGACTTGTGTAGAAGTAGGAATGTGTGACAGCGTCGCGAAGCGTTGCCGAATTGCGTCTTCTCCCTTCGGTGCTGCTGGAGGTGACTCTGGTGTAGTGGGAGGACGGAGCAAGGGAGGAGGAAAGAGCGGCCTCGGTCTCGTCCTTGCCTTTGTGCTTTGTAGAAAGCCCTCGGACCGGCTGCTGTATGGCAGCGTCGCTTTCTCTCTCTCCCACTACTCTTGCTACACCTCGCCCACCTTGACCCTAATGTGACTCTGCGCCTTGCCCGCCATGTCTCGCTCTTTCCTCTTTCCCCCCACCCACGCAGTCCGATCTGTTGTGTCCACAGCCAACCCCGCGCGCTTTCTTTCTCCTGCGCGTATCTCTCGATCGCTGAAGTCATCAACATGATTACTTTACTAGACGGGCGTTCCCCACCCAATCACCCATCAGATAGTGTGAGGAGAGCATGGCATATTCGGTAAGGTAGCCCGTCGCCTTCGCCGTAGAATAACAAGAGTGAGGAGTAGCTGAATGACGTACTCCTCTCAGGCATTGCAGCGAGCGCTGTTGGTCTTGGCCGTTTGGGTCGGCCGCATGTATTTTCCCAGGTCATTTAGTTTTGATGAAGAGAGAGCAAAGGCATGTTTTTCTCGGTCATCGTCGAGAGGAGTGGAGTATTGGCACAGATCATAAAGAGTCAAGTAGAGGCCGTTCGCGGTGATATACACGCGTCACATCCTGCTGCGGAGCCTTACGTCGTCGGGGAACAAGCAGAGAAAGCGATGGCGTCATTCAAAAGGGCCCCCCACCTCGTGTCTCTGCCGTGTGTGCCCCATGTGAGACGGAGAAGATTGCAAGGTGCGGGCGTACGGTTGTTTTGCAATGCTCCACAACAGATGGGGCGGAGCCCGTTCCATGCCGAATAAACAAAGAGAGGAAAGGGAGCAACCATTGAGATGCCACATGTGGATGCGACGGGTCCGAACAGGTCGCCCGATCAGACTCAGCTCGTCCCTTTCACGCATACACACGCGGTTTCCCATGCATGCAGGGACAGCCCACGGAAAAGAATGCAAGCGCTTGATTCGCCCGCGCACACGACGGGGGTCTGTCCGCCGTTGACTTACATTGAACGCCGTCGGAGCAACAAATAAAAAGGAGAAAACGGCGCGTGAACGAGACTCGATTGAGGCGGAGTATCTGCTCTCAGCTCCCGTCGCTCCTTTCCCTCCCTGTCTCTGCTATTGCCTTCTTCGGTCCAATAGCATAGCCTTGGACGGCAGTGACCCTTTTCGGCCGCAATGTCATTTCACCGCCAGCGGCAGCGAAAGATGTCTTCTCCGTCACCACCTATGCCAATCATCACGGGCGGCGCTTTTAGTCGTCGGTGGTGAGCCAACGAGGCCCCACTCGATGCCGCTCCTGGCATTATACCTCCCTTCTCCCGGCACCTGGTTCCTTCGCTGCACTGAGATGGAAATTAGCTGTCCGTTGATCGAGCAGGACGGCAACACTAGCTTGTCCGCGCGCCAAGCAGCAGAAGTAGACGGATAGCGGATTCCAAGATGAGGCAACTCGATTCTCCTTTCTCTTGTGTGGAAAATCCATATTCATAACGCTCTGCGCATGTATGCATAGACGTAGAGACACACTCCCTTTACGAAGCTCGAAGATGGCGTATTTACTGCTCCTTTGTTTTCGCTTGCCAGTGAAGTTGGCTCCTCTCTTTTTTCTTCAAGAGGAGTTTGCGTCGGACTGAGAAAGCCCAAGGGCAAACGGCGCCGAACGTATGTGTTGAGAGGGGAGACAGAATGAAAGAGGGACTATTCTGAGTGAAGTCGAAGCACTGCCCCCCACCCTCTTTCCTCTGCTCCCCCCACCTTCGTACAGTACACTCCTCCTCCAATCCCAGTCCATACCTCTCTCTTGATTTTCTCGTTCCTTTTCGCTCGCACAGCCAGCGCGCAACACTGCACGACAGAGGGAGAAGTTGCAGCGCATCAGTGCACCTCGATCATCCGGTGCTTCATCAGCTTCAGCATCATCTCCTGCCAAAGGCCGAGAGAACGCTCACGCTCTCCCTTTCCCTCCCCTCTTTTTCTCTTATCTTCTTCCAAGTGCTCGACAGGTCGACATAAAACCCCCCGTCTACCTGTACTTCTTTCCCCCCTTCTCCCGTCTCTGCCGTCTTATCTCTCTCCTCAGCATCGTCCACCCCCGTCCTTTCGGGTCATCGATCAAAGATCAAAGATCTGATTCGCCACCATAAGACCCTGTTAAGCCAACCCGACCCAACTCTCCGCTTCGGAAGACACCGCCGCTCCGCCTAAGAACCGATTCCCCATTCTTTCTCACCCACAAAAGCACACTCCATCGCGTAGTGGCGACCTCCTCCTCCAGCCCAAGTCTAAGGGTAAAGCGCAACGATCAAGAAGTAGGCTTTCAGCCCAGAGGCGTCTGCTGGGATCGTCAAGAAGAAAGGGAGCAGCGAGGTTGGAGATGACATACTTTGTCCCCGCCGTCGGGTCTACGGTGCGCTTCTACTTTGGAGAAGGTACGATACTCTGCGCTGGCACCGTCTTGGAAGTGAGTCGTTTCAGCAAGCGCTAGCGCATCCATCTTCGCTTATTCATCTTTGGCCAGGTCACCAAGGACGTGAGTTGTATCACCAGATGTGGTGGCAATGGTCTTGGGATTGACGAGAACCACTGCAGGATCCACCATGTGTCGTTGTTAAGATCATTGGACTACCACAGAGGGTGCGTCAGACCGTGTCTCTAGCAAGATCTGGTCCAGACTGACCTCCGCATCTCCTCAGGTTCACTTGCGGGTCACGGAGCTCCTGTCATGACACTTGCCCAGGGCGAACGTCCGATGCTGCGGGGAACATCAAGCGCTCGATGCGCACAAATACCGTGTGGCTGCAAGAATACGTGCATTTCTTGAAACGCCTTGATGGCTGTCATCGTCATCGTCGCCCGGTCGTACCGTAATGATGGATCTGGAAGCGATCAGGCGTAGCGCACAGCCTTCTTTTCACTTTTCGCTCTCCTGTCTCTCCAGCTCGTCTATCACCGCCTTCACAGCGGCTCTCCTCTCTCTCTTTCTTCTCTCGTCTGGACGACACTTACCACCTTTTATCACTCCTTTTCCTATACGGAAACGTCCACAGTACGCAGCTGGCCTCGTCTCCCCCTTCCCCTCGCATGGCCATGTAGGCTGGTCCATCTATTCCACTTGTATTCTGGCAAAGCAAGCACCCCTAGTCTTCCATTCATCCGTCTCACTCTATAGTATAAACACCACCTCATGCTGTACTCTAGCTAATTTACAAGAAGTATAGTGGCCCGCTCTGCAACGTCTGCTTGACGGAATCACCTTCCAACGCTTCCGGACGACGCTTTCCTGCGCTAAAAATTTGACGAGCAGAGCACGGCTTTTTAGCGCGAAAAGGGTTTTTGTTTTGTGGCTGAGAGGGGGGTCAGCCAGTGGAGGCGGCGGACTACTTACTTCCTCGTCGTCACTACTTACAACACCTCTGAGGAAGTGAAACATCCGGCATGTCTTCCCCTTCGTCGTCGAGGCCTCCAGCAACGACGGCGACGCTCAAGACGTCGCCACGAAAGCGCAGCTATCGCGCCCTGCCAAAGGTCTCGTCTCCGCCCAAGCGCACCCTAGCTTTGCCGACGAACACGAACGAGGTGGATGGCGTGGACAATGACGACGACGAGGACGACGAAGCAGAGCTGAGCAAGGGTGCCGTCGCTGGGCCCTCGAGTCCGTCGCGACGGCGGCGGAGACCCAGTGCATCGCGGCGACGAAGCAGCAGCATCACGGCCGCTGCTGGTCTCATGAGCTCCTATTCCTCCTCCTCGACAAGCCCGCGCATCGGCAGCAGAAGGGCCCTGCCAGGCGACAACGGCGACGATATCAACGATGGCGACGATCCCAGCCCCAGACCAGGACTGGCATCACAAGAATCGGATCGGTCGGATGCGACGTTCGCAGGTGGGGCCACCGAGACTTTCCACGATGCTCGAGCTGCTCTCGGCAGAGGCGTGCCCTCGGCCCATCACATGGCCGTCGTCACGCTCTTGGGCGCGCTGGCCCAGGGCATGCCACTCGCGAGTATGTTCAAGGCGTACAGCTACATGATGTGTCGCGTCTACGACAGCAGGAATGCCAACGACGGAGGATCCGGCACCGAGCATCTGGGCGCAAGCATGATGCTACCTCCAGCACCCGAGCTGCCCTCTTCGCCCTCATGTAACGACCCTTGGGTCCAGAAGGCGACGTCGAGCTATGCGGCAGCGATGGCCACAGTCGGCGCCCTGCTCGGCCTGGTCCTCCTCGATCGGTGCAGCCGCATCTCCCGGCGCTTCGGTCGCAAACCCCTCATGCTCTTCACCCACACCCTCCTCGCGCTGGCCTTTCTCGTCTTCCGGCTCAGCGTCAGCTTGCCCACCTATGTCGGTGCAGCGCTCCTCTACCTCTCCGTCGTCATCTTCGAAGCGAGCGCAGGCGCACCCCTACGAATCGCTGTGCAGAACTACGTCGTCGACGTCACGACAGAAACGCAGCGCGCCGGTGCCCTCTCCTTCATCGATGGCTTCGGCCAGATGGGCGCCTTTCCCAGCAGCACCCTCGGCGGTTGGCTTGCCGCATCCACGCAAAAGTTTTTTGCGCCCTTCTATGCAGCCGTGGCCATCTATGCGGCCGCCGTGGCATACATTCTCGTCCTTGTCCCCGAGAGCAAGCGAAACAGGCACCACACCCTCATCGACGACTTTGAGCACTTTGGCGAGGAGGGCAGCCACCCTGACCGGCACAAATCTCCAAAGGTTGGCAACGGGGGCCTGACTGGAGGCGCGGACGGCGACGGGACCACAGATGACGACGATGAGAGCAACGATGGCGCGGACCAAGAGCAGCGACGGCGCACGGCGCAGAGGAGGATCTCCTACGTCAGCACGGCGCCCTCGGAATCGGCCTCTGGCGCTGCTTCAGTGTCTCTAGTTCGACGCCTGATTTACAGGCTCAATTTCCTCGCCCCCATCTCCATCTTCTGGCCTCGCCGCAAGCCGCATCACCACCCGTCGTCGGATCACAGCGCCGTCCACATCGACGCAAGGGATGGAGAAGGACCAGCTAAGAAGGGGCCCATGGACTACAGACTGTTGAACCTGGCGCTGATTGTCGTCTTTGAAGAGTCCTTTCAAGTATTTCTCGTCCCCGTCCTCATTCTCTACAACACCGAAGTGTTCAAGTACGATGTTGTGCAGAACGGATACCTCGTCAGCCTCCTTCAGGGCGTCAGGGCTCTGTACCTCACCGCCATCTTCCCGCCAGCGGTCGCCAAGGCGCGCGAGTGGATCAAAGAGCGCGTCAAGAGGAGAGCAGCTGCCAGGGCCCAAAAGCAGGTACACGGTGATAGCCACGCGGGCGAGCGCGAACCGCTGCTGAGGCAGAGGAACGGGCTCGAGGGCGAGGCTGGAAAGAGGCCTCCTCCTGCACCTGGAAGGGGCGTGGCAACGCGCGACACAGCGCTGGACTCGAACGGATCTCCATCTCACGCGCTGGGCCAAGATGGGGAAGTGCCACCCACACAGACGGAAGAGGCGGCCGTGGCCAAGCGTGACCAGCGTGGAAAGCTCGATGTGGCCATCCTCCTGGTCTCCTACCTCCTCTCAGCCGCCAGCTTTGTGCTGCTGGCCCGGACGAGGGCGGACCAGAAGGTGGCTGCGCCATGGGTCGGCCTCGCGCTCGGCATCGTGGGCCTACAGCTCGGCGCCGGTGCCACGTCAGTCCGCACAGCGCTCATCGTCAATGCCGTTTCGCACCCAGACGAAGACGACGTCGACGGGGGCGACGGCAGCAGCAGCCACGCAAGCTCGTCGCTGCAGTCAAAGGCCCTCGCCGCCAACCAGATTCTCTGCACGGCCGTATACGCCATCGTCCCGCTCCTGACGAGCGCCGTCTACGGCTGGGGCCTCCAGCGCGGCCAGCCCCAGGTCGTCTGGTACTTTAAGGCAATCTTCGCGGGCCTCAGTGCCCTCGGCAGCGGTGTGCTGCTGCTGCATCACAGGAACCACCCGCCTTCATAATAACCGTCATTCCCCCTCTTAATTACTCACAACAAGACGCAAATGCAGATTTTGTAGAGAAAATGGTGTGCAGCGATATACAGGCGTGGCCTCACCTTCTCAGCCGATTTGGGCAGTGTTCGTTGCCGTTCAAATTTTGCGATGTAGGGACTAGTAAACAGGGAAGAAGCGGGATTGGAGTAGGCGTAGTAGGAGGAATGCCCTCGAAAGACACAAGAGCTGTCCTGCTGTACATGACGAGAGAAAAGAGGATGGAGATACACAAGAGCGAGACAGCCTCTGGATCCCGCTTCCACCAAGATCAAGCCTCGCCAAGGCCACCGTCTTCGCTGGCCTTGCCGTCTTGGACGTGCGAATCGCTCGCTTGGTCCTTCTGCGGCTTTGACGAGATGCCTGCGCTACAGGCAAAGCGGACGACCATGACCGAGGTGTTGTCGGTGGAGAAATTGCTGAGTGCGTGCTGAAGAAGCTTTTCAGAGGCCTCTTGCGGGTCCTCAATATCGGCAACAAGGTCGACAGCGTCTTGATCGTCGGTCACATCCCAAAGTCCATCGCACGCAACAATGAGGAAGGCATCCTCATCGCTCAGACTCGTCTCGGTCGTGTAGGGGCTTCCCACAACAAATTCCTTCATGGCGGAGTCTCCCAATGAGCGCGTGACGGCCAGGACACCATTGACCCGATTGTTCATGACAAAACCGCCGGCGTCGGTGATGCGCTTTGCCTCTTGGGTGTCGGAGCCCTTGTGGTCGTACGTCAACCGGACCGCCTTTCCACTCCTGCAGAGCACTGCTCTGGCATCGCCCACGTTGGCCGTGTAGAGGACCCTGCGGACCTCTTTACCCTTGACCTCAACCAGCCCATCCGCGGACATTTCAGCTGACGCAGGTGTCGATGTTGATGCTGATGACGATCCTGACGCTCCATCGACCTCTGCCGCTTTGTTCTTTTCGCCGCTCTTTTCCTTTCCGGCCGTCTCTGTCCCATCAGTGCCAGTCGCCGGACTTGAATCGCTCGAGCTTCTTGATGCGATCTGATCTGAAGCGCCAGAGTCCTGGCGACTGCCTCCCGCTGAACCTTGTCGCATCCTCCTCGCAAAGCTGCTCAGAATACCACCGCCGCTGGCACTTTTTGGGCTTGTTGGTGAAGCTGTCGTGGGACTCGCAGGGGACGAGTCGCTCGCGTCTTGGCCCGCCGCGCCTCCTGCACTGAGCTTGCCCGCGGCTTTTTTGTCGATACCACCCGTGTCGGCGTGGGCCATCGGCTTGCCGTTTTCGTCCTCCAGACGCAAAAAGACAGTGACGGCGGTGCACCCCGACGAGGAGCCTTCGGACTCTGCCAACTTGGACAGCTGCTCGTCGACGGAGTGGTACGTCTTGTTGAACAGATCCGGCACAGGTTCCTTGGGATTGTTGACTAGAGACTCGAGAAGGTGCTCATGAAAGTGCTTTCCACACCACTCGGCCGCATGCTTGCCAGCATGGCCGTCAAAGACGCTGAAGAAGCCTTGGCCGCGGACGCTTCCAAAGTCATAGATGAACGCATGGGCATCTTCCATCGTCCTCCTCCATCGCTTGTTTCGGTCCTCGGACACTCCGATGCGAAAGGGGAGTTTGCCCGATGGCCCGGCCACGTTGCTCGAAAGCCCAGCGGTACCGCCAGGAGCTGGCTGCGACGAGTCTGGGTGCTGATTGAGCGTCTAAAGAACGGTACATGCGCCGGCGAGTCAGCTCAGGCCTGTCTCTGCTTCTGACTTCGTGCCAGCAACCCACCCCATGCGTATTGGAACCCTTTGCGGTCGTCTGCGTCTCTGAAGATGCATTCACTGCTGAGCTGTCCCTGTGGTAGTCAAGGAGTGGACGTCAGCTTGCGAGTGGAGCACAGGAAAGACATTTCTACATGACACGCACGCATCCTCAAGATTTCTCAGCGCTATTCCATGAGAAAGGACACCGAGACGAGGCGAGGTAGGACGCATTGCACAAGGCAGTGGAGGAGAGGGCAGCGGAGGAAGTGGCGGCCGTGGCAGGGGCGGTGTAGAGTTCAGGCGGCGAGCAGCGTCGAAGAATTTTTTGGACAGGCGCATGTGCAATTTCGCCATAGTCAGCAGTGTGATGGTCGAGAGAGAGAGGAGAAGGGCGTGGTAGGAAAGAAGGAGAATGTCAGCGGAGGGGACTGGAGTGGCTAGAAGTGAGAAGGCGCAGAGAGCACCAGCTGGCTCTTCTCTCCGGAGTTGGATGGAGCGAAAGGTCTGAGGCACCTGGTTTCCGAAGATGCCAGGCTTCTCCAACCCGCCGTCGCCCATCCACTGCGAGGATTCTGCGTCGCAACTGACCTGGCATGGTGATGAGAACGTTCTGCTCTCAGTGCAGTCGCCTTGAAGAGAGGGAAGCGCTGCGAAACGAGACGAAAAAAATCGCTTTGGAGATGGAGACCGATAGATTCTTGCCCCGCCGCCAAGAAGCCGTGCTTGCCCAAAATATACCGCGAGCGGGGCAGGGCTTGGCCGAATGCGACGAAAGACGACAATCAAGTCGATGCGCGAGAGAGAGACAGAGGGAAAAGAGGGAGAGAGCGTGCGTGCGTGCGTGCGTGTTGCAGAGAAAGAAAGGCCTTGGCTGATCGTGGTCACAGAATGAGGGGCAGGTCTGCGATGGGCAAGGAAAGAAAAAGGAAAAATGACGAAAATCAAAAGTCAGACCGACAGGGCGGCGCGTCGCTGCTTGATATTGATAGTTAAAGCCGGCTTTGCTCGCGCGCCCTCTATTGCATCGGCGGCGACACGTCGTCATGGGTGGAGGTTGGGGGCTTGCGCCACCGCGATTAGCCAAAGAAAGCAGCAGCTAGTGCAGTACAACCCTTTGCTATTGCCGCTACTGTCGGCCATCTAGATCTGCAACACACGCACAATGATCTCTTTTCGACATATAGTCAGAGCTGGTCCTCAAATCCCACGGCAGAGTAATACTAGGCAGAGCATTTCCATTCATTTCTCATCCCATTACGTCCTGTAGTCACCATTGATCTAGAGATACCGAAAAAAAAGTCAGCATGGCCATCGCCTTTTTAAGAAAGAAAAGTAAAGCAGATCAAACTCACCGCAACATACTCCTTTGAGAGGTCGCATGTCCAGTACGTGGCCGACTCCTTGGCGCCCTCGGCTGGGCCCCACGAACCTCCTTGCAAGTCGACTCTGAGGAAGATGTCTTCCTTTTCGAGCAATTTGGCGGCTTCTGCTTCGTCTACTCCGACCGGGGCGCCATCCTTGAGGACGACGAGAGAGCCAGGCACCGCAGCGTCATCGGGGAGGCCTTGGCCTGACCGTGGCAAGAATTGGACATTGACCTTGAGAGGGTCGATTTCCCACTTCTTCTGCTGTCCACTGCCGGCACTGGGCAGATCTGCGTAGCCCACGGCGCAGAGAATGCGGCCCCAATTTGCATCGGAGCCGTGGAGGGCGCACTTGACGAGGGCCGAAGTCGAAATCGACGATGCGATACGGTGCGCGTGCTCGTACGTGGGCGCACCCCGAACGTCAATCTCAACAAACTTCTCGGCCCCCTCGCCATCGCGGACGATGAGGTGGCTCAGCTCCTTGCAGAACGTCGTGAGCTCCTCGACGAACTGGGCGTATTCCTGGGGGTGCCCTTGCTCGGTGATCTCCTCGCCGGGCTCCAGGGCCAGCTCGCCGCCCTCGGCATCGGGCAGGATGGGGGCGAGTCCGGATGCAAGGGCAATGACGGTATCGTTGGTGCTCATGTCGCCGTCGACAGAGATGCAGTTGAAGGAGCGGGCCATGGCATGCTCCAGGGCCGACTGCAGCGCTTCGGGCGAGATGGGTGCGTCTGTGCAGACGAGGCCGAGCAGCGTTGCGTGAAGCTGCCTATTGCCACCAGTGGTGCCCTGTGGTCCCGTCATGGCTGGGTGAATCATGCCTGCGCCCTTGTCAATGCCTACGATGCCGCACTTGCGGCCGCCCAGGTTGAACGTCTTGGCACGCAGCTTGGGAAAGGTGTCTGTCGTCATGAATGCGCGGGCCACCTCCCACCAGCTCTGCTCGGAACTGTTGAGGATATCCTTGTCTGCGATGCGTGGCAGGGCATCTTGGATGGCGCCCATGGGCAGGGGCACGCCAATGACGCCAGTCGAGAGGAGCAGCGTCTTGTTGTCCTCCTGGTTTTCGGCCGGGAGCAGCTCGCTGACGAGCGTGGCACACCGGGAAGCATCCTCGTAGCCACCCATTCCCGTGACAGCATTGGCGCAGCCAGAGTTGACCAAAACGCTCTTTGCTCGCGAGCCGTTGGACGACGATGCACCCTGAAGAAGCAGGTTGGACGAGAGGACGACTGGGGCAGCTTTGAATGCATTCTTGGTGAACGTCCCCGCAGCCGCCACAGGGACTGCCGTGGTAATCAGGGCCAGGTCCGGCTTGGGGTTTGCCGGTGGCTTCGAGGGCGAGGGGGAGATGGCATTTTTGATGCCTGCATACGTGGCCGCGACGGCAAAGCCCTGGGGCAGGTGTGCAGGGTTGATGGGCTTGGCGAACCGTTCGGCCTTGGTCGCCATCCTGGCTGCCGACGTGGTGAAGTGGCGCATCATCCTACCAGAGCCAGTAGCGAACGTCCTCTTCGGGCCTGCCAGCTTCAGGCCCAATCCGAGGCCGAAGATGGCTGCTTGCGAAGGCTTCGACGATTGGGATACAGTCGTCGACTGAGGAGTCAAGCCAGGGACGGCGCCCTTCCAAGATGTCTGGCTAAAGTAGTGGCAGCCGTGGACGCCAGCACCGAGACTGGCTGCTGAAAGCGAAAGAAGAGCAGAGAGGGGCCCTGGTCGACGGACAGCCGAGAGCCCGTTGAAGAAGAGGTAGGTCAGGGACCAGGCGGTGACGGTGCCGGCGCCGTTCAAGCTGTCACCCTGATCAATGATGTAGCCACCGCCAGCAAAGAGCGCGGCGAAACCAGCTGCTTGCCAAAAAGGTGGCAAGCCTCGCAGCGGCGATGCTCCTCCTCCTCCTCCTCCTGCTGAGAGCGCTCTTCCCGCCGCTTGACCGAGGGGCGACTGGGTCGAGGGCGCCTTGATGCGATGATCTCTCCCTCCTGGAAAGCAAAAGGGCGCGACAACCGCAAAGGTCGATGCCAAGGCGTAGGCTGGCTTTGATGTGCGCGCCAGGTCACCGACGGCGTCTATGTAGGGCTGGAATTGAGAACTTGGGCCCTGGTTGTCGCTCATTTATTCGCTGGCGATGATGGGCAGCGGGCTCATGAAACTGAGAAGAATGTTTCAATCTATCAATGACTAGACTCACTTGTCACTTTTTGCCCGCGCCGAGCGATTAGAGAGAAGAAACACAAAAGTCCGTGCGAGAGACGCACGTGATGTCTCCCTGATCGGCCGAAGAGATTGGCCCATCCTCCCCAGTTGGACTGCATCCAACTTCCTCTGGTCGAGCTCTGCGTCGCCTTCCACCCTGACTTTGCTCGATTACGCCTCTTCACCGTCGGCAAGTATGAGCATGGATCCAGGTCCATCGTATCCGACCACCCGGCCCAAGCAGACGGTAGCCTACTTCTACGATGGCGACGTGGGCAACTACTCGTACGGGTACGGCCACCCGATGAAGCCGCATCGGATGCGCATGACGCACAACCTCGTCGTCAACTACGGCCTCGACCGGCACATGGACATCCTTCGGCCCAAGCGTGCGTCGAGGGAGCAGATGGCCGCCTTCCACACCGACGAGTATGTCGACTTCTTGAATCGCGTCAGTCCCGAGACTATGAACGATCTGACCGGCGATGGCACCCGGTGTGAGTGAAAAGGATGGACTGGGGGGAAACATGGAGAAGACGTTTGCCTGCTGACACTGAAGGATATAAAATTGGACGCTCAGACCTCATTGGAGAAGACTGCCCTGCGTTCGAAGGTCTCTGGGAGTTCTGCACGATCAGCGCAGGAGGCAGCCTGGCGGCGGCCGAGCGTATCAACTCGGGCCAGGCCGACGTGGCCATCAACTGGGCGGGCGGCCTGCACCATGCAAAGAAGAGAGAGGCCAGCGGCTTCTGCTACGTCAACGACATCGTCATGGGCATTCTCGAGCTGTTGAGGTGAGTGAGACGCATTCTCGTTTGTGTGCTGTGTCATGTATGCGGCGCATGCTCATTTTCCTCGACTCCCTCACAGAACACATCTCCGCGTGCTGTACATCGACATTGACATCCACCACGGAGACGGTGTCGAGGAGGCCTTCTACTCCACCGACCGCGTCCTCACTGTCTCCTTTCACAAGTTTGGCGATTTCTTCCCTGGCACGGGCGACGTGCGAGACATTGGCATGAAGAAGGGCAAGGGCTACGCGGTCAATGTCCCCCTCAAGGACGGTGTAGATGAAAAGGAGTTTGGCGGCATCTTTCGCCCGGTCCTCCAACACATCATGGACTGGTACAGGCCCGGAGCGGTGGTGCTTCAGTGTGGAGCTGACAGCCTGGCAGGCGACAAGCTCGGCTGCTTCAACCTGAGCATGAAGGGCCATGCCGACTGCGTCCGCTTCATGCAGTCCTTTGACGTGCCCCTCATCTGCCTCGGCGGCGGTGGCTACACGATTCGCAACGTGGCAAAGACGTGGACCTATGAGACGGGCCTGCTGGTCCACAAGGAGCTGGATGAGAACCTGCCGTTCAACGAGTACATTCAGTACTTTGGGCCAGAGTACAAGCTCGATGTGCCGCCGACGAGCATGGACAACCAGAACAGCCGCGAGTACATCGAGGGCCTCAAGGCGCGCATCATCGACAACCTGCGCAGCCTGCCCAGCGCACCGTCGGTGCAGATGCAGGAGGTGCCCCACCGGTCGCTCAACATGGCTTCGCTCGAGCTGTCCGACGACGAGGACTCGGACCTGGACGAGCGGATATCGCGCAAGCTGCGCGACGCGCACATTGAGCGCTACGGCGACGAGCTGAGCGGCGACGAAGACGACTGGGACCAGGATGGGAGCGAGATGGAGAGTGGCGCGGGCGACCTCTCGAGGCGAGGCTCTGCCACGACGGCCAAGCGGCTCCTCGGCGGCGCAGGCATGAGCAGGGGCCTGAGTGCGAGGAGCGCGGCCGCCTACTCCAATGGTGGCGGCCTTGGTCCGGGCATCGCCGGTGGGCGCCGGGGCAGCGCGCCCTGGAAAACCCAATTTGCAAACCACGACCTCGCGGCCAAGTTTGGGTCTGCCACTGGCGGCGCCAGTGCCATGCGCCCTCGCCTGGGGCCCTTTGACGACAATGCACACCAGAACGGCTTTGCAGGCGCAGGCAGGCACGCGCACAGCGACAAGCCGAAGCGGAGCTTCTTTGCCGCCCGAGCCGCTGGGCTGACGACGGCGGCGTCGAAGCGCGGGCCATTTGCAGCGTCTCAGGCGGCGCCCCTGTCGACGACGATGTACGACGACTTTGATGGGCCGACCGCCAATGGCCACGGCACGCCTGCTGCTCCAGCCACGGGTGCGCCCTCGGCTGCCAACTCCGAGGCGGCAGACAGCCCGGTGCCGTCGTCGGCGATGCGAGACTCGCCCATGGTCTCGTAGTAGTAGCCAGCCACAGTTCAGTCAAAGTTCTGTCTGTCAGCCCTCCGAGGCAAAAGATCATGTCACTTAGATGCTTGTAATTGTACTTGTATTGGGTCCTTTCTCTATCATTCACCGTCGATGCTGGTGCTGCTGTTTGAGCGATGGCGGTGCCTTTTCTCTCAGCTTCTTTGAAAGAAAATTCCACCCCCCACCCCCCAGCGCCATTTCTCACCTCTTTTTGTATCTCAGCCTCGTGTCCGCGCTCTTCGCCGACGAAGCGGAAGAAGCCATCGGCAAGGACCATGTCCGTGCGACGTAGCCCAGCAGCGCCCAGAGCGTCGGCACCCAATGGAGCGCCATGAGCGCCAGCGCCTGGCCCGTCGTGTATTGCCGCCTGTGCGCCGCGTCGGCCGCATCTGACTTCACGACTGCGCTGCCGTGTCCGTCGTCGTCGTCGTCGTCGTTGTCGTCGCTGTATGCGTCCCAGTCTTTTCGTCCGCCCGGCCAGTGCGACGAGGCGCGGAGCGACTGGTGCGTCTGCACGCTCGCGGGTCGGAGGTAGGCGAGCAGGACGGCGTGTGCGACGAGGGGCAGGAGAAACTGCGCGGCGCGAATCGCGCGCCAGACCGATGCCGCGGGCGCCTGCGCCTGCGCATGTCGGGGCCGATGAGGGTGCAGATGGAGGAGGTGGAGCGCATTGCTGAGGAGCATCAGCGCAGCGTACGCCCACGGGAGTCCATCCAGGGCCGCAAGGAGAAGCTGGAGGACGGCGACGACCAAGGTGAGGCGGCGCGAGACGACGAGCGCGGCCGAGGGACGCTCCTCGATCCAGTTGCAGAGCCCAAGGAGGCCCGCGGCGATGCAGAGCAGCAGCGCCAACACGGCAAGGAGCCCGACGAGGTAGGTGAGCGGCTCGAGAAGCATCGCTTCTCGCCTCGCCTTGTCTCGTTGCTGTCGTTGCCCTCGCGGCAACGATCTTCTCAATTCAAAGCCCCCAAAAAATAAGACTGAGAATAGAGAAACAAAAGTGCAGATGCAGTGAGACGGAGAGAGACGCGCGCGCACAGACAGTCGGTGTCAAGAAATAGATGAGAATGGGTATTGCTATGCAGCCAAAGAGGGATCCAGCATTGCTAGTACACGCTCAGACACACAGAGTAGGAGCCGCGTCCCTGCTACTTCAGTCACCGACGACGGCTGCTCTCTGTCGTCGTCGTCGTCGTCGTCGTGTAGGTCGATGAGATCGGCCTCATGCGCTTCGCTCGTGCGACGAGGGGCCGGCGAGAGAAAGGGATCCAGGGCTCGTTTGATCGACTTTCTCCGCGCATCTTCAGTCAGACCGAGCAGAATCTGGGGGCTGGGTGGGTAGACTGTAGCGAGTGTGGTCAGCAACGCCAGCGACACAAATTGGCAGGGCATGCGTCGGTGCTGCTCACCCGAGATGCGGTGCGACAATAGTCGGACCAGCTCGTCGTACTCTCTGTGCTGCACCAGGAGGGGCGGTTCCACAGCCGAAGGGGGAGGAGGCTGGTTCTGAGACTCGACGAGGGCTTCGCGAGCCAGTCGAATCCACCCCGCCACCTTATTTGGTGTCAAGAACTCAACAGCTTGCTCTTCAATCCGTCTTTGGCCAGACCAGACTCGACCAGTCAGCAAAGTTGAGAAGGAAGAAAGCAGAAAGACTCACCTAGCAATGGACTGGTCAAGGTGCCACAAGGCAGAAAGCTGGCAGATCCAGACGAAAAACGAGCCGAGAGCCCTTTTCGGCAGCTCGAGAGCTTCCACGGCCAAGTGCACCGTTGGGAGGATCGACACGACGCTGCTTTTGCTGCTGGTACTCCTGCCGCTGTTGCTTCCATTGGCAGCTGCTCGCTTCTGACGCAGTCTGGACCCTCGAGCTGGAGCCTCGCTGCTCCGGCGCAGCTCGGCATTGGGTGTGAAGAGGTCGAGATAGGACCTGACGACAAGAGGCATCAACATCGACGCAAGCGCATACAATCCGTGCAGCAGGCTCGTCGCAATCGAGCCAACATCGACGGTGTGCTCCTGTGACGCTGGTGACACTGGTGACGCTGGTGACGCTGGTGACAGAGAAGCCTGTGATGACAACGAAGACGAGATAGAGAGGTCTCTGCCCATGAGTTGGCCGATGGCGCGGACGAGCACCCATGTCCCGCGACCTCTGATCCGAAGCTGATTGGTTATCGAGCCCTTGATGACGTCCCTCAGGATGGCAACTTGAGCTTCGGAGCTACTCTGCTCTAACGGAAGCAACGCCTCGAGAAGGGACTGCAAGAGCGAGTCAATGTAAGCCTCTGAGACGTGCAAGCGACCATGTCGAGAGACGGACAGGGCCGGGTGCGGATTTGACGCAAGGTAGACTTGGGATGCCGTCGGGCCGCCCGCTAGTGACCCGAATGACGGGTAGACATCGGACGCCCTTCGATATTCGCGGTAGTGCTGTATGAGCAGCGCCGGCAGCTCCTCGGACACGAAAAGAGAGAGGACGCTGCTGCTCGTGCCGGACGACGTGGACGCAGCTCTAAATGCGACCTGGAGCGCCGAGCGGAGCGCAATCACGGTTTCGACAATGAAGTCACGGTCCTGGGTAATGCGAGCATACCACGGCAAGATGGCCTGCCGCACCACCTGAGCCAAGAGCAGCTGGCTTTCGAGATCGGCCTGCGCCCATCGTTCTGCCTGCCCCTCGTCGGAAAAGGGCAGGAGGGGCGTCACCCTTCCCTTTCCCTCCTCGTGCTTGTCTGCCTGCGATGGGTAGAAGAGACGACGGAGCTGCGCCACGGACGGCGGCTCCTCTTGCCCTTGCATCATGCCATCCTTCTTGGCTGCCTTGCCTTGACCAGTCTGGGCACTCGAAAAAAAATCAAGGGATACCGGTAGTTGAAACAGACGTATTGCGAGCACGTGTCAAGGTAAAAGGCGGACCCGACGTCCGTAAATGTCGGTCCCCGGAGGGAGAAGGAGCTAAAATAAGTCCTATCTGGCCTAGAAGCAAGAGTTGCGTGTTCTTGAAGACATTACAGAAACGCTATCAAAAAAATTCTCTCCATCGCCGACCGGGCAATTGATATGTATGCACATCTGCATGTCCAGCGTGATCGTTGGGACACGGTTCTCCTGCTCAGAATAGTGGAAGAATCGCTGTTTCATTTTATCCTCGGTCACAAACCTGATGGTCCCCCATGGGCATCGGCGATGTGTCTCCGGAAGTAGTCAAGCAGTGCAAAGCTCCGGTCATCGTGGTAGTAATGTAGTGTAGCTGTGCATGCACTGACTAAAACTGCCACTACTACTACAACTACTGTTTATCTTGTTAGCGTGGCTCAAGCTGCCTGCTGCTGCGCTTCTCTTTAAATTCGTTGCCGAAGAGCCTACGAAAGTGCGCTACGGTACCTTACGATTTGCTCGTTTTTGAGTTTGCTGCATTCAAATCGATAGGCATTTGCTCGCTCCTCGCTACTTTGGTGGAGTCCCGGAAGATGAAAGGGCCGAGATCACTTCCCGTCGCTGCAGGCTTAAAGTAGTGGCAATTTCATTCTCAAGCAGCTCGTCTCTGGGGTCGAAAGCAGGGAGACGAGAGGCGCAGAATATAATCCATGAAGCTCCTGCGCAATTTTTGCCAAGGGTCGGTCTCCTGTTGGCTCGCCAAAAATTTAGTAAGCGTGTAGTAGTAGCACGTAGGTGCCGGGAGCTTGGGACGAACGATGCCCCAACTTTCCTTCTTCCCATTGACGATTCAACAAGGGTGCTCTCGGCTTGTCTCAGATTAGCGGGGGAGGAATGCGTCCTTGATCTGCACGCTCTGGTTTCGGAAGAGCCACTTAGCAGACGAAAAGCATAAAAAGAAGAGAGAAAAAAAATAGAGTAGGGCACAAGGGACGGTGACGCGACACCGTACGGCGATCAGAGAGAGGGCCCGGTGCGCGTGTCTTCGAGGCACGGATCGTCGCATTGTCTCCTGTCGCTCTCTAGCGGAAGACGAGCTGGCCTGCGTCTGATTTGTCGACAAAAGGTTCGCACGTCGGAGCCGTCGCCGCCCGGCCTCGCACGGGACTCCATCTTGCAGCGATAAATTTCGGTTTCGCTGTCACGGCCTCATCGTTCTTCGCCCCTCTCGCACTCTTTTTCTGTCCTTCGGTAACTTTCGTTTGGGCAGATCCCTGTCGTCCCTTTTTCTGCTTTGCACAGCTCTACAGCATTGTCGTCATCGTCGCTTCCGTCGTTCACTTTTCTTCTTGATCCTATCCGCTCCGTCGCATCAAATTTCCTCTCTCTCTCTCTCTTTCTCTCGCACTCGCAATTCCTCCGTCTATCGCAAAGCATCGCCTTCATATCTATTATATCACCGCATTGCATCTCGCTCGGCCAGCGTCTCGACTTGTACAGCTTGAACATCCGAATCAACCCCGAAGGAGGAGATCGAAATCTTCTAAAAGAAAAAGAAAACCCAGCAGCGCGGCGGAGACAGCGACGGCAAGAGCATCAGGAGCGACACGAGATTGGTCGCGGATTTGAACACGTTGTGCAGGCCACATTACACGCCGCCCCGAAGACCAACGACGGGCCGCTTCATCACGAAGCGGTGATCTGGGCAAGGGGGGAGAGGACAAGGACACACGTAGCAAAACTCAGGGCGAGGGACGACTGCCCAGCAATCGGCCAAGCGAGTCTCCAGGCACCCCTCACACCCTATTAGACCTCCTCTATATCCTTCCTTTCCTCTCTCCTTTCGCCACCCTTCTTTCCTTTTGCCCCTTCTTTACTTTGCTTGTCGCCACTATCCCCCTTGTCTCCATCCTACCTTTGTCGCCCTCGCTCATCTCTTTGCTTCCTTCGCTTGTCTCCTCTTGTCATTCGCTCTTCCTCCGTTGCACCTCCTCCGTTGCACCTCCGCCCGTTCGTCCACCAGTCCACTCGTCCGTCCTCTCCTCGTCCCTTTCGCACGTCTGTCCGCGCAGGAAACAAGTCGAAGCAGCATTCAGCAATCCCGTTTGTCGAGCATGCAGCCTCAACACTCTGAGCAAGAGCAAACCCACCAATCACCATCAAACACCATCTCGAACGACCGACCGTTTGCGAGAGACGAAAGTGGGCAACGACAACAACAACAACAGGAACAGGCGCAGCCACAGATTGTTCCGAAGCGAGACAAGCAAGAAGACATGCTAGCTTCCTGGACGGACAGCGCAGCCGAGCATCGCACCCTCACGTCGGGGTTCTCGGTAAGCACGGCACACCTCTCAATCTCCTGAACACTCTGTGACACACTACTGACGATCACCCATCATGCACAGCATGGGCCTCTGGATATGCCTTCGCCTCTTGTCTCGCCGTCTTCGGCGCTTGGACGAACCCCGACGTCAGAGACGGCCTCGACACTCTACGAGAGCAGCATCTCAGGCCATGTACACCTCACTTCGCCCACCTCGCCCCGTCATGTAAGCGACCTCAAGCAGATTCCCATCTTTCAACCCACCGCACAGGGTGGGTGGACCCATCGCGACCTTGCACCTCAGTCCGATGAGGCACGGTATAGAAACCTGCCACCCAGGACTCCGACAGCGGATCCAGGCCCTTCACCGACGCCTTTTGACTTTGCGCACATCAAGGCGTGGCACGACTCGGCCCCTCGACGGAGCGACGAGCTTCCTTCGCTCTTTGCGGGTTTCGACGAGCAGGCGGCAGCGGCACAAGCAGCAGCAGCAGCAGCACCGTGGGGTCTTCCTAAGATGGCATCTGACGCGCAGCCCGACGAGAGGTCAACGCCGTTGACGACTGCGTATCACGAGGCCGACGCCCGCGCAGCATTTGAGTGGCAACAGATCCTCAGCCAGCATCAGCAGCAGCATCAACAGCAGCAGCAGCATCAGCATCAGCATCAGCAATTGCAACAGCAGCAACAGTCACAGCAACAGCAACAGCAGCAGCAACAACAGCAAGCTCAGCTGAAGCTGCTTGCCGATGCGCCATCCACAACACCGCCGCAGGAGTTCAGCATCTTTGTGGGCGACCTGAGCCCAGATCTGCGCGAAGAGGACCTCGTCAACCAGTTTCTCCAGCCACCGCCTTGGCCTCCTTCGCATCCGTATGCCATCGCGCACGGCCATGCGCAGCAGAGACAGGGCAACTACACCACGTCATCTAGGGTCGGTCCTGCACCCTTCCTCTCTACCAAGACGGCAAAGGTGAGTGCATTGCTAGCTTGCTTCCCTTGTGTCTGCTTGGTGCTAAAGAACTTGCCATCCGCCTTTCTGCAGATCATGACCGACCAGGTAACGGGTGCCTCTCGTGGTTTTGGCTTTGTGCGCTTCAACCAGGAACAGGACTGCACGAGAGCTCTTGTCGAGATGCAAGGGGTCGTCATCTCGCCCAGCACCGGTGGCCCAGGACGGCCGCTTCGCGTGTGTACCGCAACGCCAAAGAATCGCAACAATGCTGGTGCGGCCCCCATGACGCAGCAGGCCCTCACCGAGAGCATCATGAAGCACACTCAGGCCCAGGCGCGCGCTCAGGCCGAGGCTATGGTCAGTCCCAGCCGCTCGTCGCACGCCGCGGGTGCATTCGGCCTGCCCTCTCCCCTGTCCTCTGTCTCACCGTCGCAGCCGCCTCCCCGCCTGGCCTCGCCCAGCTTCTCGCCGTCGAGCAGCTCCTATCCTCGATCAACGCCTACGCAGAGCACATTCACCGCTCTTTCCGCCTCGGCATCGAACACACTGCCGACATCGGCCAGCGCCCTCGACCCAAACAATACGACGGTGTTTGTCGGCGGTCTGTCCTCGCTCATTTCCGAAGACACGCTCAAGTCCTTCTTCCAGCCGTTTGGCGAGATCACCTACGTCAAGATCCCACCTGGAAAGGGCTGTGGCTTTGTCCAATTCGTCCGCAAGGTGGATGCTGAACGGGCGATTGAGCGAATGCAAGGCTTTCCGGCCGGAGGCGGTCGAATCCGCCTAAGCTGGGGCAGGAGCCAAGGGGACAAAGCAGCTGCTGCGGCTGCTCAGGCCGCTGCCAGCGCCTCGCATCTCCGTGCCGCCGCTTCGCTCGTGGGGCTTGAGAGCCTGACCCAAGAGCAGCTCACGGCGCTGGGCAACCTCGGCAGCGTCCTGACGGCGAGTGCAACTGGCCATTCCCCTCTTGATCTCAGCTCAGCACTCTTCAACAAAGCCGTGCTCAACGATGGTCTTTCTCTTGGTGGCCATTTGCAGCAACAGCAGCAACAGCAACAGCAGCAGCAGCAGCAGCAGCAGCAGCAGCAGCAGCAGCAGCAGAAGGACTCGTCGTCTTACAGTCAAATCGAATCGGGTCACTCGAGGAGCTACATGCAGAATAGCAGCGATTTTCGAGACAGTCCTACCCTCAATTATGTCCATCAGCGTCTCGCCGACCCTGCGAGGAACATGGCTACCTCGCATTCCATGCCTTCCATTGACATCCATCGGAACGATGCGACGGGCATGGAAACGCTCCTTGCGAGCCTCAATCTCGGCTCCGACAAGCTCTCTAGCAGTGGCAATCTGGAACGGGAAAGGGGCTGGTCTGCGCCCCTCGTCTCTCCTCGGCCTGCTTCCTTGTCGACGTCGACGGTCCCGACCTTTGCTCCTCGTCCTTCCCACTCTTCTTTTCTCAACTCGTCTGCTTTTACGCCATTTTCACCCACGGCATCGCCTGCTCCCTCGAGTTCGGGTCTCGCCAGCAGCGCCGTTGATGGGCCTAGCGACGCCTCGAGCTCTTACCAGCGCCAACAGTTCCAGCGATTTCTCGATCGGCAGAAAGACGAGCAGCAGCAGCAGCAGCAGCAAGAGCGGCGAGACTGGCCCTCGGCCTCGTTCATTCCGTCCATTTCGCCAGACAAGGAAGAGAGCCCGAGCAACAGAACGGGAGATGGACAAAATGCAGGATCTAGCAGCACGGGGGCAAAGACACCCCCGTCATCCTCTTCTTTGTCTTTCCACAGGCACTCTCCTCCATCAAATACGCCCTAAAGAGCGGCCGACAACCCGGAGCGGTTTCATGACAGTGCCGCGACACTCCAATGCCGCGGAACGGTCACAACAAAGCAAAGAAAACGAAACTAGAGAGAATTCTTCTTCCGACACAGTCAACCTCATCCCTTCCGACGATGTTTTCGGTCACGGCATGGCATGCATCCCGACGTCCAGATCCCTTCTTTCGCATCGTACATCTTTTCCTCGTCGTCATCATCAAAATTGTGTTGCTGTGTTCCCCCCATCGGGTCAATGTCACCAGTCCGCGCTTCGCTTACTTTTCCTCCGCCCTTTACAAAGCATTCGCTTACACGCTTCCAGTGTAGGAAAAGCGAAGGGGAAAAGGTCGAAAACGATACATCGTATTCGCTTCTTTCCCAGCGGCCGATTCCAGCTGCTTTGCCACAAGGGGAAAAGGGAAAAGATATCCGAAGCCAACCACCAGAAGAAGGGACGACTAGCCACCCACGGCCGAGCTTCTCTGGCCCTGTGCTGCTGCTCCTCCCTTCTCACTCTACTTTCCTCGCCTCTCTTTCATATCTCTCGCTTTCATCTCAGTCCGATGCTATGAATGTCTTGGTGTACCAACTTTCTGTTTGTAATTTTCATGAGTTTCTTCCGATCGCTCCAACGAGCCCTCACCAGAGAAGAATGCGTGAAGGGGCTTTTGACGTGAACCTGCTTTACTTTCTCTAAAAGCCGCATGTACCACTGCCCCTTCTTTCATTTACCATCCTTGCGGTGCAGAGAAGGCACGGCGACTCAATCCGACTTCGGCTGTCTCGCCAAGATCGTGGCAATCCAGAGTGCTTTGCTGGGGGGATGAAGGCAAGGTTAGCCGCGCTACAGCATGAAATTTACTCTAGTCCAAATCGTTGATCCCACGCGATCTGACTCAAGTCGATGTCCGCGGAGGTGAAGTGAGTCAAGGTCTTTTTGAGATTTTGCTGCTCCACTACGACCGCGCCAAAGTGCAGACAGAGAAGGGGCGAGGAACACACAGAGAGAGAGGGAGAGGGTGAGAGATGGAGGAAATGGAGCGGTAGATCACCCACTCCTTCTTCGCAACGACAACGACGATGTGCGAACAGGTCAGGCAGGCGATGCTCTCGAGTCTGAGCGGCATGACGCTGGCCACGCTCAAGGCGCTCAAAGCGCTGCCGAAGCTCGAAAAGGCCCTCGATGATTTCCTTGCGTCGAGTCGAGACGAAAGTGAGCAAAAGAAACTCGAGAAAAAGGTCAAACCGCTGCTGCTCGATGCAGGTGCTGGAAGAGCGGCGACGGCAGAGATCCTGGCCAAGTGGAAGAATTGGAAAGAGAAGCAGGTTACCGAGGACAAGCCAGCGGAAGAAAAGCGCGAGCAAGCATCGGGATTGGCGTCGACAGCTCTTCCTGCAGCCTCAGAGGCTCCCATTGAAGGCACACATGCCAAGAAACAGCCAACAAAGAAGCGCGAGAGAGCAATGGCGAAGGCCACACCCGATAATATGGTGGACAAAGACCAGGGCGACTTGCTGGCATCGCACCTGGACAAAGGGCTGGCCATCAAGGCGACGAGCCAGGAATCTCGCTTTCACACCGAGGCCATCGATACCGAGACAAAGGAGATTGATCTCAAAGATGTCACGGTGGCCATAGAGGAGCGCATGCTCCTCGACGACGCCCATCTGCGCATCAAGGAAGGTGTGCACTACGGTCTCGTCGGTCGGAACGGGATAGGCAAGAGCACGCTGCTCAAAGCCATGGCAGACCGAATCATCCCGGGACTTCCCAACAATGTCAAAATACTCTTGGTCTCGCAGCTCGAGACGGAGCAGCTCGTCCTCTCTGGCTCCTCTGACCAGGCTTCTGTCCTCGAGGCCGTTTTAAGCGGGGATAGGGACCGAGCAAACACAGAGAGAGAGGCCGAGCAGCTTGGACGGGCGCTCGACTCGCAGGACGAAGGGCAGATCCAGCAGGCCACGAGCAAGATCCTTTTTCAAAGAGCCTGGGAGCACCTCGAGGAAGCACGCAAGATTTCTAGCAAGCGAAGTGGCACACGGGGTGCCCAGGCAAGAAAGGATCTTCTGGCGGCAGAGGATCGCTATGAATGCGCCAAGAAGGAGTGAGCTTCTTTTCAGGTCGTGACTAGATTGGTATCTTACTCAACTACTCCTCCCTCCCGCAGAGTCAGCACGCCCTCGAAAGACAGAGACTGGCAGCAGGAGGCGGTCTCGCTGCATGCAAAAGCGCTCTCCTATCTCGATGAAGTCGACGCCTCGACAGCCCCGGTCCGCGCCCGACAGATCCTCACTGGCCTCGGTTTCAGCGAAGAGCGCATCATGGGCCCATACACTGCTCTTTCGGGCGGCTGGCGTTCTCGTCTCGCACTCGCTTCGGCACTCCTGCAGCCGACCCACGTCCTGCTTCTCGACGAGCCCGTCAACTTCCTGGACCTGCCCAGTATTCTCTGGCTCCAGGGTTGGATCCATGAATGCGCACATTCCGTCGTCGTCGTGGCTCACGATGTAGAGGTGAGATTCTCCTCGCATTCCTCCCTTTGGCGTTGCGATCGATCGAAATGCTCATCACTTGCAACTGCAGTTTCTCAACTCGGTAGCTCAAGAGCTCATCATTCTGCGCAAGTCGAAACTGACCTACTTTGACGGTAACTTGGCCGAGTTTGAAGCGACGCAACGCGCCAACCTCAAAGATGCGCTGCGGAAGCAGGAAGCCCTCGACAAGAAGCGTGACCAGATGCAAAAGTCGATTGCCGACAATGCCAAGCAGGCCAGAAAGACGGGCGACGACAACAAGCTCAAGATGATCAAGTCCAGGCAGAGGAAGCTCGACGATCGATGGGGTATCGAGACCAATGCAAAGGGACATCGGTTCAAGGTCAGTATCTTTAATCCTACTCTTTCCTTCCCATCTACTGTCAAGGAGGTGCTTTTCGGGGTCGCACACTGACGGAGCAATCTTCGATTTCAGCTCAATCGCGACTTTGGAGGCTATCATCTGACCAGTCGAGGCGAGGTGGACATCGACGTGCCCGATGCGCCCGTCCGCTTCGCCTTTCCTGATCCGCCACCAATGCGCCACGCCGGCTCACTTCTTGACTTTGACGATGTCACCTTTGCCTACCCAGGAAAGCGACCGGTGCTCTCCAACGTCAAGCTCACTATCGATCGCGGAGAGAGGGTCGCGCTCGTAGGTCCAAATGGACATGGAAAGACGACACTCGTGCAGCTCGCCATGGGCAGCCGTCTCCCCACTCGGGGAAGCGTGACGCGGCACACCAGACTAAGGATGGCTATCTACGCCCAGGACACGGCCACACAGCTCACGAGCTGCGACGTACCAGCACTTCAACATTTCATGCAAGAGAAGCAGCTTTCTACCGACGAAGCTGCCACTGCCCGCGGCTTTCTGGCGCAAATGGGCCTCCGAGGGCCACAGGCTGTTGATGCTCTGCCCGTTCGAATGCTCAGCGGTGGTCAAAAGGTCCGCCTGGGCCTGGCTATGATCATGTGGGATGCACCTGACCTCGTCATATTGGACGAGGTCACGACCCATCTCGACAGCGACACGATCGAGGCCCTGGTAGAGGCACTCTCGACCTATGAGGGAGCCGTCATTCTCATTTCACACGATCGGCACGCTGTGAAGAGAATCGTGGAGAGGAAGGGAAGGCGAGCAGAGGGTCAAGAAGAGGACGAGGATGGAGAGCGATCGGATGAGGAGGAGAGCCAACCAGGCGCACCAGGCCGCACTTATCTGGTCCAGCACGGAAAACTCAGATTGCTCGAGGCCGGCGTGCAAGACTATGTCCAGATGGTTGAAAGACAGCTGTAATTCCTGCAATGCATCCTTGCTTCCCACCGCCAACTTCCCCAGTCCTGCCATCTAAAGACTCTTTCCCATGCTGTTGACAACGTTTGAAATCAGCATGCCAGCAATGAGAAGGAAGCAACGAGGCAAACAAAATGACTCACAACTTTCTCTTCGTAAAGGCCAGCCACCACTTGCTGGGCTTTCCATCGATGTAGATCTTTTCGATGAGACGCAGCGCTGTCTCCTGCCTGGCCTGCGTCAAGTACGCCCGTAGTTGTTCTGTTCCGACGACGCTCTCTCCATCAGCCAATCGAGCTATGTGCGGATACGTTGATACACTCACCAGCCTCTGTCCGATTCGCAGGGACCTGGTACAGGTTGTTGAGGGGGAAAGCCGCGTCCCCAGGCAAGGAGAAGGAGTCGACGGCGAGGGTGCTGAGCTGCTTGATTGCCTCGTTCTGGCTCATCGGCACACGGGCGCCCGCAATGACACCAAGGCATTGTGAGATGAAGAGAATGAGGTAGATGAGGAGCCGGTCGGCACCGCCCTTGATCTCAAAGTTGCGAAAGAGGGAGTTGGCGCGGAAGAGGTCGAGCGACTCGTCGATGATGTCCATCGCCTCTGTGTCGATTGGCGGAGGCGCCGGTCCGCGGACCTTGGAATGGAAGGGGAGCAGCGTCACATTGGCAATGGATGCCACCTGGTCTGGCGAGACGTCGTTGTACGCAGAGTGGTAGGCCGGCATCGTTTCCCTCTTCTTCTCCGCCTTTCTTCTCGGTGAGGTCGTGTGCTGGGTCACCGAGTGGAGATGGGTTGCGCTGGTCGTCGCCAGGGCCTTTCAGGGCCACGTGCAGCGCGGCCAGTCACACAAAATATGTCCGTGCATATGGGCGGATCCAACGTAAAGTCTCTGGTTTTGGTCAGCCAGCCCCCCCTCTCTTCCAGTAAGGGGATCGACTCGAGCAGAGAGCATGAGGGCAGCAGCATGAGCGATAGTGGACAGCAGGAGGCTGCCAGCACCCCGCCCGAAGCGAGCGTGGCGCTCCAGGGTGGAAGCTTGTTCGATGGCGCAAGGCACCAAGAAGAAGCATCTTTGGGCGCGTCACCGACGGATGCCCTAGGGGCCGATGAACCGACTTCTTTGGCAGAGGCGATCGATGAACACGATCAAGGCGAGGAAGATGCGAAGAGCGGAGTGACGAGTAAGGAAATGACCGAGGGTCAGCGAGAGATAGAGATCATTGGCAAAGGCGACGGTCAAGAAGCTGAGACCTCGCTCCGAGCATCGTCGCCCGAGGATGTCATGCATTTGGCAGCCAGCTTGAAGGAACGGCAGGGACTCGGGACGCTGAGGATCCGAAAAAAGGACGACACGGGTTTCAGGAGGGCGGAGAGCGTCGCAGAAGAAGGCGAGGAGGAGAAAGACGAAGAAGGAGAAGAGAACACGCTACCAAGTAAGGGCCAGGAATCAAAAGCGAGCAAGCGAATGACTGTCGTTCTGGGTGGGGAAATGCCCGAGGACCAGGAGGAGAGTGAAGATGGATCAGACGCTACAGATGAGGGCGTTGAACAAGAAGAGCCATATCTCGGTGAAGGAGGCGAGCAAGAAGCAGAAGCAGAAACAATACCAGTGGATGCCTTTTCGGAAACGGACGCGGTGGACGACGATGTGGTGACAGAGACAGCCCCTGGAGAAGCAAAAGCGGCACCGGCGAGCGAGGAATCAAAGGACATGCTCGCTAGCATCGCGTCGCTGAGAGCCAGCAAAAAGACCGAGGACCTGGGAAAGGGGATCAGCCAGGGGCGACAGGATTCCGAAGAAGAGGACGAAGACGAAGACGAGGAAGAGGAGGAAGAGCCAACACTCAAATACTCGAGACTAACGGGAAGCGTGCCGGACATTCTTAAGAAGGACTCAGCCAGTGCTCTAGCTGTATCGGACAGATTTCTGGTGAGTGCAGCTGTGTAGAATCCGCCGAGCAATGACTGATTTGATGAGACGCACAGGCACTTGGTACCCATGCTGGCTCCATCTACATCCTCGACGAGCAAGGAAACCTCATCAAGGGCTTTCGTTCGCACTCTGCTAGCGTACTTGACATCGCTATCGATTCAACCGCAGAATTCGTCGGCAGTGCTGGCATGGATGGTAAGGAGAGGCCAGGCTTGCTTCCCTGTAGACAAATCAAGCTGACAGATGGTGTTTAAGGCCTCGTGTCGATCTCGGCCCTCTCTTCGTCAGAGAGCTACGTCTTCGATATGAAGCGGCCTACGAGGACGATAGCGTTGGAGCCCGGATTTGGACGACGATCGAGTCGTGCTTTTGTGTGCGGTGGCATGGCGGGCCAACTCATTATGCGCGAGAAGAGCTGGTTTGGCCATCGAGAGTCGGTGCTTCACGAGGGCGAAGGCCCAGTCTGGATCGTTCGATGGCAAGGCAGGCTCGTTGCGTGGGCCAATGAGAGAGGCGTTCGCATTTATGACACGGCAAACAAGCAGAGAATCACTTTTATCGCTCCACCCTCGGACAAGCCAAGGGCGGATCTCTTTCGCTGTAGCCTGCTTTGGCAAGATGACAATACCCTGCTGGTCGCCTGGGCGGACCACATCAAAAATGCCAAAGTCAAGGAACGGACCAAGAAGTCGAGTGCGATCACAGCGCCAACGGCGAGCCCTCAACTCTTCGTCGAAATCACGACAATTCTGCAGCTCGATTGCATGATCAGTGGCATCGCCCCCAGAGGTATCGACTTCTTGGTTCTAGCTTACATCACGGAAGATCACTACGACGAGAACGGTGATAACTCTGTCGAGGATCGGACTGCCCAGAGGAGAAGAGAAGGCCTCCGTCCAGAAATGCGGCTCATCAGTCACGATGGCGAAGAGTTGAGCAGCGACGTTCTCGGCATGCAGAGTTTCGCGCGATTTCAATGCAACGACTACCTTCTCGTGCCCTCTGCAGACGCCACCGCTGCTGCTGCAGCCCAGCTCTCGAACGCTAACTCCTCGAAAAGACAACAGACCTCAGAAGACGACAAACACAACTACTTTTACGTCGTCAGCCCAAAGGATATCGTCATTGCACGGCCCAGAGACCAGAAAGATCACGTCGAATGGCTTCTCCAGCACAAATACTACGAAGAGGCGCTCATCTGCGTGGAAGCGATGCCGAAAGATGAGGCTAAGAAAGCGCATTTCGATGCTTCGGAGATCGGCCGCAAATACCTGGCTTACCTGATAGAGGAGGCCAGAGACTTCGAAAAAGCCGCCAGGGTAGCGACGAATATTCTTGGCCAGAATGTCCAGGCGTGGGAAGACTGGATCTTTCTCTTCGTCGAACGTAATCAGCTCGACGTCATCATTCCATATGTGCCCACTGATGCGCCTCGACTCACCGGAGTGGTCTATGACATGGTGTTAGCCCACTTCCTTCGGACTGATCCGGTCATGCTTCTCGAGACGATCAAGAAGTGGCCCGTCGACATCTACAGCACAAAAGCCGTGGTCTTGGCAATCGAAGATCGGCTCAAGAGGGCTTCGGAACCGTCAAGATCCGTGGCTGCGACTCCATCGACGACTACGGTTTTGATGGAGTGCCTTGCCGAGCTCTTCATCGCTAATCGCCAGCCTGGCAAGGCCCTGACATACTTTTTGCGTTTGCGGAGGCCAGGCGTCTTCGACTTTATTCGAGAACACAATCTCTTTACGGTCGTGCAGGACCAAGCGCTGCTCCTCGTCGAATTTGAGGAGGATGTCAATGTCAAGCAAGGCCAGAGAAAGTCGGAGAGCAAACACGGGGCAGCGATCGAGCTTCTAGTCGACCACACCCATTCCATTCCGGTGAGTTGCCCATCATTCTTGCCATAGAAATGAAAGAGAGCATGTAAGCTGAACGTATTAACAGATCCACCGTGTCGTATCGCAACTCGAAGCCAAGCCGCGCTACCTTTACATGTACCTTGACGCGCTCTTCGACCGCGACTCGCAATTGGTGGCCGACTACGCCGACACGCAGGTCTCGCTATACGCCGAGTACGAGTACAGCAAGCTGATGTCCTACCTCCGTGCCATGTCGAGCTACTATTCCTTTGAAAAGGCACGCAAAGTGTGCGAAGCCCACGACTACATTCCGGAGCAGGTCTTTCTGCTTGGCCGGATTGGCGACAACAAGACGGCACTCAACCTCATTATCCAGAGACTGGAAGATGTCGAAATGGCGATCGAATTTGCAAAGGAACAGAATGACGAAGAGCTCTGGGACGATCTGCTCACGTACGCCGAGTCGAGACCCAAGTTCATCCGGGCCCTGCTTGAGAACGTCGGGGCCGATCTCCGTGTCGTGGATCCGGTCAGGCTGATTAGGCGAATCAAAGACGGTCTCGAGATCCCGGGCCTCAAGTCTGCGCTTGGCAAGATCCTATACGACTTCCTTCTTCAGGTGAGCATCCATTTACGATTCTCCATTGTCGACGTCCCGCATGTGTGCTAATCTAGTCTGGCGGAACAGATCTCTTTGCTAGAAGGCTGCCTGGCTATCATTGCCCATGATGGACAGACTTTCTCGCAGCTTCTCCAGCAGGGCCAGACTGTGGGCCATTATCTCGACCCGACCTCTTCAACCTGCGTTGTTTGCTCACTTCGCCTGTTCGACAACGTCGAGCCTGCCCAAAGGTCATCGTCGGATCTTGACGAAAAGAAAGGAGACGAGCTGGAGAAGCTGGCCATCATGTTTCTCTGTCGGCATTCTGCACACTTGGGCTGTCTCATCAGCGCCGCACAGATTCCAAAGAAGACAGTCCTGACTTCATCGACCAAGGCAAAGACGAGGGATGGAACCCCAATCTTTGACGTCAAGACGACGACAACGTTGGCCTACCAACGCCGAATGGGCGCTGGAGCTTTTGACCATGGCGAAGAGGCAGCAGACGAAGCACACGCGCCCGAGTGGCACCGAACCAAGCGACAAGAGGTGGAGTTCTTGCAAAAGATTGCCTATGAGAATCGCCTCAAGGTTGGCATGGCCAAGACGAAGGGCTGTCCGGTCTGCTTTTCGACGAAGGAGAGGAGGCAGCTCTGATTTCGTTGCGCCACATATGCACACCCTTTCCTTCCTGAAATCTCATCACACTGTACTGTACCTGCATGCACGAACTCAACCTCAACGGACATTGTGCACCATGAAAAAACATTTGCGCATGGTCAAATCGATCCTGCGTGACATATCCGTAAAAGACTATTGAAACATTGGAAGCAAGAGCCCAGCAAAAGGAGTGGTGTTAGGAGAAGGAAAGGGTAGTGTTGTGAAATCCTAGGCGACGTTGCGAATGCAAAAGAAAGCACTCCTCTCCGCCTCGCGAGCGTCTTTCCTGTTGCTGACATTACGCAACGGCACCGTTGCGGCCCTAGCACCGCCGGGAAGGGAAGCTTGGACCGCGTCTACTTCCACCAACCTCCGTTGGCGGCCGAGCGCGACGGCTCGCTTGCCGGTGGAGGCGTCGTTCCAAACGTCTCAAAGAGCGATGCCTTTGCCCGAGAGTCCTCGGCCTGGCCCTTTGCAAAGAATTGGCTCGCGCGAGCGGCAGCGATGGAGCTGTCAAAGACAAACTCGCCGATGCCCATGTACTTTTCCGCAACAGACTTGGCCGTGCTGCCCTCTGTCATGCCCATGCGTTCAACGTCGAGCCTACAATCCAAGGAGGAGACAAGGTGGCTGTCAGTACGTAGGAATAGGGGTTCAGACCAAGGCAAGGTCACACATACGTGTAGCCAGATGTTCGTTTGATGCCGGCTAGCAGCGTCGAGAAGAGGACGGCGTCGACGCCATAGTGCACGACTCGTCCAAGGACCATGGTAGCTCGCTCTCGATTCTACTTTTCAGCGACTTTGATTTGATACAAGGTGGGAAGGAGGAAGATGCTGCTGCTGCGCGGTGTCCTCCCAAGAGTGTAGAGATGCTGAGTGTTGGTAGTGCGATAGGAGTTCACTTTCAGGCGGACGCGCGAGCGCGTTTCCTGTCTATCTGTGGAGACGAGCCAAAATTTAGCGGCCTCAGTCTAAATGCATACAACCCCCTCAAAGCTGGCGTGGGCTACTGGACATCATCGATACGGATCTAATTGCCAACTCGGAGCGATCCGAGGAAGAGGCCTTCTTTTGGGGACTGGTAAAATATACATGCAGAAACAAGTGAAGCACTCTAAGCCGTGATCTGGTTGACGGCGCCCGCGTCCGCGCCTGGGATGCCGACGTTGGCGGGCACGGGCTTCTGAACGCCGCGCTTTGTCTCCTGGAGCGTCTCGAGGATCGCGTTGATGCTGCTCTCCCACTGGCTCAGACGCACCTCGAGCGTTTCCCACTGCTCCCTGCCAAATGTCCGGTAGGCCGATCGGTAGACGCGCAGCGATTGCTTCACCTGCGAGAGCTTGCCCGACACAAGGCCGGCACGGATCACATCGATGACCCACACCTCGACGTCATCCACATTAATGCCAAGCGCACTGGCAATGGCGGTGTACGGTACTTCGGAGGAGACGCTCCGCGAGCAAAGCGCGGCGAGATCCATCAGTCTAATTTTGCGATCCAATTGTGCGACGGAGAGGCCGAGACGGTCCACATCGCTGCTGTGCGCTCCCTTCCACGCATCCCAGTCGGCAGTGTTGCCTTTGACAAAAACATCAAGGAGCTTTCCCACCGGTTGCCCGGAAAGCTGCTTGACGGCATCGATGTCGACAAGCTCTTCAAAGTCGAAGAGCTTTGGAAGACGGAGCGCTGCGACGATCGTCTTTTCCGCCGCTGCCTTTGCTTCCGCAGAGTCACTTCCTGCGCCAGACACACTGGACGTGGAGAGGAAGCGGAGGTGTGCAAGGTGGAACTGGTAGGCACGCTGGCCTTGGTCGGCAGACTCGAGCGCGCTGGCCGCCGAAGCGAGGAGACCAGACTTCTTGGCTGCGTCGATGTTCCAGACAGCCAGACGCGAAGGAAGCGCAGTCAGTGCATCGGCCAAGAGGTCGAGCTCATCGTTCGACGAGGCGAGCTCGAGAAGTGTTGTGAATACGAGGTATCGGTTGGAAGAAGTGGCCGGGAGCGAGTTGTAGATGTTTGTCAGGCTACAACGCCGTGTCAGCAAAGTGCGATAGCCAGAGGACCTACAACGAGACTCACATGCGATACCTGACAATCGTCTTCTCCATGGCCTGACCCTCCTTGACGATCGCTGCACAAAGCTCCTTGACCAGTGGCTCCACTTCCTCATCGGAGAAGAGAGAAGCGACGATGGCGCTCACCAGGTTGAAAAACCCTTCAAGTTCTGGGGTTGCATGCGACCTTCAGTTCTCCGCTCCCTCTCCCTCTCTTGCTAAGTACCCCTTTCTACTCACCCCGATCATTCCCTTCACCAATACCGTTCAAGCTTGCGACCAACTCCTTCATAACACTCCGCTTTCCCTCTGCTTCCTCGCCGGCCGCCGTCGCCTTTTCTCTCCATGAAGTAATGAACGCGTCCCTCTTCTCTGGCGCAATGCTGCGGGAAAGCAGCGCTGCAAGGTCGATGACCTGATGGGTGACTCGTCAGAATTTGATCGAGAGGAAAAGGTCATGAAACTCCTCACCTGCTCTTCGAAGGTCCCTTCTTCGCCGATCACTGTAATGAGATCCTTCGCCATATTCGTTGATGGAGTGATCCTTCAATTCTTCCCTTCTGACGAGCGAAAGGGACCAGAGAGAATCCAGAAATGCAAACTCACGTGGGAAGATGATCTCACGTGTTTGCAAGCTTCCAAAAGCAAACCTTAAAAATTTGGACGAGGGAGCTCTAGTGTGCATGGTAACAGGATTCAGAGGCATATGCCGGAGGATAATGAGGACAGGAGGAGACGACTGAAGTATACCGTCGAGAAGCTTCTCGCGCTCATCGATGGCCAGGTGTGCTCTGAGGAGCTGACGGAAACCTGGACCCGCGCAAAGGGCGAGACAGTCAAGGAGCACGGTCCACGCCTAGCGGATCTTAAAAGGGCCCTCGATGATGGCAAGTTCCTGGACCTCGGCGCGGGGCGAGGCGTTCCCATGCGCCTTGTGGTGAGATTTGCATTTGCTAGAGAGGAGCTCGTCGCTGCAAACGTGCTTACACATTCGGTCATCCGTCGCCCTGCAGACAAAGACATGCAAAGCATCGTGGCACTATGACGGCACATGGCCTCTGTTGGCTTCGGACGAGAGCACGGCATGCTCTAAGCCAGAAGAGGACCTCCCTCGTTCTATTCATGCCAGCAGATTCATCCTCCGCCCACCTGGTCAGCACTGCGTCCGCCTCCCGCCACCCGATGCTGAGCCTGGCCCCCCTCAGCGGCCAGACCCTTCGCCTGAGCAGATCGCGCAGTCTTACCGGGACAGGGGCATTGCTGTTCCCCGAGTTGATAACACCAAGGAAGACATGTGGTAGTCTTATCTTCCTTTGTAATGAGAGTGCATTCAAGAAGGCTTTGCTGCCGAGATCTCGCTCTCAATGACGTGCCCTAAGGCCCCTCTCCGCGGCCATGAGTCATGACATACAATCTCTTGTCAGTGACTCCGGCTATAGCTGGCTCGCCTCGCTCTCTCTGCCACGTCACACGATGTGGGACAGGCCGGTGGATTGTCACAATTTATCAGCTCGATACCTCCACGGCACCACTCTATGCGGGCGAGTCGAGGCGAGCTGTAGGTATGTGCGTCGCGCGCACCCATGTGATATCGAATCATGGCCGGGCGCGTTTCCGTTTTGTAGTACCCTACGGAGAAAAAAAAATCGAAGCCAAAATGAGCGAACGAGAGAGAAAAAAAAAGGGAAGAATAAATAAAAATAAAAAATACACAAGGGGTGCTGGGAAGAAGAAGGGGGGGATGAGCGGTCCGCGACCTAGGCATCTCACCAGTGTGAATTTTTGGCCATGGCCTCTGAAATTTTTTGGAAGAAGGCCTGCCTGGCCTTGCGTCCACCCTAGAGTAGTAGTGGACCATCACGTAGACAGCATCGTCGCCATTGCTCAGCAACCCAGCTACGCCAGTCATCCGGTCAGCCTCGATCCCTGATTGCGACAGATAACAACCCCATCTCAGCACTCCTCTCACCAAACGGCTTTTCACTCAAGCCTCGACTAGCTCGACAAGCAACTGCTGATCGTTTCCCGTCGCTCTCGGCACGGACTCGCTTAACACCTCTGCTCTGTAGGCGAGAAAGCCGCACCACCTATTCTGGTTGCTGGTGCAAGCTTCCTCTTGTCTCGCTCTCTGGCTTTTGTGAGTCCATGCTTCCTTCTGTCCATCAACCTCTCCGATTTCGTTGTGCTGAGGCTGGCCAATCGTGCGACGCCAGACGAGCCAAAGATATCTCTTCGCGCGACAGAACATGCTTCATCCCGTCGAACAACAACCAGCACACTTGTTCCCTCTTCCTTTTACCAATCCCATCGCTCGGAGAAGCAGAAAGCACATCGAAGCCAAAGACGCCTGCCGGCCGACGCTACTCTACCATCGCACAGAACACCACTCGATCATAGCCCTCTAAAAGAAATTTGGAGGGGGCTGCCACCACATCAATCACTGCCTCGGTGCCCATCGCCATACCTATGTCGAGGCTAGGAACCAGAGATTTAGGTGAGTAGCACTCGCCCACGCTTCTGTCTATGTGCTGCCCTCTGCTCACATCGCTTCTATCTAACCCCACCCGGCAGCCCGCTCCGGCCGGCAGACGCATTCCCCCAGTCCCATTCTCAACCCAAAGCTGAAGAAGACGTCGACCACACCCTCGCCCACCAGACGCCTTTCCGGCCCCAACGCTCCCCGTGCGGCCGCCTCGCGGGGCAGCGCTCTCTCCACTGCCATTCTCCTCGACGGCAGTGACCAAACCGAAGACGAGGACGACGAAGTAGACGATCACCACCGTCTGCAACGACAACCGTACATCTCCCGGTCCTCTTCCTACAGTAAAATGAGACCTGGAGCAAGTCAACGCAAGAAGCCATCCACAGGCGCAGTGAGAGCACCATCATCCTCGTCGACGACACCCACAATGACATCAAGGCGCAAGCCAGAACGGCGCAAGGAGGAGCGCAAGGCCTCGGTGCGCAAGGCAACGTACGACCTGGACGACTCCGACTCGTCGGACCTGTCAGAGCCACCTGCTCCTGAAGGGACCCTGGATTCGGCTTCCGAGTCCGAGTCAACCATGGCTGCCAAGCTCCACGAGGCTGGAGACGGCGAGTCGCTCTTGGGCTCAGCAGCCTCCGAGGGTGAGGGCGAGGGGGACACGGAGGAAGAGGAACGATACATCATTGAGGATGCAGCGAGGAAGCAGGCCAGGGCCATGGCGCGCATCCGAGCCGGCCAGGATGGTTCTGGCTCCGGCAGCGGGCGCAGCAGTGGCAACAGGGGTAGGCGATCGTCACCCTTCGCGCATAGCGTGGCCAACGAGGAGGAAGAGGAGGATGAAGAGGACCACGATCGCACTCGAGCAGGCTCGGGCTCACTATCGCCCGAGACCCTGCACCAGCTGGGCATTGATGGATTCGAAGATGACCTCTTTGAGCCTCAAGAAGCCTTCCACTCCTCGTCTGAGCCGTCCTTCACCGACTTCTTTGGCTCTGAGGCCAACGACAGCGATGCAACCGACGCGGAAAACAACAGCATCATTCTCGAGCCGCGCGATGACGATGACGAGCTGACGACGGACGATGACGATCTCGAAGATGACGACGAGACCGACATCAGCGACTTGGAAGGTGGTCTCCTCAGCGCTCCCTTTCTGGCCCAAGACGCCCTGGCCGCAGGGGCCGGCACGCAGTTTGCGCCTGGACAGGAGATCGACGCCGCTGCAGCCGCGGCCGTGCTCAGCGCCAATGGCGCCGGGGCGAACCCTGACGTTCCTCTGCTCGTCATCGAGGATCTCGACGGTCGATTGATCTACGCGCGTGCCGGTGACGGTGAGGCCGTCTTTGGATCGGACGGCGAGTTTGAGTTCGTCGATGACAGCGACGAGGACGATACCGACGAAGACATGGATGGTCTCGCAAACGAAGGTCTACACTGGTCCCAATGGCGCCGCAGTGGCGTTCACGCACCCGTCTCGGACTCTGACGAGGGCGACACGACGGACGAGCTGCCCGAAGACGACATGCCCTTTCCCAGGCTCCTCGTTGGATCAGTGGCTCCCCACGGTGGGCGCAACGCACGGAGGGCTCGCGCCTTGGCTGCTCGATCGCGAAGGCTGTCTCCTCGAAATGAACGATCGAGAGAGACGAGCGCTGCTTCATCGTCGATGCTGCCTTCTCAACAGCAGCAGCAGCAGCAGCAGCAGCAGCCCGAGCTCAACACCATCGAAGAGCTCGACTTCTCCATTTCGACCGAAGATCTTGCCCGCGATCCCGAGGGGACCTTGAGAGCTGCAGCAAAGACCCTCGGCTTGTCACCTGATGACGTTGCCAGGCTCGTCGCTGGTATCCAGGAAGAAGATGATGCCACAGGAGCCAGTGTTGCCTCGACACCATCCGCCGAAAAAGACCTTACCGGCCAGCAGCTCTCGGCATCCACCTCGTCAGCTATCGATATTGCGCCTGTGACGCCCGACAAGCGGCTCGCTACCAAGCCTCCCATGGGATCCTTCATGCCAACCTCATCCAAGTCGATCCATCGTGCCGTCATTGATGGATCGAAACAGGCACCTTCACCGTTTGCGAACCGGCACGGCACCCAGAAGCGTGGGCTGGCTACGCGCAAGAGACACCCTTCGACAAGCACTCCAGGGTCGTCTAAGCGACCGCGTCGATTCAGCCAGCTCTCGGGCTCAGGCACGGCTCAGGAGAGCCTCACGGGCGCCGAAGAGGCCAGCGAGGGTCGTTCATCGCCCGAGCCTCCGCAGATTGACCCCATGGAGCTCGACGATGTGCTGGACGCCGATATGCTACTTCGAGCAGGCTTGTCTTCGTCGCCCACTGGCGATGACGTCATGGGCACGTCCCCGAACGGCTCCAAGTCCAGTAAGAGCCCGATGCTACGCGCGTCAAGACGGGCGAGCGAAAAGAGCAACGGATCTTCGTCTGGTCTGAATCTCAACGCATTTGCGAGGTGGCACAAGATTCCGATGGGCGCATTCAGAGACGGCCAAGGTGCTTCGTCCGGGCCCCATCAGCCCTTGGGCACTTTCCTCTTGACTCGGGGTGGAGGCAGCAACGGTGCCGGAAGCGGTGGCGCCGGGCAGGGCAGCGGCCCGGGTCGAGCTCATGCAATGGGACGCTCTGGGTCGGCACGAAGGCAGCAGGAGCACTCGCCATTCCGTGGGCATGGTAGTCAGGCCGATCTCATCCATCTGGGCACGGCTCCCCGGATGCTGGGAAGTGGCAGCAAGCTTGACGAAATGCTCGCCAATGGTGGTGGAGAGGCAGCGCAAGCTTCAGAGAGAGCGGCGAGAAGAGACGCTTTCTTCGTCTCGCCTATCCTGTGGCCCGTCCGAGGAGGAGGGCAAGTGGAGAATCAGTGGCGAAATGTCAATGGAGGACAGTCGTCGCAGCCGCAACCGATGGTACAACAGGGCGGCTCCGCGCAAACCGAAGGTACGCGGCGAGTCATGACTCGGCGAGAGAAACGCGAACGGAAAGCGAGGAGACGGATGGCCCTCCGTACTGTCGGCTCGACACCCGGAATAGACTCGCCTGCTGCACCTTCTACGCCGCAATTGCCGAGGGGAGACCCTCTAAATCCGACCGACTCCCCCGCAACGGCACTCCCCCGCTTGAGTATCACTGACGCCTCTCCGCGCCACTCACCGGCTCCCAATACAACTGCATCGATAGTTCCAGGTGCCGAGGTCGCATCAACGTCGGGGCCAAGGAGCACTCCGATCCTTGTACCGACGACCAGCAAGAAGCAGTCCCCCATCCTCGGCCCTCGCGAAGAGGAGCAGCAGCGACACCAGCAGCAACAACAGCAGCACTCGCAGTCGCAACTCTCCACTTCTGCTTCGTCCTCGTCATCTGCCTCTGGCCAGCAGCATCAGAATCTGCCATCGTCTGTCTTTGGCGTGCCACTGCACTCTCCACTGTTTGGCAGCATCCTCCAGCCGAATAACCTGGGTTTCCACGATGATCTGGACGAACGAGACGCGGACGGCACGATGGCAATCTGAGCCCACCCTTTTTTGGACCCGACATTCCTTCCTGGCAGGTTTCTAGGCTCTCATACAATATCAGCAAGCCGGCAACTTCTTTTAGATCCTTAGAGGTCGTGCACATAAAGAGAAGATTGAAGAAGAACCTTGCTCTGTGGATGTGGCTGTATTTCTCGAATCTGTTCTTATCTGTCCTCACTTCCTTCTCATCTTAATGAAAATGTCAATACATTCAGCGCTTCTCGCCAGGGGGGACGATAGTATTGCCCGAGCAAGGAGAAGGAGGACAGAAGGGAAAATTTCGAGAAAGGAGACGAAGTGGTGGGGGGAATAGTAAAAAGGGGGCTGGACGTTCAAACGAGGCATGACGATGCCTACAAGCAAGAATATATCCAGAGCGGAGTTCACGACCTGCTGTGATGGTGAGGGTTCCTTTGCGCACGCAAACTTTAATGCAGCAGTCGTGAACTGATAGTCGAGTCGAAAGCTCCGCGAACGAAAAGCTCATCTTTGCGCCGAGGGCTGGCTGAGGCGAGCGGTCTGACCGTCGCTCCTACGCATATGAATGCTGATGATTGTTGTCATCCATCAAAAATGAAGAGTTTCAGACTTTGCCTCGCCTAGCCCTTGGAGAACTTTCCGAGAAGGCCCTTCCTGCTCGTGGTGGATTCCGAGTAGAGTGTCTTCTCGTCATCGTCCTCGGCGGCGACGTCACCCTTGGGTGGAGACTGCTGCTTGGGCGAGGGTGTCCTCGACTTGGCCTGCAGCTTGCCGCGCCCGCTCGAGCGGAGCGGCTCGCCGCCGACGGAGAGACCACCGGCGCGGAGGCGTCCAGCCAGCATGTCGGCGACTTCATTCGAGACGCTAAAGTCGCGGCCGTACATGTCGTCTGCCTTCTTTGGCTTCGATTCCGCCCTCTTTGACGAAGATGAAGGCGACGAAGACGACGGGATAGGGGCAGATGCCTTGGTAGCAGGCACAGCTTCAGAAATAGAGGCAGGGGCCGATGAGGCAAAGAATGTTGATCTGAGGCCAAGCATCATCGTGAGATTATTTGTCGATTTGGTGTTGTTGTCTTTCAAAGAGGGAAGAATGTTCACTTGAAGAGTAGTGAGAAAAAAGAGGAGTGAGTCGATGGAAAGCACCTTATAAGCTCTTCAGCCATATCTAAAGGGAAGAAGATTCGGGAGAAGGGGCTGCTGCGCAAAAGGAAGAATGGATTCTGCACGACGGGATCCCCGCATGACGGCTACTTGGCGAAAAGACATACAAGTAGTGTAGACAGTCAAGGGAGGGGCGCCACTCCGGGCCTCATTCGACGCCATTTCTGGGCTCTCCTAGTCGAGCTGAGTCATCGCTGCAGTAGATAGCGTACCGCGCCAAGATAAACGTCACCATGCCCGCCGGGAAAAATGTTATCGATCGGGAGGCCATCCTAGCTACCCTTTGCCCACTCGACGCAGGGGGATCCCGCTGAGTCGGGAGTGGTCGATGCTACGCGGCGCAGTAATCGCGTTCCTGAAAATTTAGTGCTAGTGCTGCGCGTAGAGCCACCTCGAGAAACGCGCACAACGTCCAGAACACTCGAGATTGTACTGTACTGTACTGTACAATGACTCGACACAAGTTGGATGGTGCAATGGGCTTGCGGGAATCCTAGAGTACAGACTTATGATACTACACAATCATCCTCGATGCTGCTGTTTCGACGAGGATGAGAAGGAGGGAGAGGGGGAGAACACAATTACATGGCCGTCGGGGTCTATCAGGAAGGTTTCTTCGTCCTAGTGTAGAGTAGAGCGAACACAAAGATCAGTCGGCAGCAAGGAAAGGAATCCGGCCATCTAACTCACTGATGTAGCTTCGGAAACGAAGGCACGGGGCCACTTAATGGCCAGTGTCGGGTCGGCAAGGCGACTCAACAATCCTCGACGCAGAGCTTGCATGTCCTGCTCGCATTCCAGTAGCACGCAGGAGGCGGTCGGCGGCGTTTTGATGTCGGAAGAGAAAAATGTGGAGTCGTGTGAGGTAGACGTGCCAGAACGCTTACGACATTCAATTGGGGTTGAGGTTGAGTTGAAGCTTGTCTGCGACGACAAGTCCTCGGACGAAGACGAGGATGTCAACCTCGGCTCGAAGGAGCTGGGCAGAGGGGGCACAGGCGGAGGAGGCTGTTTCGACCTCTGGCTGGGAGACTGGAACTTTGTAGAAGGTGGAGTCTGCGGTACCGAGCTCGAGAGAGAATTGCTGCCGAGAGTCTGTGGTGGGTATTTCAAATTCCTTAGGCTTCTCAACGCGATGCAGACGCTGGAAGAGTTGGACGGCGCAACGACGACCTGGCCTTGAACAGAAGAGTCTCCAACTTGTACGAAGCCTAAGACCTGTCGATAGAATGACAAAGACGACTCGAGATCTGACACGGGCATCAGCGTCATCGCCCGAGTGGGCGCCAGCGTCAGCGGTGTCGATGTGGTCGGTTTGGAGAGTGAGTCTGCCCCGCGGCTAGCCGGGCTGGCAATGTGATTGCCATCCGACCAAAATGGATTGTTGCTACTCTTGACATTTTTCGCGATCGATGCATTAGCTGGCAACGTTTTCAACCCTGAAGGGGGCGAAAACGTCCTAGGGATCCCATTGTCGCCTTGGGCACCATTTGGCCTTCTGAGCGATGAATTCCTGCTCAGCGGGCCGATGAAGCGTCTTCCGGTGCTTTCGTCCTCATCGGGCGTCTCGGGTCTGATGACTGGCTGGGTGGCCTTGACAAACGCCGTGGCCTCGTCAAAATCGTCAAATTTTCTCATCAGAGGACCGGGAAACTGGGGTCATGGTGATGTCAGGCCTCGTTCATGTAAGCCGAATAGGCAGCTATCGTCTTTGACTCACATCTCGGATCTGGCGATCAGCTTCGGCGCTGCCGTGATGAAAGTTTGACATAAGACTCTCTGTTTTTCTCTCATGCTTCCAGGGATGAACACTCACTGGCTACTGAAGACGCCCTTCTTCCATCCTCTCTGAACAGCCCAAAAGGGGCCATGGCCCATCAGTTCCCGCTTCGCACGCATATGGTCCTTGACATTTTGCATCAGCGCCCACTCGCCCTCGCCATCACCTTTCGCTTCGCCCGCAAACTCCAAATCGTCGTTGGACGCCAGAATAGGAGATGAGAGCGTCATACTGCTCAGCTCTTCTACATCGTCGTCGAGCTTCGGCGGTGCCCAATAGCCATTGAAGGGCGACGAGGGCAGCGGTGGGGATCGGGTGAGGTCAAGCGAAGGTTTCGCACGTGTTGTACTCGACACTGTTCGTTGCTCGGATCGGGACTTGAAGTGACCCATGTCTCGGTCGGTTCGGAGCGTCGACGAGCGTCGGACATTGACGCTGCCTTTTGGCATTATAGGCTCGTCGAGGGATTCTGCTGTTGATGTGCAGATAGAATCGAAGCTTCGCCTGGCCGGCTCGCCGTAGATGGAAGGCTTCTTCTTCGAAGCAGTGGAGACAGAACCAAAAAGCCCGCCAAAGATTCGTTCGCGGCTCGAGGGTCTCCCTGGAACGCCAGAAGAGCTCGAGTGTCTTGCATTGAGCTTGGGTCGCCCCTTTGGGCCCAGGGGCGCTGCGCTCGGCGGTAAAGGGTCGAACACTTCTGCAAATGGATTCTTTGTCCGGGCTACAGGCTGCTCGAGCGTGGACGAGCCCTTCCGCGAAGCTTGAGGCTCCAAATCGACGCCAAACATATTCATGGCCCCTACTTCTTGAGAAGCAGGCGGCGGACCCCAGACGGACTCGACACGGCGCGACCTCGAACCCCTCCTGGGGTGGGCTCGAAGCTTTGGCTGGAATGCCAACGCATCTGCGATCCTGTCGTCATCATCAGGAACAGATCTCTCGATTGAAGTCGTCGAAGACGACGCCGAAAAGCTCCTGGCCAAGCCGCCTGCATTGCCCGTCGTTGTAGTAGTGGACTTATCTCTTGACACGATTCTTGACGCTTGTTTGGGCGACGGGGCGTCCTGGCTTACATTCCGACCTCGGCGCAGCGACAGCTGGCGCACCACTCCTCGCAGCCCGATGCTGCCATTGCCAGGCTTGTCGTTCATCCCAGCGCGTCTCACGCGACCGTTGCAAGCTGATGGTTGCCGTGGTCGCAGAGTGGGGCTGACAAATGGGACAGGTAGTGCGAGGTTGGGCGAGTCCTAAAACCCCCCTCGGCGTGTCTCCTTGCTTGCCATTTATCTGTGTGGAAATTGGATTTTTAGGACACGCACGCGCGCTTTTCGTGGCCAAAAGACACGGAGAACCCGCGTCGACGATTCGCACTCCAGCAAAATCTTGGGCCGAGGCGCGACCCGATTCGTAGAACAGGCTACTCCTAAACTCCCTCTCCTCCACCTCCTCCTCCCCGCCGCAAGAGAAATGGACGTGAAATGAGTGGACGTGGAATGAGCTTGAGAGGGGCGCACCCTCGCCGGAAGTTGTCGGACTTACTCCTTTCAAGGCTGCCGAAAAGGTTGCGAATAAGCATGAAGAACCGAGGGCAGAGGGAAGGGGGAGGGGGAGAGGGAGGCCAGCCAGGATTTGGCTAGGAAAATTAATTAAAGCTTGGTCGGAGAGACGATGAAGTCCGGCCAAAATTGCTCTACGTAGCCATTGAGAAACATTCTAAAGCGTGGAACCCGAGATCGCAGCTCTTGACACATAGCTAGTGCCATCGGCCCAGAAAATACTTCCGCAACACCGAATCAGAGCACTTGCACCCGAGTGAACGTGCGTGAGTTTGACTGCACCTCATCTGCCCATCTGAAGGTGCCAAAGGAAATGGCCCAGGCATTGATAAGAGATTTGAAATAAAAAGTCCGTCTATGTTCACATAAAGTTGAGCGCAGCCGTGAGCTTGTCGGCAGGATCGTCATCAAGCCGAGCCATTTCGATCTCCGACAGAAGCTAGATTGGCAAGCAGTCCTTTGCGTGAGCTTGTGTCGTCGAGTCATGGGCAGCATGCCAGCGTGGAACAGACTCACCTTCTTGATACCGATGTTGAGCCGGCTCTCTTCGCCCAGACCTGCGCTTTGAAGCAGGCCCATGCACCTCGCATGTTCTTCCTCCGACGAAAAGAGATGCACCTGCCGAAGAACGTGATCGACGCTTCGAAGCGACGTGATTGAAGGCACCCGGATGTCTGCCAAGAACGTGTCGGAGATCTCCATGTCGGTCAGCATGGGCTTGTTCGACGTCGTGGCGAGGATGAGGAGCCGTCTGTCTTTTGGTGGCCGCTTGCCAAACAGCACGCTCAGCGCCTGCAGCACCGGGTTGCTGAACCTGGGACCGATAGGCACCCATTCGACAATCTTTTCGATATTGTCGACGACGATGATGCTCAACGGACTCTTGTACGAGTCGTTGAAGACCTTGTTGAGGTAGGCAATCTTCTGCCCCTCGGCCATGCCCACCATGTTCTCCGGCGAGATGAGCTTGATGAAGGGAAACTGCGAGGCAATGGCAATCGTCGCAGCCAGCGCCGTCTTGCCCGAGCCAGGAGGACCGTGGAGGAGGGCGGTGACGAGGGGCGTTCTCGTGCTTGTGCGCACCTGCTCGACGCGCAGCTCGCCGTCGCGCAGAATGCCGTCGATGTGAGGCGCGTAGTGCATGATGCCATTGGCAACGACTTGCTGCAGCTCTTCTTCCGACACGCCAAACGCGGGCTGGACCTCGTCGAGTGCGTTCATGAAGTCATCGCGATTGACGCGCATGCTATCAATGTCGTCCGAGATGCCCGCCATGGTACCAACCTTGACGTGTCGATTGAAGGCAAAACTCGTCGCACTCTTGACCAGACCGGCGATTTCGGCGCCGCTAAAGTTCTTGGTCAGTGCAGCTACCTCTTCGAGGTCCACATCGTCATCCATGACGCCATTGGATCGCATCTTGGACGTCTGGATCGAAATGATCTGTCGTCGACCCTTTTCATCTGGGAGGTTGATCTCCATGTGTACCTCTAGACGACCAGGTCGGAGAAGAGCCTCGTCGATCATGTCGAGACGGTTCGTCATACCAATCAGGAGAATGTTGTTGAGCTGGTCCACACCATCCATCTTGGACAGCAGCTGATTTACCACCGAGTCGCCCACACCCGTGCCGCCACCGGTGGAGCCACGCTGCTTGCAGATGGCATCAAGCTCGTCAAAGATGATGATGTGCAGGCCTGATTCGTCGCCCTTTTCCTTGTATTCTTTTTCGGCGTCGGCGAAGAGCTTTCGCACATTCTCCTCGCTGGCACCGACAAACTTGTTGAGGATCTCGGGACCATTGACAATCTTTGGCTCGCGGGCATTGAGCATCTTGCCAATTTGCCGGGCCATCAGCGTCTTTCCCGTGCCTGGAGGGCCGTAGAGGAGAATACCCTTGACGTGTTGAATACCCAGTTTCTCGACGAGTTCGGGCGGGAAGATGCGAGAGGCGAATGCACGTCGAAAGATGGCACTGAACTCGTCATCAAGGCCACCGATGCCCATGTCCTCAAACTTGAAGTTTGGCTGCAGGATCGCGTTCGGACGGGCCCGCTTGCCGCTTGCCTTGATGCGAAGCGTGCTATCGGGTGCTTTGAAGAAGTTGATCTGCGTCTGTGAGATGAGAATGCCCCGGTTCTGGCCAGCGTGCGAGGGCGGAGGTGGGGGTGCTCCCTTGCCTGCACCGCGCACCTGGTCGGCTTCGACAACAGAGACGCCATTGATGACAGCCTTGAGGTTCTGGCCGTGGAACTCGAAGACGAGCAGCTGTCCCTTTGTGAAGATATGCGAGTCAAATGCCCTCAAAAAGTTTCGAGCCATCTCGTCGGCGTCGAATTGCTCGTCAACCTCGGTACCTTTTCGAAGAAATGAGAGCTCGACGTCGAGTCCAGCCAGATAGATGGCCTGACCGGACGAGTAAGGGTCGAAAACCTCGGCGCGAACGGTGTGCCCTTGAGCGCTGAGTCCAGCCCATTGTCTCTGCAACAGCGCAGTGCCAATCGTGCCTGCTTGTATTGACTGCGTCGTATCCGGACTGGATGAACCAGGGCAATTGATGGTCACTCAACACATTGGATAGCTTGGACAATCATCTGGGTAGAGACTCACAGTGCAGTGAAGACGTAACGGCCGTCGATGAGAATGTACTGGGTGTTACCCCATTCTTGTTGATTGACGACGATGCAATTGGACAATACCAGCTGATCCGGGCACTTGACAACAAGATGTCCTTGCGAGGAGGAGTGCGCTGGCGGCGGTGGCGGTGCCTTTTCGTCGCCATAGCTGACTGGCACTCGGCCTGAGTGGCTGGAGCGAGGTGTTGGACTAGCACCATAGCCTGCTCCCCCACCACCGCCGTAGCTGGCCCCTCCACTGGGTCGGGCGCCGTAGCCTGCGCCGCCGCTGCCACCCGTCGATCGGTAGCCTGCTCCCCCAGCTCCTCCAGCTCCTCCACTGCTCGCGTAGGGGTTGCTGCCATATGCTGACCGGTCGCCACCACCGCCGCCGCCGCCACCGCGCAAAAAGCCCGCCATTCTCTAGTTCGGCTCGCCTGCGAGTGCTCTGGCAAGTATTATTGCGGGGAGAAACGGTGTTATCCAGACGTGGCTGTTGAAAGGTGTGAAGAGTGAAGAGAGAGCTAAGCAACCAGCTCAACAGTCAACGAAGGACGCACGGTCGTGTAGTGTACGCTGAGCCCTGTGCGTATTTGTCTGCCTGGCAGACCTAATTTCGGCCGGAGCCCAGGTCCGAATTAGCTGCAGATAGGCTAGAACGCGTGGCCAGAGCGAGCGCGAGACGAGACCTTCTCGTCGATTTTGGTCGTCGAACCACCAATCTTGCGACATTCACCAAGCGGAAGGGTCTCTCCAACTACAGACGCACGCAGCTGACGTTTGCTGTCTCAACCCTCATACACTTGGCTGTGGAGCTGCCGCAAAGGTGAATGGTGTTTCGTCAAAGTCAGCTTGAAAGGATGCAGCACTAATTCGTCGCATTTCTTCTCCCTTCTTCTTCTTCTTCCTCATCAGCAAACGAAACGACTTGCTCTCTCTCTCTATACATTTGCCCCTGTCACTCTCTTTTATTCAACAGTGGGTGCGGCAAAGCGTCGGGAGCATATTTGGCCCTTAGCGCTGACAGGCTTGTCTCTGGTGATCGTGCGCAGCAGACTAGAAACGGATAAATCAACAACATGTCGGGAGAGGGTGCGTCTCGATCGTTCGGATCGCAGCTGGCTCTGATGCTGACTTGGTCCATGTTTACTGCTTGACAGGATGGCTGTTCCTCTTTGCAGTGCTGCTCTCGGCAGCACTTCTCTTCACCATGGTCTTCTACGTACGTCTCGATCTCTATCTCTTCGGATCGCTGTTTGATGCTGACCATGTATGCTTTGCAGATCATCATGTTCTCGGATCTTGAGTGCGACTACATCAACCCAATCGACCTCTGCAACAAGCTCAACCAGGTGTGTCTCTTTCAGCGCTTCTTCTTCCGCAGACCTCCATGCCCTTTCTAACCACTCTCCCGTCGCCAGTTCACGCTTCCCGAAATGGCCGCGCACGCCGTACTCACCGTCTTTTTCCTCTTGAGCGGTCAATGGCTGGCCTTCATCCTCAACGCGCCCCTTGTCGCCTTCAACGTCAACAAGTGAGTGGCACTCCTTTCCTGCGCTCCCTCGCTCTTGACTGACGCGTGCGCGAACTTGCAGAGTCATGAACAAGAATCACATGCTCGATGCGACAGAAATCTTCCGGACACTGTCGCAACATAAGAAGGAATGCTTCTACAAGCTCGGTTTCTACCTCATCAGCTTCTTCTACTACCTCTACCGGATGATCCTTGCCCTCATCGCGGGTGAGTGATTCATGTTCTCGTGCGCCCTATTGCCGCCCTGGACGGGACGCTGACCAGAAGTGCTTTCGGACAGAAACAGAGTGAAGGAGACAGCGGCCCATGATCTCGTCCTAAGCTTCGAGGCGAAGGAGAAGTGTCGATGGGAGGAGGAAGAAAAAAAAAAGACTGGAGCTGCGTGCACGGAAGAAAGAGCAAGACTGGAAGTGCGTTGGCGTCCTGAATGGAAAGAGAGAGAAAGAGACGAGGGAGAGCAGTCTCATCATAGAAGGGGGGGAAAGGGAAGTCCGAAGGCCTCTCCTCGCCCCTTGAATACTTTTGTCGTTTTGTCCTCTTCTTCGCCCTTTTTATTTACTATTTTGTCACACAAGATATCACAGTTGTCTTCTCGCTCCCGCCGTGCTTCTCTGGCTCCAGTCATGCATGCCCCTTTGCCCACGACAACCCCAGCATGGGGAGATGAGATCACATTCCTTTGAGTCGAGAAGAGCAACATCTACGCGGCACCACTCAAAGCCTCTTGGTGCTTTTGAAGCGCCTCTTCAAATGCCAGATCCTTCTCCTTGAGCTCACGCACGAGCGGATGCCTTGGTGCCAGCGACTTGAGCTTTTCGAGGTACTCTGTACTACCCGGTGCCTTTGCACCGTACTCTGCCAGGACGGCCTGGTTGGCCACGACGTCTGCGTTGTCTGGATCCTATAAGATGGTAAAAGAATAGCGACCGTCAGTGAGCTCGCTGGGAGGAAGAGAGACGGTTGACAAAGCTCCAATTGGGGTGTCTCACCAGCTCGGCGGCCTCTGCCAAAACCTTTTCCGCCTCGGCCCGGTTGCCAGCAACCATGTGGGCGACAGCTTTGCCCGTCAGGACGCCCACGCTGCTCGGCTTCCCAGCCTGCGCTGGGTTCTGTGCGAGCTCGTCGTAGACGTAGTATGCCTGTTGCGCGGGACGCCCGCCTGAGTAGAGGCCAATGTAGGCTTCGATGAGCTGGAAAATCCGTGAAGCGAGAGTCAGTACAGGAAAGACGAAAGGGGGCACGTATGCGGGAACGAACCTGGATGAGGAGCGCATCATCGGCCCATGTTCGAGCCGCCGTGTACTCCTTTTGTGCCAGATCGGGCCGGTTGATGGAGAGCAGAATGTGGACGCCGAGCGCGACACTGTGTGGTGAGAGTCGGTGCGGCGGCAGTCAGCGCTGGAAAACACACGGGCTGCCATGGAAAAAGGACACACCTTTCGATCTCCTTGCTGCTTGCCGTGCCCATGCCGAGGGTCTCAAGGGCACCCACCGGGTCGTCATCGCGCATCATGGCCGTTGCGACGCATATCCTAATTGTTTGCCCGTTGGCATCGCCCAAGACGGCTTGGTCGAGAAGCTCGTTGAGCTGGTGCAGCTCTTCGTCGGACCCAGACTGGTCGCCCTTGTTCTGCGCCTTGACGAACCTCGAGAGCGCACGCACGGCCGCGGCTGCTGGCGAGTCTGAGTCGGGGATGTCACTGCTGGGGAGCAGGGCTAGAGCCGCGTCAGGCTGGTTGAGGGCCAGCTGCGACCGCGCTCCGTACAGGAGCCTCGTCAGCGTCGTCGGGTCTGAAGGGGACCCAGACGTATTCTGCGAGACGACATCGACGCACGACCGATATGCGCCCTGGTAGAAGAGCGACTGAATCTCAAACGTGACTGAATCGTCGCTGTCCATGGTTGTAGATGCTGTCAGTCCTCGCGAATGCACGGGCATCCGTGATATTCGACAGCGTAACCCTCTCCCTCTGTCGGCCGAGGCTCGTCTGTCTTTGCCTGCTTCCACACCGGTGTTCAAATTTCAAAAAAAAAAAAAGTTTTTTTTTTTTTTCGAGCCGGCATTTTTTTGGAACGCTCGAGCGCGCTTTGTTTGCCTGTCCCTAGTAGACTGTTCAGGAAGACGACCCTCTGGCCAATCGTCCAGGCAGGCTCTAAACTTGGACATCGCTTGAGATGGTGTAAGCGGGAGGTACTCTTGCATTCGCATCAGTCGAACCCACTCTTCCGTCGCGAAACGGCAGCCAGTCGGCCGCGCTCTTAGCGAAGGTGACAGACACTCTTGCGAGAGAGCGACGCGTCGCAGACCAACGCCCTCGACCGGCTGGCTACTGCTCGTATCAGCAGCGGCCGCGACTAGCGGAGACGGGCTTGGGTCCAACGCAAATTGTACATCGTAAGGGACGAGACCCTTGGGTAGGGTGACAGGTGGCAAGGAGAGCGACAGGTGGCACACCATCGGACCCTTGGCGAGATCACACGACGTGACCCGTGCTTCGCGAGAGGAGCGGGAGTAGCAGGCTAGGATGACCCAAGTCATCGACCGGCGGCATCAGCCCGGCCCGAGCTTTATGCCTGCCTCGACCACGCCTTCGCCAAGCAAGGCGAAAGCATCGTCCCCCCATCCGAAAGGAGTATCTGCTTCGGCCGGCAGCAATGGAGGAGCAGGTTCAAGACCGTGGTCAGCGATAGACGATGTGGCGATCCAACGGGGCCAGGCTTTCATCGCCGAGACAAAGAAGAACCCCGTGCAGTTTGTCAAGAGCAACTACAAGGCAGTAGCAGAGGTGCCTTATCCGGCCATTAATGATCCCAAGGTCATCGAGGAGCGCCGCCGGCTCAAAGAACAGGCTGCAGGGCAACGCAAGGGAAGCGTGACAGCGACAGGACCCAGAAGAAGCGATGAGGTGAGCTTCTCTCATGTTGTTTCAGCTCGTTTCTTGTACCCAATCTCATCTGGAGTTGCTTGGGGCCCATCAGATGGCAACCTCGGATCTCTCCGAGCCCAGCTCGTCTCCCAAGGCGCAGCTCAAGACCGAGGTCAAGGACAAGAAGCCTGATCTGTACCCTTACAAAATACACTCGATGGCACCGACAGGCCTTGTTCGAGACCGGGGAGTCGGCCTGCACAACAAGGGCAACACCTGCTACATGAATTCGGTTCTCCAGTCTCTCGTCCATCTCCCGCCGCTGCTCAACGCGCTATTGACGCAGGACGACGAAAAGCTCCGAGGCCGCTTTGGCTCCAACGTCCAGCGCTTCGACGCCCTTGGGGAGATGGCAAGTCTGGCTAAGCGCCTTCTCGGCAAACAAGGCTCAAGCGGCTACGCCGTCTCGCCCACTGCATTCTTGACAAACCTCAAGAGCTACGCCCGCACGCTGCGACCATTTCGACAAGAGGATGCGCATGAGTTTCTCCGCTTCCTCCTTGACGCCATGCAAAAATCCAGTCTGATTCGCGCGCCAAAGAGTCTCAAGCCCGCAGATCCGATCCGAGAAACGACGCTGGTGCACAAGATCTTTGGCGGACGGCTTCGCAGCCGAGTGCAATGCCAGGTGTGCAAGCACAACTCGGACACCTTTGATCCCATCTTGGACCTCAGCCTCGACATTCGCAACCTTCCCTCCAACACTCTCGGCTCGGCCCTTCACAAGTTCACAGAAGTGGATCACTTGCGGGGATCGGAAAAGTACAAATGCGAAAAGTGCCGCAAACCGGTAAATGCCACGAAGCAGTTCACCATCGACCAGGCGCCACGGTGTCTCACAATTCACCTCAAGCGATTCACCCTGACTGGCCAGAAGCTCAGCAAGCAGATTCAATTTCCCGAAAATTTGACCTTGGGCAAAGAAGTGCTCTCCGAAGGCGTCCGACCAGCTCACTACACGCTTCGATCAGTCGTCCACCATCAGGGCAGTGGTCCCAACAGCGGGCATTACATTGCCAGCGTGCGCCACACGGCCGGTACCTCCAACAAGTGGTTCGAAGCAAATGATGACATTATCTCCTCGCTTCGAGGTGCCCCCACGGGCTCCAGCAGTGCCTACATTCTCTTCTACGTCCGACGACCCGAAGATACCCTCAGCGAGGCGGTGGGAGCTTCACCGTCGTCTTCTGCTACGATGCAGAGAACCAATGGCACTGATGGGAAGTTCAGAAAGACAGACGGTGCGCTGACGCCCAAGACGAAGCTTGCATCTTCACCCTCTTCCTCTGTCGACTTGGGCCAGCGCGTCGAGAGGCCAGGCACCTATACGCCTGCGTTCAGACCTATCGCTCCGTCTGCACCGGCCAATGCCTCCTCGACGCCAAGCCCGTCCTTCTCGAAGCTCATTGATACACCAGTGGTGTCTGCTTCGGTGTCCGGCAACGGTGGCGCTGCGTCACTGAAGAAGAGACCTGCGCCGTCAGACGAAGCGGATGACAGCGACGACGACGACGACGACGACGACGGCGCAGATGATCTGGGCGAGCCCATTGGAGAGCACGTGGCTCGAAAAGAGGAAGATGAATACGAGCCGCTAACAAAAGCTCCGGGCGCGGCGCCGTCGTCGCCGTCGCTGATCAGGAGCAAGAAGCAGCGAAGACGTGAGCGACAACGGCTAGAAGAAGAGGCCAGGGCGCTCGGCAGAGGAGGCGGTTCCTCGCCGTACCTTGTCGGCGGGCTACAGCAACAGCAGAAGCAATTGAAAAAGAAGAAAAAGAAGAGAAAGATCGACATGATGAAATCGAGGGCATGAACGGCTGGGCCTCTTTCTTCTTCCTCGGCTGGCTTCCTCTCATGACATGCATGGTCTCTCTTCATTGCGTCGACATACACTAATTCGCATTCATACATTACTGTTACAATTACATTGTTCATCGTCGAGGTCTGAAGCGCTGGCTGTTGTTTCCCTGATGTTCATCGTCGACTTACAGCGCCGCATTGCGGACGAGGACGAAAACAGCACGGACGATGAATATTGAATTAGGGACTACATACCACTACAGAATCGTTACGAATGCGATGGTCAAAGAGATTGTACAGTACAGGTCGCATGACCAGGATGATGAAGAAGAAGGTGATGCTCACACCTCCTCGTCGGAATCAATCGTATCCACACCTTTCTTGTCGAGACCCTTCGTCGTTCCTTTCCTGGACTTTCCTCTTCCACTTCCTACTCCTCGTCCCGGACTGGAGCGTAGCGCCCTCTTGTTCCTCTCCTCTGCTGAAAGGTGCCTGAGCCCGTTAAGCTTGGCCAAGTTTGCAGCAAAGTTGGTCTTGTAATTGTCCACGTCGAGAAACTTCTTGACGAGCTTCTGCCAGTTGCGTCGCATCGTCTTTGGACTGAAGCGCCACTGGTCTGTCTGGAGATCGCGGAGTACGATCATGGTGATGTCGTCATTTTCGACGGCTTCCGTCTGCTCGCTCATCCGCTGCAAGAGCATGAAATCGTCCGACTCGTTCCACAGGCCTTTATCCAGCATCACGCACCACTTCTGGTAGATTTGGTTGGCGTTACGTTCGCCGCCTAGCCGCGCACTGACAGTGGTCCATGGAATCGACTCGCGCTTCTCAATGTCGATTGACAGCTCTCGGCAGACTTCTTCAATCACGTTGCGCAGCTTCTCCATCTCGGCTTCCGTCCAGGTGCCTTTGTTCTTTACAACGGCACTATCGGGCCTCGTCGTCTTTAGAGTTAGCTGATCCCTCCATCGAACTCGGCAGTCATCTCTCCGGCGGCCGACAACTTTGGCCACGGCTACCCAGTCTTGGCCGTGCGATGCCACCGCCTGTTGTAAAGCTTCGGTTTGCTCCTGGGTCCAGGGACCAGCGTGGGCAAGTGGGTGGTAGATCGTCTGAAGGTGCTTGCGAACGTGCCGATTGGACCTGCCTGGCACGCTGCGAGTTGCAGCCCTGAACAAGGAGCCAAATAGCTCGCTCTTGGTGGCCTCGGCGTTAAACATGAGATCAATGGTCTGATCGCGGTTAAGACCGTGTTCTTCTCCGAACTCGAGCAGTGCGTTCTCGATGTGCTCGTCCTCCGTCTTGCTGAAAGCGCCAAGCTTGTACTCCAGGCCGATACCCTCGGCGAGCCATCGGAGTTGGTGGGGCTGGTAGAGCTTTTCAACGAGAATGTCTTCATGACGGAGTCCGTAAGCGTCGGCGATCGTCGCTTCTTTCGAATGCAGGGCATTCGTTTCATTTCGAGGTCCACGCCTGGTCGTCTTTCGGCCAACTGAGGAGCCGGACGGGTTGCTTTGAGCGATCTGCGTCAGGGCTGCGAGGGATGGGACTACACTTTTCCGGCTTCGTCCTTTACTGGATATCGGTTCCTCCTCGGTCTCATTGATCTCATGCTCTTCCAGAGTGGGATCGGTGTTGCTTGTGGTCTGACCGAGGACAATTTGCGCCGGAGCCGCTTCGCCGTGTCCCTCATCGGCCGCTCTCTTCTTCCTCCCCCTCTTTCGGCTCGAATTCTCGGCATTCTGCCAAGAGTCTATGCCATCCACATCCTCAGGCTCCGCCGCACGTTTCTTGCCCTTGTCAATTCCCTGGTGGCTGGACACCGACAACTTCTGGGGGCTTGCCCCGGCATTGACAGCAGTCACCGCAGCTGATGAAGCACCTTCTTGAGAGGCATGATCGCTGCCCACTTCGACTTGGCTACCCTTTTTAGACTTCCGCTTCTCCTTCGGCTTTGATGGCGAGGTCGAGAGAGGCTCAGCTTGGCGTGTGGTGCTACGTTCTGGAGCATGACTAAACGATCGGACCGTCTCGCTCTGTGGGTGTGATAGTTCGTCTTCTGCAAGCTCGTCATCCTCGATAGCGGGATCCTGCTGAGACGAAAGATGAGCCTGACCCAGGCCGTTGCTTCGGTATAGACTGCCATCTTCGGCATGATTGATCTTGGGCTTTTTCTTCTTCTTTTTCGGGGATTCGCGCGAGGTCTGGCTCGGACCAGGAATAGAGCTCGGCCCCTGCTCTACAGCTTGGGCTCCTTGCGTCGTCGCCCCTGATCGCTGAGAATCCGCATCACCACTCGCCTGCGCTGCTGTGAGTGGTTCATAAACGGATGCTGAGTCGGCCTGGGCCGCCATCTCTCGCTCTTGTCGCTTCTGCTCTTTGCGTCGCTTCTTCTCCAGCCGCTTCTGCCTCTTCTCCTCGACCCCATCATCATCGCGTGCTTGCCCGAACGCGGATGGAATGGCCGAGCGACTACTCTCAGGGCTGTTGTCTTGCACAGCTTCATTGCCTGCATTATCCCAAACGATGTGCCGGGCACCGCGATCGCTATCGCGGTCCGTCGTGAAGCTGAGCTCTCCATCCTGCTTGTTTTTGTCCTTCCTTTTCTTCTTTTTCTTGCTCGGCTCAGCGTCGTTCGTGCTCTTCTCCATAGCCATCCCCACAGTAAGACCAGATGCCATTGATTCCAGGCTCCCCTTCTTTCGCATCTTTTGCGTTGTTGCCGCCTGCGCCTCCATCACGCTCTCCTAAATCAGTGCTTCGAAAAGGGTGGGGGAGGAGACCAACTTCAAGAACGCTAAGATCAAGACCAAAAAATCGATAAAAAAAATAAGGGCGCCCAGGCTAGAATCTAAGAGCCACGTGGTTCATGTCAACTAGCGAGATCCGGGCGCGTCGACAAGGCTGCGCTATCACTGGAATTCGGCCGTTGCATCGACGTTAACCTGCCCATCCGTCTCGCCATTTCTTGGCTTCATCACAGCGGGCCCCAGTTGTCCTGCCCGCGCGAGAACCAAGAGAGGGCTCTGTTACAGCGAGTTGTCATTGCGCTCTCATTTGGCTCTGGCTCCGACAATCTCTACCGACACGTCGAGCAGAGCAGCTTGCAATCCTTGCTTGCGCTCCGACCGCCTCTCGGAGTTGGCCGAACCGCGCCTTTGGCGAATCTCGGGCACTGCAGTCGTCGCTACGACCTGTCACAGGGGACAAGCAGGTGGCGGTTGGTGGTGTGGCGGTGGAGGAGAGGGCTCAGTCAGTCAGTAGGGGCGGTTCCTGGTCTCGTTTAAGGGAACGACACAGTCACGCGCAAGAACCACAAGCAGCAGGGTGGCCTCTCTCTCTCTCTATCTTGACCCAGCGTTATACCCTGCGAGCTGTTCGGCAGCTGAAAATTTCGGCGTCAGCCCTCTTTGCGCCCTCTACACTCTATTTTGCTGCTCAAGCTAGTCGCAAACCTTTACCATTGCCTCTTCTCCTCACACGATGGACTCGCGAAGCAATGCGGGCGAAGCGGCGGGCGGCGACACAGGAGCAAGAAGCACAGCGCCTCCGCCGGCGTCGTCATCCTCGGCGCCTTTCGCGTCCGGCTTCCAACAGCCCGGAGGCAGTGGGCTCGTCGAGGAAAGCAACGCATTGGTCAGCTCCCAGGACGCAGACATGACCAGCCGAGGTCCTTCGCCGTCCTACAGACCGTCGCCGTCGCCATCAAATACATCGCATTCCGATGACCAGGACCAGGAGGACGACGATGATGTGGACGATGATGACGATGACGACGACGTCTTCACCGACCTGGCCTCGTCCTCGCTCAACATGGGTGACCGACGAAACACGCTCAAGGCGCGCGGCTCGGCCGCCCTGCCGGCCTCTTCGAGCGGCGCCAACTCGAGCCAGTCGTGGCAGGTGACGCCGGCCAATGCGACAAAGGCGTCGGCAGCCACGCTGCCCCACGAGATTCTCCTGCACATCTTCAAATACGTCGCCCACAGCCCGCCGGATCTGAAGCGCTGCCTCAACGTATGCAAGGCGTGGTGCCTCTGTGGCGTCGAGCTGCTCTGGCACCGGCCCGCCTTTCCCAAGCTCTCGTCGCTCTTCAAGCTGATCCACATCATCCGGAGGCCCGACCAGACGTTTCCCTATGCCACCTTCATCCGGCGGCTCAACCTGGCCCAGCTGTCGGGTGAGCTCGAGGACTCGCTGTTCAAAAACATGGCTGCATGCACCCGTCTCGAGCGCCTCACCCTCGCCGGCTGCTCGCGTCTCTCCGACGAGGCCATCACTGCCGTGCTGTCCAACACCAAGCATCTCGTCGCGGCCGACCTGTCGGATGTCCCCAACCTCACCGACAAGTCCATCTACACCATTGCCGAAAACTGCCAGCGACTGCAGGGCATCAACCTCTCGAGCTGCCGCCAGCTGACGTCGACGAGCGTCGCTACGCTGGCCAGAAACTCGAAGCTGCTTCGGAGGGTGAAGCTGTGCAACTGCGAGAATGTCGGCGACGAGGCCCTCCAGGCCCTGGCCGAGTCGTGTCCCGTGCTTCTCGAGGTGGACCTGGTCGGATGCCCCCTCATCACCGACGCCTCTGTGCGCGAGATCTGGAAGCATTCGCACCATCTCCGCGAGCTTCGCCTCGCCCAGTGCGGCAAGCTCACCGACTTGGCCTTTCCTGCGCCCGCCAGCAGCTTTGCAGGCTCGACGCCCGCCTTGGGGGGTGGTGGTGCTGGTGGTGGTGCTGGTGGTGGCGCTAGTGGAGGAGGACCCAGCCTGGGGATGCCCCATCCCCACCATCTGGCCTACGGTGCCAGCGATTCTGCTCCGACGAGCCGGAGAGCGTCACCCATGGGTCGCTACGACGGCCACGGCAACCCGGGCCTGGTCACATCGCACTCCTCCGACGATACCAACAGCTACCCGCGCAACGTCACCATGCCCAACAGCAGCCCGCCGATGCACACCCACCTGCGGCCCTCGCGTATGTTTGACCACCTTCGTATTCTCGATCTCACAAACTGCAGCACCATCTCCGATGCCGCCATCGAGGGCATCGTCTCCAATGTTCCCCGAATTCGCAACCTGATCCTGGCCAAGTGCACTCGCCTGACAAACGAGAGTGCCTACAGCATCGCCCGGCTCGGCAAGAATCTGCATTACCTCCATTTGGGTCATGTCAGCAAGTGAGTTGACTGCACGCCGTCCTCTTGTGTTTGCCGCCTGTCCGTTGCTGATCAAACCTCTTTCTTTCCCCTCTCCAGCCTCACGGACCGTGCAGTATGCCACTTGGCGCGCTCCTGCACACGCCTCCGGTACATCGATCTCGCCTGCTGCCCGCAACTGACGGACTTGAGCGTCATGGAGCTGGCGTCAAATCTGCCCAAATTAAGGAGAATTGGACTCGTGAGGGTCATGAACCTCACCGACCAGGCCATTTACAGCCTCGTTGAGCGGTACACATGCCTCGAGCGCATCCACCTCTCCTACTGCGAAAACGTGTCGGTGCCCGCGATCTTTTGGCTTCTTCAGCGCCTGCCCCGGCTCACCCACCTCAGCCTCACGGGCGTGCCCGCCTTCCGCAGGCCGGAGCTGCAGAGCATGTGCCGGCCTCCTCCCAAGGAATTTAATGCACACCAGCGCCAGGCCTTTTGCGTCTACAGCGGCAAGGGCGTCAGCGAGCTCCGACGGTTCCTCCAGCGCGCTTACAGCGACGGGAGCAGCCCTCACCAGTTTGGCGAGCTGACGCCGGACATCCAGCGCGCGTGGGCCGACATGGCCTACCACCAGGAGAGGCACAATGCCTCGAGACGCGCGGCGCTGGTGGCGAGGAACGGCGGTATGAGCAGGCAGCATCCGCAGCGGGATGCGTCCAACGACGCCGCTTCCGCCGCGGATCTTGCCCGGCTGATGAGAGAGGGCCACGCGGGGGAAGAGTATTCAAGTGGTGGTGGTGGTGCGACCGCTCCGTCAGGGGCAGGGGCAGGGGCAGGGGCAGGGGCAGGGGCAGGAGCAGGACCAGGGGCGAACCGAGACATGGTGTACGACAGCTGGTTCAGGCGGCTGCAGCAGGCCTCTCTCTTTGCTGCGTCGGCGGAAAGGACAGGCGCAGGACAGGACGAGGCGGTGGCGACCGCGGCCGATGTCCAGCGATTCCTTCAGGAGCAGATGCAAATACAACGAGAGGCAGCAGCGGCCGCGGCAGCCGCTGCTCAGCCGGGGGGAGGAGGAGGCAGCGGCGGAGGAGGAGATGGCAGGGGACCAGTGGGAGCAGAAGCAGCAGAGGCAAGAGGAGCAGGGGTAGGAACAGGAGAACAGCAGCACCATGTCATGCCAGGGTCGTTTAGATTTGGATCGTCGTCTTCTTCGTCTTCTTCGATGCCTCCTCCCGCAGCAGCAGGAGGTGCCGGAAGATCAAGCGGGGCCAAAGGGCCCGGGGAACAAGGCACTTCGTCGGCCTCGGCTTCGGCTTCTACCTCAGGCCTGTCTGGAGCATTCACAGGAGCGTCACAGCCAAGTCGGCCAGCAAACGTCGACACATTTGCCGCCAATAGCAATATGGCCTCGACGGCGGCATCAACGGGCACGGGGGCCAATGGGGGATTCCAACAAGGCCGAGAAGAAGCAACAGCCTCCACCACCAACGGAAGACTGGCCGCGCTGGCGACGCCTCCCGCGGATAGTGCCACGACCAGAATGTCGTTCATGACGCCCAACGCCCGCAGTGGCAGTGGCAGTGGAGCAGGTGGTGGTGGGACAAGCGGTGGCGCTGGTCCCTCGTCGTCATCGTCAGCAGGTGCCCAGTTCTTCTCATTCGGACGAGCACCCGGCGATGGCGGTGGACCTCACTAGACTGACACAGCCTGCCTCGTCGTCCTTCCGCCTCCGATGTCCTCCTTGCCTTCCCAGTCTTTACTCGCGGATCTGCTTCTCGCCATCTCTCTATCAAGCAAACCCCTTCCCGCAACCCCAAACCCACATCTGTCTCCATGGCATCTTCACACACACACACTTTTCCACTCTTCCGGCTCTCTCCCTTTGTTGTCATCTCTCCATCTCATCTGGTGTGCTTCAAGCCTCTTTTCTGTGTCTCACGTCCATCCAAGTAGCAGTAGTAGTAGTAGTCGTCAAGCTCCACTTTCCGGTAAAACATTCCCATCGTTCAAGCGTCTTCCTTTTATCCAAGGCCAAGTCAGGCCGTGTGTCTGTTTCTTGCGTGAGCTAGCTAGCTCTTTCTAGATGGTGTTGATGGTTGTAAGTCTATCTATCGGCTGGCCTTTCTATCTATCTACTGTCGTCTATCGTAAAGTATACGGTACGAATGCTACTACTGTACAAATATAATGATGGAGCTTCGTCTATTCAATCTAGCCTGCTGCGCTCCAACGGATCTCGTACCGCCTGAACTTGGTCGGCGTGCCGCTCAGCCTCCTCGCGAAGCCAATGTCGGGCGACATTGATGCTGACTGTCCGCCGCGTCGGTGTTCGTGAACGTTGCGGTGGGACTGCCGACGGGACAGCAGCTTCGGCGGGCCAAAGTCGTCGAAGCCGTCGATCTCGTCTTCCTGCGCGATGCACAGCGTCTCTTCTAGTCGTTGGGACGAAGAGGAGGAGCGCGGGAATATACGGTAGAGGTCGTCGAATTCTTGCAGGTGCGTTGGACGGTAGGCTGAGAGGAGATGGAGGGCGCCAGCGATGCTGCTGTTGGGCCCAGAGGCATGGCGCGACTGTCGGGCGAGGTGTTTCGTGGCCAGGGAGTGGATCCACGTTGTGTGGAGAGACTCGTATGTGCAGTCTGTCCCCTCCAGAGTCAGTGGCGTACAGAGCTTTCTTTGTTAAGGGGAGAGAAGGGGGGGGAGGACTCACCGGCAGCGACGATGAGATCGAATTCGAGACCGGAAATGTCCGTCGCCTTGCCGTCATGCACGTCCTTCCAGTCGACGCGCTTCACCAGCACCTTGACTCTCGCTGCTGCTGCTGCTTCCTCCTCGTCATCGTCAGCGCAAGCACCTCTCTCGGTGAGGGTCCAGCCATTGGCGCAGACGTTGCGTTTCAGATTCGATAGCACGTCGGTATGAAAGTCGGTCAGGAACACCTCTACCCTTGCGTGACCTCCCATTCTGCGCGCCAGATCCGCCAGGGCCAGGCCGACCAAGCCGGTGCCTGCTCCAAGCTCGAGCACCTTGATGACCCGACCACCTTCCCTTGCGCTTGCGCTCGCCAGTAGCGCCTCGAAACGCGGCAGGAGGTGACGCACGAGCAGCGGAGCCGAGCCCCAGGTCCGATTGCCCAGCGCGTCCTCCTTGAGCGTCGACTCCGTCGTGCATACACGCACCACCACGCCCCTTCCTTCTTTTCTTCCAACCTCGTCCTCGGAGCGGGATGATCCGAGGGGGAAATGGTAGATGCGACGGAGAGTGCCCGAGGCGGACTTGCCCGCGAGAAAGCCAAGGAGCTGGCTGGCTCGCGAGAGGACGGCCTCCCGCGCCTCCTGTTCGTCTGCCTCGTGCTCCAGCGTCCAGAGCGAGACGAGACCAAGGAGCCAGTCTTTGGCGTACCGGAGCTCAAAGGCGTCTTCCTCTTCCTCCTCGTCCTCCTCCTCGTCGTCTTCACCCTCGTCTATCTCGTCCTCTATTGCGAACGGAGCAGTAGGAGGGTCGACCCAGTAGTGCTCAGCGGACAGATGCAGGCCCAGGGCCCTCGAGAGCGCCTCGAGGCCGGCCTGGATCGACGAGAGCGAGGGCTGGGAGCCGCTTCGACGAGACAGGCGCGGAAGGTCCCGCGTGGGGAGGAAGCCCTCCTCCGCTTCCCCTTGGTCCTCGGCACTCTCAACGAGATGTGCTCGGGTCATCTCATCGGGAGGTTTGAGGCGGGGCGAGGCGAAGCGAGGCGAGCCGCAGAGGGCGCAAGGCAACGTGACGGTGAGAACACGGAAATTTAGCAGAAGAGAGCGAGGGAAAAAAAAAAAATTAAACTTTTGTCTCGCACGAGAATCGCACCTGTCGCTGCGAGTGGCATATGAAAGAGCGAGATCGTGCGTGACATTATCGAAAGAAAGCTAAAAGTAAGGCTACAGAGAAGAGGTAAGGGAACCAGGAGAATGGATGCTAGGAATGAGGCGGGGAAGGAGGCCTCGAATGCTGGAGGGGCACCCAGTCCTCGTCGCTGTCTAGGACGCTGTCGGTCGAGCCACGCGGGCTGAGCGCCACCTCTCCGTAGCTCGATGCTGGGCCGGAGATGGTGCCCGCGCTGATGCCGGCCTCGGTCCAGTTGCTGACGCTCTCCGGTGGGCTGACGAGGAGGGGTGGCTCGTGCTGTGGGCCGCCGAACAAGGGCGCAGGGGCAAAAGGGTGGACGTCGGTCTCGACTGCGACCTCGTCACGGTCCATTGCCGAGATGAGGTCGAGCCCTCGGCCATTTGCGGACTCCGCAGTGTCTATCTCGAGTGCGTGTTCAGACTCTAGGTGATTGTGGCTCTCCACGAATTCTTGGTCCGAGTCCAAGGACATGAGCGTGACGGAAGCCACCGAAGGAGAAGCCTCGCCGACGTGGTGATGCGGCGACTCGACTTCAGGCGCATTCTCCAGTGCAGAAGGGGTCTGTTTTATGTTTTTGCATCAGAATGAGGGCTGCACGAGATGAAGGGAGGGGGCATGCGAGAAGGTCAACTCACCAGGACATTGCTTCCACTTGTTGCATCGACCAATGGACCGGGCGGCTTTGTCTTTCGCTTTCGAATCACGTACGCTGTCCCGTCGGCGTTCCTGGCCTCCTTGATTGCCTCGGTGTAGTTGCTGTACAGACTCCCGTCGTTTGCTTGCGCTTCGTGCTCCATCTCATGCATCATTCGCTGCTTCTGCAGCGTGCTCTCGCGCTGGTGCATCTCGAATTCGTCCATTTCTCTCCTCAGCATTTCTTCCTCTTCCTGCTCCTCCCTTGCGTCGTTGCCTTGCCATGCACCCCCATCTCGATGCCTTCGCATATCACGATCCCGCCCTCCAGCAATGTCGTGCAAGCCATCCTGGATATCACGCTTGAATGCCTCCCACTCGCCCTTGAGACCCTCACCAACCCCCTCGGGCCAGTTCTCCTGGCGCCATGGCTTGAAGACGCCCAGCTCGAATGCGACGACGGCGGCCACAGAGGCAGATACGGCCGCTGCCACGACGGCGGCGTGTGGCATTTCGTGGTCTTCTGATGTGGGTTGCGCGGTGGCGTTTTTGGGTTCTCAAGCTGTCGAGCAGGTGGCGTGCATTAGTTTGTCCCTTGGATCTCTAGATAAGAAAAAAGGAAGGCGGGAATCGCCAGCTGCGATCTATGATTGGATAGAAAGCCTTGATTGCCCAGGCCGCACTGGTGACACGATGATGAAGGGCTGAGGGGTGGTCGGCGGATGAATGGATAGGGGAGTAGTGCCTGCCTACAGGGTTCTATTTCAAGAGCATCAGCAGGCTCCGACTAGGGGCACGTGGAGGACGAGGAGGCCCGTGCGACTCAGCCCCAGCCTGAGCAGCAACCCCGACGCGCCCTCATGGTTCTCTCTCTAACCCCCGTACCGTCAACTAGAGAAGAGCAGCAACGAAGACTACGACAGCACGACGATGGCACTCAATTGGGCCATGCTGACAGAGGACGGCCGTCGGCCCGTACCTCTACCCCACGAAAAGGTCTTCTTCTCTGTCGAGAAGTGCAGCCTCGCGCTCGAGTTCAAGAATCAGTCGCTAAAGTGGTCCGCCACTGGATCAGCCTTTGTGACCAATGAGCGGGTATGCATTGTGTATGCCCATTGTTCTTTGTGGTCGATTAGCTCACTGTAGAGCTCCTCTTATCAGATCATATTTGTGCGCCAGCCGCCCCTCCCAACTCCAGCCTCAGCCGACAACACTCAGCTCTCGACGCTCTCGGTACCCCTTCCGAACTTTCTCGACACACGCTACCTGATTCCCATCTTTGCAGCCCCGGTGTACGAAGCGACGATCATACCCACGCCCGACGGTGGCCTCCCGCAACCTTCTCGGTCTTCAGGCATGCCGACGACGGGCTTACTCAAGCTCTGGTTCACTGAAGGGGGCGGTATGCAGTTCAGAGACGCCATCGAGGAGGTAAAGAGTCGGCGCGAGGAAGGCGCGAGGCAGTTTGAGGCCCTGCGTGAGTGATTTTCTTCGCTGGCGGAAGCTGCGGACTGTCTCCGGATTGACTCACTCCTTCCTTGATTATACAGCCACGTACGAGCCACCAGAAGAGGGCAGCTCAACGGAGCAGCAGCAGGGTGCCTCCCCAGCGCCACGGCTAGCTCCAGCTAGAGCGCCAGTGCGGCGCGACTCGCAGCAGCCAGATGCAGAGGATATGGCAGCCGCCAGCGTTGCCCGAGACCACGAGGAGCGGGAGCGGGATGCGATTCCTGGACAGGATCCCCCCGTCGCACACGCGACATCATCATCTCCGACAGCGGAGAACCACGGCCAACGGCATGAGGAGCTCCCGCCAGCGTACGAGGCTTAACGTTTGCACAAGGCGCAGTAATTATTATCAAGAGTGTCATTAATACAATTGAAAAGCGTCCGTAAGGGCAAGAGAGATGACCATCCGGGAAAAAGCTATGATAAGCATTATTGAGAGGAAGCATGCGCAGCCTCTTGGGCACGCACGACGTCGTCTCGCGAGATGTTTGCCTTTTGGCACATTTGGAAAAAGTAGCCTTGCTGGTCAAAGAGCCGCGTCGGCGTGTCGTACTCTTCGAGCCTGCCCTGCTCAAAGACAGCGATGCGGTCGTAAGCAATCACGGTCCTGAGGCGGTGGGCGATGGTGATGAGTGTCTTTTTGGCAAACTCGGTGCGGATCGTCTGCTGGATCAGCGCGTCTGTCTGCACATCGACGGATGCTGTGGCCTCGTCGAGGAGAATGATCTGCGAGTCCTTTACCAGCGCGCGCGCGAGCGAGACGAGGGAACGCTGGCCCAGCGAGAGGTTATTCCCTTCTTCCTCCAGAGGGGTATCGAGGGTGATCTGCTGCTGCTGGTGCTTCTCTCCCTCGACATGGACCGCAGTCTGGTGCTCCAGGTCAGAGTCCTGGCCGACGAGGTAGGAACGCTTGAGGGCATCCCATAGCCTCGCATCGTCATACTGGCCAAATGGATCGAGGTTGCTCCGAATTGTCCCCGAGAAGAGCACAGGGTCCTGTGGCAGGTATCCGATCCTCGTCCTCAGATCCGTCAGCCCAACCTCTCGAATGTCGATGCCGTCGATGCGGATCTTGCCCTCCTCCAGCTCAATGAGCCGCAAAAGACAGGTGAGCAGTGACGACTTTCCGGCACCTGTGCGGCCCACCACAGCAGTCTTTTCGCCAGCGCCAATCGACATGTCGATGCCCTTGAGCACAATGGGCAGGCCTGGCCGGTAGCGAAGCTTGACATTCTCAAATTCAATGGCGCCCTGCTTCGGCCAAGCCGGATCGAGATCCATGACTTCTTTGGGCGTGTCCTGCCGCGCCTCCTGCTGCAGCTCCGTGGCGTAGTACTGAATCCGCTCTGCGCTGTTCATGTCGTTTTCCACCTCGGCCACCTGACGCGTCGCCCAGGAAAAGGCCTGGCTGACGGTGAGCATAAATGACAGGGCGAGACCAACCTCACTGGGCGTGATGGTGTTTGCGCCCACCGAAGCGAGAATGGCCGTGATGAAGACGAGAATCGCTCCAAGGAAGTCGAGACGTACACCGAGGAAGCGCTGGTTGCAGATGCTGAAAAAGTAAGCACGGTTCTCGATGTCGACGTGGCGGAGGTGATCCTGGAGGAAACGGCCCGATTCGCCATAGGCTCGAACCGTGGCCAGTCCGACAAGCGTCTCAGAAAAGTGCGAGTAGAGTGCTGAGCGAAGAACGGCGTCGAGACGCTTGACCTCTCGCGCGCCACGGCGGTACACGATGGATCCGAGAACGTAGAAAATCATCACGCCGGCAACAGCAGCGATGAAGTAGTGCGTGAGGACCGTAATGAGGATGATTGCGCCAACTACGCTACCCAATGTTGACGTCGCCATCCTTGCGCTGTCGGGTAGAAGATTGTCGAGCGTATCAATGTCCTGCGGAGAGACGGAAACACATTAGCTTTCATACGGGAATTGGCTTTGCTCTTCAGGAACGTACCTTTGTCATACGGTTCATGATTCTTCCTTTTGGCTGCACGTCAAAGAAGGTGTTCAACGGCGCATACAGGATCCTTTTGATGGCGTCTGCGTGCAGGTTGCGTGCCGCATAGTAGGTGAAGATGCCCACCGAGGCACCCATGAGGAACGTAGCAATGGCCTGTGCGATACCCAGTGCGGCGTAGATACCCATGTAGAAGCCTGCGCTTTGCTCAAATTGATCCTGCTGCCACCAGACGAGCCAGTAAGAATTGATGACGGTAGCGCCCTGCATGAGGGCAATGGCGAACAGCAGCGCAGGCACCAGAATCCAGCCGTGTCCAGCTTTGAGATAGCCAGCCCACACGTTGCCTCCCACCGAGCCTGTGTTCCTCTCCTCCATGGCCAGCAGTGCCTTCTTTCCCGAGACGTCTGTCATCCTCGATCGCGCGATCCTCTTCTTTCGGCCGCCTTGAGCGGCATCTTCGATCGCCTCGTCCTCGTTTTCGTCTCGCTTCTCCTTTTCCTCCTCCTGCTCACCACCGAACTCTTCAACCAGCCGGCTGAAAGGCCCGTTGGCCTTCTCGAGGTCGGTATAGGTGCCCATCTCGACAATTTCACCGTCCTGCATGGTCATGATGCGGTCGACGTGAGGCAAGACATGAATCGCATGCGTGACCAGGAGGACAGTCTTTCCCTGTTGCTTGAGTCCGAGAATTGCATTGTTGAAGAGCGCCTTGCCAACGTGAGGGTCGACTGCGCTCAATGGGTCGTCGAGCAGGTATGTGTCTGCGTCGAAGTAAAGGGCCCTGGCGAGCGTGACGCGAGCCTTTTGTCCGCCGGACAGCGTCGTTCCCTTTTCGCCGATTTCGGTCTCGTCACCCTGAGGCAAAATGAGAAGGTCTGACTCAAGCTCGGCACGGTGGATGACCTCCCAGTAGCGCTCCTCGTCAAATGGCCGACCGAAAAGGATGTTCTCACGCACAGTCGCGGCCTGAATCCACGGTGATTGGGGGCAATAGGCAATCTTGCCGGCGCCACCGCCCCAGATAAGCCTGCCCGACGTCATCTTGACTTCGCCAACGAGGGCCTCAAACACGGTAGATTTGCCCGAGCCGACGGGTCCGACAATGGCGACGAGCTCGCCGGGCGTGATGTGCATGTTGAGATTTTCCAGGTGGAACGGCTTCTCGACATGCGCCGTCTCTGCCTCGTCGCTTTTGGCCGCGGCGTCGGTAATCTGTGGTCCCACTTGGTTGAGTCCGGCAACAGCCTCGCTCTTGTCGCCGCCGGAAATCACGTCTGCGGCCTGCTCCGCCTGCTGCTCATTCGGCTGCGCGTCGCGGTCCGTCGTCGATTTGTTCACAGGCGTCTGATGTCCACTGCCCATGCCAGCCCACGACTTTCTCAATCGGTCCGCCTTCTTCGTAGGCGTCGCAGTGCCCGAGCCTGCGGCGTGGTCCTTGGCCAGCTTCTTGTTCTTCTTCTTGTCGGCCGCCAGCTGCTTCTTCGACTTTGGAGCATCATCCTGCTTCTTGACCTCGTCGTACTCGAAGGTGGCATTCCGCAACTCCAGGCTGAACTTGGCCTCCGGATCCCTCTCCGACTGATCGGCGAGCTGCTCGGAGCTAAAGACAGCATTGAGTCGCAGCGAGGCGTTGTAGCCATCCGTCAGCGCACTGAAGGACAGCGGGAGGAACATGAGTGGCAAGCGAAGAAGCTGGAACAGCGTCAGGGCAGTGAAGATCCTTGCCGGGTTGAGGCCGTTCCCGATGGCGTTGTACACGATGAAGGAGACGACGGCGCAGATGACGGGCAGCGAAAAGGCGATTGCGTTGTTGAGAGAGCGAACAATGATAAGCTTCCGGATGCCCAGAAGCTCCTTCCTCCGGAGAAAGGCAAGCCTCTCGAGGAACTTGGACTCCTGCGCAAACGATTTGACGACACGGATCGACGAAAGGAGCTCGTTGATGAGCTTGCTCCGCTTGTCTGTCCAAACCATCGAGGCACGCCTGGCACCAAACATGCTCTTCATTGTCACACCCTGAATAGGCACGAACATGAGCAGCACAGCGACACCGACGAGAGCAGACTCCTGGATCTGGCCAATGAGCAGGCCGACGCAGAGAAGAAAGGCAATGGGGCTGATGAAGGCAAGCACACCCCACTGTGCTGCAAAGTCGATTCGGCTGCAGTCCGTCGAGGCGTGGTTGAGCAGCTTTCCAGGGCTTCGGTCCTTGCCAGGCAGATTCATGCTGCGCGTAAAGAGGGCCGAGATGAGTGTGGCGCGAGCGTGGACACCGACGGACATGGAACGGAAGAAGAACTGGTGCTGGCCAATGCTCATGATGACCTGTAGGATCAAGAGGGCAATCGAATAGCCCACGCCTTCACCCGTGCTGGGCTGGTTGGGATACTGCTCCGGGAGCTTGCGGTGGAGATAGGTGGCCTGACCAAAGTTGATGATGGCATGGACGAGGAGGGGCGATGTCATCTGCGCAACATCACCGGTAATCTTGAAGAGAGAGCCAATGAATAGCTCCTTGCGGAACATCTCGATGAGAGCAGAGTAGATCTGCGGCTCCTTGTGGCCGCTCAGCTTTCGCAGCCTTGCTGCCTTTTGCGTCGCCGCTTTTGCCGCTGCGTCTTGCACACCATCGCCCGACGTCGCTGCCCCAGCGCGCTTTGGCAAAGCCACCGGTGGCGCTCGCCAGATCTTTTCTCGCTCCTCAATCGAGAGCTTCTGGTTGGACCGTGCTGTGACTTGGAGCCAAGCATTGTTGAGGCCCCACTTGAACCGCATCCCAGCTGTGACGGGCGTTTTCCCATCAACAAGCGCTTTGTTCCACGCCTTTGCATCTTGGACGCGTTTGTCCCAGAGCCTCAGCAGTTCCTCGCTCTGTACCTTGGCCGAGTGTCTCTCGCCAAGCTTGTAGAGGTCTGTCGCTTCGAGGGCGCGCTGGTAACCCAGTACCATGATCGGCTGCGCCCATTGGTAAGTGATGATGGAGAGCCAGTTGGCGTTCTCGAGTGGGATGAGTTTGGCATCGTCGAGCGACAACGGTGGCGGAGCAGGAAGCTCCTTAGGTCGCCATAGCTGATAGAAGCGCTGCCGCTTCTTGACGTGCACAAAGCCCCGGTCGCCGGGATTATACTTGTAAAGCTCTTGCGCTTCAACGTCATCCTCGCCGTCAGAGTCCTTCTTTTCCGACAGCTTCTCATCGTCCGACGAAAGCTTGGTCTGTAATGTCCTCTGTTGGTCCTTTTCGTACGTCTCTTGTCGTTCGTCGGCCGTCGATGCTGTGGAGGAAGCAGACGCCGTCATGTTTGGCGACGCCACACTCTTCGCTCTTCGCTCTTGGCCTTTTTGGTTTCCCGGTTGCTTTCCTGGCCTCTTTCGACTATCGTCAATCTTTCCGTATGGCTCGCTCACTAAAGGCAGGTGGTGGCAACAAGATGAGGTCGTCGACAATGTCAGCAGGGCGGGACGTAAACTTCACATCATCCTCCGATCGAATGACCCAGGTTGCTTACTTATACGCACCCTCCGAACAACGGACGCGCACTTTGGGCCTCGCTGAGTCGGCACGGAACTATTTCCCCTCAATTTTTCTTGTTTTGTTTTTTCTTATTTCTTGCGCGTCCTTCTCCGGACTTTATCCGCACATCCTCCCTCAGCTTCCCGCAAACTCAGCGCCAGTTCCGCACCAATTCACTACGTCCTCTTTGCAGGTTGGAAACCTTCCTGGGATTGCTGACCGTGCATACGGAGGCTCACGCTTTGGCAAACTAGTCTAGCCCATAAAGCGCGGCATGCGAGCGAAGCTCGCCCCCTGAACTCCCTTGTCATCACCGCCGGCTTCTCTTGCACTCGGATTTAAGATCTCGCACTACAAAAAAACCCAAATTCAAATAAAAACACGGTACTACTACTACTACTCATCCCTTGGAATTTATCGTTGAGCTGTTATTACAACCGCCGCTCAAGTCCTCGGATCTCCGTCTGTGGTTCTCCTCCTCGCCGCCACTTCCGTTGCTGCTGCGGTGATGAAGTTCAGATGGCGAGCGGCAAAGAGACAGCTTCTGTGTTACTTGTTAAGCAAGTGGGCCTGTCTTTCGGTCTTCTTTTCGAAACAGCTTTGACGTTCTCGCAGACCTGGGTGTCGTAGCGAGAGATTTCGACAAGAACAGAGCGGGCAGATAGCGCACAGCACTCTTGTCCGGATATCACACAAGACTGATATGATAGTACCATTTCTCGGTGCAATGACTGTCCACTCAAGGACCCATGTGACACAAGAGACGGGTAGTGGTTGCGTGGTTGCGGGAGCAGCGACTCCCACAGCTTCTCGTGGCGTTCAGCCACGCGAGACGGAGAGGGGTCCAGTAGGCGGGGGCGGGGAAACGTAACAGCTCCCACGGTTCCACATAGTAGGGCACGGGAAACCCTCAGCACCTTGTCGTGTAAAGGGCTTCGACGAGCACTCCGCAAAAGCTGGGGCCGAATATGCCGAGCACCCACCTAACAGGCAGTAGATCAACTAATGAAAAAAGACGGGTGTCTCATCAGTGCGTTGGACCATAGTCCCTTCCCACAAGCTCCCGGGAACTGGGATTCCGCATGCACGATAGACATCGTATCGCAGCGGTGTGGTACAAAACCGAACCAGTGGACTATGGGACCCACTTGAAAATTCAACTATCAGAAAATAAGATGCATGGGGCCCGAATGGTCTTTGCATGATTGCTGAGATCACCGCGGCCGAGTGGCCGAGCAGCATTTAGACAGCCGTTGTCCAAAAGCCATCTACCTCTGATCTGATTCAGCATTGAGCTGAGGTCGAGGCACTCTCCCACGAGGGGAGTTGCCACTTCCGTTCCTGACTCATCAATATTCTGCCTCTATCTATCGGCACAACGATGCAATCTGAGAGAGCTTGAGTCGAGCTACTAGACCGCAAACTAATCGCAAGTGGCTTGGTCTCGACCACTTTGTACTTGACGAAAAGGCACTGGGCAAACGGATATTCCACCTGTCCTGCAGGACTCGATAGGGCCCACACTTTCATCAGTTCAAGTTATCTGCTTCGCTTTCTACCACATGCGACTTTGTCAACGTCTGTGATTGGCCCGAGCTTTTTTATCTTGTCGGCTTCAAAAGTTTAGCTAGGCAGATTGGATCAGAACTAAAATTCTTAGTGGCCAATTTTTGGCCCGAGAACTTCGCATCCATGAGCATAAAAGGACAGTGCCTGACTCCCACACTCTGTCTCCCAATAAGCAATCCTCTTCACCCTCTGCACCACCCTAGAGCCGAACAAGGAACAAGAAGATGTCTGTCGCTGGTATTGTGCTCCTTACCCGCCATGGCGACCGCCAGGGCTTCTACCAGTCCCCGACGACGTACACGGCCAAGTCGACGAACCTGACCGTGCTCGGCTACCAGCAGGAGTACAAGAATGGTCAGGACCTGCGCACCGCCTACTTTGCAGGCGACAACGCCATCCAGGGCATGAGCACCGAGGCAGCTCAGGGCAACCAGCTGCGTGTTATGGCTGACGCAGGCGGTGAGGGAACCGTCATTGTCGATTCAACCAACGCTTTGCTCCAGGGTCTCTACCCTCCCTACAACGACAGTCTGCTTCTTGCCAACGGCACTACAGTCTCGTGGGACCGCGCCCAGCTGGTTGAGGTCGAGACGATCGAGTCGGACCAGTCTGTCTGGCTCGAAGGGTGGACGAACTGCGACGCCTTCCAGACTCGTCTCAACAACTGGTACAACTCCAGCGAGTTCAAGGCACAGGCCAAAATTGCCAACCCGTTCTTCAGCACCCTGACCAACATCGTGGGCACCAACCGGCCCTTGACGCTCGAGAATGCATGGAACCTGTTCGACTTCCTCAACGTCGAGAGTATTCACAACTCGACGCTCGCACCCCTCATCAGTGCCTCAACTCTGGCCCAGGCCCGGTACTGGGCCGATTACCACGAATCCGGCTCCTTTACCGACTCGGACCTGTCCAACGTCGGAAACATTGCCGGCCAGGCCATCCTCCCTCCCCTTCTCTCGGGCATCAACGATATCGCCAACACGACGAACCCCATCAAGTACGTCCACCTCTCGGCCTCGTACAAGCCTTTCCTCGCCCTGGCCAAGCTCCTCGCCCTGCCCGACCCGCTCTCGACCTCCGTCGTCGACTACGCTGCTTCGGCCATCTTTGAAGTCCGCACCGACAACACTGTCCGCTTCCTCTTCCGCAACAGCTCCACCGAGGACAGCTGGACCTCGTACCCCATGCTTGGCCGCCAGGCTAGTAGCGCAAACTCTGTGTCCATCAGCGACTTTGAAAGCGCACTGCAGCCCTACAACCTGCCCACTTTGGCCGACTGGTGCGACAAGTGCTCCACGACGGACGCCCGCGGCTGCAGCGCCCTGGCTCAGCTCAATGGCACCGGTGGTGCTGGCTACGCCAGCATCACGTCGACCACGGGCAGGCACCACGTCAGCCCAGTCGTGGGCGGTGTGATTGGCGCCATGGTTACCCTCGCCCTCGTCGCCGTCGGCTTTGCCATCTTCCTCGCCGTCGGCCCCTTGAGGAACAAGCGCCGCAACGGACGAAGCTCCGGCGGCAGCGACCACGGCTCTTCGGTCGACACGAGGACAAACGGTCACCACCACCTCGAGGAGAAGACATCGGCGCATTGAGCCACCCCTTCGTGTCTATCCCCCTCTTCCGTTTGTGCACCTCGGATCTGTATGTTGATAAGGGGTTTTTTGTATCACCGTTTGTCTGTTACCCTCCTCCTCTTGCAAACCCTTGCTATTTTCTGTTCTCCAGTGTGATGAAGAAGTGCGACTCTGATCTGTGGAAGCCACTTCAGGTCAGGCGTGAGCGGAGAGCAGAAAGCCAAATGAAGACCAAAGCCCTGGTCGGGAGGGTGCTTGGCGGATGGTATTTGTACCGATGAATGGTCTCGCGAGCGAAAATACAACAATGGTAACACAGAGACCCGATAGCGAGAGAGAAAAGAAAGGAAAAGAGAGGCGTTACGAAGCTGAGGCAACGACGCGGCCACCGAAGCCATTGACGGCGCCGTCACCCACTCCTCGTTTCCGCTTGCGCGCGCCAATGTAGTGCGAGACTGCAAAGCACTGTCAACAACCAAGCTCTCTTTGGGTCAAAGGACTGGGACCACTCACAGCTGAAGGTCTCGGGTAGCCATTCCCCATTGTTGATGATGAGGACACGCATGAGGTCGTGGTACTTGAGATGCGGGAGCAGCTTGGGCGTAATGAGAAAGTATTGTCCAGCTCCTTCTCGGCAAGTAACATCGACCATCTGGTCGTGAACCGCTCGCTCTGCTCGCTGGTCCATACCCTGAATTTGAGACGAAGGAACATCAGCTTATTGCACGCACCTCCACGCTGGACCTGAGCTCACCTGGTTGATCTCGTCGACGAGCGAAAAGGGTGAACGAGACAGCTCCAATAAGCTCATGAGGTACAGAATCGTCGAGAGTGACCTTTCGCCTCCAGATTGACGTTGAGCGGTGAGGAGCTGGAGCTGCTCCGTGTCGCGGAATTTGACCAGAATGTCCATTCCCCACTTCTCATAGTCATCGTTTCGCGAAATATGCACTTCGCCCGCACAGCCAAGCTTGCTGAAGGCGCGCGTGAAGTTGTTGTTGACCGAGTCCCTGATCACGTCCAACGCCGGCAGCCAGAGCTCCTCGAGCTTCTTGATGTCGCTGTCGAGCTTCGCCTTGTCACGGTCACGCTTCAAGATACTAGCCTGAAGCTTTTTGATCTCGTTCTTGCGCCGGTTGTACGCCTCCATGATGCCTGGACTGATCTCAACAGTGGATTCTATCTCGACCGATACCTCCATGTGCTCGTGTTGAATCTCGTGCAGCGGCCGATCCTGGAAGACGCATTCGATCAGTGAGATCGTCATGGCCATAGAACGGTAATCCGACTCAGCTTGACTCACTCTACGGGACGGATTTGCATCCTCTTCTTCGTTTCTCCGGACCACTTCCTCGTCCGAGTCGCCCACCAATTGAGACGCCTCTGCACGGCAGCGTATCGCATGTTCTTTGGCCTTTGTCAATTGTTCGGCAGCTGTAATGAGGGAATATTATCTCAGTGCTGCGCTTTACGACAATGGAGATGTAGCGCACCTTTCTCAAGAGCATCCTGCGCATCTTTGAGGAAGTCTTGATTGTGCTTTTTCAGACTCCTCAGGCTTTCGTACTTGCTCTTGTTTTGAGCGAGGTCCAGCATTAGAAGCTCGTACTCCTGTCGCCTTTGCACTTGCACGACCATCAAATCCTGCGGGAAAAGTGAGCTCGCCTGAACCTACGGCACTCTTCAGAGGAATCGCACCCACCTTCATTTTTCTGGCGTGCCCAATCATGTCATTGTTGAGCTTGCGAAGCCGCTGGGTCAACCGCTCTTGCTCAACCTGCGCCGTAGGTTTCTTAATTTCCTCTTCCAGAAGGTTACGCTTCGTGGCCAACGTCACCCTCCTTTTCTCCCACTGTGTGCGCGCCTTGTTCGCATCAATTTTCTGGCCCTTGAGCTCTTCCTGGCGAGCTTTGGCCTTCTCTCTACGCTCCTTAAGCTTCTTGACCTCCTTGTCCGCGGCCGAGCTCTGCGCCTCTATTTCGCTCGTCTGCTCGGCAATCTGCCTCATCTCGGCATCGAGCTTGCGCTTGAGATTGATGTCAACAGAGAGTGTGAAGATGCGGGCCGGCTTGAAGCTTTGAGAGGTCATAGAAAATTGACGCGAGCCATACTCGGAGCGAGAGACGTTGTATTGTTGGGTACCAATGATGTAGCGACGGCAAATCTCCGAGTTTTGCACGGCGTCCGGGTCGACATTCGTTCGTCTCGTCGCGGGCTTTCGATTGGAAGTACTTCCGTCAGCTTGGAACGATCTGAGGCGGCCTGGGGGGAGACACTCACAATCAGGTGCAGGTTTGTCTTGTGGCAGAGGCAGCGGAGCACTGCATCGGGTCCCTCGATCATATCAAAGAGGTAAGAGTCGAAGCCGAGATAGCGGATCTTCTGCTCTGCTCCCTGAGGTCGCTCTTGCAAGAAGGCTTCAAGGCTTTTGCCGTCACCCCATTCATACGCGTTGACCCGGAATCCCTCAGCCTTTACCAGCCTGTAGAAGGTGTCATAGTCGGCCCGCGTTTCACAGACGAACGTCTAAAAATGAAGGCGTGTATCAGCCTGGCTGTTGTTATACGTACCCTCTTCAGCTGACTTACCCTCATGAGGTTCCAATTAATCACAGCCTCGACCGCCGCCGCATTTTCTGGGTTTGGCACAGAGAGTTCAAGCATGATTGGCTCATGGACCTTCTTCTCAAACAGGTGCTGATTCTTGCGAAGCCATCGGACGGCCTTGGCGGTATGGGCATCTTTCTTCTCCAGGTCCGCAAGTCGACGTTCTTTGACGTTGTCCATACGACCGAGACTGTGTGTGCGCCAAGGTCAGCAATGGCTACAACGGGCGGCCAGGTAGACCTACTCTTGCAGAGTCGCCGTCTTCTTGTTTTGCAATTGCCTCATGGTACTGTGTAGGTCGTCGAGCTCGTTGCTCTTGTCGCTCAACGACTCTTCAATCCCTCGTGCAGCCTCCCTGAGGTTTCTCTACACAGATTGAAGTCAAAGTCAGAAGAGTAAGGACGGAAGGGTAAATTAAGATCCGACGCAGCAGAGCAAACGCACCAACTCGGCGTCAATAGCAGATGTGTCCCCGACATCAGGCTGCTCGCCGATGTCCTGTTGAAGCTCCTCAATATCGCGCGCAAGCCTCTCGATCACCTTTCTTCGCTGCTCTTCCTTTGCCTTCAAGGTCGACTGCTTGTCCTGCGTGGTCTCGTATTCGGTCGTCTATCGCAATCGAGCCAGCCAAAATGAGATTGGATGTCTAACTCGCTCTATCACGGTACTTACCAGCGATTCGTGGGCTCGATGAATCCTCTTCAGGTCCCGAATCAGCGTTTCTATGGCTTTAGAGACGTCGTTGATCTTTAGTTTGAGCTTCTCGCTGACGTTTCCGACTGACCTGATGCAGTAGATTGCGCCCGTCAGCACAGCATACATCGCAGGATTGGAAGAGGGCCACCTACTCTAGCTTTTCATCGAGCGGACTGAGGATGTCCTTTAATTGGTTGAAAGTGTCCTTGTGTTTGTTTCGCAGGTCTTTGTACTTCTTGTACCGCACTTGCGCCTCGGTGTACTCGGCGATTGCGATTCGAATGGCCAAGACTTTGAGCTGGATCTCCAGCTCGTGACGCCGCTCCGCACGCCGTACATCCCTCTCCATTTGCTCGTTTCGATTCTCTAGGTTGACGCACTCCTCCCTCTCAGTCGCAATCGCCTTGCTGGCGGAAGCAGCCTGTCGGCCCAGATCGATGAGCTGGTCGTGCCAAGCGAGCATCGCGGGGCTCCCAGCGGCCTTTTGGGTCTCACGGAGCAGCTCGGGCGGCGACATCCTGGCAAAATCTGCTACTCGGTCTTGCGGCAAAAAGCAGCAGAGGTTGCCCATATCGATGCCAAGCCTCTCGACTAGCTCGCTGATGGCCCTGGCGGACGAGGCTCTGCCATTAAGAGACCAGAGCGAGGTGCTGCTAGCACGCGTGATTGACCTGCCAATGACAAAGTTGGGGCCATCCACATTCTTGAGCTCAACTTCTGTCGAGCCGTTCTCTGCGCCTTGCTTGACATAAGAGGCAACATCGTTTGCACGACCCAAGATGTGAGGCTTCCAGCCGAGACCGAGACATAGGGCACTCGCGATCGTGCTCTTTCCGGTGCCGTTGGGACCCACGATCATGTTGAGGTGCGGCCCGGGAAAGAACTCGACGTCGTCATAGGTGACGAAGTTTGTCAGCTTCACTCGGACGATGGACCCATGCACGAAGCTAGTGAGAAGAGGGAAGTCAGCCTAGCAAAGCGACCCAAATTCCGGTTTAACATACCCATCGCTGTCTCGCTTGAAAGCAGGGGCGTTCAGATGGCGACGATGGCGAGCCTCAACTTGATGGCGTCTTGCTCTTCCGTCGTCTTCATCTTCTTCATCTCCTTCCCCTTCTTCATCGTCCTCCCCTCCTTCTTCATTGCCTTCTTCATGACTTCTATTGTGCGAAGTGTCACCGACGGACGATGGACTGTGGCTAACGATTCTCCTAGAGCCTTGTGGTGCAGACCCTTCTGCAGAGTCACCCGTGAGACGCCTTCTCTTGCTGGTGCCGGACTGTTGAGCAACTCTTCTCAGAGGACGCTTCTCCGCTCTCTGCTCCTCGCCGTCTGAATGTTCTTCGTCGGTGCGTGTCTGATCTTCTTCCTCGTGCCTCTGGCTCGAGTCCAGTTCGTCGTCCTGACTTTCCAGCCTTCCATCAGAAGTGGGCCTGTGACTGCGGCGAACTTGACTTCTGCTACTGCCGCTAGCATCAAGAGAGTCGTCGTGCCGCTCTTCTTTTGTGGCCTGGCGAGCGCTCCGCGAAGACGGGCCGGCGGCGCGCTGACGATTGCTCGAGCTCGAGTCCATGAGGGGTGCGAAGGACGATGCTCGCGTGGTGCCGCTCGAACGAGAGGCGATGTGAGCTTTGCTGTCTATGTTTTCGTCACTGATGCCGCCACTGCGACGGCTTCCGTTCCGGCCGCTCGGATTTCGACTGCCGGAAGCACTCCTTGAACCAGCCATAGTGCAGAGCTGCTCTGAATGCGCCGCTGTGCGCTCTCCTAGCCCCTAGAGGTCGGCTTCCCTGTCAAGTGACACGACACCTCGATTGCACTAGGCGAGCGCACCGTCCTGGTGGCGGATCTCAGCGAGGATGCCAGTCGAATCACAGGCGCAGCAGCGGGGATGATAGTGGTGATGATGGTACGACGCAGGTTGATCTCTGCACGCGTCTCCAGGCGTGACGCGCTTCCAACACTTATTTTTTTTTTCAACAGGCCGGATAGGCTAAAAATGATCCCTCGGTCCATAAGACCATTCAGAAGGGAAAATGGACGATGCTGAAATCGAAGCCGTCCTGAAGTGGCTCGGATCTTCATCTTCAAGCAGAGAGGTGGAAAGGGAACAGCTGCGAGATAGACCCTTGGCATTCTTGGAATCGCACCTCGACCTTCTCCCGTCTCACCTCCTGGTGCTCTTCAGCAAAGCACTTTCCGTGCGTCAGCGAGGGCAGGTGGCTAGAATTCGTGAGCGACGCAGACACTTTGCCGAAGCGAAGCGGCCGGAGCAATTGTCGATTACTGAGGCAAGAGCGCGGGACCCGCTGGCCTTCAAGCAGTACATGGGCCGGGCCGAACTCGGCAGCAGCAGGATGGGATCACAACCACCCGCATCACGCCTACAACAAACCTCTGCATCTTCACCTTCGGCACCGCTTGAGGGACAAAGGGAGAAAGTGACGGATCCTGAAGACGTAATGAATCAGCCGCGGTTCCAGAAGCTCGTCAAACGATACGATGAGGAAGAGCTGCTCGGCACTCTGAGACAGCAGGAGGAGCGTGAAGCAGAGACTATCGAGGAGGTCGAGTCCGACGAGCAGGAAGAAGAGGAAGAGGAGGAGGAAGTCTCGGAAGGAGAAAGACCCAGCAATGAGCCCAAAGAAGAAGACGCCATTGCAGAGGAGCAGAATAATGAAAAGGACTTCCAAACATACATCCTTCAAAGGTTTATCCAAGGTGATGTGAGTCGTCAATCACGAAAGGGTTGATCTTGGCAGCTGAGGTAGAAGTCTGACCACTTCCATTCTCACAGCCTCGCCTGCCTGCATCTCTGTATGCATGTGATTTCGATGACGTATGGGACGGAGACGTGCAAGTGGGAGCCAACGCAAGGGACGCACAGAACCTCGACGACAGGATTAGGCGAGCGCCGAAACGCTCCAGCGAGGAAGCATGGTTCGATGAAGAGGAAGAAAGCTAACTAGCGAAACGACTCACCGACCTCGGAGCTTGGCAGAGCTGAGGCCGACCCTCACGAGCGAAAGCACCCCACAGGCAAATGAATCAGCGCTGCAGGACCCGGTGCCCGTTAGGGCAGGTCCGAGGATTAGCGCCTGCTAGGCAAGGAATACGAACGCAGGGAACACAAAAGCAAGCTAAGCAGGTCCGGCCTGTCAATCAAAAAAACAAAATCGAAAACAGGCTAGGCAAGGTGCAAATGATCTCGGATTTATTTCCTGTGACAAGATTCAGGGCCCGAAGCTTGGTTTCAGCTAAGTGAACGCATGGGAGCGGGGTGCCTTTGGGCGACATCGGACGAACATGTTCGGGGAGGGGCGCAGTCCTGCGTTGTGCTTTCAACGCGCGAGATCAAAGGCAGGATGCCGGCACAGACAGACTCGTTCTTGGCCTGCTTCCTATTTCCTCGCAGACTTCCCACCCCACTCCGCCTTCGGTGCAGCAAGATGATCTTTCCCGCAAACCGGTAGCGCCATGACAATTCTCGAAGAAAACTCCCGGAGCTAGTGCCACCGTCCGCCTGGAAGAAGACGAGTTCGGGATGAGAGGCAGCGGGTACATAAAGAGGAGGAAGACCTCGTTCCTCATCCCGATAAATCATCCCTACCGATCTTGCCCTTCTCTCCTTGATCATCATGGCTTCCTTCGCTCGCCTGTCGCTCCTCACGGTGGCGTTCCTCTGCAACTTCGCTCACTCCTACCCAGTTGGCATCGAAGTCCTAGCACCACGGCAATCGGGCGCCCCTGCATGGGCTTCCGCTGCCTCGGCTGCAATTCATCCAGGCGTCAACACCGACACGCAGGGCGGCAGCTGCACGTCCAACTATATCTACTACGACACCGTTAGCCATGACATCTACATCGGCCAGGCGGCTCACTGCGCCTCGACGGGTGGCAGCACCGATACGGACGGCTGCAGCAGCGGCACGCTGCCCGAGGGAACCTCTGTCACCGTCGTTGGTGCTAGCCAACCCGGCACACTTGCCTACAGCTCCTGGGCTCGAATGCAAGCCCGCGGGGAGACCGACGCAAACACGTGCGCCTACAACGATCTCGCTCTCATCAAGCTCAACCCAGCCGACTATGGCAAGGTGAACCCCTCGGTGCCGGTCTTTGGCGGACCGACGGGCGTGCGAACAACGGGCCTCGCCGCAGGCGAGCCGGCGTACAGCTTTGGCAACAGCGTCCTGCGCCAGGGTATCAAGGTCTTCCAGCCAAAGTACGGCACCTCTGTCGGCGACCAGGGCGACGGCTGGTCCCACCAGACGCTCCTCCAATTTGGCATCCCCGGCGACAGTGGCTCGGCCGGCTTCGACGGACAGGGTAAAGGGTACGGCGTGCTGAGCACCCTCGCACTCGCGCCCATCCCCACCGTCAATGCGTTCGGAGACCTGCAGCGGGAGCTCGCGTATCTGCACACGATTCCCGAGTTCGCCAACGTGCAGCTCGCACTCGGCACAGAGGCATTCGCCGTCAGGCCACCTTCGCTCGTCAGGAAGTGATATCCTGTACTGTACGGTTTTGCGCGGTGAACAAAAAGTCATTGCAGCTCATGAGCCGTTCGCGCTCGCTCGTTGACTCTCAGACTGTTGATCGGATTGCTTGTTCTCTTTTCTACTCGATGATCGGAACCACAGGAGAGTGCGTGAAGCTGTGTCTCTACGCTTAGGGTTTGACGAGAAGTGATCGTCTGTGCCGGAGCCAGAGGGAAAGAAGAAACGACATGAGTCTTTGTCTTTACATCATTTCGATAAAAGATATTGGGAACAGTCGGGTTGGTACGGATTAAGAAGATAACAGTGACGACGGAGCTGGTGTAACACGAGAGCCCGAATCGTTGAGGAGGAAAGAAAGCCTCTACTTGCGGCTTCTAAGATTCCTTTGAAAAGGCGGAAGGTTTGTCAGTCGCTTCCTTCGAGTGGGGACTGGTCCTTCTCGGGTCTGCTTAGTCATCGAGGTCGGATCCTTGGCAGTCGAGAGAGCGTTGGTGTCGGTGATCGAAACCATCTTCGCAGATCCAATCGCCACCTTGGCCGACATTCCATCAGTCTCAGCTACTACATCATCTTCCTCGTCCTTGACTTTAGCCCTCTTGGAGCATTTCTGTGACGACTTTGGCATTGAATTTGTTTGCGAGCGCTTATTGTTGTCAACGGCGGCATCGTTTTTGCTCTCGTCACCGTTCTGCTGCAACTTCTCTGCCTGACGCGATTCTCGCCTTCGCAAGGAGATAGACGTGTCCCTAGCGTCGGCCAACATCGCCATACAAGCGACTTCTCGATCCTCTTCAGGCATTTCCGCGAGGACCTTGTGGAATTTGTTCGCCCCGGAAACACTTCTCTTCATCACGCGCGCTACCTCCTTGTTTGTCGGTGCCATTATTGCTTGTGCCGTTCCCGTCGAACTTGGGTTTATGACTGCTTCAATCTTTGGCAAGAGAGTGTCGAAGTCTTTTTCGAGGGAGGGCGAAGGTAGCATGGATTCGCAATGTCCATCGGAGTAGGACCCAGTTGGCGGCGGTGTCGCCGAGAGCTGGAATCTCAGCTCCGCGACCTTGAGACCGGCATCGACGACCATCGCATCCGTTTCTGACGATGATGAAGACGGCAACAGCTGAGCAGCAGGCTCTGGAGAGCCAGCTGCAGGAGGATGCATCATCGGTGGACCCCTTCGCTCCACCAATTCTGGTAAAGCCGATAGAACGTCCGTGAGGTCGAGAGGCACCACGTTAGACAGAGTATGAATCGGCTCGCTACTAGCCCGGTCGCTCGGTACGCATACATAGGGGCTTGCGACTGAGAGTCCGTCGTGCTTTGGAGCAAGATGGGAAGCAAGCCCCTTTTGTGCCTCGAAATTCTCCTTGCTGTAGATCCGACCGGCGACAAGCCCGTTGCAAGCGCAAGGATCCGTCTGAGTGGCGATGTCGCAGAATTGTCTGGGTTGCATCGAAAAAGCTGTGGATGATGTGTCTTGACTGAAGTTTGGTGGCGTAGTTAGCATTTCTTCAGTCGCGATTTCACTTCGTGTGTCCACTTCCGCGGTCCCGCAAACCTCTCTCTCGGCAGTTCTGGTTCCGTATTCGACCTCGTCTCGAGAAGCGCATCCCTTTTCTTCGGCACCAGAAGATGTAGTCTGTGGCGTGAGAGCCATCTCCGGCACGTCTTCTGGCACGTCCTCCTCGCTGATCAGAGGTGACGACGGCGGAGATCTATCGAGAGATTCAAATACCTTGATGTCGGAACACCTGCCTGAATTGATCCGGTTAGGGGTGTCGTCGAAGGTCAAGAAAGAAAAGCACTCTTGGCTGCTGCTTTGGTGGGGGACATTTGCCTCTTCAAGGCCGCTTGTACTCTTGGCGGTGTCCCGACTGTCAACCGCAGACCGCTGTTGCACCTGTGAAGCCAAAAAATTCTGGGCAGTACTCTCTCGATTACTGCAACAAGAGGTGTTGTCTTCCTGGATCGCGTAAGCTGAATCGCCATGCGAGGTACTGTTGGCCTCCGCCACAAATTTATCGCCTTCTGGATCCTCTTTCACCAATCCCTTGTAGATCATCCTCATGTGGTTGGGTGTTGCCTGAAGGTGTCCGAAGGGAGTTTTGCTCGGCGTCATGACCTCGTTGACTCCTTCAATTATGCAAGGCTGGCGATTGCGTTCGCGCTGACCACGCTCGAACATGTCTTGCTCAAAGTCGAGATCAGCTTTCCTTTCAAGTTCGGCTCTAATGCTGCGGGCTTCGACGTCTTCCTCGGAGTCCTGATCCTTGAGGAGCTCTGTTGCGGAGATTTGAGGCACAAAAGATGACATGGGAGGCTCGTTTGACGGTGCGATGCGTGCGACCGTCTTCTCCATTTTCCTCTTCTTCTTCTTTTTCGACGACGAGTCGCGCGCGGGCGCCCTCCCCTTCGAAGAGATGAGTGTTGGTCGCATGGCTCCCGAAGTTGCCACCAGAGCTAGTTGCGTCAAAGGGTCAATGTCCTGCTTATCGTCAATGTCCGTGAGCGAATGATGTTCTGTCTCCTCCTGATGAGCGTCTTCGGCGACAGGAGCGGTGACGGCGGCAGCGGCAGTGAGTGACCATTTCTTGTCAGACACGATGATGAGCTTGCTGTCGCATTGCGGTTCCAGCGGTGGAGTCCCTGCGTAGCTCGAACCATCTGCGTCCTCGCTGCACACTGAACGGTCGTCGTTACCTTCGTGGTTGTAGGCCTTATTTTTATTGTCATTGAGCTGTCCTTGCTGTTGCTGCCCTTCTTGTTGATGATGTTGACGTTGTGGGCTGTTTTGCCATGAATGTCCACTGCCGATGCCTCCTTTTGATGGACCATCTTGTTTGGTTGAAAACGCTAGATGAATCGGACTAGTGTTGGTGCTTGGGTAATGGGCGTGGGTGGGCGACTCAGCGGGCTCCCTCGCGAAGAGCTGCTCATCGCGTATCGTTTGCTTGCGATTCTGGAGCTGTTCCTGGTCGCCGTACTGGTATGAGCCTGTAATTGTGCTGCCGTTATTGGAGTCCCATGCGACCCAAGCATCGACTGGCAACGGTGGAACGCTATGCAGTGGACGTGGTTGCTGCTGCTGCTGCTGCTGCTGCTGCTGCGCAAGCAGGGGCTGCTGGCCAGCGTGAACCATGCGACTTTGTCCGTACGGAAAGCCTTCAGCTGATTGAGCCTGATACGAGGTACGGGGTTTAGAACTTATTCAGGCAATTGCTTTGGACCGACAAAGGAAGGTTGCTCACCTCGGTGTCCACCTCAGCGAAAAATGGATCGAAGACCTGATGCTGCCCGCCTCGCGACGACATCGACACGGCTCGAGAATCGACGATGGCGGTCTGCCAAGTGCTTGGAAAGGTGCAAGTAGTAGCGCCACGGGAAGGTGTGTCGTCGATGAGAGAGAGAGAGAGAGAAGGGATGGGGGAGATTGGGGTGCTGTCGAGACTGGGAGGAGATAGGAGAGAGAAGGGCCAAGCGCAAGCCTGACGAAAAGCCCTACGCGACCGAGTCACGTCAATGTGGGCAGGCGGGTCGGTGAGCGCGCGAGAGGGATAGAGAGATGGCCGCTTTCCTCCCGTCCGCTAGTCCCCACTCCAACACCTCCTTTCCGTCCAGCTCCGCCCGCTCTTGTCGGCAAGGCAACTTTTTCAATAGCGATGCGTCCTCCGCACCACCTGCTAATCTAGTGCAACTCTGCCCTTTGTCTCAACTTCCGTGACAGCGCAGGCCGTCAATCTTAGAGATGATCAAGAGGGTGCTGCCCTTGTAAAGATACCGCGTGAATGTGTTGCAAAGAAAGGTCGCACATCTCTTTCAACTTCACTTCACAGCCCTTCATAAGGATGGCATATATGGCTTGTCTGTCTGTCATGAAGCACGCGCCGTCTTGTTCTCAAAAATCAGGGCGGCAACGAGCGGAGATGGATCTGGAAATGTTTCAAAGGCCACGGGGCTGGTTTTGTTGTCTTCTGTTGTTGTTAGACTAATGTACTGTACACAGAGAGAGAGAGGGGGCCAAACTCAGAAGCGGACGCGCTTGGCCGGCGAGACCCTTGAGGATGTTGCCGTTGATGAAGCGCCCTTGATCATCTTCCTCTTGGCCTTTCTGCTAGCAGTCTCCGCTGCAGCTGTCGCGACGGCAGCGGCTTGCGAGCCGCGTCCACGCCCATGAGTCGCCTTGAGGATCGACTTGGGCGGCGGTGCAGCAAGCCCCTGCTCTTCCTCTTCGACCTCCTCTTCCTCTTCGGCCTCTTCCTCGGCATCATCACCTTCCTCGTCCTCGTCTTCATCCCCGTCTTCTTCTTCCATTTCCTCATCATCGTCCTCGTCCTCATCCTCATCCTCATCCTCATCCTCTTCCTCGTCCTCGTCCTCATCGCCGTCATCAGCCTCGACAGTCTCGGGGACAGCGTCGCCGGTTACCCTTGCAAAGGCAATCCTCTGCTTCCCCAGCAGGCCATGGTCGCCAATGGCACCATTGAGCCGCATCTCCTTGCCCTCGTACTTTTTCCTCCACTCCTTTCGGGGCAGCACCAACCTCTTGAGTCCGCCATCGGACAGAATATGCCTTCGCGCAGCCTCTACCTCGGCCTTGTCCGCTTCGTCGGGCTTGGCATAGTAGCCCAGGGCGCCCACAGACCAGTCGCGGAGCACAATGCGGGCGGCGGCAAAGGGGTCTGGCATCTTTCCCTTCATCATCCGGCCGTTCTTGTTGGCCACGGCAATGAGAAACTCTTCCGTGTCTTTCTCCAGCTTTTCTTTCTGCACCTTCCAGCGTGGCTGCTCGTTGTCGCCGTCGTCTTTGGGAACATAGCTTCCAAATGCTGGTGTGTTGTATGCCATCATGAGGTCAGCCGGGTGGGCAATGCGGCGCATCAGGGCGTACATCAAGGGTAGCGGCTCTCGGATCTTGTAGACATGACCTGAATTGCGAATCAGGATGCGGTGGGCGGCTTCCTCGTCACGCTGCTGAATGCCCTCTTCTTCGTCTTCGTCCTCATCCTCATCGTCTGACTCTTGGTAGGATGCAGGGTTGTTGGCCAACCTGGAGCTGGCTTGCACGACAAAGGGCGTGTCGAAGACCTTTGCCTTGGGCAGCGAAGGCGCCAGGATGTTTGCCAGCGAGGTTCGTCCGGACTGCGAGGGGTGGCCATCAATTCTTTGTACTGGTTGAGATCGCTAAAGCATGCACCACACTCACGTTCTCCAGGCCGATGATAGCAATGGCCTGTGCTTCGCCATCGACGGCAGCATCCTTGGCGAGGATGTCTTCAATGCGGGTGACCAGGGTCGCGATACCAGCTCCCTCCCTGGCAGGGATGCCGTGAGCAGCCGGTGCGGGGCTGCAGAGAGCGTAGACGGTTGAGGAGTACGTTTTGGCGACAATAGCCATCCACGCGGCGAGCGTCTCAAGAGGAACGAGATCTGTCGCGGTTGTCAGTCGGCATTTACCTTCCGGGAGAAGTAGTGAACGCGCTGTCATAAACTCACCTGCTCTTGTCATGGCCACAACCAGCTCCACCGAGCCCTTGCTTAGCGTTCGAATCGTCTCCTCCAGAGCTGGGATGCGCCATGACTGGGGATCCCTAGCATCAAGGAGGAGCACAACGGCCCTGATGCGAGGATCCGCGTCTTTCCCCAGCGCAGCCGAAAAGTCGTCGAGGTTGCCCCTGAACAGGAGAGGAGCTGCCGATGTCGACGTCGTTGCAGCACCATTTTGTCCCTCGGCCTCTACATCCTCTTCGTCTTCGCCGTCTTCACCAAGAATGTTGTCCTCGACTTCGTCCTCTTCCTCCCCAGTTTGCCTGGCCTCGCGGGCCTGTATGCGCTGCTCCTCGGCCAGCCTTCTCCTCTCTTCGATCTCATTGAGCAGCTGCTCCTTGTAGGGATAGCTGTTGGGAATGCCGGGGTCCTGGCGCTTCTTGCTCTTCCATGTCTTGTCCTTCTTGGCCTCTCGCTTCGACTTGCGGTGGTGCTCTCGCACCTTGCGCTGGATTTTGGACCTCTGCTTTGTCCCCACCCTCTTCGAGGCACCTGTTGCTCAGTTGCGTCAGTGCCGGCAAACAATGACGAAATATTTCAGTCTCTTCTTCGTGGCGTAACTCACGCTTGTGGACCTTGACCATGACTGTAAAGGATGCAAGTCTGGAGAGGTCGTCGTCGTCGAAAGGCTGCAATTCCTTCCCTTCTTCTCAAAAAAAAGCAATGCCAAAAAATCTCGGAACCTCGAAATTTTTTGGTTCAGAATTTAGTGTGCACCACGTGCAGCGCTGAGCGCTCCCTCCACGGAAACGAAGGGGGGCAGGCAGGCGGTGAGATTATTGGTGCGTGCGCGCGTTCCAAAAGCTCCGAAGCTAGGGGGGTTGTCAGGCGGTGCTCGATCGGACGACCAGGTACGCGGCTATCCGTCTCTTCGACGTCGAGCGACAGGTAAAAGCAACGCCACTCTCTTGCAGAAGCTCGGCACCCCGGCCTTCCGTCGTCTTGCTCCACGCCCCAGGACCGTCGCCCCGGTCGACCAACAGACAGCGGCTCAGGCCCCCCCGCGTAGCAGCAGCAGCCAGGCGTGTGGCTTTTGAAGCGACTGGGCCGACCAGCGAAATTTTAAGCTCATTGAAATCGGCACGGGTTATCCTCGCACGCAGACGTGACGTTGACGATCAAAAGATAGATCTTGCTCCTTCACTTAGCCCTCCTGCCAGTCTGTGGCATCGATCAGGCTTATCGACAGCAACGGCGACGGCCAACGACACCGACGTGTGAAGCATAGAGGAGAGGGATAACAAGAGTGGATGGCGAGCAAGGCCGCGTTCACGTCGCCCTTTGCTCCTATCTTGCATGCGGGCCGACGGACGCCGTCCTCGTCCGCGTCGTCGGCCGCCGACGACGACGCCTCGTCGTCCTCCCATACCCCAGACATCTTTTCCATCCCCACTCACGCCGCCACCCATGCGCCGATAGCAGAGCAGGACTATGACGAGGACGACGGCGCGGCGCCGTTGCCAGACGATGCCACCCGGCTCCGGGGCCGGCCAGCCCCCTCGCCACTTCCCCCTGGCGACGGTGACGAGGACGACGAGGATGGCAACCTACCTCATCTGAGCTCGGGCATCGCCCCGCATGCCTTTCTCGATCACAGTCACAGCAACGCGCCATCGGACACATACCTTCAGCATGAGCAACAGCGCCTCGCAGCGGCGGGGGCCATGGCAAACGACTCGCCGGCCGCGTACTATACCCAGCCTTCAGAGGCGTCTTTCATGCACCGTCCTCAGCAGCAGCTCTTCACAGATGAGCCTCCGTCCCTCGACCCGTTGGTGTTTGGCATCGAAGCAATCGGCTTTGGAGACGCTGCGAGCGCACGAGGGGCTTCCACCTCTTCACAGCCCAGCCGGGCATCGACGATTACTCCGGTCGCCAGGAGCGGCAGCAGCCGGCCTCTGCCAGGCACGCCAGAGACTCTAACCAGCCGTCCATTGCCGCAACCGCCACGGCCGCAGCCGCTGTCGGCGCCGCCGCCGCTGTTGAGCGTCGAAATTCCGAGCTCACCGCAGCTGCCTCCCCCGACGTACGATGCGCACAACTTTCCGGCACAGCCACCAGGCTTTCAATCGCCACGAGCTACTCCAGGTCAAGATCAGGCTCAAGGCGGCGGTGGTGGCGGCGGCCGATTTCCAAGATGGCGAGGATGGATCGAAAAGAGGGCGCTGGAGAGACACTACGACCGGCTCGAGGCTGAAGCGAACGCCGGCCTGCCTTCACCGTCGTCGGCAAGGGCGCTAATTACCGACGATGTCAAGCGGAAAAAGAGCTGGGGCGCTGCTGTAGACGATGAGGATGCACTGAGCGATGGGGCTAGCTCTGAGGAAGAAGAGGTGCGTCTCCATGTTTCTTGTCCTTTAATATGCATACATAGCCCCCTCACACGTTCTTCTCCTCTCTTCGACATCCACCCAGCGCGACGAAGCAGCTCGGCCTGCGCTTCCACCCTTGCACGGTCATCACTTTGGAAGTCGCTTCATTCCTCACCTCCCTTCTCAGCCGCTCTGTGCCGTCTACCTCGACGTCCCGCGTCCTGGTCCGCCGCCGGGTGCCGCCCCTCGTCTCGTTCGGCCGGGCCGCGGTCAGGACAAGCCGACACGGACGGTCCTCCTCATCGGCACCGCAGAGGGCCTCTATGCCGTGGAGATGAAGCGGCCGACAAAGGCGAGCAAGGCCCTCTCGCAAGCCAACCGCTTCTACCAGGCCAGCGCCTATCGCACATGGGGAAGAGGATCATCGTCGTCATCATCGTCGTCCGACCCGGCAAAGGGAGGCTGGAACGGCAACATTCGATGCGTTCAGGTCTGGACTGGCCTGGGCCTGTATCAGATGTCGACTCTTGTCTCCCAGGTCAACGAGACGCAGAGGGCGTCTTCCCCGCCAGCCATCTATGGGCCGCGGCCGCCTTCTCAGAGCGACAGCAGCATCCTGCTGGCCTTGTGCGCTCCCGTGCCAAAGGCACCCTCCAAGATCCGCTCTCTATTTGAGAACATTGCCTCCTCTTCCTCGTCTGCCTCGTCTGCCTCGAACCTGGGTGCGCATGGAGCGCCCGTCTACGGCCCACCTGACAAGGGTGCAGGCTTCGGCACCGCGGCAGAGGCAACCTCGTCGGGGGCCAGAGGAATCGCGTCTTGCAACTTTGGCGTTGGCTCGGGCTGTGCGGAAGGCAAGCCGACACCTCCTAATGGGACCGGGACGGTGAGGATGTGGAATCTCGAGATGGTGCGCAGGATCGTCTCCTATGTACTCGATGGCGAAAACTCCCGACCGCTTGACATGCTCGACACGACGACAGGGACGAGCAGCACTAGTCAAAAGAGGCAGAGCAAGATCTCATCCAAGATCCGCAACGCATGGGCCTCACTGGGCGACCCGCCGGGCGAGCGAAGGGCTGCCGCACGCAGATCGCGACAGGCCGAGAGCGACGGTTGGAGTGGCGCCTCGATCGGCACGAGACACGTCAATGACTGGCAGGGGCAGGACTTTCGATCTCGGAGGGCTTCAAGCAGCAGCCTGGGCAACATGCCTCAGCCCAGCCCAGACTCCTCTCAAGATCTCGACGACGACGATGATGAGCTCCGAGCGGCCCAGGAGGGTGCGACTGTCGACGCTGCCCATCGAAACGCTCTTCGCATGGCCCTCAACTCGGTTGCGATTCGTGCCTCCGGCTCGGCGGGAGGCTCGACAAGTTCTTCGGCCACAGCCGCAGGGCCTTCCAATGTTGGTCAGGGTGCATCCCTGACGTCGCTTCTTAGCGACGACTCTGGCGCGGGCTCTCTCAGTGGTGGTGGAGGAGGAGGAGGCGGCGGTGGGGGCGGCGGCGGCGGAGGCAGCAGCTCCGGCCACGGCAAGGGCAAGGAGCGCGATGGCGGCGCCGCCAGCTCGTCAAAGGGCAGCGGTGTTCTGTTCTACTCGATCTTCGAAGCCGGTGCCGAGGACAAGGGAGCAGGCACATGGTACCTGGCTCTGGCCATGTCCAAGACGCTCCTCATCTACGAGGCCGTGCCGCCCCAGGTTGGCGCCACGCGGTCGTGGGGCTACCTTCGCGAGCTCTACTGCCCCTTTGCGCCAAAGGCCATGTCCTTTTGCTTCTGCAATACCGCTCTCGAAGAGCCCGCTCCGTCTGCCTCGACTCGCGCTACTGCATCGGCCATTCCCGTCACCGGTTCAGCAACCAAGCTGAGCGTTCGAGATATCAATGCGCCCCTTGCAGCTTCCACGGTGGACAAGGGCTCGGCTGCCGGAGTCGTACCCGGCGCCGCTGCTCTGACGTCGCCGAACGGCAAGCACGGCAGGACAGCGAGTGTGCCTGCCGTCTACTCGAGCGTGCTGCGTCCCCAGTACAGCGGCGGGTCCGCAGGCCCCACGGCGTGGTCCGGCGCTGACCTGAGCCTGTTTGTGAGCTTTGGAAGGCGGGCCGCTGTGATTCGAGTCAGCGACAGCAACGTGAGGGAGCTCGAGCTGGCGTGCGCAGCGCCTGGCTCCACCGCGCTGGCTCCTTCGGCAGACGGCCCGTCCGGACGCACAGTAACAGCAGCAGCAGCAGCCGTCGACTTTGCATCGTTGCCAAGTGCACCACTCGAAAGCCGCACGGCCAAGTCGTCGGACGGGAGCCAGGGCAAGAAGGGCCACCATTCGAGGAGAGGATCGAGCGCAGAGCTGCTCCGGGAGGGCGAACGAGCGGCTGCGCAGTCGAAGCAACGATGGGTTGGGATGCAGCCTGTAGAGGCAGAGGCCCTTGTCAGAAAGAGGAGGAGAAGGGCCGCTGAATCAACAGCTCCTGTCCCTACTCCTGCTACTGCTGTGGCCATGGCTCGCTCGGTCAGCGAAGAAGGGACCGAAGCTGCGGCCACGAGCCCCCCGCTCGTGTCAACAAGGCTGTCTGGCCGCCATATGCAGCCTGGCTTGACCGTCACGAATCCGGGCGACGAAGTCTCCGCACAACCGCCTCCCTTGGGATTCCGCAAGAGGGAGACTCAGTCAGCTGCGGGCCATCTCACCGCCGTGGGCGACGACTCTGACGATTCCGACGATGATTCCGACGACGATGAGTGGACCAGCGGGTATAGCAGCCGCGCGAATCCGACAGCGGTCAGAGGTGTCTCGCTCCGCGACGTGCCCCTGACGCGATCCCTGTCGCATTCAGCTGCTCGAACGTTTGGCCGAGGTGGGGGACAGGGCAGTGGCCGCCGTCAGCGGCACTTTCACCATGCATCTGCACCTCCCACCGATGCTCTCGCGCGCAGAGAGGTGGCCAACAGCAGCCATGCCATTCATGCCAGCGTCGTCCTGCTGACGAAGGGTGCCATGACGCAGGTCCTCCCGCTGCCCCTCCCCGCTGACCTGGCGCGGCCGCCTCCCCTTGCTGTCGTACACTGGTCCGATGTGCCGTCGTCGGTCACGGGCATGGCCAGAATCTGTGCTCTGGAGACCAATCCGGCGGTAATCGCGCACTCGTCGACGATCCGAGCCGAAACGCCTGCCGCGCCACCCTCGGCTGCGGCCATGTACTCGGACCACCTGACCGCGAGCCAGCCGGTACCACACCGTGCCAACAGGCAATCGCAGCATCCACAGACGGCCATGTCGGTCCTGAATGTCACCATCCTCGCCTTTTTGGCGTCCAAGGTCGAACAGACGACGGTGCAGGTCCGCGTCGAAACGACGCTGCCTGCTCCCCTGCAGAAGCCAGAAGGAGCAGCGCTAGAGCTGGAGCTTGTCCCTCCTCCTCCTCCTTCTTCTTTACCCTCCTCCTCCTCCTCTGGGAACAACAATGCCGCTGGAGCTGGAATGGACCGGCCGGGACACCAGCGCGGCTCGAGGAGCCTCGAGATGGAGCTCGAGTACCTGTGCGGGCTGCTGCTCCTTGCGCCGGATCCCAAGCAGGGACGCGTGCCGAGCACCATTGCCGGTGCGCGACAGCCGCCAGAGGCCGCCGCCGAAGACGAAGATCGCCGTCGCGCATCAGATGGGCATGGCAGGGATGGATACGGAGCAGTGCTGCGACCGTCAGAGGCACGCGGCCACGGCGGTGCCTGGGCTTTTGATTGGAGGGGTGCAGACGACTACAGGCTCTTCTACATCGGGGCCGATGTCTGAACTGTGGCAGCAGCAGCAGCAACAACAGTAGTGCAGAGCAGGACAGTGTAGGACAGCGCATGATAGCGTAGGATAGCGAGCGTGCTTAATGTTCCTCTCAGATAGAGTGATGAGATCGTTGGAGATAATACAATTACAAGTGATGCTTTGTTCTAGCATAGAGAAGGAGAAGAGGGACTGCACATCAATCATCGGCAGGTGGTGCCTCTTCCTCGAGATACCGGACGAGGCGGACCCGGATCTCGGTCGTTTCGTCGCCCCGCAACGTGTCTGAAACAAACCAGCACTCGGTCTGCATCTGCACCATTTCCAGCGCGCCACGGATGACGCCGACGAGGACGTTGCTGAACCAGAGCCCGCCGGACCGCGCATCAGGGGGCAGCTCGACGAATTCGGCCAGCGGGTTCTCTTCGAATGTGAGCGAGAACTCGGGCGCTGAGGCTGACGCGAGCGAGTTGCCGGGCGCCTCTTCCGACGACGAAGGCGGTGGGGCGCCGGAGGAGGAGCGGTTGTGGTGCGTGATGGCCGGGACAATGTTCAAGAAAGACTTGAAGCCGACCTGGTCGTGCGAGATATAAATTCGTCAGTTCTCCTTCTTAATGCTGCTCTAGCTCCTATCGAGATTGTTGACTCACCTTGGAAAGGACTTCGCCGACTTCTCTGAAGTCCTGGCAGATCGGCAGGTTCGTCCTCGCGAGAAAGTCTTCGATGAGCCTCGTCCCAATATTGTAGCCCATCTTGTCGAGCTGCGAGTTGACCGCCGCGTAGTCCTCGTAGTCCCGGATGAGCTGCACGACGAGAGCGCCATACGTGAGTGTGAACAGCTCTGCATTCTGCACAATCGCAGCAGCAAGTTAAAATGGGAACAGCATGTGAGCGTTGCTTAGAAAGAGGATCTCGTGGGGAGGGGGCCGACACGCACAATCTTTTCTGTTCGATTCTTCCAGACCTCCTCGCCTGCTGATTTGTACTGCTTCACAGCCGCGGCCGCAGCTGACGACGACATCGCTGGAGAGAAAACGGCCTGAGAAGAGAGAGAGAGAAAGAGGCTGGATAGAATGAAATGAGAAGGCCCGTTCGCGAAAGGTTGACGTGGGAGAGACGGCGAGCAGGCTCTCCACGTGAGCCGACGCGAGGAGGAAGCCTCGAGTCCAGGAAATAGAGCTCGGGGCGCCCGCGCGAATAGCGGCTTCTCGAGAAGGCCGAGCTGCGTTCGATCACTCAAGCCAATCAACCAACAGGGCCAGAGCAGGACTATGGACGCGGCCGCCCCTCGACCATCACTGCCCGCGAGACTCAGGGGCGGGGGAATGGGAGGTCTGGAAGACGGCGCAGACCCAGCCACGCCCACGCGGCAGCTCCTGGCGAGGGTCAAGCGGAGGTCGATTGCTGGTGTGGTCGAGGGAGGGCCGCCAAGGACCAGATCGTCTCGCACGGGCTCATCACAACTCGCGCACATCTCGTCCGGAGACGCCGAAGAAGAAGAGGAGAAGGAGGAGGAAGAAGAAGAGTCCTGGGAGCACAGCGTAGAGGAGCAGCTCGACATGGCGCTGGAAGAGGTTGAGTCGCGGGAGAGGACAATCGGAGAGCAGCAAAGTAGAATCGAAGAGCTCGAAAAGGCGCTGAGAGAGGCCAATCAGGGCAATGCCGCGCTGCAGGAAAAGCTCAGTCGAGCTACGGCATCTGCCAATCGGAAGACTGGCGGAGGCGGGCTCACAAAGGAGGCAGCAACGCAGCTCGAGAGGGAGTTCAACAGCCAGGAGATGGTGAGCTGTCCTCGTCTTGTGCCTCTTCCCAGGCTCGTGACTGACTCAAGCTGCACCTCTACAGATCCTCAAAGGTCTTCAAAGAGAGTGAGTGTGACTTCAAGCGAATCACTTGAAACAATTCTACTAACCTTCGTGACGGCAGCAATGAATCAAAGACGATCGAAATCGAGGCGATGCGGCGAAGGACGAAGCAGATGGGCGACTACCTCATGCGCCAGTACGGCCAAGATTGGGAAGAGGTCGTCTTTGGAAGCACAAACAGCGGCAGTCTGTCAGGAGTTGCAAGTGCTTCTCCTGGCATGGGCGGGACTGGAACCTCGCCTGCCAATCCTTCCTCCGCTGCCTTCCCGCCATTTCTGGGCACCAACGCAGGTCTAGGTGCGGGGACAGATGCGACGGCGATGCAGAGCGCTATTACCAAGCTCCTGGGACCCGCAGCGGCTGGCGGTCCAACGCCTAAATCAAAGGGCAGCATCCTTGGCTCGAGTCGTCTCGCCAATAGCATCGGCGCCCCAGCCTCGGAGGACGGTCGCCGGTCCTGCTCACCATCCAAGAAGAAGCAAGAAGGCGAACGTGGCTCCGATGAGCCAGATTCTACCTTCCTCTCTGCCGCCGACGACTCTTTTGCCCAGAGCCAAAACCAGAGTCCCGTCAAGCGCATCGCCGACGACGGGCAGCTGGACTATGACGAGGGAGGAGCGGCACAAGTATTGACCGGTTACGATCCCGCAACGATCCTCGCTTCCATCGATGCGGCCCGCCTCTTGATCCAGGGCTTCGAACGGAGGCAGGCCATGAAGATGACCGAGCTCAACGACCTCGTCGAAAGAGCAAACGAAGGCGAGACGAGGGCCAAGGAGCTGGCCTCATCCTGGTTCTAGACCCAGATTTTCAACGACATCAACGACACTTGACGATATAAAGGAGCGACTCTAACGACCAGCTTCTTCCCATATAGACTTGATGACGACATAAATACCTCTTCAAGATCATTTGAGTTCTTGTCTCAATCCCATTCCCTCTCTCTCTAATTCCATTGGTTTACCATCTTGCGACATGATGGGCTAGATGACAGCGAGGAGGTAATTGACCAGCTGAACGATGACATCCCGAAGCCTGAGCACGCCGTCGTCGGCCTCGTCATCTGCTTGTGATTTGCTTCCATTGCTTGTCGGCGCAGCAGTCTCGATCGAGGGGTCTGAGACGATGGCATCGTCACCAACGTTCTCGTAGTACTCTGGGATCCGGCCAAGATCAGCAACGATTCCATCGAGAGACTTGAGGCTGCCTCACCTTTCAATACATCGATCACGCTCTCCAGGCTTTCCTCGCGTCTACCCATCATCCTCTTTGTATGCGCCAGGATCCCATCGTCCTCCATGCAGATCCACGCCAGGATATAGTCGGTCATCTGGACCGAGAACAGGCCTCCTTCCAGCCTTGTCAGGTAGAAATAGCCTTCCTCCTCCTCTTCTTCTTCCTCTCCCTCCTCCTCGCGCCGCATCTTTTCTTCCGCCTCGACAACAGCCAATCGACCCAGGGCGGCCCTTCTAATCTCCAGCAAGCGGTCCACCTTCTCGTACTCGTTTTCGACAAACTTTTTGAGCAGCCGCAGCCGCTCCTTTGAATCGGACGCAAGGTGGTTGAGGAGCGAGACGATGATCCCGAGAACATGCTCTTCGTCCGCCAATGTAGGTTCGACGTCCGAATGACTCGAGGAAGAAGATCGACCCATGAAGACAGAAAAGAGCGTCTTGAGACCTTGGCACTCGACAAGACGCTTTGCGCTGGACGAGCCATGGGGCCCAGACAGGGCGTGGTCGAGCACTTTGATGGCTCTGAGCCGCGCAACCCTTTTCTCTCTGTTGGGAGAACGTGATTAGCTTGGTACTACAGTAGAGGAGCGTGTTATTGCAGACGCACCTCATGAGGATACACATCAGCTCGGTACCTTCGCCTTCGTAGAAACGTCGTTTGTTCTCAGGGAGCGTCAAAGCGGCACAGAGTGCATCAAAGATGTTCTCCATGAATTCTGTCTCATCGGCATCTGCCGAGGGATCCTTTTTCCGGTAGACGGCCAAAACGCTGAGGAGGCAATCTATCCCCTCTGCCTGACCAAACTTTAAGCAAATGTCGCGATTCATGCCGCTCATCTCCTCGCCGGCTTGGCTCTGGAGCAGGATGGCAAGCAGCTCGCCAGCGTAGCCCCGATTTTGGTCGTGTGGCCCTTTGCGCTTGATTCTTGACATCAGCCAGGCAAGCAGCTTTGTCCCCGTCACAGTCTCCTTTGCAAGAGTGGGTCGCAATGAGACCAGGTTCTCGACAACGCCAAGCAAGTGAAAGATCGCGTTGGCATCAGACTCGGCGTTGGACGCCGCTGCGGCATCCTCCTGTGATATCGAGTCGCTTTTTTGCGGTCTTTGGTCATTGAAACGGGAAAGGTTCTCGATGAGGAGCTCGATGAAGGAGTTTTCCAGAAGTGAATCGACAAGCATGTTCATGCCTTGGAGACCTTTTCTGCTCGACGACGCGCCTTGTTCTGCATCCTCGACCTCTGTCTCTTCTCGGCCTTCATCTCCCGCATCGAGTACGTCGTCATCAGTCAATTCCTCGATGACTTCAATGACAGAAGCGACGATGTCGACGTTTTCGTGGGCCAAAAGACCACAGAGGGAGGCAGGCGTGCCGTGTTTGATCGTTTCAGGGTAGAAGAGAGCGGGATTGGTGGTGAGGATGAGAAGCGACTTGAGGGAAGCGTCCAAGTCGGCCTCAGAATCAATGAACCTGTCTGGCGTCAGCTCTTCCCCTTCGCTTCATGAGCTGTCGACAACTCACTTGCTGGCATCGTCTGCGAAGCGGACCCTCATCTCTTGGTTCTTGTTGATGGCCCGCTCGAACTTTACCAGCGTCTTCCGGAGATCAGCGAGCTCCCTTTCTGGCCTCTGCTTGTCATCGCCATCGTCTTCGGCTCCTCTATTCATGATCTCTAAAATTCTTTTTTGCTGGTCTGTTAGCCCGCCCCCGAAAAAGCGACCGCCCTCGTCATCTTCATCAACAAAGTAGTCGGCGTCATTCCCAGGCGCGAAGCCGCTCTCGTCTCCCTCCTCATCGTCGTCGTCGACATCCTGCACTGTGGCAGCAGCAGCAGCAACATGGCGCGATGGCCCCGCTCGCTCCCCGTCCTCGTCTTCCACATCTTCGACCTTTGCGGCTTTGAGCGCGTCTTGATTCGGCTCTGCCCATTTCCGCTTGTTCAGCGAAGACTGAGGAAGCTTGGGGAGCTGGATACATGAAAAAAAGGGTCAGCTATCACGAGCTACCTCAAGTGCCTTCATTCAGAATCCTCGCACCTTGAAGAGCTTGTCGACATCCATGGTCAGTGGACGGCTGCGACTGCGAAAAGGGCGCGCGCGCCTCCTCCACGGCCCTGTCCCATTTTTCCCAGATTATTTTGTTTTCCCGAAATCCGGGCGTCGCGCCGCAATAGGGATGGGCCGTGTGCAACAGCATCAACAAATACCCCTTCCCCACTACATCCCTGCAGCAATCGTCAAAGGCACAGCATGGACTCAAGCTTATACCCATCCCGAAGGCGACCGAGGGGGCCGTTGCATCCACCCGGTCGGGCCCCTCCCTCGACCTCTATCTTTGCCTCATCCTCCTCCGGCGGGCCCGTCGTTGATCACCCCTCTTCCTCGTCCTCTGTCTTTCTCGAGCCGAACAGTCCGCTCCATTCTCGAAAACGCAACTGGACGCCTTCATTTTATTCTCCGTCACCGTCCGCCGCCATGACAGCGACGCCAAATCCTTACCCATCTTTTGACGCGGCTCCCCAGTCGTTGGGATCGGCATCAGCACCGACCTATTACTCCTCTCTCGCTGCTCCGTCCGAGACCCAGCCCACTCGTCCACCACAGGGCGAATTCAGCTTCCAGCCGCCAGTGTCCGGCCTGGACAGTGCGCATCCAGACGGCGGCGCGCATGACTCTGCTGCGTTCGCCCGGCTCGCAAAGGCGCAGCGGCAGCAGCAGGACGAACAGAGGAGGTTGCTGACCGGCGAGATGGAGGCGAGGTCGTCCTCTGATGGGAGTCGAGATCACGTCGAGGGTCCGGCAACGAAGAAGAGAAGAGGCGTAGCGGGTACGATCGTGGATGGTGCTCTGAATGCGGCCCTGTACACGGGCGCAGCAGTGAGTATATGCGTGATCCGCCTCCTCTCGCAATCTGTTGAGCTAAGCTCCTGTTTACAGGCCATCACTGCATATTCTCTGTGGTCAAGCTGGGGGAGAAGACCGGAAGAAGACGAAGACGAAGCAAGGGTTGCCGCGCGAGCAAGTAATAACGACAGCGTAGAGAAGCTACCCCCCGGTGGCCTCGAAGAACCGCCTCCCCCCTATGCATTTCCCGCCTCATCTTCACGAGCAAAGGTGCCAGAGACACCTCTGTCTCCCTCGGCCGCTTCCTCCTCGTCGGCCATGTTTTCTTCGCCGAGGAACAATACCGTCTTTGTTTCTAGCTCGAGCAGAAGGCGGAGACCCGCATTTGCGTCCCACCGTTCGGCGCGCTCCCAGCAGCTTCCAAAGCGGCCCAAGGCATCGACGCTCTTTCAGCAAGATTCCATGGACACTAGCCAGCAGCAGGCTTCGTCTACCAACGACGATGGCGGCAGTGTCAGCAAAGACTCCAATGAGAGAGTCGACGAGGACGAGGATGACGACGATGAGATGTACCGACGGTTCCAGAGCAAGATGACGAGCCTCATTGCCGAGGGGCAAGCAGCTCTCACTGCCAAGGTCGACTTGGGGAACATGGATATCGAAGAGGACCCGCTCCTCTCGGGAGGCATGACACCGAGCCGGAGCGAGCCGGTGCTCCCTTCATCTTCTACCACACCCACGTATAAACAACGCACCAACAACTTTCACGAAGGCCCCTCTACACCGACGGCTGCTGGCGCAAAGCGGAGCACCAGCAGCCAGTTCTACGGCGGCTACGACGGTGGCCCGCCCACTCCCTCTTTTTCGTCACCGTTCCGCTCAGGACCGGGGCAAGACCAGCCCTTTGTTTTTGGAAGCAACGCCCCAGACCCACGCGCGTCCGTCTTTTCTGGAGGCTTTGGGCCGACCTCTTCGAGCTCGAATCCGCTCTTTTCCGCATCCTCGTCTTCATCAGCAGCCGGCTCGACACCGAGCAGGATCCCAAGGGCTGGCTATCGAGCTTCATCGACGGCACCGCCCAGGCGGCTGGCTCGCCCTTGATCGCTCCCCCACTAATATCACATCACCACTCTTCCACCACTAATCCTCACTCTCCTTGACTCTCAAAGCTGTACTTCTACGCTAATCGGGTAATATTCACCTCGTCTGATGTCTCTCTCTCACTCTACTTCTGGCTCGAAAGTATTCATTTGCACAGCAGTGCTGCTCGGCCACTACTTGGCAGAAGAGGCCTTGGCCGCCACTGTTGGTGCAGCCAGGGCAGTCTTTGTGAAGTTGTAGATCCTCTCCTTTCCCAGGAAGAGGAGGGCGGCCGTGAGCATCGACTGGAGCAGCTTGGAGGTGATGCCGCGGTAGAGGCCTGCCAGGCCCTCGCGGTTGACAATGTCCGTCATGGCCGTCCAGACGTTTCCCTTGCTCTCGCCGCCAGACTGTTGCCGGCTCTTGATGACTGCATGTATCCGGGACAGATCAGCTTCGTAGTCTTTCAAGAAGGAGGGGACGAAAGGAGCGATGATGCTGCTGCTACTCACCAATCTGAGGATATGTGACACCGGTCGCGACGAGCTTGCTGAGTGCTCCGAGCAAAAACACCTCGAGATCACTCAGCCTGGCCACGGCACCGCGCGCCTTCTTTGACTCCAGCGCGGCGGCCCTGAATCGCTCGTAGGCGGTATATTGCAGAATGGGGTTGATGACGAGCACCAATGCTGGCCCGAGTCCGCGCCAGAAAGCAGACGGTCCGTCGGTCTTGAGAACGTGCTGGATCGTCTGGAGGAAGCTGAGCTTCTTGACTGGCTGGGCGTCTTTGCCCCGCGTCACCGACGACGAGGAGGCTTCTTCGCGCCGAGAGATGCGCACGGTCTGGCGCGTGCTAATCACCCAGATTGGGTTGGAGATGACAGTCGTTGCCGAGCCTTTGGAGCCGGTTTCAGGGAGTCAGCCAAATTTTCCTTCCCGGCACAGTCGAAAGCAACAAGAGCTCACCCGCAATGGCGCCTGCCAACATGCTCTCGAGCGTGCTCAAGGCACCGCCCGCGGCAATCATAGCGCCCTCCGTCTGGGCGGCCTGCGCCGCCAAGCGCCTCTTGGAGCGCAGAATGACGTCCCTGCTCTGCTCGAAAAAGTAGTAGTAGACACTGTCCCCGTGCACGCATTCAAGTGTCAGCGTCTTATCGTCACTAGTCAGCTACGGAGCAGAGTCTCCACCACGCACAAGTTCGTGACGCCCACGCCAATGAGGGACGAGTTGAGGCCAGCATACAGACCCGTGATGCCCTCCTGCTGGACGATTCTTTTGGCGGCAGTGATTAGCGACTATGGGATGGAGGCAAGGCGGATAACTGTCAGTGAACAGGCTTTTCGAATAGCTCGCTAAAAGTCGCGATAGACCCACCTCTTCCGGGTGCTTGGAAGATTCGACGGCGGCGCGTGTGCTGATCGACATGAGCGGGTAGGTGGCTGTCATGGCCACGATGCCGCCCAGACCACCGGCACATGCGTGAATGAAAGAGTCGTTGGACATGGTTGCAAAATAACAGCGTCGAGTCGAGCAAACGAGATGATGGAGGGCACCGACAACAAGGGAAGACAGACAGGAGAAGCAAGCCGGGGAAAGCAAGGCGAGGTGGGGATACCGGCAATGTTGAAAACGACGCGCCGGGGGCCAAGAGCTAGCGCGTGACTTGCATAACCCTTCTTATTTTGGTAATTGCTACAGGAGAAGGCTCAATCATGTAGGACCATCACTGGCCAAGGAATCGAGAGCCGTGCGGTCTGATGGCTTGACAACCGGATTGTACACATATGGGGAATAGGACACATCACAGTCTAGGTATATAGGGCCATGGATCAGCGAGGTGGTGCTTGTTCACCACCCGGAACAGTGTGGGTAGGCTGCCTTGACGGCAGCCTGGCGATCGGCCTTTGAGACGAGGTACCGCTCCGCAAGTGACCCTCGGTCAGACTGACTCCAGCGCTCGCCAGCTCATAGCGGGCGGCCATGCCCGACTCGCCGTCAATTTCTATGCCTACATCATCGCCGTCGTCGTCGGTGGCCTCTGCGCCCCTGGCATCCCGCTGGCTGGAGACACCCAGGGTCTCTTCGATGCTCGTTGCAGCCCTCTGCAGTGTTCGGAAAGCTTCTTCAAACGTTTGATGCGCTGACTGCAGCTCAGGTGGTGGGCTCCTGACGCGATCGGGATGATCGTCTTGCTGCCTTGCGCCGCTCCGACGGCGTGCGGCAAAGGCCGTGAAGTCTTCGATGCGACGAGCGCCCGAGTTCGAACGGGCGCCAGGCCAGCGGAGCGAAGCGCGACTGGCACCTGACCGTCGCAAAGACGGAGGAGTTGATCCTGTCACAGTCGTGTGGCCCACCTCTTGCTGCTGACGGGGAGAAGTGCCCAGTCTTTCTGGCGATGTTCGAAGCGCCCTCATCCTCTCGAGGCTGGCTTCAAGTGCTTGGTGGCGGGCCTCCAGATCGCGTGGAAGCGAGCGGAGCGAGCCACCATCGGACACGGCAGGTAGACGCGTCAAGCTTGTCGTTGCTTCCTCGCCATGGCCAGTAGGAGGTTCCGCAGCAGAGAGCGACTCTGCCGTTCTCTCGATGGTTCGATTCAGCTGATCGAAAACATCTCGGCTCGACTCTTGTGACGAGGCGCTTGCTGTCACATCGTTGATACCCGTTGTGGGTGCGCCATGACCAGTAGGGAAGGGCACGGTGGACAGCTCGGAGGTAGACGAGGAACGAGCGACGTGGAAATTGGATGCACGGGGCCTGGACACGAATGTCGGCGCCCCAAGCGAGAGAAACTGAGAGGGCTCGCCAAGCAGGCTGCTCGACGAGAGAAAGGTGGATGGGATGGTGTTGTTGGGAGCAGTGGCAGGAGAGGGAGCTGAGATCTCGTTGGAAGGGCGCTCAGAGTCAATGTGACGTAGAATACGTTCCCGTCGTCTTTCTTCTCGGCTCAGCTGCAATGCCTGACGTTGCGCAGTCAGGGATGCACGCCGAGCCATAAGATCGGCGCGAACACTCGAAGCGGAGGGCGTCGTTGACGCAGACAAATCCTGCTGCGAGAGTCGGCCGACGCGTGAGATGCGGGTCGTCGCAGCATCACGAGGCGGAGGAGAGTCTCCCGAGGCGGAGCTGATGGACGTCAAGTTGGAGGAAGAGGAGCTGCTCCGCGAGCGAACGAGTCCGCTTTCATCCCTAGCCAAGAAGTACATCGAGCCGCTGTTGCCCAACGCTGTCCTCGCTCTCGTTGCAAAGGCTCCTGTCATGGCTTGTGTTGGAAATCCAGTCTGGTCGGCAGAGGCGGCGGCTGCTTCCTCTTTCTGCAGTCGATTGTATGCCTGTGCTGCCGTCTCCTGCAGTGACTGGTGTCAGCTCGGATGTGGACGTGCCAATGAGTCGTCGCGCTCACTTTGATGATAATCTCTGTCAACCTCTTGAAAAACTTGTCATCGGGATCTAGGTACTCGACGAGCTGTTCGTAGGTGAATTCGGACAGCTTGGCCATCTCTCGCCGGATTGACCTTCTCTTTTCCTTTCGGCGCTCTCCCTCCTCGCTCTCTTCTGACACTTGGTCATCGCAAAAGGTCTCGCCGAGTCGGCCTGCGAGAATGGTATGTCTCTCCCTCCTCGCCTTTGGCGCCAATGCGAGCGCGTGTGGAATCTCACCGTGCTTGTTCAGCTGGGCAAGGATGTGGATGATCACCGATTTGGACTTGTCCAAGAAGACATCGTCATAGTGCGATGGGCTCCTGAGAGAGCCGCGCCAGGAGGCGTCAAGTTAGAGGATCATTTCCTTGCGCCTTGATGCGTGAAAACTTACAAGCGGCCCATGATGAGAAAGCTGATGCAGACCGCTTTTGATGACGACGAAGGCCGAAAGTCCTGACTTGAGAAGGACGACTTAACGCCTCCCAATGGTGGTCAAAAGGAGATTGCGAGGCACGACGCACGACTGGTGCTTCTCGTGCCTTTGTGGTAAATGCTCTACCAGCGCGTCGGCGCGCCTGGCGGAGACGTGCGACGAGAAAATGACGTCCGTTATTTGTCACGTGACTTTGACGCGGCCGGCCGGGTGTTGGAAACCGAGGGTACAACATCGGTCTTCAAATCCATGGCAGAGAAAGCAGGGGCCTTCGCTCGTCCCGACACCGAGCTAAGGGCAATTCCACTAGTGTTCTACGACGTTGAAATGGAGAAGCGGGGCCTTTGCGAGCCGTGAGATGATGATTCCCCGGACCCTGTCTGATCACCTGCAGAAATCTATCTGTCCGACGCAGAGCGATGTAGGCACAAAAATTTGCAAGTGTCTTGCAGAGTAGTAAGCAGTCCCCAGATGTAGTAGTTGCACTACTAGTAGTAGTAGCTAGTTGTAGTAAGTGTAGTACTTGATGTGTTTGGAGAAGGAGTTCAACTTTTTTTTTAATTTTTCTTTCTCTTGAACAGGGCATTTAGCCAGGGTCACCCGTCATATTATTGCTTGAGCGAGGTTCGCAAACCGAATCCGAAATTCATGTTTGGTTGCGGCGGTTGAGATTCCTTGTTGGCGCTATGATCGATGGTTTGCCTGCATTTTTGTCCAAACTTCACCTTGACTCCCACCCCGTCCCTGCACCCTGAAAGCCGACCACACCTGACTTCTTTCGCTCGTATAATCACCGCCCTCCCTCTTCCTATCTTATCCCCCTCAAACTTGCGGCGACGACATCGATTCCTCCCTGAAGTCTTTCGTGGAGAAGGGCCAGCTGACGCGCATTTCTGGTAAAAGTGTGAAATTCCACCTCCGCGAGGATCGCTCGGATCGAGACGCAGGCTCGAATTTCCTCGTTTCCTTCTCGCTTTCCCGCTTTCTTCCCTCTCTCTCTCGCGCGCGCGCCTGTACGTCGAACGCTGCGCTCGTCCTTGGCACAGAGACCGACCTCAAGACGACCTGCGCTCCACCGACACATCTCGCGGTGCACTAAGAGCCTCGGAAAAACAGCTATTTGAACCATCGCAACAGCGCTTCAAAAGGTAGACCGACGTCCTACCGACACAGAGCAGTCGACGACGCAGTAGAGGTTGGTGGTCCCTCATCGCTCGATGGATCGCAGCTGCGAGGACATTTCGAACAAGGCGTAGATAATCTCCGCAAATAACGGTATAAAAGAAACGCCATGGGCCAACCAGCGACGGCAGCCATTGCCGTTGCCGTCATCTTCGTCGGCTTGGCAGCCATCTACTTTGGCTACAGAATATACGTCAAGTGGTACCATCGCCGGCATCGTGAGGCCGAGCTGCCTCCAGTACGAGAACCGCTTACCGCATATAGCAACCATACCGGTTTACCTTCGTCGGGGACACTGACCGGCACCCTGTACGGCGAAACGCATCGAGATTCTTGGCGAGGAAGCACTAGCAAGGCGAGCATCATCACGCACTTCGACAGAAGCGGCAGTCATGGGTATGGAAGCGAATTCGCGCCGCTCAGCAGGAGGGCTAGCTCGACGGGACTTCTCGCCAGCCCCAGCACAGCAGGCATGCCGCTCGAAGCATCGGCCCCGGGGTCACCCCTCAGCCCACCGGGTGACATTTCGCCGGGCTCCGCGATCCCAGCGCCGGCAGAGGTCTACGATGGCGCCGCCCACGGCCGATTCTCGAGCAGCTCGTCGACGATGACTTTGAAACGGTCCTACGCTGCAAGCTCCTACAAGGGCTCGAATGGCGCGTCGTCGCCCGGCGGTCTCAGCCCACGGGAGAGGCGAGAGTCATACTTGCCTCACCTGCCTGAGAACAGGGACTCGATCCAGATCACGCCGCCTCAACCGCTCGGATTCGGCCTTGGGGGGATGGCCACGGCCCTAGACCAACGGACGCTTGCCTTTTCCACTGCAAGTGGCATTGGCCAGGGAACGGACGATTTCGTCGCTGGCTTGTCCTGGAAGGATCAGGCTGAAGATGGCAGCAATGTTGGTTCGACGGTGCGCGAGGAAGAGAGGCTGCGTTACCTGGCCCAAGGCCCCAGCCGATCCTACAGCGGCAGCACGCACGGACCCAGCCAGCTGTATGCACACAGCCTGGCTTCGGGCTCACGCACGCCCGAAGGCCAGGGTCCCGGTTCGAGGTCAAGATCGCCCGCCCATCCAGGATGGGACGCATCGAGCCACAGCGACGTCTCCTCCTCGCCGCGAGTCACACCCATCACGCATCCCCTGGAGCAACCGACACCGTCACACAATGTTGGTCCGTCCTCTCACCTTCGCAACGGCTACAGCGTACATCAACAGAGCCCACTTCAAAGGATGAGCGACGGAGAGGATAGCCAGTTCAGTCGCGGACGGCATCCCGCCGAGCAGAACGGTCTTGCACCCTCTCTCCACCCGCTCGATCACGATCGACAACCCTCGCAGTCGAGTGCTGGGACCTTGGACACTGCTACAAGCGGCGCGCTAACTGGCACTGGTGGTGCCGGCACGGGCACAAACACCCCCGACCAGTCGCCAATCATGGCCGCGTTCCGAAACCCGGCAGGGAAGCTAGGCGCATCGCAGACTGGCTCCTCGTCCGACGAGCAAGGAGGTCGGCAGACGCCGGGAACTCCGGGCTTTGCCTCGAGGAGCGGAAGCTCGGTGACGGGTTCCGGTTCCCATTCGGGCCCGAGCACCGAGTCGAATGCGAGTGGAGGAAGACGTAGCGGAAGCCAGAACGGCGACGAGGTCGCAGGGCCGCCGTCTCAGAGGAGCTTGGCGTTAGGCAAGGACGGGAGATTACACCTCGTTCAAGGTGGCGCCGCGGACAAAGTCCTGGATCACCAGCAACCAGTTCGACGTGGTGTGCTCGACGAAGAGAAGCAAGGAGCGGGGACCAGGAGCGGGGAGGAGAAGAGCAGGTTACGCTCCTTGTTCGGACGGTGATTCCGCAGATTTTCTCTTGACAATCTCTTACCCCCCTCCTATCCCTTTACCCTTTCCCCACTTCGTCTTCTATCTTCACTATGCTTTCTCATTCACAGGACAATCTCGCTTTTTTCTTTCATCTCTCTTTCTCTCTCTCGTCGGTCTTCAGGGCTCAAGAATCAAAAGGCAGCAGCAACAGCAGCAAAAGAAGTATCTTAATTCTCACGATCTATCCCCCCCCTTCCCTCTATTCTGTCATTACCACCACCATCAAATCCATCATCGTCAATCATGTCCTCTCTTCTGTAGCAGGCAAGGAATTGAAAAAGATTTGCGTCTTTGCGCCCGCATAGTCTCATTGCGCGTGCTTAGCATTCGGAGAGTAGCAATCATTAGGAAAGACAGATTGACAATTCTTGTGAAGCTTGTCTATGCCACAGTGCGATTAAAGAGTTGTGATGTGGTAAGGAGTACACAGTCCATCTACGGAAGTAAAGCGGGAGAAGAGTGGCGGCCCATTGTCTAGACTACGCCTTCTTGTCTAGGTCCTTGCCCTCGCTTGCCTCAGTCGTCGTCGTCTTCTCTCCCGCCGGCTCGCTCATCCTCCTCCTCTCCTCCTCAACGACGCTCTCGACGACCTCTGCGGTCCGCTGCCTCAGGCCCTTCTTGTGCTCTTCGCTGAACTCGCCTTCGAGCTTGACGAGCTCCTCCACCGTGCCATCGTACAGCGCGAGCGGGAGCAGCGCAAGCCCAAGATCTGATGGTGGCTCGGTGCGGCCCACTTGCAGCCAAGTGATGAGATTCGACTCCATCGTCGCACTGCTTGCCTCAGACGACCTCAGTCCGCGCTTCGAGCACGCCTTCCAGAGCCAGTCCGAGTCGCGAAGCTTGGTCCAGGACGTCTCCTCGTCCACCGACGAGGCAAACGTCTCTTGTCCTCGGCTCTCGAGGGCTGAGAGTAGCATGACGTCGTCCTTGCGCAGATACGCCATATGCTTCTCGATTGAGGAGATGATGAGCGACTTCGGCCGACCCCAGTGATTCAGCGCAAAGAGACTGTAGAAAGGAGTCAGTGAAAGGATTCAGAGACAAGAGGATCCGCACAGACTCACTCGGCAACCGAAGCGAGAGTGTTTCGGTTTAGCGAAGCCAGAGTCGTGGGCGGCACGACTGCTTGTCCCTCTTGCTCAGAAGGCGGCTGCACTTTTGTGTCGCTCTTCATCGTCGCATCGACGACCTTGCGGACTTGTTCATCGCTGGCCAGCGCCTTGACAGCATTTGCCCGCCTCCGCTCCTCCTCGGACCGCATCTTGGCGAGCTGCGACGGCAAGACGCACGTCGATGGCAGCAACGAGGGTGCATAGATGACAACAAGCGGGAGGATCTCCTCGAGGATGAGGAGTATGGCCACAAAGAGTGGCAGCTTTCGCATGTTGGCGCGATGTGTTTGACTTTGCCCATAATTAGTCCAAAGACCAGACGAGGGCGAAAAGAGGCAGCACTACTCACATCATTTGCGATTCGACCCACCGTATCCCTCCAAGACCCTTTTCCTCCCTCTCCTTAACCCTCGCACGGAGCTTCGAGACCATTTCTCGGTCCCTCCAGATTTGCTTGATGCCCTCCAAGTAGAACTTGAAGAGGTACTTTGCCGTCTCGTACAGCTTCATGGCCCTTTCCTTTAACGTCGGCTTTGGGGGACCCCCCGGAACCTCCTGCTTGGACTCCTGCGGCACTTCGCTCGCCTGCTTCGACGAAAACCTCTGCAGCGCTGCGGGTGGGCCTGCTCGACTTGATGTTGGCGTCGGCGCATTTTCCTTGGCAGCTACTTCCGACACCTGCTGCTCTTCCCTTGCAGCCGGCGCTGTCTCTGTCGTCGGCGCCTTCTCTTTGCCTCCGCACGCTATTCTAGCTCCACTTGTCTGGGCCGCTGTAGAAGCAGGCTGGGGCTGTATTCTCGCTTTTGAAGAAGTCCTCCGAGGGGGCGGATTCGGAGGAGGAAGCTTGTCCTCTGGCGACGAGACTTTGCTGTTCAGGTGCGTCTGCGGCTCCAATGGCGCCTGACGAGACATTGACGGTGAGGGATATGAGGCAATCGAAGACGTCGCAATACCCCTTTGTTGGAGAGCCATCGTCCGACACGAGCCTCGACAGGAAGTCGCCGACAAAAGATGCGACGGCCCTCGCCCGACTGTACATCGAGCTCCGTGGCTCCCGCTCGCCGCGAGGGTCGCTGCTGCCGACCCAACCCCTCCCGAAAGTGCTCGCTTCATCGTCTTTTATCGTTGCTTTTGCTGCTGTTATGGTGAAGTGGGCCAACAGAAGGCTCCTCTTCGTTGGCAACAAAGGGCAAAGAAGTTTCCGTCGTGCCCAACCCAAGCTCAGCGCCAATGTCGCGCACGTGTTTTTCCTTTTTTATTTTTTGCGCGCCGGTCACCATACACCGTCAGGTCAGGGGGTGAGCGAGATAATAAGTCCCCCTCCGCGGACAAGGACGGACCTGAGATCTTAGCCTTCATCCTTCAGGAATGAAGATCTCACCATGGAGCACAATTGGCTTGGTGGTAGGACAGTAAAACAGTCGGTTGCACCTGCCCGTTCCATAGCTACGTGCCTGAAGGTGTGTTCGACGGCTCACTTTCTCCAACGTCTCGCCTGAGCTCCAGGGTCCCTGTGAACAACCCAGAAAACAGGCTTTTGAACAATGCTTTTGCCGCCCTTGATTCAAACAGCAGAGTTTTCTTTCCAGCGAGTCCGGGAAGAATTCAGCCGGTCATAAACGCAAGAATAGCAGCGTCCATAGGCTAAGGCGCAACAGCTAAAGTCTAGATGCATTGACACAGTCACAGTGTGTGGGAGCAAGAGGAGCTGCTCCTCCACCATCGACGATAATGACACCACCTTGAATGGGTACGGAGAGTATGGAAACGAGAAGAGTGACTAGAGGAAAGTTTGGGCCATGGGTAATCATGTGCGTTTGTTCAATGTCTAGCGAGCGACCTCTTGGAAGATGAGTTGCTTGAGTTGAGCGCGCGAGAGTTGCTCCTTTGAGTAGTCAAATGAGAAGAATGAAGGGTCGAGAGGAGATGCCGTCGGCTCGTCTTCGGGGTCGTGGTAGGGTTCGAGGTAAGGATGGGCGAGAGCTTCTTCGACGGTGATGCGTTTTCGAGGGCTAAAGGTCAAGCAACGCTCCATGAGGTCCACGGCCAGCGGGTTGGCATTGGGGAACATTTGCGAAAAGTTGCGCCGTTTGCGGAAGGGCAGCGCTCTGATGTAGTCTCGCGACCGGGTCGACGAAATTGCGTAGAAGTCGTCGAGCGAAGGCGTGCCCAGAATCTCAAGGGTCAGCGAGAGTTGGTGGTGGTCTGCCGCGCATTGTCAGCGTCTCAAGCCTAAAATAAGCCAGCACGACGAGGCGCACTCACAGTCGCGGCCGGGGAACAACGGTCTGCCGGACAGCATCTCAGCCAAAATGCACCCAACGGACCACACGTCGATGGCCTTGGTGTACTCCTTGAACCTGCAGTCAGACTGTCAGCGGGACCGCGCTCTCTCTCTTCGTGATGTCAAGCCCATCACCAGACACTCACGTCAGCATGATTTCCGGGGCTCGGTACCACCTCGTAGCGACGTATTCGGTCATGAAGCCGGTCCCCTCTGCCTCGGGTTGGTTGGCGCTCCTCGCCAGGCCAAAGTCGCAGATCTTCAAGTCGCAGTTGGCATTGAGAAGGAGGTTCGACGGCTTGAGGTCGCGGTGGAGAACCTGCGCCGAATGAAGCGCCTTGAGCCCTCGGAGCGTCTGGTAGATAAAGTACTGGCAATGGTCATCGGAGAGCTCCTGGGTGCGAATGACTCTGTGCATGTCCGTCTCCATGAGCTCCTGCAGATGTCCCGGATCATCAGCGTTCGCCTTAGCAAGTGACCCCAAGAGCAAAATTTGAACCTACTTGGATGAGATAGACCTCGCTGAACGACTCATAGCTGTCTGGCTTGATGATATCGAGAATGCTGATGATGTTCTCGTGATTAAAATGGCGAAGGAGCTTGATCTCTCGGAGAGTTCGCAGGCAGAACATCGAGTGATCAAAGGGCGTGATGCGCTTGATTGCCACCCTCGACTGTGTTGGCACATGAATGGCCGAGCTGAGCATCGCACCCTGTCAGCGCCTCGAAGACTCAATTGCCCGCCGAAAGAGAGGGAGGCAACGACTCACCAGACGACGCCATATGCGCCCTCGCCAACGACATCGACAACCTGATACATCTCGCCAACCTTGAACGAGGCCTGCTGCGCCGCCACCTGGGCGCTCTGGCTCGTTGTTGTCGTCTGCTGGCTCATTGTTGCTGAATCGTCCTTCGTCGTGGTAGTTTTCGCGGAGCGCGGCTGAATGTTGCGCGCTGCACTGTGCTGGTCTGCCTCCACGAGGAAGCGCTATCGGCGATTGAAAAGAGCCTCGCACGCCTGTCCGGCGTCCCGTCTGGCTTCGTTTGGCGTCGCCCGTATTGCTCCTCTACGCAGACAGTTGTCAGTCGTCCACCCAAAGTTGATCGGCAGAGAGCAAAGAACGAGGGAGAGACGAAGGGAGGCGCGCACGAACCCACAGGCCACCAAGCTTTCTCCCCTTAGCGTATATCCAATGCGTTCTTTTACAAAATGTAGAAACAGCCTCATGTACACTTTAATCCGGCCTCTCTTAGTAGTAGTAATGGGAGGTGGCATTAATTGGACTTCTGAAGCAGGTCTGCCACCTGCCGCCGGTAGATCGGGATAGCGTCAACAGGGATTGGGCTAGATTGAGTAGCCATACAGTCGTAGCGTGTTACTGAGCAGGGTAGGCAAAGGAGCTCCGCGAGTCAATTCTTGAGAGGTAGCAGAGCGTTCCGTCAAGCACCAATGACGAAAATGACAAGTAATGACACTTCACGTGACTTATCTGATGATGAGTGCCTGCATTTCTATTTTTTTTACATTTCTTTTTGGGTCGAGTCCGTTTCTTTTTGGATCTGGTAAGCTTCGCGCCGCCACCTCCGCCAACGACCACCGATTCTCGATATTTGCTGCGCCTGTGTAGGACGAAAACGTGTGGCTCTCCTGCACCGCTCATTCATCTGTTCGCGACCTCTTGTAAGGACAAGAGACAACGGAGATGGCGTCGCCATCAGGGTCAGCGGTGTTTGCCGCAATGGATATGGAAGTGGAGAACGAGGCCGGGCCGTCGTCGAGAAAGACACGGTCCGTGTCGAAGCGCAACAAGGCTATCGCTGCCGTCTCTGGCGCCATGGTCACCTCACTCACAAGTAAGTGTGGCAGCTTCTGGTTTGGATCGTTGCATGGGGCATGGCATTGACAATTTCAATTCGACAGTGACTCCGTTCGACGTCATCAAGACGAGATTGCAGACGCAGCGGGCACTTGATCCGCTCTTCCAGCCCCCGACTCGCGCAGGGAGCGTAACTTGCTGCCAACCAACAATACAGGCCCCGACCTTTGACGAAGCAGGCAAGCTGTGCCGCTACGACCCGCGTATGGATGCGCAGACACGAGCCAGTACGTCGCCGCACCTGAAGCCGCGGATACCACGGGCGACCCCGGCGGTGCACCATGCCACCGACATGCGCCCGAGGGTGATGCCCAACGTCTTTGTGTCAGCCAGCAACATGTCTGCCACGGCATGCGCCTTTCCCGATCGAGAAGTGGCTGCGCGGGAGCTGCGAGCTGTGGCATCCGAGGGTCGACTGGGCGGCTTGTGGGACGGGGCGATCAAAATTGGCCGGCAGGAGGGCATCAAGGGCCTTTGGAGGGGGCTCAGTCCAACGCTGGTGATGACGGTGCCGTCGCAAGTGACTTACATGACGTGCTACGATCACTTTCGCCTTTACTTCTTGGAGCTCGGGCCAGAAGTCCACTCGTCTGGTCAAGTGTCGCTGTCCAATGTCACACCGCATACACTGGGGGCCTCTCTTGCTGCAGGTGCTATTGCGAGGAGCATCAGCGCAACGCTAGTCACGCCCCTCGAGCTGCTGCGTACCCGGCTGCAGGCGACGACGTCGGGAGCCAGCAATGGCGTGGAGAGAGGACTCAGCAACGTCTTTCGGGACTTGGGCCGCCAGGTATCTCGAGAAGGGCCCACCGTCATGTTTCGAGGCTTGGTCCCGACGCTGTACCGCGACGTTCCCTTCAGTGCCATCTACTTTGCGGGCTACGAAAGCATGAAGCGTGTCCTGACCGGCAGCGGCTTGGGCGAGCGAAACGACGACGCGATGGGGGCTCGAACAAAGAGCCAGGAATTTGCAACAGCCTTTGTCAGTGGGGCCACGTCTGGCATTGTCGCTGCCGTCTTTACGCAGCCATTTGATCTCATCAAGACGAGGCTTCAGGCCGAGCAAGGGGGTGGCAGTAACACGGCAAACGGGCGCAGCGTGTTGTCAATGGCGAGAAACATCGTCCAAAACGAGGGAGGATTCATGGGCCTGTTCCAGGGCATGAGCCCGAGGGCAGCCAAGGTGGCACCGGCGTGTGGCATTATGATTGCCAGCTTCGAAGTCGTGGGGAGGTGGCTCGAGGATCATTCATAGATACAACAACAAGCATAGTCTGATCTCAAAAGAAGTAGATAACAATAAGCATCATTACCCAATTCATCCATCATAGCTCCAGCGCAGGCTGTGCGGTGTCCGCTAGAAACGTAACTTCCATCCGCGCCTAACTAAAGCAAGGAACCGCAGAAAAGGGGCGCCCTCTACCTGAGAGAGGAGAGGCGATGGGGCCCGAAGTCAGCCCCCTGTCAGCCCAGCTCAGTCGACCCTTTTGCTGCTGCTATTCGAAGCGCAGTCGAGTGCCTACACCTCTGTGCGCGCTTTTAGATCTCTTGCGCGCTTTTAGATCTCTTGCTCGCTTTTCCGTAAGCGGCTGTGGAGGTTGGTGCGTGCGAGCCAATTTATGCAAAAGTTAACGAATGCACAATCTCGTCCCTTCCCCTTCCCTTCCTGATCCCACGAGAAGCCAGCCAGCTAGCTCGAAAGCAAGTAAGCAGCTTCTAGTGATCGTTGGTGCGACTCTCGAGAGCGTTGCGACAAACGCAAGAAGATGTCGCATTCATCACCGCTGGTCGGAGAGCAGGGGCCAGATGCAGGCGTCATCGGCGCGGGGAACCGGATCCTGTCGCGCGGAATGCCCAATCTCGCCGCCGCCGTCGAAGGATCGAGCGGCGCGCCGCACCGCTCACTCGAGGTCTCGTCGGAGCCAGCATACCCAGATGAAGATGGTCAGTAGGGCCCCCTCGCTTCTTTCGTTTTCTCACACAGCTGACTTGGCATGGGCGTGTGGGGATGAACAGGCATTGTGTACACGCAGACGACAACGATCTCGTACTCGACCGCGCCCATCACGGTCGAGAGAAGCACAGTCGACGAGCTGCCAGAGCCGCTCCGCTCGGATCCAAAGAGGACGCAGGCGACGTGGATCAAGCGATCCGCCGACACGATCGAAGTCGAGACTGTCTTTCGTGGCGACGGGAACCAAGCTATCCAGAGGAATGAGTATGGTGCAGGAAGATTGACGGGCGACAAGGCGGCATTGCAAGAGGAAAACGAGGCAGCGCGGAGCAGCGAAGTCAGCAAGGGGCGGGAGGAAATCCAGGTTGGAGGAAGACTAGCAGAAGACACTTTAGGCGACGGGAGCTTCTTGGGAGACTTGGTCCCGGCCCCACCGCTCGCTGGCGGCAACAAGGCGTCTTCCCTCACGCAAGTCGAAGGCGAAAGCTGGCAATCGACAAAGCTCAGCAACCTCGTTGATGAGATGCATCTCGACAGCCCTACTCCGACAACGACAGCCGCCTGAGGCCAAGCGGGACGAGCAAGGGCCAAGCAAAAAAAAAAAACATATCCTCTGTGGGAAATCTATATTGTATCATTTGAGTGATGAAGATTAGCGGGCAAGAGTGGGTGTGTATGTTTGTGCCATGGCGCATTAAAGGGGGATCAATCACTCCTGCTCATCTCGCTCCACTTCCTCTCGAGCCCTCCTCTGGTCCTCGTCTTCTTTCATCTTCCTCACCGCCTGCTCACCAAGACCTGAGCTTGCCCTCCTCGCCTCGGCGAGGCTCATTGCACCCGCAAAGGCGCGGCTAAAGCTAAAGATCTTTCGAGCACGCGCCCGTACGTCACTGACCGCCTCAAAGAAGGAAAGGCCGCGGTAGAACCAGAGGTAGCGGTAGAAAGAGGCAACATAGTCGCCCAGGACGCTGAATGTCTCGGTCCATCTCGCATCCTTCCATCGTCGAGACAGGCGCTGTTGGTCGTCGTTCCACACGGCCAAGGCGCAGTATCGAGCGAGGATGATGAATGGCCGCGTAGGGCCGTGGGTGGTGTGCAGACTGGCATCGAGCGATCTCGAAAGATCGTTGAGCTTGAGCACCATCAACATGCGTCTCGGAACCCGCCTCAGCAGGTCGAGAATCGAGAGAAAGAGACCCTCCTTCTCCATGACCGTCTTTCGAATGTGATTTTGCTCATCGTCTGACATCTCCGAGCCCGTCTCCATGTCGAGGATGCTGCTCGCCCTCGCTTTTCCCTGCACGCCATTCGGGTTCGCTGGGTCGCTTCCCTCGAGGCCGGACCTTCCAGTAATAGCGCTCTCGAGGATCGGGTAGAGGTCATCATCGATGTTGGCGACCAGCTTGGCGTACTTGCGCCTCTCTGCCGACACTTTCGGCGTCGATCTCGACATGAGCGACAGCCAGAACCGCGCATAGTTTGTCCGAAGCTCCTGGTCAATGTCAAAGTAGAGGCCGTGGTCGAGAAGGACGACTTCGAAGTTGTAAGGCGACCGACTGCCCTTGTGGTCCTTCGATGGTCGGATCAAGACGTTGCCGCCGTGCGGGTCCGCATGGAAGAAGCCGTGCAGATAGAGCATCTGAGCAAAGACACGGCTCAACTCCTGGCTCACGCGGTTGCGGTCAATGTCGTGCTCGGCAAGGTATGCCAGGTCGTCTGGCCGGCGCCCGTCGATGAATTCCATGGCCATGGCTCGCTTGAAGACCCAGGGCACCTTGGGAATGTAGACGGAGGTCTTACGGTAGTGGGCAAAGTCCTTGTCGGCCCTCTGTGCATTCTGCGCCTCGTGTCGGAAGTCCATCTCCAGCGGCATGTTGTCATTCATCTCTTCGGCGAGCCAAGTGAATTCAAATTGTGGGAACACTTTCTTGACCCACTTGACGAGCACGTTGACCGTCTGCATATCGACGTGGCTAAATCGCTCCACCTCTGGATGCATGAGCTTGACAGCGAGTGCCTGGCCCGTCTTTCGATCGATGGCTCGGTGCACCTGCGCTAAGCTCGCCACGCCGATGGGCTTGGCGTCAATCTCGCTGAACGCTTCTGCGAACGTCCAGCCCGTCTCCGACCGGAACATGGCTTCAAGCTCAGGCAGTGGCGTCGGCGTGTTCTGGTCCTGCAGAGGCTTCATCGTGTTGGTCCACTCTTCTGGAAGCAGGATGACACTGGAAATGTGCTGGCCCAACTTGATGTACAGCCCGCCATTTTCCTGTAGCGCCTTGAGAACACGGTGGGCGGATCGGAGGTGGCACTGCCTCAACGCCTCCTGCTCTTCTTTGGAATCGGCGTACTTTTGGTTAAGCGTCTTGCGATAGTCCCACACGCACAGCGCCACGGCCTTTGCGATAGTTGTCGACCGCTTGACTGCCAGTACAGCATAGCTTCCGTTGCCCTGGCCCTTTTGCGCCTCGTTGATGCGCTTCTCCATCTCTTCATGGGCCAGCTCGAGACCCTTGACGTTGAAGGGTTTCGCCTCCAGGAGCTTCCTCTGCTCAGCCTCGCGGCCAACCAGCGGCAGCTCCTCGGCATGCGCGACGCCGATGCTCAGGTATGCGATGCCACCGACGACAGCAAGGCCGAGTGCAATGCCGAGGCCGATCTTCGACTGCTTCCGAAAGCGGATGTGGGCTTCGGCCGTCTCCAGCGGATTGGCCACAGCGGGCTGATCAAACACTTTGGCTTCGGGCTGCTTCAGCACGGGAGGGTACCTCTTTGCAAACGGTCGCGTGTCCTTCTGCTTTGGCGGAGCAGCGTCACCACCGTTGGCTGACGGTCCTTGTTGGCCTGTTCCTTCTCTTCCTTGGAGTCGAGACGCGGCCGAGGTGGAGAAAGCTCGTCTGCCGATGCTGGCCCAAGTGTGCATCTGCCTTGCACTGCCCTTTGTCGATGGTCTGCCAGACCCGCTAAAAGAACCAGCGCCCGCTCGATGAGCATCGTACCGAAGCACAGCACCCAAGAGGACCTGAGCCCCTATTGCGCAGTCCTCTTTGCTGGTATACTCCTTCTCGTTGTGAGAGATGCCGCCCTTGGATGGCACAAAGATCATCGTCGCGGGGCAGCGAGTCGACGCTGCAAAGGTGTCGTGGCCGGCCCCGCTCCGCAGCTCCATCCACTTGTCTCGGCCCACGGCCTCGGTGGCGCTGTCCTTGACGGCTTGGATGCATGCAGCGTCGAACTTGGGCGCCTTGCTGTCCGAGTCGAGCCTCCACGACAGAGTACAACCTCCTTCGCTCTCGGCAATGGCATCTGCCTCGTTGCGGATCGCCTCCTCGATTGCTCCCACCACTGCCTCATCCTGGTGTCGGATGTCGAGCGACATGACGACTTTTCCCGGAATCGTGTTGGTCGAGCCTGGCTGCAGCGAGAGGACGCCGGTGGAACACAGACCCTGATGCTCGCCAGCCTTGGCCTTGGACATGACAATGATCCGTGCCGCTGCCTGCAGCGCATCGGCACGATTCGCATAGGGCGTTGCACCCGTGTGCGCCTCCTGCCCGCCAATCTCGAGGGTGAACCACCGGTAGGCCTGGCCGCCAAGCACGACGCCAATCTTTTTCCCCTCTCGCTCCAGCACTGGGCCTTGCTCTGCCGGTGTTAAACAAAGCCATTGGCGAGTCTAGTCAGTGATGGGGTTCGTGGACAGCAGCAGGAGGAGAAAAGCAGGTACTGACCGATGTGCAACTCAAAATGGGCGCCCAGGGGCACCTCTCTGTAGTCGCACTTTGCCGGACCCAGCCAGCCGATCCGTTTGAGCTCCTGCTTGACCGTCTTTGGCGACGAGGGATCTGTCGCCAGGCTGGGCACCTCTCTGATCGCCCACGCCTCTTCCTTGCCCAGCAGGCCAGCCCAGACGGAGGAAGCCATGACCGAGTAGGGGAAGCGAGCGCCCTCTTCGTTTGTCCAGTTGACGACGCATACGGGGTAGTGTGTTTCGACGTTGTTCTCCTTCATGACCCTGAGCGCCTCTACGCCGGCATGGACACCCAGGCTGAATTATTAAAGAGCAAGGTGAGACGCAACTGTAAGCAAATAGTTTTTGTGACGGGGACGCATTCCGCCGCCGATGCAACTCACATGCCATCATACCGACCACCAGGCCCGGGCTGGGTGTCGAGGTGACTGCCCATGGCGGTAGGCGGGCCGCTGTGTCGTCCGGGTCTGATTGCAAACGTGTTACCGAGCTCGTCGACGATGTGCTCTGTGCAGCCCAAGGCTCTCGTCTCGTCGACAAACCACTGCCTCGCCTTTGCGTCGTTGTCGTCGAGCGAGAGCCTGCGCATGCCCGTCTCGAGTGGCCCAGCGCCGAAGGGAGCCGTGGCACCCCACTGGCAGGTGTGGTGGAGCGAATCGTGCATCCGATCGGGCTTCACTCTGAGCAGCGGCTCTCGAGCGCAGACAGCCGGGCGGAAGCCTCGTCTCCCCGAGGGCCAGACCGGAGCAGCTGAGGCCGGCGGCGGACGAAGACATGACGAGGATGGCGACGAGGACGATAGCGGGCGCAGCGACGCTGCTATCCTGCTGTGGACTCCTCTGGTCGTCGAAGAAGCGCGCATGTCTTGCGGCGGCTCTTTTTGACAAAGATCAGACGAGCGGGTGACGAGAAGACGACTTGTCGCTGCTAACGTCTCACACAAGGAAGAAAGTCACGTCCGGTCTCTTTCCGGGTACGAAAGACGGCCGTGGCTTTAGTGCGTGGGTTCAGGTGGAGATAGATTCACGTCAGCCGCAAAGTTCCGCTCCGATGTGCGTCCTATTTTTTATATTTTTTATTTATTCGTGCGCCATTCTTGAACGCTCGATCTGACCACTATACGTATGTGTGTTCCGCTCAGTGCTCGATGGAACTGCGATGAAGGACGATGGCGGAGATGACAGGAGCACACAGGCCAGAGCCAGCTGGCCAAGGTGGCTGCTGGCATTCCTGAGAAAGACGGCAGCGGCGCACTTTGCCAACTTCGTCCTCGCCGTCCTCGTCCTCATCAAGCCCGTCTCAAATGCACTGGGCTCCAAGGCCTTTCTCGTCATCGCCTACCTCCATCTCTTCTTCTACCCGTGCACCACCATCGGCGAGCACCTCGAGACAGTCCTCCTCGGTGTCGTCGGTCTCTCGATTGGCCTCGCTCTGTCCTTTTTAGCCGTCGCGGGCGCCATCTGGACCGGCCGTCGCCATGAGGAGCAGCCGAGCGTGGGCACCGTGGCCGTCTATGACAACTCCTACTCTCGCGCAGTGGGCGCTTGCGTTCTGGTAGCCCTCGCCTTTCTCGGCGGCCTCCTGAGCAGCTCGACGCCGCGCCTCAAGGCCTCGGTGCGCATCGCCCTCTTCGCCAGCACCTGGACCATCACCGTACCGCCCGCGGCGACGACGGGCGTCATCGACTTTGGCATCTTCAGCGATCAGTTCTATCCTGCCCTCCTTGCCGCCGGCGTCAGCGTCCTAGCCAATGTCGCTGTCGTTCCCAGGACCGCCCACGACGTCTTTGCCTCCGCCCTCGTCTCGACGCTCGAGAGCATTGACGCAGTCTTGGACCGGAGCCTCGCTGACTTCTTTGCGGGCCCTCGGGCGAACCAGCGCGTGGCCTCGGAGGAACTCATCAAGCTCCGGCGTGAGCTGCTACTCAAAGCGTCGAAGCTCACCGAGTCGTACGGTCAAGCCATGCTCGAGGTCAGCTTTGCGAGGTTGCCCCTTGTCGAGCTCAGGCCGATGCTCTCCATCATCGCGCGGACTCGGGGATGGATCAGCTGCGGCATGGGACTGAGCGCCAGGGGCGAACGGCGGCCTCCAAGCTATGCCAGTCCCGTGCCACGAGGAGAAAAGGAAGGAGAAGAAGGAGAGGGGAAAAAGAACGGAGATTCGCAAGCACAGACCGAAGCGGCCAACCACAACGACGACGCAGAGCATGTCCATGCCGCTTCTGCCGACCAGTTCCAGCCCTGCCTCACCTCGCTGACGCACCAGATTGGCGTCTCCCTGCGAGTAGTGCGCGCATGTCTCGAGCTGACCCTCGCCAGCCAACTGCCCAAACGGATCCATCCTACGGACAGCAAGGCTGTCCTCTTCGTCCTCAACCCCTCCGAGTTGGGCTCCGACCCGTCGTCTGCATTCATCCTTGCCGGTCCAGACATGCCGGCTCGAGCCGTGTTGGCGCAACGCAAAAGACTCGAGGCGTCCATCGATGCGTTCAAGATCGAGCTCGCCAATGCGATGGATACACTCAGGGCCAAAAGCATGCGACGGCGGCCGCGACACGAGCAGCAGCCATCACTGGCCAACGCCGAAGAAGAGTTCACAATCGGTGCTGATGCGGAGGCAAAGGCAGAAGCGGAGGCAGAGGCCGAGTTGGATGTGGTCGAAGCCGAGACGTTGTTTCGATCTGACATTTATGACATTGCCTTTTTCATGGTGGGCCTACTCGAGATCTCCATCGATGCAGCAGCCATGCTCCAGCACAGCCAGAGGATCTTGACCCGCTGGCACGCTCAGCGGCGACGCCGTGTCTGGTGGCCGCTCCTCTCGTGGTCGCAATGGTCTGGCAGGGCGCAACGTGGCAAGACACTTGTGCACGACGACGCCATCTTTGACGACACCGAGACGAGATACGGCCATGATCGTGCGCATATGCACTTTGACGAAAGCCACCCGTGGGCGTTGCAGGGCGACATGCGAAGCGAGCAAGCCGTACATCAGAAGGAGGGCGACCGGCCTTCAGATCCGGCGGGCAAGGCAACTGAGAAGTGGACGATGCATGCTATGGCGCAATCATTTGTCTCCTTCTCGCATCGTCACCGTGTGCTGGCGATTCGTATTGCACTTGCTCGGGTCATGGGGAGCATCCGCCACAGCAGGCACATTCGGTATGCCACCAAGCTAGCCTTCGGCGTCGCGCTGCTTTCTTTGCCCGCATGGCTGCCGTCTGGCCAGCAGTGGTACGAGTCCCAGCGCGGCGTCTGGCTCATCGTCACCTACATCTGGGTTCTCGAGACGAGCACGGGTGCGACGATTCGCATGAGCCTATTTCGCACCATCGGCACCATCTCGGGCGCAATTTATGGCTTGGTGGCCTGGTACATCAGCGGCCAGGGAAATCGCTACGCTCTTGCCTTCTTGCTCGCATTGGCCGAAATTCCAGCGTCATACTTTATTGTGGCGACCAACAAGGCGCAACCGATCGGCATCGTCTTTGCCCTGACACAGAGTGTCGTGGTCCTCATTCCCCTCGGCGGCGAGCTCGACGAACAGTCTTCGGTCGCTAAGCTGGCCCTTGTCAGAGGCTATCAGATCCTTCTTGGCATCGCGGCCGCCTTTCTCGTCAACACCTTCATTTGGCCTCTGCATGCGCGCGTCTACCTGATCCAGGCCATCGCAAGGATCACGTCCCAGTCGGCGAGTCTCTACCTCAGCCTGGCCAGGCAGATGATCAGAGCCGGCCGACCTAGCCCAGAGTCTACGGCACGCTTTGAGCACCTCGAAGAAGAGACACAGACCCGTCTGTCGCTCTCGAGGAGGCTGCTCGACGAGATGCGCAGCGAAATCTCCCTCGTGCCAAAGGCGACACCGACGCTGAGCTGCATCCTCAAGAGCCTCCAGACGATTGTCGATCTCCTCGTGGCGCTCCGCCAGTGCAGAGAGACGGGTATGCGGGCCATCCGAACCGAGGCCGTCTTCAATGTTCTGGATCTCCGAAGAGATCTCGTCTCTGCAGTCTTGCTCACGCTCTGGATCGTGGGTCAGGCACTCCGAACGAGCGCGCCACTACCCCAGTTTCTGCCAAGCCCCCGCCTGGCCCTCGAAGACTTGACGCAAGCGATGAAGGAGCAAGTCGAGTCCTCGTCCACGCCGCCACAGCAGCGCAGCCGAAGCAGGCCCTCCAAGTCGCCCGGTGGAAGCTGGACGCCCAACTCACGCACGGGCCACGACGCCGACCGCGCCCTGGACGTGACGATTGCTGCAGCGACACGGCGTCTCTTGCAGCGACAACGCGACCAGCAGCAGCAGCAGCAGCAGCAGCAAGGGCGCGAGGGCAAGCGCAAGGCGGCAATCGACATTGACTACGCCTACTTCTTTGTCTTTGCCGAGCATGCGCTCCTGGCAGGCATCATTACCGAGCTCGAGGCGCTTCTCATCTCGACGAGACACCTCGTCGGCGAGAGCTCTTTCATTCTCAGCGGCTATCTGCCCCGGCTCGAGGCGGATACCTCAGAGGCACAGGCAGCCGACTCGACGTGGCAGACCAATGAGATGCACGCGAGAAATAGGAGCCTCTCGCAGATGCAAAAGGACCTGGCTGCTGTCGCTGGTGGCCGATGACACATTGTAAAATCTAATCTCAGCACTTGTAATACTAGAAAAACATCGACCATTGTATTGAGCGAACAGAGCCTCTTCCGACATCAGTCTGGCGTCTGTGTTGAGTGGCGGACCGAATTGATGCTATAGCGGTCAGAAAAGGACCCGAGCGTGAAGTGAAACGGCCTTTGGTGTCTGTCAACCTCGGTCCCCGTCTTTGGAGTCTGACGCATGGCCACGGGCTGTAACTGACAGCAAATCGGACATCTGCACCGCATGTCACTCATTCTAATGCCTATCGGACAAGAGTTTCTTACCCCAAAAGGCCTGCTTGAACTCGTCCTATCGTCCGTAACCTGCTAGTCGCCATGTCAAAAATGGGCGCCGCGCCTCAACTCTCGAGAACGAGAGAAAAAGGAATAGAATCAGGCCGCGAAATGACGTAGCGCACCACGCGAGTCCCCCCTCCAGCTTTGGCGCACCAAGGATCAACCAAATCATGCACGGACGTGCCGTGGGCCAGTGATCTCGCTGTCGTTCTTAGATCAAACTCCAGTCGCTGTTTCTTCCTCTATCTCTCAATCTCTCTCTTCTTCCCTCCCATCCTTGCACGCTTCCTCTCGTGTAGTCGTACAGGAAGATCAAGGGAACCCCTTCTCTCTCTCTCTCGACACTTGACCGGCCTCCTCCTTTGGTCACCACAAGCTTGCCCCAACACGATGCGCTCCACGATGCCACTGCGCCGGGGAGCAGGCTCGCTGCTGCGGCACACTGTGACGCCGAGCCCCGGCCTTGCCACGCCCCTTCGCCCTGGCCTTGCTATCAGTGCGGCCAAGAGCACTCCATCGAGGCTCCAGTCCATGCGTCTCCACGCGACGCCTGCGCCAAGGGCTGAGAATATTCCTGGAGACTTTGACCCTCATGCAATCACGGCCATGGACAAGCAGACACCACCCAAGCCTGGTGCCGACTTCAACGTTGTCATCGTCGGTGCCGGCAACATCAACTTTGGTGCGTTTTTCCCCTCGGTCCTCTCATCTCCATTCTCTATGCGGTCTCCTGACGCCCAGCCTCTTGTGCGCTCTCCGCACTCCCTCTCCCACTTTCCCCTTTCTTACCCTTTCTTCCCCATCTCTTTTTCGATCTCTCCTTTTAGGCTCCGACGAAGGACCTTGGAACCATTCGTGAGCGCGCCCGACCCAGTATTCTTTGCGCCCCGCTTATCGCTGACCGAAACCTTGATCTTTTTCTGCCACTCGTAACACAGCTTGTGAGTATACGCCGCTTCTTGTCTGTCGTCCTGAGCCAGCGCTGACAGACACGAGGCTCTCTCTCCTACAGCCGTCTCGAGCACAAGCTTGGACCCCGTCTCAAGGTCGTCGCCCTCATCGACCCTTCTGCTGCTCGTGCCGATGCCGCGCTCAAGGTCAAGCGAGAGTCGTTTGTGCTGAGTGCATACAAGGACACGATCGTCTACCCCACCTTCCCCGACTTTGTCAAGAACATGAAGCCCGAGCAAAAGCCCCACGCCATCTGGGTCGGATCTCCACCGGCGTTCCGTGGCCGCGAGGAGCAGGGACGCGACCTGGAAAAGGCCCTTATCGAGGCTTTCCCCGACGTCGGCATCTTCATTGAGAAGCCCGTCTCGACGGGCCCCGTGGACGAGGCCTTCTCCATCGCCGAGCGGCTCAAGAAGTCCGGCAACGTCGTCTCGGTCGGCTACATGCTCCGCTACCTCAAGGTGGTGCAGAAGATGAAGCAGATTCTCGAGGAAAACAACCTCAAGGTCATGTCTACCAATGCCCGCTACATCATGGCCTACGAGCACACTGCCAAGCTCGACTGGTGGGACAAGTCGCAGTCGTGCGGACCCATCGTCGAGCAGGCCACGCACTTCTGCGACCTCTCGCGCTACTTTGGCGGCGAGGTCGACCTCGACTCGGTCATGGCCCACTCGCTGGAGCACTTTGAGCCCGCCGGCCACTTGCGCAAGATTCCTGTGCCCGAAGAGAAGATCCCAGAGGACGAGCGCATTCCCCGCATCACCTGCGCCACCTGGAAGTATGAGTCGGGTGCCGTTGGCTCCCTCACCCACGCAGTCGCCCTCCACGGCTTCAACTACTCGACCGAGATTGACGTCTACGCCGATGGATACAGCCTCCGACTCGTGGACCCCTACAACGCTCCGGTCCTCTACATGAGGAAGCCCGGCGATGACCACGAGGAGGTGATTCGCTACGGCAACGACGACCCCTTCTTCTCGGAAGTGAGCAACCTCATCGAGAACATCGAAAAGGGCCCTGGCTCGGCACCGATCCTGTCGTCGTACGAGGATGCCGTCAAGACGTACGCTCTTACTTGGCAGATTCGCAACAAGTCCGAAGAGTCGGTCCGAAAGATGGGAAAGAAGAAGTAAATGGATCTACACTCGTCTCTTCGCTCGTATGCTTCTAGATCTCTCCCTTCTCAAACGCCCTCTGTACATACATGCTCTTTTCCCCACCTTCCTTTCTTCCTACCACCACCTCCACCGACGACGGTCTGTACTCTCTTTTTTTCTATCTCGCCAACCTGACTCTTAGAATTTGGAAACGGTGCCTGTTACAAAGCTCGATTTCTTTCGCTTCTTACGTTCTTCCTCTCCCACGTGGCTCTGGATTCCCACCTCAAAGGATATGGAGATAGGAATTGCGCTTGCGAGAACGGGCAGTCACGTTCGTCGGTCTGGTCACTTTTAGAATTGGTGGCTTTTCCCATCGGACCATTTCGTCCCATCGGACCCACGTCGCGCTCTTGCATCCACCGGGGTATCTTTCTGCCCCCCCTCTCTCTCTCGTCTCGTCTTGATCTATAGCGACGCACCCAGCACTGCTCTTTAAGCGGATTCGTTGAGAGTAAGAGCATACATCTCGCAAAGCGTGGCCAAGAATGGAGCTCCCCACCGGCTCTTCGCGCGCAGGCCCCGCTCCACCCGCAGCGTCCTCCTCGTCGCCGACGTCGTCGTCGTCGTCGTCGTCGCTGAGCGCCGCCTCGCTCGAGTCGCTGCGCGAACCCATCCTGCGGATCCTCCGATCGAGCGATCTGGCATCGATCAGTGCCAAAAAAGTGCGGACGGCGCTCGAGGAGCGCGAGGGCGCCCTCATGCGGCGCATTGGCTTCCAGCCGGCGTCCAAGGAGCACAAGAGCGCCGTCGATGGGGTCACGAAGCGATGCTTTGACGTCATTTCTGCAGATGGCGGCAGCAGCCAGGCGTCGGTAAAGGCCGAGGAGGGAGATGTCAAGCCGAGGTCCGCCACGAGTGCCGGTGGAGGCGGCGGCGGCGGCGGCGGCGGTGGCTTGGCCTTGCCCGGTCTCGGAGGCGTGCCCGGCTCCCACTCAACTCCGTCCTCTTCGGGAACCGCGACTGGAAATGGGGGCGGCGCCCGCTTGCCGCCCCAGCCACGGCCGCCGTCAGTTGGGTCCTCGTCGGCGGCGAATGGGGCCAAGAAGAAGCGCCGGGCAGACGATGTCGTGTCCTCCGAGGAGGAAGACGCAGAGTCGGCCGCGGCTGCCGCTCGCCGATCGAAGTCGTCCAAGAGCAGTGGGGCAACAGCAGCAGGAACAGCCAAGAAGAAGAAGAAGAAGGCAAAGGGCGCAGACGACGGAGAGAAAAAGGCGCCGAATCCGAACAATCCGTTCAACCGGCCGCTCAGACTCAGCAAGGAGCTCAGCCAGGTTTGCCAGGGCGAGGTAGTGGGTGCTTCGTTAGGCTTTGTTTTGCCAGCTCACAAGACAGCTGATGCCTTTCTATGTCAGATGCCGCGGTTCGAAGTCACGAAGAAGCTGTGGCAGTACATCAAGGGGAACGAGCTACAGAATCCAGAAAACAAGCGCCAGGTAGGTTCTTTATCAAGCTGTCAAACGGCCCCTTGCGGCTGATGTGAAGAGCTGACGAACCCTGCCCACAGATCTTGTGCGATCCGACGTTGAAATCCCTCTTTGGCAAGTCAACCGTCGAGTGCGTCTTGCTTCCTCTTTCTGCCAATCAGTCGTCTGACGAACTTCCTCTGCAGCTCTTTCGAGATGTCGAAACTCATCGGCCCGCACCTGACAAAAATTGAGACAAAGGAAGAGTGACGCCGCGGGCTCCTTCTTCTCAGGCCCCCCCTGCTCTCGCCCTCTTACGCCTTCCTTGCCGTGGTTCAATCTCTGCTCATGTTATTTTAAAGCCCCCTTACTCTTGAGAAATCCCTTCTCAGCGTCACCTTTTCACACGTCCAGCTCCCAATCAAAAAGACACAGAGACAGAAAGAAGATAAGGTAATGAAATAAGTATTTTTCTCCTTGTGCCCAGCTTTCCTCTGCATCAGAAGCGCCCTCCCAAGCTCCGAGCGGCGTCGCTGGCCGACAGCCTTCCCCTGCCGCTTCCCCATGGGCCTCCACTGCCTGCCCCTGGTCCTCCTGCTCCAGGTCCTGCGCCCGGCTGCTGTGGCCCTGCGCCCGCTCCAGGCGGCCTGAATTGGCCAGGAGGAAGCCCCGCCGGCGCAGAGGAATCGGGCATGCGCGCAAACGGGTTCGAGTACTGCGCCATGGCCCGCCTCGGGGGCGAGAACGTGGCCGATTGCGACATACCACCCATGCCTGCGAGATGTGGCTGCTGCTGCTGCTGCTGCTGCTGCTGCGAGGATTGGACCGGCGTAGAGTCAAAGACGTCTCGATCCTGACTGCTGGGACCGGGGAGATACATGGACTGAGCGACTCCTCGGGGGAGACGTCGGCGCTCATTAACCTCGTCGTCGTCGTCCGACGTCGACAGGGGTGGTGCACCAGATGAAGGCGATGCCTCGACGGCAGGCGGGAGGTCCTTTTCCGGTGGCCGAGGTGGCGTGGCTTCCTTCTGAGCGGTACTTTCTCCTTCCTCTTCTTGTCTTTGCCCCTCTTCTTGTGTCTCCTTTGCAATTGCTTCGTCCTGTTTCTGCTCCTCTTCTTCCTCCTGCGATTGGAGAAGCTCCTGCCGCCTCCGCTGCTGCTCATCGAGCATCTCTTTGCGCCGCGCAGCCTCTTCTTCCGCCAGCTTGATCTCCTCCTCTTGCTTTCTCACGTCTTCGCTTTCAATTGAATTCTCATTTTCGTGCTGCTGTTGCGCCCCGACCACCTTCGAGTCCGCGGAAGTGGTCTCACCATCGGCAGCAGCAGCAGCAGCAGCGGTCTTTGCGCTCTCCGCCTCCTCGCGCTCCCTCTGCTGCTGCGCCATCAATGCAGCAATGCTCTTGCCCTCTCGGCTCGCCACGAGCCCATCCCTCGTCCTCGTCAGGCTGTCGAGTGTGAAGCGCTGGGCGCGCAAGGAGCCGCGTGCATGCGCCACCATGCTGGCCTGCAAGTCAGCATGGGCATGCCTCGAATGCGCCTTGAGGTCCTCTCTCAGCGTCTCGGTAAAGCCAGCGAGGTGATGCGTCAAGACAGACGTAGTCCTCTGTGCCTCTCTGAGCTCGCCAAGGATCCAGTCGACCTCGTCCTGTCGGATCTCGCCCCTGTTGCGCTTGAGCCGCTCTGCCTCGCGACGCTTCTGGACCAGGTTGACCAGCGACCCGTGCCGGTGCGTCGCGGCGGCTGCTCGTCGAAGGAGCGCATCGATGGCCGTGCGAGCATTAAAGGACTGATAGGCAAGTGTCGGGATAAGCGTCGACGAGAGGTTCGATGTCGATCCGCCTTCGCCTGCCGACCAGGCCTCAAGACCCTTTGCGACGTGTGCGAGCATCTCCTCCTCCCTCAAGCGCTTCGCCACGGTCCGGACCGAGTCGAGCTCGCCCAGATCCGAGAGACTCCGTGCTAGTTGGCCCACCATGGCGCTCATGGCTGATGAGCGTGAAGAGAAAAGGGCAAAAGTCAGTAAAAGGAATATAGTTGATAGAAAGGACAAGATAAGAAGGGCTACGCACCACCATTCCTCTCAACAACAGCCTGTGCAGCCCTTGCAGCTCTCTCGAATTGCACTTCGAGTCTCGTCACTTCGTTCCTGGCCACCGCGAGCTCCTCCTCGTCCGGATCCTCCTCGCCCGGCGGCAACAAGACCGGCTGGTGCTGTGCAATTCGCTGCGGGCTGGCATTGTTGCCCCGCGCAAAGATGGACAGCGGGTTGCGAGTGGTCGACTGGGCCTGAGATGAAGAAGCATATGATCCTCCTGCACCATTCGAATTGTTGTACTGGGCTGGCAGACCGAGGGCCGCCGCCACACCGTCGACGTCAAAGGTTGAGTTGTTGGCAGCCGCGGCACCTCCTTTCTTTGGCCGGAGAGGGTCCTGACCGGCACGCGTCATTGCGATAGCTCGATCGAGGATCTCCTTGGTCCGCACTCTTCCTTCGACGGCGACGTTGGGGAACGGAGGCACGTAGCTGAAGTCGCTGTCGATCAGGGCTGCGGTGGCAGGATGCTGAAGGACATGGGGCTTCAAGAGGATCCTCGCAAGCTGGTTCGTAGTCTGGTAGAGGTACGCCCTCACTGTTGGGTCGCCATCCTGGATGCTTCCCCCCGCCATCATCGACGGCGGTGGGTACTGAAAGGGCGAGAAGATAGACGCGGGAAAGCTGAGCGTCAGTACGAGTACCCAGAGCTGAAGCTCGGGCAGGGTGCGAGTGATGCGAGGATAGTAGGACCGGCGCGCCATCGACATGTTTGTCCGTCCTTCGAGGATGAGCGTGGGTGGATTGTTGGTGCTCGTCGACGAAGCGTTGGGCAGCTGAAGCACCATTGCCCGAAGTTGGAGGTAGGACCGGGGTGGTGGGGGCTGGTAGGCCCTGGCATTGTCCTTGGTGCTTTCGTGCCGGTTCTGTGTCATATCAGCCTGTAGGCCCGCCTGCGAGGGGGTCCGTCTCGGCTCAGATCCTGCTGCATCGCCCAACGACGAAGAGGGTCCCAGACCTAGATTGCTTCGATGCTCGTCCAGCGAGGCAGGCGATGCTCCAAGTGCCGCTGGCTTTCGGTTCGGCGCCTCGATGCTCTCGACGCGATTGTGCTTGACCACCGGCACCTGGCCCTCTTCAGTCGCGGGCTTGTCGTGTGCTGCTTGGACGGCACCCTTGTCGACGTCCTCTATGACCTTTGCCTCCTCAGCAGCCACCTTGTCGTCAGAGTCGCTGTTGTCTTGCTTTTCAAAATCTTCGTTTTCTTTGGCATCTTGCTCTTTTACTTCGCTCTCGGCGCCTTGTCCTACTGGCTCGCCTTCTACGCCTAGTTCCTCCCGAGCTTCTTCCTGCTCGAGCGTCACCTTGCCATCGACAGGCTCCTCCTCCGTCTGGCCAGCCTTCTGTGGCAGCGACTCCCCTTCGCCGCCTTCCTGCGCGTCCTCCCTGGGCCTTGGCTCCTCCGTCGCCATGGACCACAATCTTCTTCGAAATAAGGATCGATGACGGGGAAGCTTGCCTTCGTGGCCTCGACTCTCTAATTGAGGGTTTAGTGGAGTCCAAGGCGTCGGTCGACACGTGAAAATCTGAAGCGGGCTCTCGTCGGCGCAAAACGAAAAGAAAGGGAACAAGCCAACCACAGACGGACAGAGAGACCTCACCAGCGACACCATTTGCTCTGAATCGACCAGTCATGTCTCTGGCTGGCCAGCTCTCTCGGCGGTCTCCGGCCATGATTTCAAGGGCGTCAGGTAGCTCTTCTAGCGCCTTCGCTCGGCCGATCTTTGCCCGTTCCTTTGCGACGCCATCGTCTTCCTCTCCATCGTCGTCGTCGTCTTCCACATCGACATCTGCCTCATCAACGTCGGCGAAAGTCGAGGCGACGGCTCAGAGTGTTGTTCGATGGGATCGGTACCTGAGCCTCCGCAAGCAGAAGAGGCTCGCCGGCCTGGTGACGACGGTCCCCACGACCTTTCTCGCCGCCGCAGGAGCCGGCTCGTATTTTCTGACGCAAGAGGTCGACCCGAGCCAGGCCGTCATGGGCATCGACCCCGTGTATGTCTTTGCGCTAGCCACGATCGGCTGCACAGGTGAGTCCGTCTGCTTCCCTCCGCGCACCTTCTCAGTGTAGGGCTCACCTCCCACCTGGGTCAATAGGCTTCGGGTACCTCATTGGGCCGACGCTGGGCTCGACGATCTGGTCAATGTTCCACCGGCGAGACATGAAGGCATTCGAGCAAAAGGATCAGGACTTCTTTGACCGCATCAAGAAATGGAGGGCGGACCCTTCAAGGCAGACTATCCAGAACCGGCCCCCGGACCCCTATGGCGAAAAGGTGGGTAGCATCAGCGAATACCGGCAGTGGCTGCGGGACCAGGCGGCCTTCCGGAGAAAGGCAGCCCACGGTGTCTTTGACGATGAGAAGCAGATGTAGCAAAAACGGCAGTGAAAAGTACCATGCTCGAATCATTTTCCCCCTCCTTGTCTCGTTGTAATCTGTAAAATCCTTGACATTAATTCTGCCGAGGCGATGAGTGAGAGCGTGTGAGTGTGCTGTGCCCCCGCGCCGAAACCGAAAAATCAAACAGACTGGCTAAGGTGACGTCGAACTTTTCTCTCGATCTTCCACTCACTGCGTGTCACTGCGATTGATGGTCGAGTCACTCGAGGTGAAGGAGCCGCTGCTGTCGCTGCAGTGCGCTCTCGGTGAAGGTGAGGGCGCTGTGGGAGCGACGCGTGGCATTCGTTGTCGCTGCCATTGTCGTGGGGGGGAGAGCGACATGGAATCTCTCGCTAATGGCTGACAACCGCCCGAACAGGATGCGTATGGGACAGCAAGACGGGCCGGCTGTACTTTGTCGACATTGATAATCATCGTGTGTACACGTATGAGCCCAGCAGCGGCACCCATGGATTTGAGACGTTTGAAGAGCCCATCACCTCGCTCGTCCTGCGGCGAGAGCATAGCGGGGTGAGGGTGATGGATCATGGCCGCGCCATTGTCTGTCACTGACCGCGGCTTCTGCTCTTCCTCCATGATCACTGTATAGCTCGTCGCCACGGCTCGATATTCTTATGTCCTTCTCACGGAGCAGGATCTCCCATTTCCCCCAACAAGCTCTACGCAGCCTCGCAAGCTTCGACACCTCACACAGGAACTGGACGCGGAAATCGTCGCCTCCACGAAGCGCTTCAACGATGGCTCCTGTGATCCTCACGGTCGCTACTGGGCCGGCATCATGGGCGTTCCATTGGAGATGAAAGGTGCTCTTTTCGTCCTTGACTCTCTTCCAAATGGACACAAGCTCGAGGACATCGCAGAAGGCAGGGCGCCCAAGCTTGCCCCGCGAAAGATGAAGGACACTATCGGCATCAGCAACGGCATGGCGTGGCTGCCAAACAGCAAGATGTGAGGCTACGATCATTCTTCCTCGTACTCTTTTCCACAATGGGCATGGGCACGTTAACTCGTCGATGCACTCCAGGCTCCACACCGACTCGAAAGTGCGCGAGATCACAATGTACGACGTATCTAGCGATGGCACACTCAGCAACCCGAGCCTCTTCTACAAAGAGTCGGGCAGCCCCCACGGTCTGATTCCCGACGGTTGCTGCCAGGACGCGCAGGGCGGCATCTGGTCGGCTCGCTTTCAAGGTGCCAAAGTGACCCGGATCAACGCCGCGACGGGCAAGGTGGACTTTGAGGTCCGCTTACCCACGTGCTGGAACCTGACCTGCTGCGTCTGGGGCGGCGAGCATCTCGAGGATCTCTACGTTACGTCGGCTCACTGTGATGCAGAGGGAGACCGACCGCAGAGCGAGATGCCGCACTCGGGAGATCTCTTTGTCGTCCGCGGGCTCGGTAAGATGTTCAAGCCAATAGACAAGCCGAGGTACGACGGGTGAGCCTTGGCTTCGCACATACAGCTACCACTCTTCATTCTGCACGCCAACTGCACCCATCCGGCCCCTTCATAGAAATACATCCATCTTACAGTTCCGGCTTCTGAGGGAGTTGGGCCAGGGCGGGTGACGGAGAGGGAAAGGACGTGCCTACACAGGTGCCCGGACCGACTCTCACGTGACGAGGCGCGTTTGGATCTTCGGAAGCGAAGAGACGCGCCTTTCTTTTTTTGTGGCGGCGCACCTTCCAAAAGATCACCTTTTCAAGCAACGCAGGGAGAGCAGCCACGTCCAGCCTAGGCTCCTTGCCCTTGCCTGGACCGGTTCGAATGTCACCCGTTCGAAGGATGAAGTATGGTATGGTGCCGAGTGAAGTGGCTGGCAGAGGACGGGATGGTGGCTTTGCCCGCTCGACCAGACCGGGCTGGAGGATGCGAACGCCGCTCTGGCAAGCCATCCGACTAGATTCGGTCGCAATTTAGATGTGTTTCGGGACCCGTCGCTGAGCGCTAGCCAGAAGGAGCAAGCCCATCGATGGGCAGTTTCGTTTCGCATCCGATCGTCAACCAGACTTGTGGGACTCGAATCCCGACCCACCACTCGCGCTGTGCACCCTTTCTCAAAAGGGAAGGTGCAGGAGGGAATTCAAAAGTGGCAAACTCCTTTTGAAAAGGTTGAACTGAACGTAATATTATTTCTCCTCGGGCGAGAACAAAGGGACGTCAATCCCATTCTGCCTGCTGGTGTACTGTACGTCGTGTGACAAAGGAAAGAGGGCGCGACCAACTCCTTGCGTGGATGGTGATGGATCTCGTGCGTATGCGTCGGAGCCTTAGCTTGAGCCTGTACGTGTGCTGGACTGCTGCATTACGTCGTCAGCTCGGGTTCGATGACCAGCTGAAGAGAATGGATCCGCCATGAGTCGACTGTCGACGACCGTTTGTGCATCTGGGGATATGACGGCTTTCGAGATGAGGTGCATCGCAGCGGATTTCTCATTTCTCTCCACGTATATTATTGCTGATGCTGCTTTCCACTGCCAACGGTCCTTGCGCTGTGCCGTGCCGATTGGCAAGTCCTTGCAATTAGTTTCGTGATTGAACAACGCGTTATTCGTCACAAACAAAGGGACGACGACGATCGCTTGGCATTAATTGGACGGCCGGAACCGGTGGTCCCGCGACGGAAATCAACAAGAGACACTGGCTGGATGCGACGACGCGTAACGCGAGAACAACACCTGTGCGACTGAGGGGACCAACACGGGCCCAACAGCCCATTTTTGGTAGTGCACAGTCCCTGGTACCGATCCAGTGCGCTGGGAAGGGGAAGACTAAGGGGGGGAGAAGGAAAGTCAAGCAATTTAAAATAAACAAACAAATGAAGCGGAGATAGTCTCTCTTTGGGTTTTCCTATTTGGCTTGATTGAGGAGGAGGGCCTGGCTAGCTCTGACGTGGTTGTGTTTGTGTTGTTTGTCGGGCGGCGGCGCCTTCTCCACCGAGAGATCACCAAAAGAAGAAAAAAAAAAGTGTTGCACCGCACCCTTTGTTTGAGCCGTCGTGCGTCGTCCGCTGCCCGCTCCTGCTGGGTATTGCCCGGCAGTGCTGCTGCAAGACAGGCAGCAGCAGCAGCAGCAGCAGCAGCAGCAGCCCTAGCAGCAGGGCGGTCATCGGCCCATTCGCACCGTGTGGCTCTCCGAGCGCATGGATCTGCCTGTCTATCCTGCGTTCACCGCCATCCTCCCTTTGTCCCCACGATATCCCTCTTAAAACCCCAAACAGCCGGACGCACAGACGGACGGGCGCGCGTACACACAAACGGCGGACGTTCAGCCCACCATCTCCTCATCACATTGCCCTCTGTCACAATTTCTCATCAGCGGCACAGAAAACCTGTTCGGCAACGGCGCGGCGCAAGCGACAAATAACACATTCACGCACACATATTCAACACACAGAGTGCGACTCTCTTTCCTGCCTGCCTGCCTCGTCTTCCTCCTTTTTTCGCTATTCTCACAACTCTCTTTCTTTCCACTGCAGAGGGTACCTCAGGCCTGTGATCAAGTCACTTGGCCGCAGGACACGGCTTTACACAGAGAAGAGCGGACTCGCGTAGAGGGCAGGCCCGCCGGCGAGGACGCGCAGAGCGAGAGCAACACTAGGGCGCGGCCTGTTGGTCTGGTTTAACAAACCGCCTCCCCCCCCCCCCCTCTCTTCTCTCTGGCTTTTCTCGCCTCGGGACACCCTCGTCAGCTTTCCCTCCGCCAGTATCTCCGCGCTGTCACGTTAACGCAGTCGCCGCTTAACTTGGACCAACCGCCGCCGCCCCCCGCTGCTGGTGCTGGAACTAGAGCTAGTGCTGCTGGAGCCGCTGTTCCTGTCCATGACGGTAGCGCGACCTTCATCATAGCCCATCGTTCTCCCCATCCCCATTCTTAGCAGCCAGTCAATCATCATCGCACAGTAGTCGAGCCATGAGCACGGCCATGAAGCGGCCCCTCGCCGGTCATGCAGGCACAGGCACGGGCGGACCGACATCGAGCGGGCCAGGCGCCCAACGAGCTGCCGCAGGCCAGCAGCAGCAGCAGCACCAGCAGCAACAGCCTGCCCATGGACAGGCATCGTCGCAGCATTCGTCTCCCATGCTGCCATCGGCCAGCAGCAACTCTTCGACCATCAATGGTGGCAGTGGAGGAGTAGCAAGTAGCGGTGGCGGTGGTGGTGCATCAGCAGCAGCAGCAGCAGCAGCAGCAGTGGGAGGAGCGACGCTCAACACGGAGCTGCGGGCCCAGCTGCGGCGCGAACGAGAGGCCGGCAAGGCCACGCAGGCCCTTCGCCAACGCAGCTCGTCGGTCGTCTCATCGCAGCACCACTCTTCCGAAGCATCCAGGCGCATCAGCCCAAAGGCCTCCTCGGGCAAGGGCCCCAAATCAGCCAGCACCGCGGCGGCCGCCATCGGCTCGGCCACCTCGAGTCGATCCAGCAGCCAGTCGCACCACAAGAATGCCGAGGGGTCCTCCCACGCGAGCAGTAGCCACGGAAGCGGACAGACGACGCACCAGTCGCTCCAGCCCAAAGCAGCCAGCCACCCTCAGCTTCACACGGTCGCTCGCGACGGCGACGCACGAGCACCTTCGGTGCATACAAGGGCCGCTACCCAGCCCGAAGCAGCGCAGGCGCGAATGCCTCACCACCACCACCACCACCACGATACGCCTGCTTCTCCTCCGGTTCGTTCACCTCCTGCCAACGACCGGGAACGAGGTTCCGAACATGCCGTGAGTTGCAGTCAGCACCGTGTTACTCATGCCCCAGCTCGGAACTGATTCCTCCCTGTAGTTTGGCGTCGAGTCGCTCCAGGCCGCGTACGCAGCGAAGATCCACGAGCTGGCCCTCAAGTGTCGCAACTGGGAGCGCTATGCTGCCAAGCTCCTTGCACAGGTGGGTTTTCTCCTCTTTTCCTTTTCCCTTACCAATGAGGCCAAGGCACGCTGACGTCGCACAATCTTGCCAGAGCGAAGCCCTCGGGGTGGAAAACCAGATGCTCAAGGATCTCCAGTCGGGGCAGGAGCAGCAGATCAACGCCCTGGAGATCGAAAATCGTGCCCTGCGCGAGGAGAGGGCAAGGCGCAAAGCTGGCGAAGCAGGCAGGGCCTCGAGTCGGGTGAGAGAGACTGTCGCTCCTTATTTCCTCGAACAATTCGACGGTCGATTCTGATGGCTTCCCCAAACAACGCAGCTTGGCTCCCGCGGCCATCGGCCTCCGCAAAGCCACTCCGCTGGCGAGCTGGCCGAGCAGTATGCTCGCGGCGGTAACGCGACAGCAGCAGCACGGGCTCTCAACCTCGGCCTGGCCGACATCTCTGTTCCCTCGCCACCGCGCTACGCTGCCAGCAACGGGCACTCGTTCGATGGTCCTGCCTGCTCCTCGAACCTCTACATCGACGAGCGCGATGAGGAAGACGCACGCTCCGATTTGCGTATTCCCACGCCCGTGTCCAGTATCTCGCTTCCTTACCACGCCCGGGAGCAGGACGGGCAGATGCACACGATTACCAAGCAGCACTATTCGCAGCACCAGCATCAACATCAACATCAGCATATACAGCAGCATGCACCGCACCACAGCGTTCCTAGCAACAAGAGTAGCAACAACTCTCTCAGCGAGCACAAGTCTCGCATGGAGATGGTGAACAACGGCCGCATCCCACAGCTTGGCAACGGTGGCCGCATGTCTGATCCGACCTCGCTAGCCGATGGTCACGGCCGCTATGTCCAGCAGCAGCAGCAGCAGTCTCACCACCCATCCCATCACCGTCGAGAGAGCCATCTGTATGACATTGTTGGACAGGACGCCTTCGCCCGTGACGACGCCGAGCTCTATGCTGAAGGCCGACCGAGCAGCAGGATGTCATCGGCCGCGCGAAGGCTCGTCGAGTGCCAGACGCAGACCGACGACTCCAACGGCGGCTCGGCTCGCATCTCATCCTCGTCGACATTTCCTCCCTCTTCGTATATCCAGGGCAATGCCCTCACCAAGCAGGCACTGGCTGCACTTGGCAAACCCAACAACGCACTGCTCGGTCTGGGCGCGCCTCCAGCATCGGCGTCGGCCAACCACCTCGGTGGCGAACGCAGCATCAAGAGCTCGACATCGCCGACGTCCGAGGCCCAGCGCAAGACGAGCGGCGAGAGTCTTGACATGCCCAAGCGCAGAGGCAGCCCAGTCGAGCTTCACGACGACCATCAGGGCGGCGACAGCAACCACTTTGCTGGGCTGCGTGCTCTTGAAGGCAACTTGCAGTCTCGCAGCGGTAGCAGCCACTCGGATGCCAAGACAGTGACCGAAGACTATCTCCAGGGTGCCGTCGAACAGAGGCGACAGCTGCGAAGGACGTCGCTTTCGCAGCAGCAGCAGCTCATGTACCTTCAGGCACAGGCCCACCAGGCGGCCACCATCTCGTCTCAGTCGGAGGTCAATCTTCCGTTTGCCCGCCCACCCTCGAGGCCGGGCTCGAGGATGAGCAACAACTCGGGTGCCAACTTTGAGATCCGATCCCGATCTCGGAACCGCAGCCGCGCTGGCAGCTCAAGCGTCCATGACATCATCCCTGTCGCTCTCGATGATGTCTTTTCGGATGGCCTACCTTCGGCTGCCTCTAGCGTCTTTACGGGCTTGCACAATGGCGGTGTGCGTCCTCAGCAGCCCTTGAGCGCCAACAGCTCGGCTCAGAACAGTAAGCAGAACATTTCCAGTTCCTCCTCCTACAACGACTTCAGCGAGCGTGGAGCCGATGAGAACGAGGAGAACGTGGCACCGCGATCGACCAGCATGATGGACGACATGCGACCCAAGTCGCCTACGCCGCCCAGCTCGGCAGCGTTCCACCTTCATGGTCAGCACGCCCCGGAGGCTTCGGATCACAGCGATGGCCCGAGCACAAAGGCTGGCTACTCGACCGATGCAGAGACGATGAGCGAGTTGCAGGCGACACCGTCGGACGAGGACGAGAAGCGAGGCGCACACCGAAGGCTCTACATGAAGCTCCGCGAGGAGCTCAACACTGCTGAGCTGACCAAATTTGAAAAGTGAGCCCCCCGTCGCACTGAGCCAGTGCAGAAGCTTAATGCTGACATGACTTTGATCCCCGAAAGATACGTACACCGGTACGACGCCCTTGAGATTCCACTGCACGGAGGTCGGGGTCTGTTGAACCGGGTCAAGAAGCTGCTCCTGGTCAGCAACCCTGAGCTTCGAACGGGACCTTTGGATATGAAGAAGCGCAAGGAGCTCGCTCGAGAGTTTGAGCGCATCGTTCGTGCCGACGAGCGCACGTCCACTTGAGACGCTTTGCCAACCCCCCTACTTCCTTTGTTCACATGTGTTTATAAGGATCTCTATTTCCTTTTCGGCAGCGAATGGGCACCTCAAGGCCGCCCTCTTCGTCTGCTTTTGTACGACGATGGACGACGACGACGATGACGCTGCTGATGACGACGATAAACGACGTCTTGTGACGGGCTCACGAAATGTATTAACGACTTCCCTTTGACGGCCATCATTTTCCCTCCTCTTTTGTTGATAGCTCCACTATTCAAATAGTTCTTACTTCGCTTCTCTTCCAGACCCTCGGCAACGGGATTCCCGTCTTTCTTCTCAACATCCATGTCATACCCCGCTCTTCAATTCTTTCGCTTGACAAACAACCAAATTTTTCATCATTTACTTCGAAATACATTGTTACCATTCATCGCGAAGTATCGGGTCCGTTGGGGCAGCCTATGGGACCTTTGTGAGCGTTGGCATACCGGGCGCTGGGGCCGAAGAGTGCCTCGTCTGGACGAAGCACTTGAGGATGCCCACGCCCTTTTCCTCGTCAAAGAGCTTCTTGTCAAAGGCATAGTAGAGCTTGTCCATTTCGCTAAAGTCGAAGCGGTGCGTGAGGATGAGCGTCGGGTCAAACTTGCCCGTGACAATGTAGTCGTCGAGGAGGGGCTTCATGTACTTTTGCGCGGGCGCCTGACCGTTGCCCTTGAGCATGATGCCCTTCTCCATGAGGGCGCCGATGTTGAAGCCGTTGGTCTGGGCGAATGTCAGTTCACTTTTGTCAGCCTCAAAGTCTCGGTTGGCTTGGACTGGAAACTCACGAGACCGGCATAGTCAGCCGCAATGGAGATGCGTCCAAACTTGCGTACAGCCATGATGGCTTCATTGAGCGTCTCTGGCGTGTCTGTCTCAAGTGCGGTCGCGCGCATGGCCTTGTGCACCAGGCTCTTTGCGTATCGGAAACCGGCCACGTCAAATGCGACGTCCCAGCCGAGCTTTTCAAGCTCGTACAGCTTCTTGACGACGTTTCCGCCTTCGCAGTCCGTCTCGATGTTGACGACCTCGAGCGGTCGGCCCTTGAAGGCCTGCTTGGCAAAGTCGAGACGGTTCTGCACAGAGTCGAGCAGCACGACGCGTTTGGCATCAAACACGGCCAGGAGCCACTGGACAATGTTGAGCCCGACGGGCCCGGCGCCAAAGACGATGGCCGTCTGGCCAGCTTGAAAGCCCACATCGACGACGGAATGGTAGGAAGTGCAGACAATGTCGCTCAGGAAAAGGGCCTTCTCGTCCGAAACGCCATCGGGCACCTTGAGGCAGTTGTGGTCGGCGTATGGAATGCGACAGTACTCCGACTGCATACCTGCCAGCCCGCCTGCGAAGTGCGCATAGCCGAGTAGAGCTGAAAATCTGAGAATCAAGCTTCAGGAAACCTACACTTCACGGTCAACTGATCGATAAAACGCTTACCTCTGTCCGTACAGTGCCTGCATGACGCTGCTGCTGTTTGTTTTCTCGCACATGCTTCCCAAGCCTTCCTTGCAAAACTTGCAAGAGCCACAGGAGATAGAAAAAGACGAGACTACTCGGTCGCCTTTCTTTAGGCCCTTGACTTTGGGACCTACGGACTCGACGACGCCCATCCCTTCGTGGCCAAGAATATCGTCTGCCTTGAGCTGCAGGATGTCACCGTGGAGCAGGTGCAGATCCGAGCCACAGACCGTGGTGCCGGTGACCTTGATGACGACATCTTCGTCATCCATGATCTCTGGCTTGGCCACCGTCTTGAGCGCGACCTTTTCGACGCCTTGCCAGGTCAGCGCTTGCATTTTGTCGCCGCTCGCCGACTTCTGCTCATCGGACGCATGCGACGCAGTGATGCTCGTCTCCACGTCTCCCATGACCTTTTGGGCCAGATTCGATGCGGCGTTGACTGCCATCTCGCTTGGTTCTTCTGTTTGATTGGTAGGGGATGCCGATTTGGTAAGGGAAGGTAGGTCGACTCAATGCAGGGGTGCACGAGGAGAAAGTGTTCACGCATCCCTACATTTATGGATGTTCACAGCATACATCGATGAATGGACCCTTGATTTACTGCCTCAGAAGCTGTTTGACACAGCAGGCCTTATGCCCCGTGTGTGGTAGTCAACGATGCTGTCTAATTGCGGTTGACCCTTCCTCCCTCCTGGACAAAGCCAACGAGGCAACACACGACATCATTGATTGAGTGGAGAGGGTCAGGCCGCTTATATAAGCGCACTAGACCCTGAATGACCTTCCGTCTGATTTTTTGTCATGGTGACGCATCACCAGATACATGAGATCTTGAAGATGGCTAGCGTCAACGAGCTCACCTGAGCAACGTGGACGGACCAGACTTCCTTGGAAAGAAGCAGACCTTCTAGAATGAGCAAGTCAGTGTAGAAGCCGGGACTTGGACTACCCGAATAAATTATCTTGTGTGGCCTGGCTTTTTCGATGCCAATCTTCTGTCTTGATGCCCCCAGTGTACCTCAGAAAGAACAAGGCGATGATCACCAGGTCTCGTTCCACGCGTGACAAATCGGCGTTGCCCCTTACCTTCTGGCCCCTCCTTTGAATTCATAGTGAAATGTTGCGCCCGCGCGCGTGGACCTACGCGCCGGCTCTCCGTGACCTTGCTTACAGTAGTAGTCTTGCGCTTGTGTAGTTAGGAAAACCCTGTAGTGAAATGTAATCCGCCGCCTTTCTGATATTTCCCCTGGTTCGAGGGAGGGGCTCGACTGGTTTTTTTTTAGCTCTTTTTTCCTCCTGTTCGCGCCCCCTCCGTTCAACATTTCGCGCACCCTAGACTAAAAGGCTACGGCCCGTCTGGTCGCTTGTTCTCCGATTCTAGGCCAACACACATTCTCTTTCCATTCTCTACCTTCTCTGACCTCTTGAACAGACGACGACAACGACGGGGGCGACGGCCGAATTCCTCCTCCTTTCCCTATCTTCTTCACTCGGCCCCTCTCAGCGCTTTGCGAGACAAGGATTCGCTTTTGCACTTTCTCTTTGACATTTCTTGCTTTGCTGTTCTACTCGTGGTTTTCGGCGCTGGATCTCACGCGTCAGCAGCGCCTCTGCTTCGTCCGGCGTCAACTTTCTAGCACAGAAGGGCTGAGAGAGGAGAGGTGGGACAAGAGCTGGAAGCACAGATAGAGGAGAAGGTGAGAGCAAGTTGGCCGTCGCTGGCTCCGGGGGGACACTGACACGTATGTATGAATCGCACAGAGAGAAGCCGACATGACAACATCACCCATGGACACGGCCTCGCTGGTCGCGCCAAAGGCAAATTCGGTCTACCCGCCGGAAGAGGTGCACCACAGCGCTGACAAGGCCTATGGCGACATTGTCAATCCCGCACTCCACGGCATTGGCGTGCTGGAGAAGGATGGCAACAATCTGGAGAGGGGAGGCATCGACCAGCTCGAGGAAGAGCCCATCACGGCCATTCGCCGGTGGTGGGTGCGATGGACATGGTTCTGCACCTGGATGATCCCCTCGTTCTTCCTCTCGCGCTGCGGTGGCATGAAACGGCCCGACGTGCAGATGGCCTGGAGGGAAAAGGTGACGATCTGCATGCTCATCTTCTTTGCATGCGCCTTCATCCTCTTCTACATCCTTGCCTTTGGACGAATCCTCTGCCCCGACTCGAACAAGGCTTGGAACAAGTCTCAGTTGTCGCAGCATGCCGGCACTGACGACTACTACGTTGCCGTTCGCGGTCGGGTCTACGACTTGACCAAATTCTGGAAGAACCAACACTCCGACTCGACGGACCAGGTTACCAACGATGTCATGCTCGAACTCGCCGGCCAGGACCTGACGGCCTACTTTCCCGTCCCTCTCTCGGAAGGGTGCGGGCCCTTTTTGGTCAATGACACGACAGTCACACTCCAGACCAACACCAGCTCAAGCGACTACACGCCGACCGTGATCCAGGCCGTGCACTACTCCGGCACCGCAGCAAAGGACCAAAGCTCGCGGCTGGCCGATACCAATTGGTATGGAGACCGCTTCTTTCCATATATGCAGAAGCACTACAAGGGCTACTACGTCACCTCAACGAAGGACGTGGCTAAGCAGGGCAACGACAAGAATTGGGCCATCGTCGACGGCAAGATTTACGATCTGAGCGACTATGTCTGGACGAACTCTCTCAGCGTTGACGATACCCAAACGACATTCCTGCCAAAGGACGTTAGCCAGCTCTTTACCAGCCAAGCAGGCCAGGACGTCTCCGACGACTTCAAGACGGCCATGAGTGCACTCGACGACCAGACCCGCGCTGCCACACAAAGCTGTCTTGACAATGTCTTCTACGCCGGCCGTACAGACTTCAGAGACACAGCTCGATGCCAGGTCCAGAACTACCTGCTCCTTGCCTTTTCCTGCCTTCTCGTCGCAACAATTCTGGCCAAGTTCCTGGCCGCGCTCCAGTTGGCGCCAAAGAGGACCCCCGAGCAACAAGACAAGTTTGTCATTTGCCAGGTGCCCTGTTACACAGAGGGTGAGGACGAGCTCCGCAAGACAATCGATTCGCTCGCAGGTTTGCAGTACGACGACAAGCGTAAGCTGCTGTTCATCATCTGTGACGGCATGATTGTTGGAAGCGGAAACGAGCAGTCGACGCCGAAGATTGTCCTCGACATCCTGGGAGTTGATCCAAAGATCGACCCGGAACCGCTCATGTTCAAGTCGGTTGCCGAAGGCTCCAAGCAGCTCAATTACGGCAAAGTCTACTCGGGTCTGTACGAGTTCGAGGGCCACGTCGTCCCTTACATTGTCGTCGTCAAGGTCGGAAGACCCTCGGAAAGGTCCCGACCAGGCAATCGCGGCAAGCGTGACACACAGATTCTCCTAATGAGGTACCTCAATCGCGTCCACTTCGACTCACCCATGTATCCCCTCGAGCTGGAGATCTACCACCAGATGAAAAACGTCATTGGTATCGATCCGGCATTTTACGAGTACGTCCTCATGGTTGATGCAGACACCAGCGTCGAGGCCGATGGATTGAATCGGCTGGTGGCCGTCGCAGCAGACGACTCACGAGTTATTGCCCTCTGCGGTGAGACCAGGCTGGACAACGAGGAAGGATCGTGGTGGACCATGATTCAGGTCTACGAGTACTTCATTTCGCACCACATGGCAAAGGCCTTTGAGTCTCTCTTTGGCAGCGTCACCTGTCTCCCCGGTTGTTTCTCAATGTACCGCATCAGAAGCGCAGACAAAGGACGGCCCCTCTTCATCTCGAACCGCGTCATTGACGACTACTCGGAAAACAAAGTCGACACTCTGCACAAGAAGAACCTACTTTCACTGGGAGAGGACCGATATCTGACGACGCTCATCCTCAAGCACTTTCCCACCTTCCGCACCAAATTCACTGCAGACGCAAAGGCCAACACGAGCGCACCGGATCGCTGGGGTATCTTGCTGTCGCAGAGGCGTCGGTGGATCAACTCGACGATCCACAACCTGGCTGAGCTGGTGACGATGCCTGAACTCTGCGGCTTCTGCCTCTTCTCAATGCGCTTCATTGTCTTCATCGACCTCCTCGGTACCATTCTGCTCCCAGCAACCACCATCTACCTCGTCTACCTCATCGTCACTGTCGCGACGCACAACGCCGCCATTCCTTACATTTCGCTCGCCATGATCGCTGCCGTGTACGGTCTCCAGATGGTCATCTTCCTCCTCAAGCGACAGTGGCAGTACATGGGCTGGCTTCTCATCTACCTCTTGGCCTATCCCGTCTGGTCCTTCTTCCTGCCCATCTACTCCTTCTGGCACATGGATGACTTCTCGTGGGGTAACACTCGTATCGTGGTTGGCGAAAAGGGCAACAAGAAGATCGTTGCCGGTACTGACGACGAGCCGTACGACGATAGCATGATCCCGCTCAAGAAATTCAGCGAGTATCAGCGCGACGTATGGATGCAACCCGACGGAAATTCGATGCGATCTGGCTTGAGCGGTGGCGCCCATAGCCACATGAGCGGACCATTTGGCAACGCAAATGCTGTCCCTTACCCACAAATGCCGACTGCTGGAAGCTACTACGCTGGATCGGTGGCCGGGTCAGACTATGGTGGTCAGGGTGACTACTTCCAAAACACCAACGTCCTTGACAAGTCTCGCAACCACTCGAGGCAAAGCTCTGCGGCTAACGGACTTGGCGGTGGTGGAAGCATGTCGCGCATTCCATCGATGTACGACATGCCCGCCGGCCCGATGCCGTCGATGTACGGCATGCCCATGTACTCGAGCACATCGATGTTCATGGGTGGCGGCAATGGCATGCCGAGCATGTATGGCATGCCTCCCATGGGTCAACCTTCTCCTGGTTCTGCCAACGGGTCTGATATCGGGCTTGGCACACGCAGCTCGATGATGCCACTCGCTCAACAGACGACGGGAGGCGCATGGGGCTCTTCGCCTGCGATTCCTAGGCCCACATCGACATTCACCACTCTCGGAGGATCAAATCCGTTTGCCCCACCGCCTGGAGCGGCGCCGGCTGGCGGACTGGAGATGAATCTGAACCCCAATCCTACCGACGAGGATCTCGTCAATGCCGTCAGGACTCATCTGGCCGCACAAACGGACCTGATGCAGGTCTCGAAGCGGAGCGTGCGAGAGGCAGTCATGCTTTCTTTCCCCAACGCGACGGACCTGGCCTCACGAAAGGCGAGGATCAACCAGGCCATCGACGATACGCTCTCAGGGGCCGTATGATCTCTACAACAGAGTCCGACCCACTTCATTTCTTATTTCTGCAATCACGGACATTTCCTCACCAATCTTGTGCAGCATAATCAACTGTCAGCCTCACCCACCCCTCGTTTCACGAACACTCAGAACCGCGTGCTATCCTACTGTGTCTTATAGTCCTCCATCCCCCATTCACTTCTCCCACTTCCACCCACTCCTCAGTTCCGAGTCCTTCACCCTCTCGTATTCGACCATGTTGAAATGACATGAAGAAAGCATAAAATGGATCTTTAGAAGCGTGGCCATGGCCCTAGGTGATGTTAATACAGCGGTCATCTGGATCTTGTGAATAATCTTATCTACAGTATTGGAGAGAGAACGCCGACAAGGAGGTTTGGTTGCTTGCCGACGAGGTTGGGAGAACCTGTATCATCGAGCCACACGTGCAGAGACAAGTGGCAGGCAATGGAGACTATCGTTGCTCTAGATTCATGTTCCGATTCGTCATCCTTTTTAGTTGTTGCTGCTCCAGGCTGGCGTGTCGTCCTCTTGACGAGTATTTGACCCGTAAGGCGAGTTGGGTTTGACGTCAGCGCAGGTTCGCGAATGAGCTGCGCGAGATGTTCGAAGATCGACACGCTCAGCGGGGCGCTCAGGATCGAAAGGAGGCTTCCCTCCACGGGATGTTGGCTGTGATTTTGGCTGGAGGACGTGGCTTCGTGGTTGACGAGGCTGGAGAAGGCCAGATTGCACGTCTTGATGTCTCCCCATCGATTTGCAAGGAAGGTCGGTGGCTGACTCTGGTCCGTCGAGGAGAGAATTGTTTGATGCAGCTGCTGCGAGATGAGTGATTCGTTGTACCATCTCGTGTCATTTGCATCTCGTATCAAGGATGCCTTGGACAAGGCAGAGCAAATGGTCGAGAGAGACCGGACGATGCGGGTTGAGAGACCCGCATCCCAGCAACTCAAGCCCGACATGTCCTGCACCCAACCTTTGACACGCCGCATCCCTCTGTTTCTTCCGTCAGAATCTTGGTATACAAATGTGAGAAGAAGATGCCAACAACTCACAACTGGTCTTCACTTTTCAGCAGCTCCAGATCGGCGTCAGAGATCATAGAGGTGGGTGACTGGAGCTGCTGCTGATTCAGCTTCATGGCAGCGTATTCTACCGGCGTGAGAAGCCGCCCTCCTCCGATGCTCGCTGCACTACTTGAGGGTGTCGACGTCGAAGGAGACGGTATGGCAGGTGATAGCGATGGATGTTGTTGGAGGTCGAGACCGCTGACACCTGTTTCTACCCTGATCCCTGGGCTCCCACCGCCACCCTCGACCAGTAGTTGCGGGAGATTGTGAGGAAGCTGAGGCTGTGGCTGCTGCAGATGCTGGTGCGAGTGGTAGTGGTGTTCAAGGCGGTGATCTGGCTCCGTAGGTGGATCTGTTCTTTGATCTGTCACGTTCGCGAGAGAGATGCTAAGTCTAGATGACGACCCTCCCATCTCTTCCGCCGCCGTCGTTGCTGTCGTCGAAGTTGTCATGGTCATCGCCGAAGGGTCCCTAGACATGACGTTCACGAAAGGCAACGTAGTACTGTCCCATTCGAATGCTAGCGGCTGCGACATGGATGGGAAGTCGTTGAGAAGCTCGTCCAACAGATCACGGTTTCCACTTTCGTCTGGTCGATCTGAAAAGACGCTCTGTTGTTGTTGTTGTTGCTGCTGTTGCTGCTGCTGCATCTCGATCTGGTGAAGAAATTGGAATGGCTGGGGCTGCAGGTCCTGGAAAGTCTGGTCGGAAGCCGTTTTGGTGAGAATGGGAAACACACCAGATGCTGGCGATGGCGATGCTTCCTCGGCATCGCCGCTCTTCGAGTCCTCTGAGGACGACGATTCCGAAGAAAGCCTTGTCGTGCTTCTTCGTCGAGAAGCAAGATGTGTCTTTTCTTCGATTGTGAGCTTCGGGGTTGGCTTTTTTGTCCTGGCTTTACCCTTGGTGGCAGACGCAAGCTTTGCTTTTGAGGCTGCCGAGTTGCCGCCCGTCGAGCCTGGTTGCACCTCTTCATCTCGACAAAGGTGGCTAATTCCTCGCTTGTGGCTGTCACCAAGGAAGAGGATTGATACAGTCAACTTAGAGACGGCGGGACATAGCCGAGCGTAAAACCCACCATCGTTTGCACGGTCTGCTATCATCGCAGGTCATGTGGCTGCGCCGGCAGAAGACGCATGCGATTGTTACCTTGTTTGATGGGTGAGCCGCAGTTGGTTCAAATGGCGGCCTAAGACCCTGTGACAGTCTCACCTTCTTTGGCTTCCTTCCTTCAGCTTTCCGCGCAATTTTTGACTCTTTCCCGTGTCTTTTCGGACCGAGGTCGGATGAAGAAGCGGTTTCTGCTGATTTGCTAAGCAAAAGTGCGGGGGCATCTGGTTCCCCTTCTGCTTGTTTAGCCTGTAGGCTACCGGATCCACCGAGAGTATCAAGACCCTCGAGATAACGGAAAACCTTCCTTGGCTTTCCCCTCCTTGTGAGACCTCTCAGCGCCGTGATGGGCTCGGGCATCGCGCTCGCGGAGGTTGCCCGAGGCCCAGACGTCTGAGCGCCGACTTCTTCCTCGCTTTGGGACGACAATTCCTCATCTACCTCTTCGTCTAGCTTGCTCTCTGCGAGCTTGAACCTTCGCTCCCTGGCAAGCGTGTCAGACATCTTCTCTGCGCCGCGCTTTCTACTCTATTGCAGCATGGAGCGAAGGTCCGAGGTGCGTTTCAGGCGCCGTAGGCCCGTTGTTTCGCTAGGGTTCGGGAGGAGAGCGGTGAAAGGTGTTGACAATGAGTGCTCATGTCGTTGCCACCGTCGGCTCTGAGATGTAGGCGAAACACAACCGCGTGTATTGGTTGCAAGATAGCGGGGGAATGGACGGGATCTTCGAGGGGCTCTAACGGTCAAGCCTCATCTTCCTTTTTGATATAGCCAGTCGGAGCCCCGCCCAACATATTTGCTGCATGAGTGAGATGATCTTCCACCTTCACACTCCGCACACACCAGGGGAGGGGGAACTGGCTTTAATTGTCCGGCTATGCCTTTTGGCGAATCGGGTGCGAAGGAGAGCGGACTCTTGCCGGGAGTTTTTCTGTTGATTTCATATTGCTTGCTTTGGCTTGACAGGGCAACTTTGCTTATCGTGTCTTGCTGCATACGCGCTAAAATAAAACCTCCCCCGCCATCCTGCCGGCTGCTTGCCAGATAGCCGGTGTCACATGTGAAGGGTCCAAGGGAAAAAAAGGTCAACAACTACCTCGGGCACCAAGAGATGCTGATGTGACCTAGGCCTAGATCTATTCTCTGTGTGAACATTAGATACGCAAGACACCGCTCAGTATTGACAGATTGTCATTGCGAGTGGCAGGATGATCGAGAACCCGATGGTATCTAGTGAATATTAGGCTTTGGGAGAAGAGTCGAAATTTGAGCTCATCATGAGGTATGTAGACACAGCACTCCAGACACGGAGATTGTACCGTACCTTACTAGCTGCCCATGCTATGCCGAGGTGCAACTTCCCAAGGATGACCGTCAACCCAATTCCCAGGTCCGACGTAAGATCCGGTTACAACTTTTCCGGCCACGTGCTTCATATGCCTACGCCTTGACCAAGCTCATTCCCTGACGCAGTCCACTCTTGTCGCCATCCGAAGATGATGGAGCAGCCGATTCCTTCACCATGAGCCACAGACCACCTATATACATGGGCCTTCATTGAGAGCAAGGTCATGTGAAAGGTCGCCTTTTGGGAGGACTAAGCGCATTCCACTCCAGAATTAACTTCCGCTCTACTACTACTACTACTATTTGCAGAGGGAGTGGGAATTAAGCAATGAAATAATCTAGAGTGGACGTAGAAGTATTCTGTCACTGACAAACATCCGTCAGTGAGAGGCGCGATTGTGCTGAGTGCGACGAGAACGCGGATTTCGCCCTGAACCCACGTCTACCTCGCTAAGACGCCACGAGATACGCTGGGACAATACAACAAAGCCCAAAAACTCTATTGGGCCGAAACTGTTGTTAATGACGCGTAAGCGGGCGAAGGTCTGTCCTCGCGCGCGTGCCTCCCTGGGCTTGCCCTACGGCTGCTGCTTGCTGGCCCGCGCCCTGCCTAGGTTAGCTGCTGCTCTGCAAAGTAAAGGCTGGCTCTCAAAAAGACGCAAGCCTTCTCTTCCCACCATTCACCTACCTTCCACCACCAGATATTCAACACAATTTCCCGCAGATAATGTGAGTGCTTCACCATCTTCTGGGCATACGGCACTATGAGAGGGCGTCGGGCACCACGAGGAAGAGCGAGTATGAAGGCGCAGGCGGTCGATGGAATGGGAGGACAAGATTCCATATGGCGAGTGATAAAACGATAAAGTCGATAGGAGGGCGTGATCGCCGACGTGGCACCCATCCTGTATCTAGGGAGTGTCTCACTGCGTTGAGGCTTCCCCTACGATCGCCGAAGAAGGCCACTCCTCGGGCCCTCTGTGATCGTGGTGATTGCGATCTTACCCAGTCACGTCACGAGATCTTGCCAATTCGAGTGTCGTGCGCGCGCTCGCGATACCTCGTGGAACCCTGTTCTCTCTTTCTGAAAGGTTGTTGCGAACAAGGTGCTAATTCCCTTCTCCTCGCTTTTCCAGCTTGTTTCACATCCATTCCTGAACGACCAAGCCACCAAGAATTTCACCTACCAAGATGTCTGAGACTCGCGAAGATTCTGTCTACCTCGCCAAGCTCGCCGAGCAGGCTGAGCGCTACGAGGGTGAGTACTTGGTCTTGACTTGTATACAAATCTCATGACTCGGCAAGACAATGGCTCAGTCGGGCATGGCGGATGTAGCTGGGGAAAGACCAGAAGCGAAGCATCATGATATTCTGCAAGTGTTGGGAGTATGCTCACCCAGCCTTTTTCCATATTCGCAGAGATGGTCGAGAACATGAAGCGCGTTGCCTCGTCTGACCAGGAGCTCACTGTGGAGGAGCGAAATCTGCTTTCGGTTGCCTACAAGAACGTCATCGGCGCTCGCCGAGCTTCGTGGCGCATCGTCTCCTCCATTGAGCAGAAGGAGGAGTCGAAGGGCAACGAGTCTCAGGTCACTATGATCAAGAAGTACCGCGAGAAGATTGAGGCTGAGCTTGCTCAGATCTGCGAGGACATCCTCGACGTTCTTGACAAGCACCTCATTCCCTCGGCTGCGTCGGGTGAAAGCAAGGTCTTCTACCACAAGATGTGAGCATTTTGGTCTGTCGCTTCTCGTTCTGTTCGCGTACTAACAGGTCCTCCTTGTTTTTTCTCGCTTTACAGGAAGGGTGACTACCACCGCTACCTGGCCGAGTTCGCCACTGGCGACAAGAGGAAGGACTCTGCCGACAAGTCGCTCGAGGCTTACAAGGCTGCTTCGGACGTTGCCGTTACCGAGCTCCCTCCCACTCACCCCATCCGTCTTGGCCTGGCGCTCAACTTCAGTGTCTTCTACTACGAGATCCTCAACTCGCCCGACCGTGCTTGCCACCTGGCCAAGCAGGCCTTCGACGACGCTATTGCTGAGCTCGACACGCTGTCGGAGGAGAGCTACAAGGACAGCACTCGTGAGTATCTATTGCTCTTCTGCTGCTTGATTATCGTTGCTTTCTTTGCTAAACTCCCTCTTCTTTTTCACCAGTCATCATGCAACTCCTCAGGGACAACCTTACCCTCTGGACCAGCGACATGCAAGACTCGGAGAGCAAGCCCGCCGATGCGCCCGCTGCCGAGGCTGCGGCGCCTGCCGAGGCCAAGGGCGAAGAGGCTGCCTAAAACCCAAAGTCAAGCAACAATCGAAGCTCTCCCCTGCGCACCGGCATACAGTGATTCCTGGTCCTCATCCTCTTTCCTTCCACCCCTTCAACGCTCTCCTCCCGCTCCAATACAATCTTCCGTTCTACTCGTTTCTTTTTTCTCCTCTCCCTCTATCCCGTCTCCCATCCCTCGTTTCGATTCTCATGATATTTGGCGTGCGGGCCGTTGAAGAAGGGGGGACATTCTTCCTTCTAGGTAGAAAAGGCTTAGGTGGTTGTAATGTCTAGAGGCATGAAAAGACAGCTTTTGCTGGTTGTGTGAGTAAACAGCGAAGCAGCCTGCGTCTTGCCGGTTCGGCTGGTTGGTAGGTTTCCCTTTGTCTCCAGACTCGAGAAAATAAGAGAAAAGCGTAGACAGACGGAGAGACAAGACGCGCGCGCCTTTGTTCGCACGGGCTAAGGATCCGTCGATCCACCAACGGTCTTTACTTTTGTTCCCCATCCCTCTCTTTCCGTGACCAGCAAAGCGGGGCAAGTGCGTTGGGCAAACGACCACCTCGTGTCCTGTCAAGTCATCTCCCGCCTCGTTTGACGAGGAGCCACCCGTTCCAAGATGGCGTCAAACATGAACTCGATGCGTGGGCTCGTGCAGTACATTGCTGACCTCCGAGCCTGTCGAGTGCGGGAGCTCGAGGAGAAGCGAATCAACCGCGAGATGGCGCACATCAGACAGAAGTTCAAAGAGAGCCAGCTGGACGGATACCAGAGACGAAAGTACCTGGCAAAGATCATCTTCACCTATATCTTGGGCTACAACGTCGACATTGGACACATGGAGGCCGTCAATCTCATCGCAAGCCAAAAGTACACCGAGAAGCAAATCGGCTACCTTGCCATCACGCTGCTCATGCATGAAAACTCGGAGCTGGTGCGTCTTGTCATCAACTCGATCCGCAAGGACCTCGACGAATACAATGAGATCAACAACTGCCTGGCCCTGCATGCGATCGCCAACATCGGCGGCAAGGAGATGGCCGAGGCGCTCGGAGGCGACGTCCACCGCCTCCTCATCTCCCCGACGTCGAAGAGCTTCGTTAAGAAAAAGGCAGCCTTGACACTGCTTCGATTGTACAGGAAGCACCCAGAGGTGATTCCTGCCGAGGAGTGGGCTGTCCGCATCGTGTCCATCATGGACGACGAGAACCTGGGAGTCGCGCTGGCAGCCACGAGCCTCGTCATGACCATGGCCCAAGACCATCCCGCAGCCTTTGAGATATCGTACCAGAAAGCAGTCGATCGGATGGCAAAGGTCGTACTTGAGGACGACTACAGCACCGAGTACGTCTACTACAAGGTCCCAGTGCCCTGGCTGCAGATCAAGTGCCTCCGCCTGCTGCAGTACTACCCACCCTCGGACGACCCGACCGTGCGCAAGACGATTCACAATGTTCTGGAAGCCATCCTGGACAACTCACAGGACACACCCAAAAACGTCCAGCACAACAATGCTCAGAATGCAGTCCTGTTCGAGGCGATCAACCTGGCTATCCATCTCGACACAGAGTCTGGCGTCGTGGCAAAGGCGGCCGTTCTGCTGGGCCGCTTCATCCTATCGCGTGAGACCAATGTCAGGTACCTCGGCCTCGATACGATGGCGCATCTTGCTGCGTGCGCCGAGAGCCTGGAACCTATCAAGATGCACCAGGACACCATCATCCTTTCGTTGCGGGATAAGGACATCAGCGTTCGGCGGAGAGGTCTCGATTTGCTGTACAGCATGTGCGATGTCACCAACGCCAAGGCCATCGTCACAGAGCTCCTGCGGTACCTGCAGATCGCCGACTATGCGCTGCGGGAAGAGATGGTCCTCAAGATTGCCATCCTGACTGAGAAGTTTGCGACAGAGTACTCGTGGTACGTCGACACAATTCTCCAGCTCATAAGCTCAGCTGGCGACCATGTGGGCGAGGAGGTCTGGTTCCGAGTTGTGCAGATCGTGACGAACAACGAAGATGTGCAGGAATACGCAGCCGGCAAGGTCTTTGAGCACCTGAAGTCGGCATCGTGCCACGAAAATCTTATCAAGGTCGGGGGCTACATCCTGGGTGAATTCGGCCACCTCATCGCCAACAATCCCGGTGCCAGCCCCATCGAGCAATTTCACGCCCTTCACTCCCGCTCGCACCTCTGCTCGCAGCCGACGAGGGCGCTCCTCTTGTCGACTTACGTCAAATGGCTCAATTTGTTCCCAGAGATCAGGACGCAGATTCTCTTTGTACTCAACCGATATCGACATGTGTTGGACGCCGAGCTGCAGCAGAGAGCGTGCGAGTACGTTGCGCTCGCGTCGTTGCCTGACGATGACCTGCTGCAAGCTGTTTGCGACGAGATGCCGCCTTTCCAGGAGAAATCTTGTAAGCCTTTGCCGCCGCTCTCAAGTCAAGCTCTCAACTGACCAGATTTCACCTCTTTTCTCCCTTAGCTCTGCTCCTCAGTCGACTCCAGCGAAAACATGGAGACACTGAGGACAAGCGAACGTGGATCATTGGCGGCAAGGAGGTGAACCGAGACCGCGAGCAGGCGAGGCAACAAAGTCTCCAAAAGGGGGCCATTAATGGCGGTGCGATGCCCACGGGTCCGGCAACCACAGTCATCCCGTCACATCAACGGCCGGACGTTGTCAGTGCCGGTGCATACGAGCAAGGCCAGACGAATGGAGCACAGGACGACATCTTGGCTGGCCTGGAGGGTTTGGACATGAACGCTGGCTCGACGGCTCTTATTCCTTCTGCCGAGGCAACGGATGCGGGCATCGGCGCATCACAGCCTCTCATCAATACGGACGTCAATGGTGGCGACAGCGAGACGAGCTCGCCCGTCGCGACGCGAACGCCCACCTCGTCTGGAGCTTTTGGCTCGGTCACCTCGGCAAAGCCGAGTACAAATGGCTCGACTGTGACAGCAGCACCGCAATTTACGCCAGGTTACACGAGACAGCTTCACCGACTGTGCTTCACCAACGAAGGGGTCCTGTATGAGGACAGTCAGCTTCAGATCGGCGTCAAGTCAGAATATCACGGTAATCTCGGGCGGATAGCCTTGTACTTTGGCAACAAGATCTCCGTTGGCTTCTCATCGTTCACTGTCCAGATCAAGTCTCAAGAACCCGATAAACTCGGCGTTGTGCTCCCGAAGATGCCTGCCAATACGCTGGGCGCTATGACACAAGTCCAGCAAATCGTCGAAGTCGAGTGCAAAGACGTCTTCACCAAGCTCCCCGTCCTCAAGGTCTCCTACCTGGCCGGATCGATGCAGGAGCTGACACTGCGCCTGCCCGTCATTCTCTCTAAATTCATCGAGCCGGTTCAGCTCGGTCAGACGGACTTTTTCGAACGGTGGAAGCAGATTGGCGGGGCGCCGAGGGAGGCCCAAAAGGTCTTTGGCATCAAGCTCCAGAGCAACGGCCAGGTCGACACGGCCAGGCAGCGCAAGGTCATCTCCGGTTCCAGGCTGCAGATCCTGGATGGTATCGACCCGAACGCAGTGAACATTGTCGCTGCGGGTGTGCTGCACATGTCCGATGGTGGGAAGGTGGGGTGCCTACTAAGAAATGAGCCAAATGCGCCCGCGAAGGTGAGCACTGCAATTTTTTTTGGCGGCGAAGAGGACAAAAAGAGAGGAAAGCATTTCTGACGAAAATATCCTACAGCTCTGTCGGCTAACGATTCGGACGACCAACGATGTCGTCTCATCGGAACTGCTCAGACTCATGACCACTGTCATGAGCTCGGAATCACAGGAGGTCTAGCCTTCGCTTACCTCTCCCTTGCTCGCGTCCTCACGCACACAAACACCGAGTGCTCTTGATTGTATATATTTCACTCCCCCATCTCCAAAGCCAAGCAAGAGAGGCAGGCGTTCCAATCTTTATTCTCTATAATTGCACAACCTAAAGTAATGCCTTTTCTCCCCGTCGAGCTGGCGGCATTCGAACGGGTGAAGCGGAGGTCATCAGAAGTTTCCAATGACGGCCTGAGTGAAGTCGTGCGTCTTCGCCTTGCCGCCCATGTCTGCTGTCCGGACCTTGCCCTCCTGAATGACCTTGTAGACGCTGTCTGCAATCTGGTTTGCCTGGCTGTCGAGGCCCAGGTGACGCAGCATCATCGTCGAGCTCAGCAGCAACGCGGCCGGGTTAGCTGTGCCAAGACCCATGATGTCCTTGGCGACGTGACGGCAACCGGGCTCGTACAGTGCGTACTCCCGGCCAATGTTGCAGCCGGGCACCGTGCCGGGTCCACCGACGAGGGCGGCGCCAATGTTTGTGACGATGTTACCGTACAGGTTGGGCATCACCATGACGTCAAACTGCTGGGGGCGCGAGACGAGCTGCATCGAGCTGTGGAAGCACGGCGTCAGCAAGTAGCTCACAAGGTGTATTCAAGATGGCAGACAAAGAAAGGACTCACGTGTTGTCGACAATCATGTCGTCAAAGGCGATGCCGCTGTGTCCGTACTCCTTCTCTGCGACGTTCCTGAACGTGTTGAGGAAAAGGCCATCTCCGAGCTTCATGATGTTGGCCTTGTGGACGCAGGTGACCTTCTTGCGTCCATTCTTGATGGCAAAGTCAAAGGCGAACCGGGCAATCCGCTCAGCCTTTGCCCTTGTCGAGACCTTGAGCGACTCGACGACGCCCGGGTAGGACTGGTGCTCGAGGCCACTGTACTCGCCCTCGGTGTTCTCTCGGATAATGGCAAAGTCGACGTCCTTGTGTCGGGTGGGGTAGCCGGGCAGCGTCTTGCAAACGACGAGCGAAGCATAGATGTCGAGCTGTTGGCGCATCGCCACGTTCCAGCTGTTGTGCGACGCCGTGTCGATGGGCGTGAAGAGGATGCCTTTTGGGGCAAAGACCATCAGTTACTGATTCTGCTCTCCATGGAGCAAGAGAGGCTGAACTCACCCTTGAGTCCGACCTTGTTCCTTCGAAGGCTCTCCATGGCCTCCTTGAAGAGCGACTCGCTACCGTGCGTCTCGCCAGAGACGTTGAACTGCTCCCACTCGACGGGCACGTTGAGCGACTCAAAGACCTCCTTGACGCTGCCCGCAATCTCGTGACCGATACCATCGCCCGGGATCAGAGTGACTGTGTAGACACCGCCGGTCTTCTACAGCACCTCAAGCTGGTGAGCGGGCCGGTAGCTAAGACGATCTCGATCAAACTTACCTTGAGGCCAGCGGCGCGAGGGGCAGAGAGGGTCGATGCATTGGCGATCTTCGACGAGCTAGGGACGAGGACGCGAGGGGAGGGCGTCGCCAGCCGAGGAAGAGCCTGAGCCGCTCGGGGCAGACCGCGGAGGACCGACATGACGATGACGATTGGTCGTTAAGAGGGGAAAAGGGGGGGCGTGAGGGATCCGGTGGAAGGAGAGAGAGGGAAGTTACAACTGATCGTGGCGCGGATAGACTTCCAATAAATTTTACCAGCGAGCCCAGGCGTAACAAAAAGTCTTGAACTCAAAGGAAGGATACGGGCGCTCCAGCTCCGTTTCGGACGCCGTTCCGAGAAGAAAAAAAAAAAAAGGGACAGAGGGAAAAAAGAGGCAGACAGCGAGAATCAGATATTTACTTTTTGCCGTGGACATCGTTGCAAGCCCAGACCTGAACTTTTGCGCCTCGATATTCGTCTTCCACTCCCTCGACCGGTGCCACCCGCTCTCTGAAGAAGTCTGTCCTGCTCGCTCGCCCCGACAACCATGATTACACCCCTTTCGTCGACGATGAGGACGGCTTCGGGTCGAGGCCTCGCCACGAGGGCCTTCAGCACGTCGCCCGTCGCCAGGCTGGCCATGCCCGTCACCAATGCGCCTACTTCGGCCTACGCGAAGGAGAAGGGCGCCAACGGCAAGTACCTCGTCACGCTCATTCCCGGTGACGGTATTGGTCCTGAGGTGCGTGGCTGAGTGGCCCTGCTTGGCGGTATCAAGGTCGAGTGCTTACAATCGCGCCCTTCCAACAGGTGTCAAACAGTGTCAAGGAGATCTACCGAGCGGCCAACGTGCCCATCGAGTGGGAGGAGGTCAACGTGACGCCCACGATCAAGAACGGCAAGCAAGTCATTCCCGAGGAGAGCGTCGTCAGCATCAAGAAGAACACCATTGCGCTCAAGGGTGAGCTGGCATGCTGTTATCGTGCACTGTATGCGTCCTGACCATGACACTGTCCTTTCCAGGTCCGCTCGCTACGCCCATCGGAAAGGGCCACGTCTCGCTGAACCTGACGCTGCGAAGGACTTTCTCTCTCTTCGCAAACGTGCGACCTTGCCGCTCGATTGCTGGCTACCAGACGCCCTACGACAACGTTGACACGGTTCTGATCCGAGAAAACACCGAGGGAGAGTACAGCGGCATTGAGCACGAGGTCGTCGATGGTGTCGTGCAGAGCATCAAGCTCATCACTCTCGAGGCCAGTGAGCGTGTCGCCCGGTATGCCTTCCACCACGCCGAGCAGAATGGAAGGAACAAGGTCACGGCTGTCCACAAGGCCAACATCATGTGGGTTGTCTTCCTCTCCTTGCCTCTGCTCTCTCTTTCTTGCTAAATAGGCTTTCCGCTTGACTCTTGCAGGAAGATGTCGGACGGCATGTTCCTCCACGCCTGCCGTCAGGTGGCAAAGGAATACCCGCACATCGAGTACGACGAGGACCTCCTTGACCGAGCCTGCCTGCGCATCGTCCAAGACCCTGCTCCCTACGCGGACCGCGTCATGGTGATGCCAAACCTGTACGGTGACATCCTGTCCGACATGTGCGCCGGCCTCATTGGTGGTCTCGGTCTCACGCCTTCAGGCAACATCGGAAAGGACGCCTCCCTCTTTGAGGCCGTCCACGGTACCGCGCCAGCCATTGCCGGCAAGGACATGGCCAACCCTACCGCCCTCCTCCTCTCGAGCATCATGAGTGAGTTTCAGCTTTTCGAGTCTCTTCATCTCACGTCCTTGTAGCTGACTCGTCCACTCAAAAGTGCTTCGCCACATGTCGCTCTTTGAGCACGCCGACAAGATCGAATCGGGTGTCTTCAGCGCCATCGCCGCTGGCGAGCGAACAGGTGACCTGGGTGGTGACTTGGGCACCAAGGCCTTCACCGAGTCCATCATCAAGAGATTGGGTCAGAGCCCCAAGTAAGCTCATATGTAGGAAGCTTCTCATGTGCTTTACGATAGATGGAAGAAATTCAAATTATTACCAGCGTCACCATCGAATAGTGTCCGTCTTCACCAGTAGCAGAAAGCAGGACGAAATCATGGCGATGTAGATTTTGTGTGGCATAACAAGAGCCGTTGAGTCGACTCGAATGATGATAATGTGTACAGAAGGTGCCGTGCTCCAGCAATGACGAAGGAAAGACGGGCCGTCAAACTTCCTTGGGTCCTTCTCTCCTCCGCTTTTGTCCCTAATCTCCCCTCTCTCGGTTCAGAGCATCGTCCGATGGGACGAGCTTAGAACTTTCCAAAGACCTTCTCCTGCTTCTCGGCCTGCGACCTCGAGATGCGGAGGAGGTTGTACCTGATCGTCTTGGAGAGAGGGCGCGTCTGACCAACAATGACCTCGTCACCGACAGCGACTGTAACAAGCTCAACATGGTCAGATGGAAGATGCCAGAGGAAAGGCAAGAAGAGGAGTGTCGGTCACTCACCACGGAAGGCGGGGCTAACGTGAACGGGGAGCTTCGAGTGCCTTCGCTCGTAACGGTTGTACTTGGGGACGTAGTGCAGGTACTCTCGGCGGATGATGATGGTACGGGTCATCTTCGTCGAGACGACACGGCCAGTGAGAATTCGGCCACGGACCGACACCTGACCAGTCCAAGGGCACTTCTTGTCTGCAAAAGCCCGCCTCTCGTCTTAGCTGTTGCGTTCTTCTTCCTTCCACAGCCCTATCTAACTCACCAATGTACTGGCCGTCAATGGCAGCACGGGGCGTCTTGAAGCCGAGACCGACGTCCTTGTACCACCTCTTGGTGCGCGTGGTCTGGCGGGCCACCTTGCTGTTCTGGTAGATGGGCTGCTTTTGGAAAGCACGCTCACTCTGGACGGTGAGCTCGACACCGGTGGAAGCCATCTTGAAGGTAGGGAGTTTGCCGGGCTGGTGGTATGAGAGAGTCAGTATCTTTGTAGACAACATCCCTGGTCATCTCGCCTGCTCGTCCTCTCGATCTCGCTCTCGCTCTCCGAGCCACTTCATTTCCACCCGCCCAACCTCCAAGCATTCCTCTTCGCTCAAGTCCACTTCCCGCGATCGATAGCTTTCCACGGACCTCCTCAAGCTGCCCTCCATCGCACGCTTCCGGCGAGACACGTCGGCATACTCACGTCTTGGGTGTTGGGGACGACTGCAGGCGGATTGGCAAGGTCAGAATTGAGAAGGACAATGTCAAGTGAAGTCCTCCTTCCGACGCTCGCGTGGCTTCAGCCGCAGTGTAATAAATCACGTGAATGAATTGGATGGAGAAGTGGTGACTTCAAGGTTGACTTTCCTAAGGTGGCCCTAACTGCACGCTTCCTTCCCTTCTTTCCTTATTCAACTACATCAAAAGGGCTGAGGTCTCGCCTGGCGATCCATCGAAGAAGCCCACATACGAACGACAACCAACTCTACTTTCTTTGTACAAAATGTCCGACATCGAGGAGACTCCCGCCGACGTTGGCGAGGTTGAGCAGGTCGAGGAGACCGGTGCCGCCCCTGCCGCTGCAGGTGGCATGAGCATTGAGGACGCTCTTCAGGAGGTGAGGATTGAGCGACTGCGCTGAGACCACCACGCTTGAAGATCAACTGACAATTGATTCCCAACCAGGTTCTCAAGAAGGCTCTCATCCACGATGGTCTTGCCCGTGGCCTGCGCGAGTGCGCCAAGGCCCTTGACCGTCGTCAGGCCCACCTCTGCGTTCTCGTCGAGACGTGCAATGAGCAGGAGTACATCAAGCTCATCGAGGCTCTCTGCACCGAGCACAAGATTGACCTCCTGAAGGTCTCGGACCCCAAGACCCTCGGAACGTGAGTGCAGTCAAAGTTCAGCTGCTTGAACGTCTGACGATGCTGACTTAATCGATGTTAGTTGGGCCGGCCTGTGCAAGATCGACCGTGAGGGCAACCCCAGGAAGGTCGTTGGCTGCTCGTGCGTCGTCGTCCGCGACTACGGCGAGGAGAGCGAGGGTCTTAACGTCCTCCTTTCGCACTTCAAGTCTCGTTAAGCTTGTAAGTGTCTCCATCACTGTCGCTGCCGGTAGGGTGAGAAGGGCGCGCGTTGCCGTGTGGGAGGGAAGGGAAGAGTCGGGAAGGAGCTGGTCGGGTCAGTGGCAGACCTAGTGATGACAGAACAGGACTCCCTCAACGGATTCGATCTGCTCTCATCACCAAACGTGAGGGGCAGATCATGAGGAAAACTCCTAATCCGGAATCAATCTTTTGTCTGACTCGAAGAGAGGAAGGGATGGAGGGGAGACTAGAGATGCTTCGGAGACGTTTTGCTGCTGGAACGTTGTACGGAGAGCCCTTCGGCACAGAGCGCTGACCATGTCTGGATCGTCTCTTGCCTCAAAACAGAGAAAACGAGTTGTACTTGTTCATCAATTTCAAAAGGCTTCTGCCCTAATGGCATCTTTGCAAAGTCATGAAGAACTTCCTGAATGTCTCAATGAGCTGTGATTGGGCCCTCTCAGAATTGGCGGGCATGTCAAGCCCTCATCAAATGCGCGGCCACGGCCACAGCGCCGCGCTAGCTGTGCTTGGGCCCCTCCGCCATATTTGCCCCTCATCAATTCATCAATAGAGGCGTCTACCTCTTTCTTCTCCCTCCTGTCTGATTATGTCCATCCTCGGGCGAGTTGTCCAGATCCTGAAGAGATTGCCACGGCTGCACATTGACATTGGTGCGCCTCGAGAATGCCATAGGTTGGCGCTGTCCTACCCTCGAAACGGGGTTGTCTCAACTCGTGCGTGGAGCCCCGTTCGCCCAGTCGTCACGTTGGCCCGCCCGCATCGAGAGAAAAGCGTCGCCAAAACCTCGAGTCGACGAATGGCTTCGTACAACGAGGTTTTCTCGGAAGATCGCAGTGGAATAGGGGAGCAGGATGTAGATGTAGAAGAGATAGTGAGAGAAGCAAGACTCAGGACCTCGAGGCCTCTTCTTTTGGCGCTGACACCGCCATCATTTTGTTCCAGATCAACGACTTTCGTATGCTACAGCATGTGGTCAATCGCCAGTGTAAGTTGTCTGCTAGATGAACTGAAACCTGCTCTAATTGCGTCTACTTAAGCATCAAGACCATACCGTTACGCCGAGGTCCAACTTTCGTCCTTACCAAAAGGAGGCAAGAAGTCCGATGGCGGTCGTGGAACCGTGACCGTGTCGGACTTGCAAAGAGTGATCAAGCCAGATGACAACATCGCCTGGCGAGTCATTGCGAGCCGAGTCCTATATGAGGAACCCGACGATCTGTTGCAGAGGCTCAGCAGAAAACAATTGACGCTGATAGATCTCATGAGGATTCCCGGGTAAGTATAGGGACACGGCGCAGATTGGAATTGAGAATCACTGACGATGGCCACTGCAGCATCGGGGCCAAGAAAGCCAGCAACCTCTATGATGCGGGCTTCCACTCCCTCTCGGACGTCCGTTCTCGCATTGATGATGCACCTCTGGAGAAGGCCAGCCAAATCGCGCTGGCACACCTCTCCGACATCGAACAGCGAATACCACGCTCGGAGTCCTTGGCATGGCAGGCGTTCGTCGAGTCTGTACTGCGAAAAGTCGATGGCGGCGTCTGTCGAAGTGAGCTCGTCGGCAGCTTCCGCAGAGGGACAGCTAGCAGCAGCGATCTCGACTTCATCGTTTCGCATCCGGGCATCACCGATCTCAAAGACCTTGACCAGAGAGAGAGGGCCAGAAAGCTGCTCGAAAGTGTTGTGCAGGCTTTCAGGAGCCACAAAGTCGAGGTGGACGATCCTCTGGCGCACGGCGCGTTTGTCTACCGAGGTCTCGTTCAGTGGAACGAGGCACTCAAGAAAGAGGTAAACAGCGCTGAAATCAAGAAGCCTTTCCTGGCTCGCCGAATTGGTACGTCACAGTCTCTCTTATTCTTATTCACACTTCTGCATGAAGTCTGACTTGGACATTGCAGATATATTCATCACACCATGGCATTCATGGCCATTCACGCTTTTGGGAAAGACCGGCGACACAAGCCTGATGGAGCACCTCCGTTGCCAGGCCAAGAAAAGGGGTTTGGCATTGAACGAGTACGGCATGGGGCCTCGAAACGACAATGGATCAGCGTGAGTCAATCTCCGGAGGTGGAACTTTACGGGACCTTGAGCTCAAGACAGAAGAGCTAGCCCAAAGGATTTCACGGTGAAAGCAGAGACCGAGAAGGACATCTTTGATAACTTGGGCCTCGACTATCTTGAGCCCACCGAACGAGATTTTGCAGCGTGGGGAAAAAAGTACAATGTCTCTTCCTTCTGATGCCGATATTTAGCAAGCAATTGTCCTGATCACCACTCAATCAATAATCAATAATGCTGTGCATGCATTGCATGCGCTCTAGTAGGCTACATGGGTCTAGTTAGACTTGAGCGTTCGTTGTTTTTCGCCTTCCACGATCCTCTGGTTGACGAAGAGACCCTTCCTCTTCCGAACCTTATCCATGTACTTTTTTGCCACGTTCTCGCGATCGCCTTTCTCACCCAGGTCCTCGAGCTCCTCTTCAGTCCGAGGTACCCAGAATGGGTCAATATCGAACACTTCGAAACCAGCGAAGACGAGCTGCGGGCTGGCTGCGCCAGAGGTCCTTTTTCGGATCTCGTCTGCGAAGCCAAACGACTCGATGACTGGAAGGACAGAGCCGACGGTGAAGAACGACGTGCCCTCTTTCATCTCTTCCGATGTAATGTGGCCACGTCGGCGTGAGAGAACAGCGTGGACTTTGCCCAGGACGTCGGCTGAGAGAACAAAGACTACGATGTCAGTGTCGAGTCAACATTTAGGGATTGAACAACGCGAAGGACTCACTGGAGGCTTGAATGTCGCAAGAGTACATCGCCAGCATCAAACGTGGCGACCAGTCGAGGAGTCCATTCCTGCAAGCTTCCCGCATGCTCGTAATGATGCCGCTCGTCACCTGCGTTAATCTCAGACGGTTGCCCTCTCGCTCAAGTTCCTCTTTGGATATTCCGACGCTCTCGACGAAGAACGCCATGCCGTGCAATGGCTCGGCGCACATAGGACCTTGAAGCGAGGAAAACTGGAAGCCAGTATCGAAGGCATCGTCGAGATCCTTTGGCTGCCAGTTCGCAGCGCCATGAGCTGTTGATTTGTCTTTGCCCTCCTCGCCAAGTTTCATTGCGCTCTCGAGTGCGTCTGCGAGATGCGTCCCGGCTTCTGCACCATCGGCATCAGCTGGCCCGTTTTGGTGCGGTTGCGACGGCGTACTGATGCCCTGACTGAGCCCACGAGCTTCTGCGATGTGTTTCCGGAGAGATCGAACCGAATTCTCGTTTCGAGCATCCACGAGGAAGTTGGACCCGACCCGTCGAGGTCCGAACGACCATATTTTGTCGACGACGTCGCGCCACATCGGCCCATTTTTCTCCAACAGCTTCTCAAGTTTCGCCCAGAACTCTTCTGGCTGGAGTTCCTTCGTTGCAGCTGCGGCTGCTGCCGCCCGTTGGTCATCATCCATCTCTCCCGAGCCTTCGTCCCCCACCACTGCCGCTGAAGATTGATTTTGGTGTCGATGAAGTCCCTGGTGAATCTTGCGAATCGTGGCGGTGTTGTCGACCAAAAAAGTGGCGACCTCAGTCGGAAGTGGCACTGCTCGCACCGAGAAAGTGACCAGCCCATTCAACAACGAAGAGCGGATCGTGCCCCTTGCTGCGCCCTCTGTCTTGGGTGGTGCCATCTCAGGTGCTTTGACGGCTGTTTCACGGAATGGTACCAACGGCTGAGAGGCCTGGATAGCACATCGCGCGAACCGCTCTCTCAAATCGCGAAGGCATCGCTGGAGGACGAGGGCCAATCAGCAAAGACGTTCATACCACCACAGCCGGCCTGCACTAACTTCGAGGTGGAGTTCACCCGCACACGCGATGACGTGCTCTCCGGTGCCCTGAACGATAGTCTCGACGCACGGGTCAGCCTGGTTGAGAAGACGAAGCCCCTCGACAAGCTTGGGCATGTCGCCTAACAACGAAAGAACGAGCGCGAATCAGCCAACAGCTCGTGAAGGAGAATGACAAGTTGACCACCTACTTGGATTTCTTGGCTCCAGAGCAACACGGACGATGGGTGCCGAAAGCGAGTTGATGCCAGCGAGGTTGACGAATTGCGGACGCTCCTTTTCGATGTCTACCTCGCCTCGGTCGAGTGGAAGACCGCAGAGCGTGGCATTCCTCAGGACGCTTCCGTCCAAACCTCGGATCGCAAAAACGTTTCCGGCTGGCACCTCGTGGACGGCGACTAGATCTCTTCCGAGCATCATGTACAGACCCTCGATCGAGACCTTGCGGATGTGTTTGGCGTTGCTGGGATGCGATGGTGCTAGGTCAGCTCGATACTTTGGCAACAGTGCATACATTGACTGGCCGACGCTGATGGTGCCGCTGTAAAGTCTGGCAAAGCCCAAAATGACCTCTTGTGCCTTTTCCTCGTCGCTCAACTCTTCTTGCCTGGAGTCCCCATTGACTGCTTTGGCAACTGCAGCCTCTGCACCCTCGGCGGCACCATTTGCGTCAAGAGCCACCCCTGTGGCAGATTGCATCGCCTGCGCTCGCTCCCTTGCTTCTCTTCCGCGTTCCCGCATCTCTTCGGCAGACAGCTCCTTGCGCCTGCCCTCTGGCAGATCGGATCTTGTGACCGCGAACATCTTGCTAATGTAGGCGCATCTAAAGGCACTTGAAGCACTGTTTGCTGTGAACAAGTCCTGCTCCATTGGGCTGCCCGGCTCGCTGTCGTCAAAGTAGTGAAGCTCGGGATGGAGCATCTTGGGAATTCTTCGTCGCTGTGCCGTCGCTGGCGATGGTGCATTGGAAACGAGGGCAGAGAACGTGCAGGAGGCCAAAGGGAGCCATTGCGAGAAGATTGATTGGAGGAGACTCGACGAATCCTTTGACTTGAGGTCTCTCGGCAGGATTTTGAGGTCGAGAGCTTTGACGATCTTTTCGATTTTGTCCTGGTCTCTGTTTTGTGCGCTGTCATAGACTGACCAGATGTTCTCCAGGACGAACTGGACAAACACTGGCTTCAGATTCCGCCCTTCTTTTTCCTTCTGCTTGTGCGTCAAAATCCTCTTCGACTTTGGGTCAAAGTAAAAGTCTCCCCAAAGCACCTTTCGAAACTTTGCCTCTTCGATGCCCAGCTTGCGAGCGTAGAGATGCGAGAAGCGATCGGGTCGGAAAGCCCAGTTGTCGATGGCTGAGGCGAAGATGACATTCCCTCTCCCTGGATCAAAGTAGATGTCTTCGTCGTCAAGCTCTTCATAGCTCTCTTGCTCTTGCTCCTTGAGCGATTCGTTGATCTTTTCGGCCGTCTCATTGTCTTTGGCTTGCTTCTTTTCAGACAGCCTCTTCTCTCGCTCCTCGTGCCATCGAAGGTCGTCATCCATCCTCTCGCTGGCGAAGAAAGAGCCCATGACGGCATTCACCTGTTCGATGAGCTGGTTGAGGTGGTGGTACGCTTCGATAGGCGACAGCTTGAGCTCGGTCACAAGCCTGTCCATCTTGTTTAAGACGAGAATCGGAGTCATGCGCTCGTTCCAAGCTTGTCGCAGTACCATAATAGTCTGTCACAGTCCAGGATATCAATACTTGCCTCTGCAGTAAGCTTTGGAAAGGACTCGGACGCACCTGTGTACAGACACCCTCGACGACATCGACAATGATGAGCGCTCCATCGCAAAGCCTGCTCGCGGTCGAGACCTCACTCGAGAAGTCAACGTGCCCAGGTGTGTCAATGAGATTGATCATAAAGTCTTGGATCTGGCCCGGTTTGCCGTCGGGCTGCATCTGTCGAAGCTTGAAGCTCAGGCTGACAGCGCTTGACTCCATCGTAATGCCCCTCTCCTGCTCATCCTCGCGCGAGTCGAGGTAACGCAGCTTACCTGCTTGCCTGGCCGAGATGATTGAATTCGCGGCCAAAAGCGAGTCGGCATACGACGACTTGCCATGGTCGACGTGGCCCATCAACGTCGCGCATCGGACGTTGGCCGAAGCCGAAGAAAACTGGTGTCTCCTTCCTGCCATGGCTTCCTTCTGGTCCTGTGAAGCCGTGAAGAAAGGGTTGGGCGGAACTTTTTCTGGGTGGAGCAAAGGAATTACCAGAACACGTCGGCCGAAAGGCCGCGAGCTTCGCGTCTCGACTTTGACATCTTCGTCTTCTTTCTTGGCTTGCATCCGTCGTCTACGTTCGAGAGGAGATTCTTGGGCGCACCTTGAATCGACACCCAGACCGGCGGTGGAAAGCTGAGGTCTGTTCAAGACATGGCGGACAAGCGCAAGTCGCCTCCGCTTCAGAACGGCGCCGGCTCTTCATCTTCGTCGGTGCTAGTGAAGCGACAGAGGCAAGGAGACAATGATGCTGGCGTAGGAGAGCGGCAAATTGCCATTGCATCGTCGGACGGGGGCAAGTCCAAGGGGCTCGTCAGAACGGTCAAAAGGACGAGTAATCTTTCAGCACCAATCCTGTCGCTCTCTGGCGCACACGGTGCCGAAATCCTAGACGTTAAATTTTCGCCAGACGGGCAATTGATCGCCGCTGCTTCATCGGATAAGACCATTTGTGAGTCGTTGCTATCACTGTCTTCTCTTCTTGCTTTCAAGGCTGACATTGACGTGCAAACAGCTCTGTGGCAGACGTTTGGCGAAAACAAAAACATTGGCATTCTGGCTGGACACTCCAAAGCTGTGACGTCGCTGTGCTGGTCCAACAGTGCGCCATCATCCTCGCCCCGTCTCTTTTCAGCCTCGGCGGATGGGACGCTGATTGTCTGGGACGCGTCAACGGGAGCCAAGCTGCGGAGGTTGCGGGGTCACAAGGGCATTGTCAACTCCGTCTCGTGCACTAGAGGCGGTCGCGAGATCCTCGTCAGCGGAGGTGACGATGGCAGGGTGTTATTGTGGGACCCCCACGAACGAACGCCGCTGGACGTTCTGGAGATTGGATACCCAGTCACTGCTGTGGCTTTCTCCGACGATGGAGGGCAAATCTACGTCGGAGGGCTGGACAATGACGTGCACGTGTACGACCTGCTGCGAAAGGAGATTGTCTTCTCATTGCGAGGTAAGAGCTCTGCGGTCGACATGCAATGCTTATGGCGCAACTGACGTGCGTAAACCTGGCACGAAAAAAGGTCATACAGACACCATTACCTCTCTTTCCCTCTCACCGAGCGGCTCTCACCTTCTATCGACGTCCTTTGACGACACGGTAAGGGTGTGGGATGTACAACCATTCGCGTCCGAACCGGGACCAGGTCACGTTGGGAGCGCCAGGCTTCACCGGACATTGACAGGGTCTGCCTGCGGGTTCGAGAATCTCCTGATCAAGGGAGGATGGAGTCACGATGGGGAAAAGGTAGCAACAGGTGGTGGTGATCGGAATTGTACAATATGGGAGTGAGTATCTGGGCTCCGCCTCGCAATTCCTCTCCTCTTTGAGTAGCACACTGAACGTCTGTCGTTGCGCATTCTTAGACTTGAAAAGGCAACGATCCTCTACCAGCTTCCAGGCCATCGAGGAACATGCACAGCCGTCGCGATGCATCCCCGGGAGCCAGTCAGTGAGTAGATGATCTTTCTTGTTCTTCTGTCCCATCTGTAGCTAAGGCACCAAATCCCCACGTCAGTTGTTTCTGCTTCGACCGACACGACACTCCTGCTGGGCGAGATCGAGACATAGGGTCTTTGACACCTTCTATTACCTCCAAAAGTAGTAATGACATGCATATCATTGTGATGAGAGACTACATTGTCCTAGTTATGATCAGAAAAAGAGTCGTTGAAGGGCCCGCCCACCGTAGAAGGGTCTACACTGGCGTCGCATCACCGCCATCGTCCGGGAAGATTGCCTTTCCTCTCTCATTCCTGACGAGCCGGATCCTGGTCCCCTTACCACTTTGTGACCCTGGTCCAGGGAACGCACTGGTGTTGACGCATCGGAATAGCACACCGATTCCCCGATGCTTCAACAGCCGTTCGACGTCTTCCCTCCTCACGTACGATTCCCGTGTAGCAGTCGCAGATGTTTTTGTCGTGGATGGTACCATTCGAGGTGATTCTTCTGCTTCGTCATCCTGTAAGCTCTGCAGCAGGTGAGGTGACGAGGTTCCGTTCCCCTCGTCGCCAATAGACACCGATGTCTGCGAATCTCCTGAACCCTTGTCGTTCTGCGAGCCTCTGTGGACCGGTCTAGAGACAGCCGGCACAATGTTGCAGTGCGCAACGTAGCGGGTACTGCCGTCATCGACGATGGAAGAATAGAATGGCTGCTTGTCACCCCCAGGCAGGTCTCTTACTCCCATCTGCTCGATCCAATTTTCCGAAGCGCTGCACTTGGTGTCCCACGACTTGATGACAGCTCGGTAGCCGTACGTGCGGTGAACGAAGACGGTTCCGACGGAGTAGATGTGATCAAGATTTTGCGTGCCTTGTGCAGCGGTGCTCCGGGCCTCGTCCAAATCGTCGCCCTTGAGATCTTCCAGGGATGGATTCCTTCGTTTGCGATCTCGGTCAGAGATTTCTCCTTGGCAAGCAAGACAGATGCCTCTGAGCTCGTGCGCCAACATCTCGCGTGCCTCTTCGTCTTGATCATTGAAGAGATAAGAATGTTCTGAAGGAGGCTGCAGGGGACTGCTGGCACTTTGAGAGCCTTCCGTGGCAGCCGCATTGACCTGACTTGAGTACGAGCGAAGATCGGTCACGCCGCTTCCACGGGGCCTGGGCGTGCTGCCGACGACAGAAGATCGTCGGCCAACCAGCTCTTCCTCAATGACAAGGACGTCGAGTGGGAAAGAGACCTTAGCAAGACTCGCCAGCCAGTTTGGACCAGCTGCTCCTTGACGTATATCAGGTACGGTGCCCAGGCGTACCAGTGTATGCGCGGCTCCATGCACCGCTGCAGTCTGGTCAAAGTCGGTGCCCTGCAATCTGGACCGATGCCGACCTTGTCCGGATGCAGTGATTGCCTCTGTCTCGTCCAGCCAAAAGGGATCACAGAGCTTGGGCCCCAATGGCGAGGTCCGTGACGACCGCCAAAGGTAGGTCCTTCTAGGCGAAAATACGAAGTTGGGAGCATATGCCAGCTTCTCGAAGAGCTGGTCTGCATTCAGGCTTGGGTCCTCGGCTGGACGGCGTTGGGGCCCGCTGTTGAAGTCCTTTGTCATACCCCCATTTGACTCTTCGACGGCAAACAGGATCTGTGGAACAGTGCGCATCCTCTGAACGCTGTTGAGAATGTTCTTAGCTGCGCGCAGAGCGATGGTGACAGCGTCTGATGCCGCCAGTCCGAGCTGGGCCGCATCCAGGGGCGTCTCGTGCATCCTACTCAGCAGGCGTCGAATGTCGTCCTCTCGCAAGATGATGCCGCCGCCGTAGATATCCACCCAGAAGCGCTCAGCTGCTCTGTGCTCCGACCCTGCTGGAAGCTCAACGAACGCCAGGATACGGCCTGGCACGTTGGCAAGCATCGCGCGCAGGCCGAGACGGCAGGCAAGAGAGCAAAAGATGACCGTCAAGGTCAACGGCAGTGCTTTCCTTCCCGACTCATCGAGACAGAGGTGTAAGAAGTCTGTGACCAATATCGTCATCAGTCTTAAGCTCTCGAGATTGGCTGCAGATACTTACTATTGTCAAGGTGGTAAAAGTCATTCTGCTCTGCACCTTTGAAGCCACGGCGTTCCATAAACTCCTGTATAGCGAGCGTGAATACTGTCGGATCCTTTTCCAGACTAATGTTGCCTTGTCGAAGGAAAAGTGCGCAGCTCGTTGCCAGGACGTCGAGCTCTTCGGCGATCTCCTGACCCTCGCCTCCTCGAAACATCGACAACCAGCTGCAGGCCGTTTCGAACTGCTTGGATTCGAGGGCCTGCTCCAGCTCCGCATTGCTCACGTCGTCGCTTGTCGGAGCAAGGCTGGTCCATAGGCTCGAGCCTTTCGGTGGGGAACCGGAGTGGACATCAGGGTCTCTCGGGCGGATCGAGCTTAGACCGTACATGGCCTCTCTGACCTGGAGGTGTTCGAGGAGCTCGCGAGCGTAGTGGACGATGGTGAGGTGATGTGTTCGAGATCGAACGATTCCAGGCCTGCGAAGAGCGAATGCCCTCGGAAATGATGGCGCATTGTGCTGGTCATCATCCTCCTCTTCGTCAAAGGGACTGTCAAAACGACGAAGCTGCGAGCTTACGAGAGCGTGGAGCACATCTTTTGCGTCGTTGCCATGCTTGTTGACGAGCTCCCCTGCACGCTTCAGCCAGCCTGACTCCGATTTGCATTGCTCCTCGATGACGTCTAGCACCTCCTGATCGATGGCCAATCTCTCGAGGAAGAGGTTGTAGAATGACGGAGGCTGGCCAAAGTCCTCCGTATCAAATTGCGCCGGGTGGCTCGACAAGAACCTGGGAAAGGGAGCCAGAGATTCGTCCTGCTTTGCCTTTCTTGAGCCAGAACTGCCTCCACACCCAATCTGCTCTTCCGGCTTCCCCTCGTCGCCGTCAAGTGTGCCGTCACTCGACCGAGCTCTACGTGTTCTGCCTCTGGTGTTCCAGCTGAATATCGCCAAGTCTCGCAACGCTTCTGCCCTCCGCCTTTGTCTCCACACTGTCGTCCTTCGCTCCTGCTCCCTGGCCTCGTCTCCCTCACGCCAAAAGGCGTAGTAAGCCGACTCCCACAGGTGCGAGCTGCTGGCGATGCGATGCAGCGCCCGTGACGTCTTTGCCAGCGCCGACAGTTCCAGCGGCGAGAGATAGGAAAAGATGACCTCGAGAACCTCCTCGGGAAGAGGAAGTCTGCTCCCCGAAGGGCCTTGTGGCTGCCCCTTGTCGGCACCTGCATCCATTGTGATGGTCGGTGAAGATGGCGGACGCAGGCTCAATGTCCGATTAAGTGAGCTAGTCTCAGGATTCTTCTCCACATTGAGTCCGTGCACCCGTCCAAAAGTAGCAGGCAAGGCAGAGTCAGGCAGGTAGGAAGACAGGCAGGATGACAAGGGCTGGGCAACTTGGACATAATATGCTCTTGCTTCCCGCGACCCATGCGTCCCGTGGCATTCAGAGACATCTTAACGATTTGAAGCAATCAGTTTGATGGTTCGTCGAGCGAGGCCCGACGCGGCACGTGAACAACCAACCAACACACCAACACGCCTTCTTTTTCATTCTCGCGTCGAAGCTGCTCCACTGATGCAGGCGACCACCAACGCGCATCCGGCCGGGATCGAAGGCGAAGCCAAGAAAGAGACCGATGGCGCTCTTCGTCTGGGCCAATTGCGTCCTCTCAGGCTACATGTGAGTGAGCCAAGATGCTGAATTGCCGTTTTCTCTCTCTATAACAAACAATGGCTTTCGCAGCTGGTTCAAGACGCTCCTGGATGTCTACCACCCGCTTTCGTCGAGCATCAACACCGCGGCCTCGCAGTCATTAGATCCCAGAGGCCTTTATCATGCCGTACAATCTGCGGTGCTCGGGAGCGAAGTCAGGACCAGCACCCCTCGAAGAAGAAGGAGCAGGCGCGAGATGACGCTCGAGTCGTCTGAGAGGGAGGAGCTGCGTAGCGCTCTCAAGGCTCTTGTTGTCTGGGCAAGTGTCACCTCCCTTCTTCCTCTTCCTCTGCATCTCCTGGCTGACTATGTAAGATTACTACAGCTCATCTTGAAGGGCTTAGAACCGGTGTCAGACAATACGCTTGGATGGATCATTCCTCTGTATGCGATGGGGAAGACAATCATCCTTCTCGTCTTTGTTCGTTTTCGCGTGCAGGTAGGTGCACCCCAGGCATGCGCATCCTTTAGGTGGCCCCGCTGACACACACTGCTCTCAGCTCGCCCTTCACCTCTTCCGGACATTCGTCGAGCCGCTCGGAAGGCCAAACGAGCCCCTTGTCGATGCAGGTGCTCTCAATTCAGTCCTTTTCCCGGCCGCTCGCTTCCTCCTCTCGCTCCCTCTCGCACACTTGACGTACACCATTCGCGATCGCCTTGGTCCCTCGTTGACGTCGTTCTTCAGCGGCGGAAACAGCAGCGCAGGCGAGGGTGCTGCATTGGAAGCTCTCGCAATGTCTCAAGATACGCCTGAACAAATACGAGTAAAACCACCAAGCAGATCACGACCTCGCGTGTCGAATGGTGGCAGCAAAAGCCCCTCCGATCGAGACGTGCCTGGCTCTCGAGGTCGTGGTGACATCGGCCGCGGTGCATCTACAGGCACGCTCAGCCACCAAAGCAGCGCCAACTCGCTGCGGAGATCGGCGAAGGACTCCGCATCATCAACAACAACGGATCGCATGACGCCAACCACAAAAGCTGCGGCTTCTCTGTTAGCCTCCCTACCACCAGCACCGAGAGACTTGCCCATCCGAGCCGACGCAGGCCCGTCACCCCCTCCATTCCGCATCGATAGCCCATCATCGATGTCTGCCTCGACATCTGCCTCCACGCTCCCTCGCAACTATGCCTTTATCCCGCCTCCAACATCAGCAGCCTCAAATGGTCGGAATGAGCAGGTCCCGGCGCCGTCACCCCCGGACTTCTTCTCTCCAAAGATGCCCGGCTTCCTCTTTGGACAGACGAACACGCCCGGAGACCATCTCACCGGCCCATCGCCTCGTCCTCGTTTTCCTCTGGCCAGTCTCGGCGTGGCACCGCTCACGGCCCAGAACGGCCATGGTCATGGGGATCTCCCGCAGCAACGCGCATTCTCGAGCTCGGCGGCGGCGGCGCCCGCGTCTACAGAAAGGGCGAGCACCGGAAAGCGGAAAGCTAAAGACGAGGATGGCGAGAGTTACCAAGAGGAGCACGCCTCGAGTGAGGACACGGAACTGGTTGGCGAGAGAGGAATCGTATCGAGGAATACTACCACGACGGCACCAACAAAGGCAAAGAGATCGCCCCGGAAGAAGCTCAAGCCAGCCACGAAAGAGGCTTCAGAGGGAGAAGAAGCGATTGCGACTGCGACTAGCACGACGAAGAGTGAAGGGAGGGTAAAGAATGCCGGACAGGAAAAGGGAAAGACGAAGGAGGCCAGCCAGACAACGGCAAAGAACAAGAGTGCTGCTGCTACGAGCCAAGGTTCTTCAAAGCAGACAAAGACGACGATGACGAGAAGCAGGAGCACTGCGACGGTGCCAGCATCGACTTCAACAACCGCGACAACGACAAGGAGAGCGGCGACCAAGAAGGCAAAGTAGACTACAGAGTGATACAGCTGTATTTTTGTCAAATGTAGATTATGCGATTGCGGTAGGCAGGGAGAGAGAGAGAGAGATTACATCAAGGAAGCGCTGAAGGGATCCCTGACGGTATTGTGCTGCTGCCTATACCATCTCTGGTATTCCTTCTTGAGCGCATCGACCTCTGAATGCAGCGCCGCTACGTTGGAGGCTAGGGCCATGAAGCTAGTGTGCTGCGCTCGGATGACATCGGCGATTGCCTGGGGTGAATGCTGCGCCGTGACCCGGCTCGAGTCAGCCGAGAAGCGCTGATCGACGGAGGAGAGGTGCCGTTCGATCTGCTCCATCGTTGCTCGGTAACGGTTGATCCTGTCACGAAATTCCATGGCAGACTTGGCAAAGAAGCTGGCGGGCCAAGCGGCCCATTGCGCACCGTCGCCTCTGCCTTCTTTGAAGTTGACCGCAATCTCGTACAGGGTCGCGTAGTCTGCCCGGTCCGTCTCGACACGCTCGGCGATGCTCTTTGCCACGGTGGAGTCCTGCTCGAGCGTGGCCGAGACATTGGAGAGCGAGGCAGTAAGCTCGTTCCATTCCTGGGCAGCCTTGCGGATCTCGGCACCAAAGTCGCGCGACGAAAGCTCCTCTTTGAGGCGCTGCTGCGACGATATGTGGGCATCGAGCTCTTCGACGAGCTTGCGTGCGTCTTCGGGCAGATCATTGAAGCGCTCCCGTTGGTGGTACCCGTACCGCGCAAAGGGCGAGGCAGGGTCAACGGAGGGTCCTGCTGCCGCCGAAGGCTGAAATTGCAGCTGAGACTGCTGCAGTTGCTGCTGCTGCTGCTGTTGTTGTTGCTGTTGTTGGGGTTGCTGCTGCGTCGAGGACCCAAATGAAAATCCTGACGGCTGTTGTTGTTGTTGTGTAGACTGGCCTAACCCGAATCCACCGGCACCCGTCTGGCCAAACAGTGAGCCACCTTGTTGTTGGAGTCCTTGTTGAGGCTGTTGTTGCTGTGGCGCCGACTGCCCAAATCCTCCGAAACCACCTCCCGTCCCAGCACCAAACAAGCTCCCCCCCGCCGTCCCTTGTGTCAATCCCTGCTGCTGCTGCTGTTGTTGTTGTTGTGGTTGCCCAAAGCTAAAGCCATTCGTCGCTTGTTGCGGCTGCTGCTGCTGCTGCTGTTGCTGCGCTGGCTGTCCAAACGAGAACCCACCGCTGGTACCGGCTGGCTTCGGTCCAAAGAGCGACGACGTGGATGTCTGTTGCTGTTGAGGTTGCTGCTGCGCCGGCTGGCCGAAACCGCCAAACGAAGAAGTCGACTGCTGAGGCTGGCTCGTCGTGGGCGTATTTGCGCCGGCGCCTGCCCCGCTTGATCCAAAGCTGAATTGCTGTTTCGCAGGCGGCTGCCCAAACGAAAAGGACGTGCTCCGAGTGCCCAACAGCGACATGCTTGCTCTTCCAGCCGACCAAAGGGACAAAGGATCAACAACAATTGTAGCAGCACGGACGCGCGAAGGTTGAGAGGGAGACGAGAATGAAAAATCCACGTGAAGACGCAACACTACTCCGACCCTCCATTTTAGGTTTCGTCGCCCTCGACATGCTTAGCATCCACTGACATCTGTGCCTCTCTCTTTCTACGTTCCGAGTTACCTTCTCCATCTAAACTTCCCCTCTCCATACATGCGACACCCATAATCAGACCATCTTACGGGCGAGGGCTTTCGCTCTCTCATTTCGCTGCGCTCACGACGATTTCGTCGATCGACTCTCATGGGCCATCTTCTCTACTCGCACGCCCCGACTCTTACTCAACCCCAGCCACAGATCCGCTTGCCTCTCGCAACAGGCCTTCGCGACCCTTGAGATCTATACCATAGACACACGTGGAAAGTGGTGCGGGGAGAAAAGATGACGACTCTTACCACTCTCTTTGTCGTCGGGCCGGAGGAGTACGTTGAGTTCAACGAGAGTATGGGCTCAAAGGCCTTTCTGGAACACGTCTGGGATCAGCGCACAACACCTCTCAAAGCAGATGGTGAGTCGGGTCTTCCCTCAGCTCCCAAGTATAAGCGTGGGCTGACGATCGAAGCCCTTTTTCCCAGAAACATCCGCATCGGGCACTCATCTCCATACGGCCGGCGCACGCATCTCCCCGGACCCGCCCCTTCGGATTGAATTCCCCACGATCGTTCGAATCAAAGGAAAGGGCAACAAGTATAAGCCGACGGGTCGCTGGATAAGCTGGGAGGACCTCAGGAAGCTCAATCCGCTTGCGCTCAATGCCCCGCCCAGCCTCGAGGAGTTTGCAAAGCGTGGGGGAGACGTCGGGTCAGGTCCCAAGCTCGAGCCGGGCAGCTGGCTCGGTACAGACAATCGGAAAACCCGTCCACCGAAGAAAGTCAGCAAAAAAGGCGACAGAGAGGTCAAACCAATGAGCGACGGCTGGTTTGGGGAAGAAAAGGAGGGTCTGGGGGAAGGATCGGCTGAAAGCATCTATGCGCCCTCGGCCACCAAGTTGGCGACGGCAGCAGACTGCTCGCCTTCCTCGAGCACAGGTACCCTCACTCCGACGAAAGCTACGCCTGAGGGCAAGCTGACTAGCAAGGTCGGCTCCAGCAAGCTTCGTCAAAGCGCCAGCAGTCGGAGCCTTTCAGAGAGATTTGGCATTGGGTTCGCGGATCCATCAGAAGAGCCGATTCCTCCGATTCCATCGACGGCAGCTGGTGCTGCTACAGAAGAGTCTACGGAGGCACAAACATTAGCATCGCAAGGACAAGATCGGCATGTAGAGGAAGACAAAGGGAGAAGGAGGCCAGGCGCTCCCACAAAGTTGACCCTTTCCGACATACAGACGCACAGCGTCGGGGCCAGTCTTGGCTCGGCCACCTTACCAACTTTTATCGCTCGAACGCCACTGAGCGCAACACACACGCCGCCAGAGACGCCCTTGAAGCATGTCCAGCGGGGACCTTCGCGATTTGCACGAGAGTTGCCAGCCACACCTCGTACGGAACAGGCAGTGGAGAGGCTGAGGGGCATGGATGGCTCGGCAACGAGCGGCCTTCTTCTGGACACTGGCGACGAAGCCGACTTCGAAGGCCCAAAGAAGGCTGCCAACGAAGCTCTCAGTTCCGAAGACAAGCAGCCGCAGCCTCCTTCAGACCGACCTATTGAAGCGACGACGAGCACTCCCAAAGCGAATGGCGTTGCTCCGAACACTTCGATGCCGACTTCGAGCATCAGCCCTGCCAAGAACCAGATCGATTCTATGTTGGCCAAGCTTCGACAAGCCCGGTCAGGCTTTTCCTCCCCAGGAAGCAGCGAGAGTCGCTGGGCAAGCAGCAACGCAAAGCAGGAGCGAAAAATCGAAGCCGAAAAGGTTGATAGAGAAATCGAGAGGCTGGAAAAGGAGAAGAAGGAAGCGACCACTGCTGCACCCGCCGTGACCCTGACAAAGACCGAGGACGCTGCTCGGGCTGAGGTGCCTGTGTCACCACCAAAGGCGCCCAGGGCGCTTCGCGAAAAAGAGGCAGGAGTAGTGGGGGGCAGCAATGGCAAGAAGAACAAAGTCGAGGCCAGCGAAAAGACGCTGAAAGTGCCAAAGTCTCCGGTGGATGGAGATGTGAAGCAGCACGAGGGATTGGAGAGCGATTCAAAGTCCAAGGGAGAGGTTGGCAAAGCAAAGAAGGAGCGCAAGAGGGGCAGCAGGTCAGGACAGACACAAGGAGCAAACGGGTCTGGAGCAGGTGGCGTCAAGGAGGATGCGGCTAAAGTTGGTGAAAACACAGGGCCAAAAGGAGGTGGTCCGAGAAGACCGAGCGGTGGAAGCGCCTTCTCCGAAGAATTTTCTTTGGGTGGGGCGATTGCTCCGACGCCTTCAACAACGATTTCCACTTCGAGAGTGCAGTCGGAGCTTCCGGCTCCTGTTGTTGAGGAGGAAACCTCAAAGCCCAGCACCAATGTCTTGTCTTCGCCGAAGCCGCAAGACCAAGCGTCAGAGAAGACCGTCGAAGATGTAGCGGAGAAAGACGCAAAAGAAGTCGAGGAAGAAGAAAAGACAGCAGGCCACGTCCGAGCCGTCTCCGAGACAGCCTCTTCGGTCGGCAACGACACAAGCTTCAACTGGGCTGACGACGATGACGACGAAGCGTTGCCGGACCTCCCAGAAGAGTGGGGTTACACACCCACCAAGGCACCCGCAGTCGCTGCTGGTGGATCCGACAAGAAACCCAGAGGCTACTACGTCGAGGGCGGTGGAGGATCAGGCTGGACGGACGATGAGGACGAGAGCGAGAACAGAGCGGGTGCCATGTCGCAAGAGTCCAAGAACATGGCAACGGCAGGTGGTTCAGAGGGGGGAGGGGCGGCGGGGGGAGGAGGATCGAAGCGAGGAAGCAAGAGGGGAGGCAAGGGGAGGTCGAACAAGAAGGACCGAGAGCCAGCTGAAGAGGGAAAAGGGCACAATGGCACTTTGAGGGGCTGGGCAGAGCCTCCTGTGAGAGGCAAGGGAGGGGGAGGCGATGGAGGTGGCGGCAGCGGGGGGATCAAGATCGCGGGAGTTGCGAGGGAAAGAGCAAGAGAGGCGGGTGCGCCTCCTGCACTAGACCTGCATTCGAACGGCCTCCATCATCCACAGGGCCATAATGCCCAAAGAAGAGAGCTGTTTCCCGATTCGAGAAATGCGTCGCTCAAGTCTCCCAATGGGTCCGCCTCTTCGCCGGGCTTTGGACGTTTTCAGCAACAGCAGCAGCAGCAGCAGCAGCAAAGACCGCCAAAGCATCCTAACCGGCATCCCGATGCGCGTGCCCCGCTTCCCCCCAACGCAATGCCCCTCTCCATGGCTGCGGCCGCGCTTGGCGGCAATGGGCTCAGCAGGAGCAAGGAGCCGCCGCGAGCACCAAAGGCAGACCTGCGCGCTGCGGCCGCTGCTGCCTCTGCCGCTTCAGCAGCCGCCTCCAAGGAACAACAAGCGAGGCCGGCGAGGGTCACTGGTAACGCGACTAATGAAGCGTCCGCCAGGACGACAAAGGGCGCACCTCCAGCGCAGGGTACGTCATCGACAGGCGGCGGTGGTGGCGGCAAGGCCAAGAATGCACCCTCAGGCAACGCCAAAGCATCAAAGAGATCTGGCGGCGGCCCTAGAAATTGAGCAGGACCAGAGGAATGGGACAATCAGCCTTCGTGTGGTGGGGGGTTTAACTTGAGCCGCTGTTTTTGGGACCATAGTTTCTTTTCATCTTTGTGTCTGTGCCTTGTACGACTATCTGATTGGGATCTCTATATCCTTCACATTCAGCACATCCTGGACTTGTCTGTAAGATGCACCGCTGTGGCGAGATTGCTCTGCAAGAAACGCTGTTCGGTGGAGATTGTGTTGGCCATTGCGACAAGTGAAAGGGACAGAAGATTCTGATAAAATTGGACTACGATGATGTTATTGACTTTGAGACTAGGGAAGAGAGGTACAGAGGTATGAAGAACGACAGGGGGAAAGAAGAGGGGGGAGGCTCGTGATTCTCTTTCGTCTAGAGGACTACTACTACTACTACTTGTAAAGAGGAGAGCAGAGTTACTACTACCAGGGCAGGTGGGAGAGGGCTTCGTCCTCCCACTATTCTTTTCTTTTCTTTTTAAGTCCCTCACTTTTGTCTTTCCAGCCGAGCGAGCCCGCTTAGAGGTCACCGTCATCCTCGTCAGGCAGGGGCGCAGCACGGGCCGCCTCGAGCTCCTGCTGGTACTGGGCCATGAGGTTCTCGTCGACCTGGACCTCCGGGGGAGCGAGCGCGGGAGCGGCAACAAACTCGAGGCCTGGGTTGCCGACGAGCTTGCGCGCCAGCCACAGGAAGGGCTTCTCGAAGTTGTAGTTGGACCTGGCCGAGATCTCAAAGTACTGGAGGTTCTTCTTGCGGTGGAAGGTAACAGCACCCGTCTTGACTTTTCGTTCCTGTCGCCGCAATGGTCGCATCAGCAGATGTCCTGTGCGAATAAGGCCAGCATAATAGAGATTAAAAACGCACCTTGATGTCAACCTTGTTGCCGCAGAGCACCATAGGGATGTTCTCGCAGACTCGCTCCAAGTCTCGGTGCCAGTTGGGGACGTTCTTGTATGTGATCCGCGAGGTGACGTCGAACATGATGATACCGCACTGTCCTTGAATGTAGTAGCCGTCACGGAGACCACCGAACTTCTCCTGTCCTGCCGTGTCCCAAACGTTGAAGCAGATGGTGCCAAAGTTGGTGTGGAACTGGAGAGGGTGCACCTCGACACCGAGCGTGGCGATGTACTTCTTCTCGAACTCTCCCGTCAAGTGGCGCTGTTTTAATTGATATTGTGTCAGCCTGAGCACCCCTCTTGCTGAGACTGCAGAGACTGCAGAAATAGATGGGCGACAAGTAGCGTTTGCTTGCGCAGCAAAGGTTCCATACAGCGCGTACATCGAGCGCCCGGCCGTGCCTCTTATGAACGCTCCTCGAGACAGCTACCCTCACCGGCTCTAGCCCTTTGTATTCCTAACATCACCACGAAGCTCACCTTGACGAATGTAGTCTTGCCTGTACCACCGTCACCGACTGTAAGGGGAGGAAGAAGAACGACAAGGAGTCAGCATGTGCGCTCCTTTACCGTCTCACGCGACGTCATCCAGCGACGCGCCCAGGCACGACCGTGGTGGCACTTACCGAGGACGAGCTTGAAAGTGGGAATGTCCTTGTTCTCGGCCATGATTGCTGCGATCGTATGCTGGTTGTGTGCTGGGCGTGCGAATCGGTTGTTAAAACGGAATTTCGCTCGTTGCAGTTGGAAGTTGAGAGATCCGGACGGGAGTTGGTTTTCCTCTTTGTCGAGAGCGTTTCCGTGACGGGGTCGCTGGTTGAATTTTTTCGCTTCAGCAACGTCGAACCTCCACGCGAGAAGAACACGTGACGGATCCAGCTCTCGAAGGTTTGGTTTTTTTTTTGTCCGGACTTTTTTTGGAGGTCGTCTTGAGAAAGAAGAAGCACCGTCTCTCAAATAGAGATCAGCAAGCGCTAGTGCAGGGCTGGACATGTCGTCGGTTGCGAGCACTTCAACGGTGCCAGCTGCGACGATGGACTCGCAGATGTCCAAGGCTGCCAGAAAGGAAGAGAAGAGGCGGCGGAAAGAACAAGGAGCAGAGAAGGCAAAGGAAGAGGACGTAGATGGGGACGTGTCGATGTCGTCCGCGGGGGACGTGTCGGAGAAGCGACACAAGAAAGACAAACATAAGAGCAAAGATGGCAGAGACAAGGAAGAGAGGAGGCGCGATAAACATGCGAGAAAGGAGGCGAAAGCCGCTGCTGCTGCTACCGCATCATCATCGCAAGGGTCAGAGTCGAGAAACGGAGGGGCAGTGCTTGGGGAGGCCGAGTCCGCGTTCAGATACGTCTATCCTGTGATGCAGGTCTCTGCCCCGCCCGTTCTCGCTCACAATCCCAAACGGGCAGTCCAAGAGCTCTTGGACACGCTTCTCATGCGGTGAGTGGCCGTCTTCTTCAAACATGCCTTTTTGTGAGGGATGGGGACTAAAGTTTAGAGAAAACAGATATGTGCCCCAGCTCGATGGAGTGCTCCTGGCCCACCGGCAGATTACATTGACAAGGTCTCACGCATGCATCGACTCGAACAGTGCCTATGCCTCGTTTCCCGTCGGCCTCACGGCCCTCGTCTGGGCACCCCGGATAGGGATGCGGCTCGAGGGCCAGCTTAAGCTGTCCACGCCATCGCACATCTCCCTCTTGGTTCATGGCATCTTCAATGCCTCCATCACGGCTGCCCACCTTCCCTCGACAAAGAGCCCGACAATGACGGTAGAGGACGAGCAGTATGAATGGCACAATTTTGAAGACGGCGAGGAGTACGCTGAGCCAAATGAGGACGGAGAGACGGGCGCCGAGGAAGCCAACGGAGACGAGGAGATGATGACCGGAGAGAAGAGCACCGGGTACTGGCGCAACAGAGAGACAGGCGCGCGGCTGGGCGAGGACACAGATGGCAGAGTCTCGTTCACCGTCGTTGGCCTCACGATTGCCAACAATCTTCTGTCCCTCTACGGCTCGCTGCTCAAGGCTCCCTTTAGCGTACCGGCTCCTTCGAGTATACCCCAGCCTGCGGGCAACGGCAGGCCGAACAAGGGAGCTGCATCGACGTCGACTGAGCCAGCACGGCGGGTGCGCTTCCGGTTCCAGGAAGATGACGATGATGACGATGACGATGACGACGACGAGGAAGAAGGAGGTGCCGATGCGGGCAGGGCGCCGCCCAATGGAAGAGCAGTCGGGGCACCGGAGCTTGTAGAGAGCCACCGAAAGCGGAAAAAGGAGCGACGGAGCGAAGGACCCCGGCGCAAGGATGAAGCCAGCGCTTCGGAGGGCGAAAGCGAAGGAGAGTCGTCTAGCCACAGCAAGCGAGAGAAGAAGCGGAGAAAGAAGGCCGAAGGCCATTCTTGATTTGAATGCACCAGCATGCATTCTCATCATTTGGGTTCTCATCATTTGGGGTAGAGGCCATCACATCGATCTTTCATGTAGTATTTCGCATGCCCATAACTAATCTCATTAGACTTAAGCAACCTTCATTATTGACACAAGAGGGCTGTTCGCTGCTTCACTCGCGCTTGGAGAAGAGATAGTGTCCCACGCCCCATTCCTCACCGCCGTGAGTGGCAAAGAACTCGGCACAGGCGAGGTAGAAGACGCGGAAGCGGTAGAAGGTCTTTTCGCCCTCAAGCTCGTCGTTTGCCTTTTTCTTGGCATCCTGGCGCAGCTTGACCACCGACTGGCCCCGCGCGTTGCCGGCGTCCTGCTTCTTGAGCCAGTCCTCGCACGTCCGCGCATAGTGGTTGCCGTTGAGCCACCACATGTTTTCGAGGACGACGTCCTGCTGGAAGTGGAGAAAGAGGTCGTGGCACGGCATGGTGCCTCCGGTGAAAAAGTGCTTTTGCATCCAGCCGTCGCCCTCCTCAAAGTGGTACGGGGTGGTGCGGTGGCAGAAGATGTGGATGAAGAGGAGCGACTTGTCGTCCTTGAGGCTATTGTCCTTTGCCGAGCGGAGCCAGGACGAGACCTTGGCAAAGAGGGCCGAGTAATTCTTCATGTGCTCAAACATCTCGATGGACAGGATGCGATCGAAGCGGATGTCCGAGGGAAAGTCGTACGTCTTTACGTCGCCGGTAAAGACCTCGAGGTTGGAGAAGCCCTTTTGCTTTGCGATGGAGTCAATGTGCAGCTTCTGTGTCCGGCTGTTGCTCAGCGCCTTGATGCGCGAGTTTGGGTACTTTTCCGCCAGAAAGAGGCAGAGCGAGCCCCAACCGCAGCCGAGATCGAGAATGTCGAGACCATCGCGCAGCATGGCCTTTTCGCAGTACGAGTTGAGCATCAGGACTGCAGGTTGACCAGTACACGTTCAGTTCAGTCAAAGGGAAAGAAGGGTAGATTAAGACAAGCTTGAACCCACCCTCTGCCTCGTCGAGCGTCTCCTTGCCCGTGGGGTACAAGCAGCAGCTGTACTTTGCCCTCGCGCCCAGGCAGCTCATCATGAAGCCCGTGTCGACCTCGTAGTGCTGCTCGTTGGCCTTGTCCTGGTCGATTGCAATTTCGCGCTGCTTCAGCGACTGCACATAGTCGAGCTTGTGCGCGATGTATTTCTCATACGACGCCGGAAAGGCGGGCGACGGCAGCGAGCCGATTCGTTGCGCATTGAGGGCGCGGATGGCCCGGCGGAGGACAAAGTCGGGAATGTAGCCCCGGTCGCTTTCAGATTGCAGCACACCGTCAGCATCCTAGCTTCCTTTTGCTCTCTTCTCTTCTACTACTTTCTTTCCCTTTCCCGTGAGCAAGGACCAGGGAACTCACAGGGCATTGTAGGCGTAGTCCATCCTATTACCCGTTGTCGCTCGTTGCTCGTCGCCGCCCACGTTGCCGATCGCTCGTTCCTCGTTTCGCAGAGTGAGCCGATCCTGAGGAAGGAGGCAATATAAGCTTGCATAGAACCACCGGGACTCGGGCATCTCGTCTACACGTGGAGGTTCAGCATTCTCCCACTTTTGTGCTCTCTCTCTCTCTCTCGCTGCCTTCCTGTCCTCCGCCTTGTTCGAGGAGTGCAACGATGGGCGCTCTCAATCTCCTCGTCATCGCCGGCATCCGACTCGCGCTTTTTGCGGGGTGTCGTCTGACGCTGTTGCCGTTGCTGCTGGGAGAGGCGCGGCATGCCTCGCTCGACGAAGGCGCGAGCGATGCCATCGAGCTTGGTGAGCTGCCCCGGCCGGCGACAACAACAACACGCTCGCCCTCTTCAGCGCGCTTCTCGGGCTCTGCTTCTGCATCATCATCGCCGAGGGACCTACTCAACACCGTGACAGAATCGCTCAAGGACCCGCACCAGGCCTCGAGCCATGTCTTCTCGCTCTGCTTTGAAGAGTCGGCCATCCTTTTCGCTCTCGTCCTCCTCGAGGCCATGGGCACCGTCCCGCACGAGCTCCTCGAAAAGAACTGGACCTTTTCGCTCATCGGCGTCGTGGCCTTGGCCGTGCTTCTGATCCCACTGGGCATCTGCCTCCTCGTCACCTTTCGGTTCGACAGCGCATCTCCCATCCTCAAGCGGGCCCTCTGGGCGCTCATCCCCTTCGTTCTCTGGTTCATCCTCTTTCTTCGCGTCCCGCTGCCTCCGGCCACGGCGGGTAACAGCCCCCTGCTCGATGGTGCCCTCTCTCGCACGGCACTGCTCGGTGTGGTGTTGATTGCGCTTCTCTCCGGCTCTGGTGCGACGAGCGCTGCATGGGATACGTACGAGGCCTTCTTTGCCAAGCGCAAGCCGTGAGTTTGTCCTTTTAGGCCTGGTGTAGAGATCACTTCACTTGTCTTGCTCACACTGCCCTATTTATCTCTGCGTTAAACAGCAAGGTGGTCACGGCGTCAGAGCTTAGAGACTCAGAGGAATCCTTCAGACGGACATGCGCCGATCTGGGATCGCGCCGGAGAGCCCTCGAGGCACTCAAGAGTGCGCCGCCCAGCGAAGCCGAGCGGCAGCAGCAGGCAGGGTTCTTCTCGAGAATGTGGGCAGGGAGCCAGCGAGGCAAGGAGATCAAGGCCCTCTCGCAGGAGATCAACGGCCTCGAGATCCTGGCCTCTGCGATGCGCGATGACCTCGACTCGCTCCGGACGCGGCACCGCCAGGCACTGTGGAGCAAGACGATCCAGGGCAGGCTCCTTCTCGGTGCCGGCCACCTATTCAGCATCTACTGCGTCTGGAGGGTCCTCCTCGCCGCCCTGAGCCTCGTCATTCTCGGCTACCGGGACCAGGCGCCCCCGGACTTTGTGTCGCTGAGCCTGGCCCACATTGTCCGGCTATTCAACGTCGACATTGACCTCGACGCATGGGCGAGGATTTTTGGCCTGCTCTTTGTAGGCGCCCTGATCCTCGTCCGCATGCGCGTCGTACTGGCCAATCTGTCCACTGTGAGTCTGCTTCCTTTGCTTGCCTATCTCCCCCTCTCTCTCTCTCTCTATCCTCTCAGCTGACGAGGCGGGTTGCAAATGGCAGTTCTTTCGAGCCGCCTCGGCAGGCATCAGCACCAGCTTCCTCGTCCTCTTCCTCTCCGAGGTCCTCGTGAGTGGCACGCAGTAAAGCTCGACGCGCCAATTCCAACAGACTGATGTCCTCCCTTCACTGCAGACAATCTACCTCCTCGCGACGCTCATCCAACTCCGAGCCTCGCTGCCGTCTGCCCTCTCGGGCACACCCGACGACATCTCTGCCGCCTCTTCATCTCCCCTGGGCACAGACTCATCTAGCCCAGACAAGGGCCCTGCACCGCTCCTGGCGAGCCTGCCCTCGTACAATGTCTCCTTTGGCGCTCTCTTTGACGCCTCTTTTCTCCTCGCCGCCCTCGCCACCGCCCTGGCCAGATGGTTCATGGCCAGGGAGGAGGACGATCGGGCCAACTGGGGCCTCTGATGCTGGCCGTGTACTTGTACAACTAGAAGGAAGACGCACTTTACATTTTGCATACTTGATTCCTCACCCTGACGGACTCCGTCCTTGTCTATGTCTGATGGACTCCCGATATAGAGCTGACAGATGAGCATTGGCAGAAGAGTGACGCAGCGACAGAGAAAGTGTTGAGAAAGAATGTCAGGAGCCAAGGGGAAGCGGCGAGAAAAGTATCCCGACGTTGCCCTCCTTACGAACGCACAACAGATGCTGCGAGCCCTCGGAGTCCCCCCTCGAGCTCCTTCCTTTCCTGCTGCAATAAGAAGCAGGAATTCGTGTCCTTCTCGCGATCATGATAGAGGCAGACGGGGTGGGGATGCGGAGCCCACATGCCTACAATAAGACCGCTGATAATGAGTGAGGAGAAAAAAGGACGACGTGCGCGCGCGCGCGCTGCAAGAGAAGAAAGGCTTGCTCTGCTGAAGAAGAAATGTCACGTGTGCTGTCCGGCCATTTCCTCCACCTTTTTGGGGGGCGAATATTGAATGGGAAGGGCAAGGAACGGCGATTAAAGCGTAGGAACAGACCTGACATCAGCACGGAGGAAAGCCGGTGTAAGAAGGTGCAACGACAGGAAGAAAGAAGACAGAGCGAGATGGTGAGCGCAGCGCTCACGTCCGAGGAGCCCGTGTTCCCGCGGCTGGCGTCGAGCTGGGTCAAGCGCTTCGTGTTCCTGGGCACCGGGACGAGCGGCCAGGTTCCCGCCATTGGCTGTCTGCTTCCCGCCCCGTCCGCTTCCTCCTCGCAAAGCAACAACGACGGCTGCCGTGCGTGCCACGACGCCGTAGTGCCCGGGAGCAAGAATCGACGCGGGTGCTGCAGCCTCGCCATCGTCGGCGGCGGCCCGCGGCCCCAGGACGAGAGCCTGATCCTCATCGACTGCGGCCCGACGTTTTACTCGTCGGCCATTTCGCACTTTCAACGCAATGGCCTTCGCCGCATCGATGCGGTCCTCCTGACGCACGCGCATGCCGATGCGATCCTCGGCTTGGACAATCTGCGCGCATGGACGATGGGCGGCGATATCCAGAGCCACGTCGACATCTACTGCACCCAGACGTGCTTCGAGACCGTCGAGGCCACCTTTCCGTACCTCGTCAATGGCAAGAAGGCGACGGGTGAGTGGCCTGATCTATGTTCGAACCTCTCCTTTGATTCTCACTGAAGGCGTACCTCCCCACTTTACCCTTACACACAGGCGGAGGCGCTGTGGGAGAGTTGCGCTTCCACATCATCGACGCCCACCGCCCCTTCCAGCTGCCGGTGCATGGCGGCAGCGGCAGCGGCAGCGGCAGTCGCGCGCCCATCGAGGTGGTGCCCCTGCCCATGTTCCACGGCCCACACGGGGGTCCAAATGGCGCGCCGTTCGAGTGCCTCGGCTTCCGCGTCGACACGCTAAGCTACCTCTCGGACACGCACGCCGTGCCGGCCTCGACGAGCCAGCGCGTCGCTGGCTCCGACGTCGTCATCATCGACGCCCTCAACCCGTACCGCCACCTCTCGCACTTTAGCCTCCAGCAGGCCCTCTCTTTTGTCCTCTCGCTCCCTGCACCAGCAACAACAACGAAGACGGCAACAGCGGCGCTGCGGCAACAGCCAGGGTCAGGGCGACCCGGCTTGCCGAAGCTGGCGCTCTTGACGGACCTCACGCACAATCTCGAGCACCACAGCACCGAGCGTGAGCTTCGACGGTGGAACAAGGAGATGCAGAGACGATGTCGCAATCTTGGCCAAGGAGCGACGACTTCGTCAGACGGGTCATCGGTCGCATCGGCCAATGGCCACCTGGCAGAGACCAACGGAGCCGCTTCTGCTGCTGCTGCACTTGGAGAGGGCGGCGGTCCGAGATGGTGGAGTGCCATCTGGGACGAGCACGAGAGCGAGCGCCTGTCCGGACGACGATCGCTGCGCCTTGTCGATGCCTTTACAAAAGAGCCGGGCCCCCTACAACAACGACAACAGCAGCAGCAGCAGCAGCAGCAGCAGCAAATACAAGGTCTCTCGCTGAGCGACGACGACAGCGGCCTGCAGCTTCCGCAATTCCATGTCGCCTGGGACGGGCTCGCCATCGAGATGGGCCGTCCAGACACCTAGTTCTAACCCTATAGCCGCCTCTTAGACAACCACATCTCGCTACCCGTGTCATTATTAGACGGGCACTTCTAGACTTGAGCCGTAGACGGACCTCAATCAATCCCTGCCTTAATCGCCTGTTCATGCAAGCTTCCCCTTCTATTGCTTAGACAAGAACAGATGCTGTATACCAATGCGAGCAGGCCAGAGAGGGAAGAGTCGATCAGAGGGCGGTTCTAGGAGGTCATGAATAGAGAGCTGCAATCCATTAACGAGAAGGGCAAAAAAAGACGCAAGTGACAGGGCGGTGATAGCAAAACGAAAGGAAAAAACAGGAACAAGAAGAAGAAAAGAGGTATCGTACAAGAAAATGTGAGACAGAAGACGGCCGGACGAGGGCGTTGTGTCTCTCTTCTACAGGACGGAGAGGGCACCGTTGGTGCGGAGCGTGCACATGTTCTGCATCGAGTACTTGCCCTTGCGTCCCTTGTCCTCGAGCGTCTTTCCGTTCATGATCTTGTTGAATTCTTCGCGGGCCAGCTCCCGGTCGCCTCGGTTGGCGTGCAGCCGGCCGAGCTCGTAGTGGGCAAAGTAGCACAGGTAGTGGTCCAGGGCGAGCCGGTGGCTCGACTCAATCACGTTTCGCAGCGAGATTTCGGCCTGCTGGCTCGCTTCGGACTGCGGGATGGGCGACTTGACCGGCTCGACCTTGGCGTGCTTCTCGGGGTAGGCAATGTAGCGCAGCGTGACGCCGCGGAGGAAGTGAGCGAGGCAGTAGTCGTCCCAGTACTCGTCTGCACCCGAGTGGTAGGCCGACGGGTCCTCGACCTCGTTGAGGTCCGCGAGCGCATCGGAGATGTCGACGAGCTGGTTGTCGCAGAGCGAGTAGCGGGGTGCGTTGGTGAGGCAGTGGTAGATGTACGAGAACTCGATGGCAGGCAGGAGCAGGCGGCCCTGCTTGACAAACTTCTTGGCCTTGCGAGCGCAGTACTTTTCCATCGGAATTGACTTGCCGGCAATGCGCTGCATGAGACCGGGCACCTTGTGGAAGATCTCCTTTGCCTTTTGGCTGTCCTTGCCACTCTGCATGAGGTTGGCTGCCTTGCCGTAGCTGTACACGGCCTTGGACCAGTTGCTGTCCTTGAAGAGAATGTCGAAGCACTCGTATGCCTCGGCCCACTGCGAGACGGACATGTGGCAGAGCGACATGTCCCAGTAGCAGATGTGCTGCAGCTGCACGTATTCGCGCTGCACATCCCTGGCCTGGCGATACTGAACGATGGCTTTCTCGGCGCGGGCCTGCGTCGAGTAGAGGCGTCCAGAGAAGTAGAGGAAGAAGACGCCCTGGGGGTATCGCTCGAGGTTGTAGTGGAGCACCTTGTCTGCAAAGTCAATGTCGACGCCCGTGACGGGAATGAAGGTGGAGATGACGAGGTGGTAGAGAAGGATGCCCATGTCGCAAATCTGGCGACGGATGCCCTCCTGCTCGACTGGCATGGCCGGCTCGAGCACCTTCTTGTCTGGGCTCCACTCGCCTGCCCTGGCCAGCGTCTTGAGCGCCCACTTGCAGTCGCCCGAGTAGCCAAAGACCTCCATGATCTTGAGAACCTTGCCGGGGAGCAGGCCGAGGATCATGCTGATGAGACCGTTGCCCAGGAAGACACCCGAACGGAAGTCTTCGTCGATGGACTCGTCGCGCTTCTGGCCCTTCTTCTTCTGCGCCTGCTCGTCGGCCCATTCGACGTACTTGGACAGAGAGCGGTAGATCCCGTAGGCGTTACGCATGTTGAGAGCCTCTGCCACAAAGCCAAAGAAGTCACCCGAGTAGAGGATGCCCATGACGGCCTTGAGAAGCATGCTCTCGGCATAGACGAGCTCGGCGTGGCGCTGGACAATGTCCATCGAGTGCATGCCCGAGGGACCATGACCGGTTCCCCTGACGAATCGGCCAAAGTTGGCCACGCTGTTGGACGGCTTGCGGAGCATGCTGGCAATGGTGAGCGAGTCCTTGCAGTAGGAGATGGCCTTTGCCAGATCTTCGGGCTCAAAGGTCATGAAGCCCTTGATGACGGCAATGAGGGCGTCTCCCAGGGCGTAGTAGAGCTTGCGGTCCGAGTGCTTTGCGACAATCTCTTCGGCCTCAATCATCCTCGAGTTGAGGAAGAGGTGGAGCGCTCCTCGGGCGACCTTGATGTCGTCTCTCATCTCGTCCTCGTCCATCTTGACATCGTCAAAGGTGAGCTTGGAGACGCGCGCGGCCTTTTCTCGCACATAGACTGGCGTCTCCTTCCTGGCCTTCTGGTCCGAGGGCGTGTTGCTTTCATCGCCGCCGCCGACGGGGACACTTCCCGAGCGCCTCTTGAAGCCCGCGGTGCCGCGGAGCTGCGAGGGAGCTTGCGACCGGAGGCTGGGTGCAGCACCACCTTCAGGCGAGGCAGATCGCTGCTGCTGCTGCTGCTGTTGCCGCTGCCCTTCGTCGTCGTCGCGAGGCCGACTTCGCAGTGAGTCGACCTCGCCCTCGCTCAGACCCCGGTGCCTGTGCTGCTGCTGGTGATGCTGCTGCTGCTGCTGCTGGTCGTGGTGGTGCTCCTCGTCGTGCTCCGTGATGTCGGCGAGCTGCGCATCGTGGAACTCATCGTCGGAGTCGTAGTCTTCGTCCTTGTGCGCTGCGTCGCTGCCATTGGCGTTGCTGCTGCCGGTCACCTTGGTCGCAATGGCCGCTGCAGCGCCTCCTGCAGCGGCTGCACCGCCAGCGACGGCCGCGTAGGCACCTCCAAGAATGCCCTGAGACTGCTGCTGCTCCTCCTTGTCCTTGCTGCCGCTCTCCTCCGTCGAGGTGGTAGCGGTGCCGTTTGCGGCCTTCTTCTTCTCCGAGGGGTGCTGGGGAATCTCGACGCTGTTGCCACTGGCACTGCTGCCATTGCCGACGGCGGCGTTTCCATTGCCATTGAGGTGTGCCTCGGGTACAGGAGGGACCGGGGGCGCATCCTCGTCCTGGCCCGAGCCATTGGCGGCACCAGCGGCGGCGGCGGCACCGGCACCAGCGCCAGCGCCAGCAGCAGCGCCGTTCTTCTTGTTGAAGCTGGGCATGCGCAGGCTCATGCGCCGGTTGCCCTTGCGGTCACTGGTCGTGCTGCTGTTGTACTTTTCCTTGACGTCGGCTGCCGTCGACTCTGGCTCGGCGCTCGCCGACCGGCTTCGGGTACGGAGCAGGTTGGAGATGACGCCGCGAGACGAAAGCTTCGACGAGACCGAGCGACGATCAGAGTCGTCCTGGCCAGCCCCGTTTGAGTTGGACAGGTTCGAGGTGCGTCGTCTGCAGGGGGAAGAAATCAAGTCAGAGGCAGCCCTCCACAATGTTGGCGAGGGGGCGATCGGATGCTCACCGGACAGCGCTTCCGTTTGCATAGCCGCCATTGGACTCGGGCACCGAGAGACGGCTTCCGCCGTTGGCAGCGACGGGCTCGGTGGCGCCACTGTCATTGACCTTTCGCTGCGAGCTGCCGATGCTCGTCTTGCGATTGTGCGAGGCCGTGTCGCTGCCATTGGCAGAGACGCCACCGTTGGCATTAGTGTTCGACTTGTGGCTGTTGGCCGTGCCGGGGCGCCGGCTTCGCAGGATGGCGTCGGTGTTGCTCGTGGGCGAGCCGTCGGCCTGGTCGGCCGGGTTCATGCTGGCCAGGATGGATCGCCTCGAGGGCGCCTTGTCCCTCGCTCCAAACGAGTCCACGCCCGGGCTAGCCACTGCGACGTCGGCTGGCATCTTGGAGCAGGAGGGTCTCTCTACGCCTGGGGGGATTTGGGGTGGATGGTCTATGGCGACGCAAGTTCGAAGAGGGACGAAGGATGCGAGCCGAACTGTTGGTGGGCGAGTCTGAGGATGGAGGTGCTTCACCTTTTTTCCTCTGTGAAAAAAACGCGAGCAAAAGCAGCCGGGAGGTCCAGGAAAGCGGAGACGAAATGAGGGTCAGTCAGGAAGCCGGACTGTGGGCAAGGCGAGGAGAGGGCCCAGGTGAGCTCTTCGACAGGAAAAAGCTCGTCACCCAGCAGACAAGAGCGGGGGTGGCTCTTTCTTAGCGTGTGTGCTCCAGATACAGAATTTCCAGCCTGTTTCAAATAAAACCCTGCACCACACTACTACATACACTATATGGGGTGATCCGCACTGATCTTCTGGGCCCAGCTTCTGAATGAAAATAAAGACTTGATCAAGGTAATAGTTTGACACAAATAGCTGCTGTAATGCCGCGAAATGAGACTGTATATGCCTCTTGCTAGACAAGTCTTGAAAGAACGCATCTTATTTGCGAATCTTGTGGGGAATGGACAGCAAAGGTGCCTTCGGACCAATCATAGCCACCGGCAATGATGTAAGCTTTTTGTGTCTCTTCCCGACAATCTGTTAGTACTTTCGCGACCGGGGGCTCCACAGCAGTGAGCAGTGCCAGGGAACGTTTCTTTGTCCGACAAGCTTGAAAGCTCTCTCCATCCAGCAGCTTTCCTTTGCGATGTTCGACTGAGGGAACGAGTCCCACGTGGCCTCTCGACGCTCTCACTTCGTCTCACAGGTCCTCCCTCACATGCTGTCTGTCTCGCACTGCCTTTGGCCATGTCCCAAACGCAACCACGTTCTGCAAATGTGTCCAACGGTGAAATTAAGCAAACTCGACAGTCGCTGCTATCTACAGTCCTCAACTACTCTTTCGGCGGTCTTTCCCTCGCAATACAAGGGTAAAGCTGGCTCTTCGGTGCATGGAAGGCAGACGCTCCGATTGTGTATTCGAGTAGATGAGACTGTGACATTACCAGAAACCACCGTAAAACGGTCTCGTTCTTGAGTCTTAATTCACACAAGCTTGCCTCGGAGAGTGGTGCCGTTTCACACCAGCAGATGAATCTCTTGATCATATCTGCAGGGCGAATATCAACTCATCTTCTGCACTCCTTTGCACGTTCAATCTAGGAGCAAAAACCCGTCTTCGCAAGAGCGCACAAAGACGCCGTGCTCGAGCTCGCCTGCCTGTGCCCAACATTGACCGCCCGCTCCAGAGCTTATCACCTTTTCTGGGGCTGCAGCTCACGAGATCCGATCGATGCTTCCGGCGTGGCTTGGTTTGTTAAATCCACATTCCCCTTTCTGCCTTTCTCTTCCCTCCTTCAGAACATGTCAATGAGGTCGAGAGGGGCCCAGCGCCAACACGAAAGCAGAGACATGAGCATCAAGGAGAAGGAGAGAGCGCTTCGAAGACAGTGTTAATGGCCTCATCTTGGATTGAAGTCGCCAGACGACCGGCCCTGAGGCCCGCCTCCTAATCCTAATTTGAAGAAGCTCTGATCTTTACGATTGCCCGCAGTCAATGTCCGACTCGCGGAAGCTGCTCTTACAGATTGCATCCTCGATCACCCTTCTCATATCCTGAAATGGCAGGCCTCTATCTGTTTGCATGGATCCGATCCGGCTCCCATTTCACAAACGAACGAAACATGCACGCAGGGGTTTGGACGGGCTGCACTAGCGCGTCCAGTGGCTTCTGTGCCCGCGTGCCGCTTCGATACAAGAATTAAGCAACAAACCATTCCAACAGCTTAAACTCGGAGCAATACGAAAAACGGGGGTGCCTTTTCCCTTCTTTGGAAAATGGAAAAGGGAAAGTCACTGGCCGCCGCCTGCTTGAGGCGTCGCTAGGCCCTTTCTCCAATACCAGTGCCGTTTATCCCTTTCTTGGTCCAAGACCTTGCCGGCCAAATTCAGTACGCCTGTCCCTCTCTCTCCCTATCCATCCTCGCTCTTTCACCAACCCTCCCTTCTTCTTGATCCGAACGACGAGCTACTGGTCCGCTGGGCTGACGACACCGTTCACCCCCCCTCTCCCTCCCTGCTCGCTGGCGAATACGTGCGGGTGACGAAAAGGAGGATATATCCTCCCCTTTTTTTAAATTACCTCTGTTCAAGCCCGCGTCTCCCTCAATCTTCACTCTCGTCGCTCTCTCCGCCTCTTCCTCTCTCTCTTCCTCTCCTCTCGCTCATTCTCGCTCGAAACACACAGACACAGACACACACACATTCTCTCTCTCTCATTCCTCGCTACCGTTCGCTCCCTCGCCAACATTTCTCTAAGCACTGAACAACCAGCACACCTTAAGCGAAACCAGTGACCATTCAAGGCCCGCGTCCAAGGTAATCACGCCCAGACACGAGACTCAAGGGCGGCGACCGCACTTCAAAAGCAGCTAGAAAGCAACCGCAGTACATCCTTAAGCATACCTCCATCATGCAAGAGACCGTCGCCATGCCCGTTGCCGGCTCCAGCAACCGAGGCAAGGATCGCGATAGCAGAATCCAATCCGCCAAAAAGAAGGTGAGTCTGACCAGAGAAGGGCCAAAGACTCATGCCAGATTGCAAAGCTGACAGATACACTGCCCGTGCACAGCTCAAGTCCTACCAAGCCAAGCAGGCGCAGGCTGAAAAGGCAAAGCGAATCTCGATGAACTACACTGGCGGCTCGGCCGGTCCAAGCCGCCAACAGCGATCTTCGTCGCCGACGTCCATCGTGGGAAACGTCATTGAGAACGCGGCCAGGCAGAGCAATGGCCATCTCTTCGCCTCTGACGTGGGAGAGAGCGCTGGAAGCCGTCCCTCGTCGGCTGGAGATGTGTCGCAGGTCCAACAGCAGCAGCATTCAAGGAGGCATTCTCGAACGTCGTCCCGTGCCGGCCACGGTCGAGGACACTCGAGGACCGGGTCAATCTCCTTTTCTCAGACTGCCCTTGCACAGGCAACCTTTACGGCCGCCGTCGCAGCCAACACAGGTCTTGCAGAGAACAGCACCGCTCCAGCTACTCGACACTCGACGAGCTTTGTAGCCAACACGGCCACGAGCCACACAAGAGGTCACTCCCGGAGCGGCTCGAGAAGCGCAACAGGCCGGGCTCGCCCCGTTAGCTTCTTCGGAGGTGCAAAGCACGAAATCAAAGTTTCGCTCATCGACGAGTCCCTCTTCGGCGGCAAGCCAAAGGAGGCTAAGATCGATGCAGACGAAGCTGCACGGGGCGATTGGGACGACGTCGATGCTCAGATCGAAGACGAGTGCCTCAAAACACCAACAATGGCCCAGCCGTCGGCCTTCCAGACGGCTCCATCGACGCCTGCAGATGCGATCGTCGATACTTCCAACGATATCACACCGCAGCAGCCAAAGGCGCATGCTCGCAGGGCCAGCCGTCACACGCGCAAATCAAGCGTAGCCACAAAGAGGGAGAGCATGGAGATTATGGGCGGTCTGGGCCTCCTCGCAGCCATGAGTCAAGCGCCGTCATCGGACAGCTTGAGCAGCAGTGCGAACCGTCGCAGAAGCTCGAACCGGTTCAGTGGGCTGCAGTCTGCCAGTGTCCTTTTCGGCAACTCACCACTGGCCTCCTCTTCCGACATTGCGGCCGACCGTCGGTCCGGTGTTCGACTCTCACACCAGCGCCAGCCCTCTGGTATCAACAGCGATTGGCGGAGCGCCCTGCAGGCCGCGCGTGAGAACGACAACGACGACGAGCGTCTCACGGCTCTCGAAAAGCTCGAAGGTCGTAGACCATCGTCCTCATCGCCGGGTCAGCACCGTGAGACACGGTCGGACCTCAACGACAGGAGGCACTCGCGTCAAAGCAGTGTCCAGCTGCCGTCCTTTGATGATGTCCACGGTCCAGACGGCATGGACAAGCGAGCGAGCCTCAACTTGCTTGAGTCAAACATGGCCTCGACGAGCAGCGAGCGCCCGTCTTCGATCATCGGTGCCCGTGGCCTCGCCCCTCCCGTGGCGAGTGGTGGTGTAGCAGCTGCTGTCGCGCTTGGGGGCGGTACCAGCCCTTCGCTGCCGTCAGAGTCCCCGGCCGTCACCGCGAGCGCCGAGTCCACTGCTACTTCTGCCCGGCCCCAGTCGATGTTCCTCTCTGGTGATCAGCTGGAAGGTCTGGGAACTCTTCTTGAGGAGGAGGAAGAAGAGGAAGAAGGGGCATCCATGTCGCCAGTCAAGGAAAAGGCATCGTTCATGGACCAGGAGCGCAAACGCCAAAAGGAAGCCGAGCAGGAGGCCGTGAAGAGGAGCAGGCGGGCGAGCCTGACGCCGCGTCCGCTGAAGCTCAAGAGCCGACCGGCGAGTCTCTTTATGGGCTCGCAACTCGGAACCATGACGCCTAGCATGTCGCTTCCGACCATGTCTGCCTCTTCGTCGTCCCAGGAAGAGTCCGAGCCGGAGAAAAGCGCAGACTCTGAGGCATCGATTGCGTCCAGCGAGCCGGACCGTGCTCGCATTTCGTCGAACCATGCAACTCTCGACTCGAACGCGGGGGCACCCTGGTCTCTTTCGAGCGCTCAGCAGAAGCTTGCCGATGCGCGTGCCTCACCGTCTCCGAAGGATCTTCCCAGTATTGATACGAAGAGGAGCTGGCGCTCTTCGATGCCGGCTCCACCGCGTGGCATGAGCTCGGCCATCTCGTCCGCTTCATCCGTCCCCTCTGCCACCAACCAACCCACTAGTTCCACTCCCCCTCGACAGGGCATGCGCGCACTTCGCTTAGGAAGCAGCGGTCTCTCCACGTCGACATCGGCAGCCGATCTCGAACGCTCTGCGGCCCAGCATCCAGTTCCCAACGATTCAATCAGCTCAGAGGCAAGTACCAAGTCGGCGTCGACCAATTCTGCATCCAACCGCCGCGGGAGCATCATCTACAACCCGGCCCCGAATATGCCTTCGCCCCTCGCCGTCTCTCGCGAAGACCTCGGCCACGGCGTTCCCTCTTCCTCTCCCGTCATTTCTTCTAATGCTTCCGGGGTCACGGGCATGCGGCGGAGCAGCATCCATTACAAGGCCGCCTCGCCGAGTACACCAACCAAGACCAATGCTCCGGGCTCTGCTCCTGCCGAGACTGTCGGTACAAATTCGCCCGCCCCAAGCTATTTCCCACCACAGTCTGCTCCAGCGTCGAGCGCTGCGGCTGGCGGCGGTGTTCCCATGCCAATGTTCGAGGAGCTCAAGTCAAAGCATCAGCGCGATGTGGCTCTGCTAGACGACGTCCGCAAGGAGGTTGCCCGTCTCAACCGTGAGATGGCTCACGAGACGGAGCGGTCCACGCGCGAATACACTGAACTGGAGCGCTGGAGCGCCGAGGAGAAAAGAGGCCTGGGTACTCGCATCGAACACCTCGAGACGGCCATCGCCGAAATCGTGGCTGTGCGAGACGCTCGCGAAGACGCTTTCAAGGAGGAAAGGGAAAAGGTCGAAGAAGAGCTCCGGCAGAAAGCGGAGAAGCTCGAGGATGCAGAGGCCGAGCGAGACATGCTCCAAGACGACGTCGAAGGCTGGAGGACACGGTGCGGCGATTTGGAAAAGTCGTCGCAAAAGGACCGTGCGGTACTCGACGAGGAAAAACGGCTCCGCGCAAATGCGCAGAGCAAGGTCAAGGAACTCCTCGACCTCGTCGACCAGCACGGCATTGCACCGCCCCGTCCTCGGCAAGAGTATGCGGCCGACGACGTCAGCTATGCCGATTTCCCAATGGATCTTGTCTCAGCGCTCAGGAGTCCCGCGCTGGGTGGTGCGAGCCCATCGGCGAATGCGGGCTACTTCTCGCCAAAGATTCCCCAGCACGACGGTGCAGCTTCCCTTCCTCCCCCTCAGGCCGTGAAGCTGCTCAAGGATATGCGTCAGCAGATCTTTAACCTTGCCGGCAGTCTTGAGCACGAGCGATCGGAACATCTCAAGGCCAAGGAGGAGGCCGATGCGCTTAGGGCAGAGAATGCCAGGCTCGCCAGCTCTTTCCAGGACGCCTCTGGAGTCAACTCAACCTTCAACACGACGATCAGCAGCGGAGGAGACAGCCCGCTTCGCCGCGATGGAGGGGCGTACAAGGGTGAAGACAGCACGTTTGACGATGTGAACGGCGGCATGAGCTGCTCGACGACGCTCAGTAGCCTCACTTCAACACCACCAAAGACGACGCCCACCAAAGATGCGAATGTGCAGAGGAGCAGCTCAGGCAGTGGCATGGTGGGCAAGAACCGAAAGCACGTCTTTGCCTATGACAGCAGCATGGGAAGCGCCAGCTTTGGCAGCGGCAGCGTGGGCACCAATCTGTCGAGCGGATTGACATCGGAGCACGACCACCACCACCAGCACAACGAACATGACTCTTCGTCCCAGAAGGGTAGCCAGGACCATCTGACTGGAGCCATGGATGTCCTGGACGGCGTCGCAGCTTCGGAAGCCGATTTGGTCGGGCTGGGCGTCAGCAAGCTGCAGACTTTGGATGAGGAAGAGGAGGCGACGACCGAAGCAGAAACTCCGGGCAGCAATGCGCCCACGCCTGTTCCTTATGCTCAAGATCGTGTTCAGACTGTCGAGGATTCAGCTCGCGACTCCTTTGATCTCGAGGCCGGTGCCGACATTGACGTTGAGTCGATCGCTCCTTCCACACCTGCGTTGGACCGCCGCGATGAGGCAGAGCAGGGTGGAGCGCTGCCCGTAGTCGCCATCAGCGGCGAAATGAGCGAGGCGGGCCACTCCAAGTCGAGCACGCAGTCCAGTGCATCGTCATCGGCTGAATCCCACGGTCCTGTGTCGCCGTATGCAAGCGGTGAAGACGAGCAAAGGGAGAGCCGATTCAATGACGATGGTCTCGACACGTTTGACTCGGCCCTCTGGTGCGGAGACGACCACTTTGTCGAAGACTACCTCGATGAAGAAGCCGACGAGGCTGGCTCCGTGGCCCGACCAGAATTCATCCGCGAATGGAGCTTCCAGAAGGCCTCGGAGGCGATCCGAGCCAAGCGAGCAAAGGCGGCCGAGTACCGCCGCGCTCGGGTTGAGGCGGCTCGGAAAGGGCTCGAACACCGTCGGCAAGAGGAGGAGCGACAGCGCAAGAAGCGAAGGCCAAGCATCGATGACTTCTTCGGCATCATGAAGCTTGATGAGTCGATGTCACTTCCTGCCCTGCCGACGCCCGATGAGGCTCTGGACATGCCGCCCGTGTACATCGACCAGCACAGGGCCGATTCTCAGCGTTTCTCTGCAGGGAGCAATTACGACAACAGCCCGAGAATGTCGATGCGTATCGATGGACCTGCATACAGCTACCATCCACAGCACCAGCACCAGCAGCAACGACCGCCCGTGGCCAAGAGCGCATATGTGGCCGCAACACGGGACAGCGGCAACTACAGGCCCATGTCTTCGTCTTCCCTCGCCCAAGACGGTGGCAGGTTCTCTCAAGACTACTATCAGCAACAACAACAACAGCAGCTGCAGCAGCAGCAGCAGCAGCCAGCTTCTGTACAGGAGCAGCAGGTAGCGGCGGCGGCGGCAGCAGCAGCGGGCGGAGGAATGTTGTCTCGGGTCAGCCTGTCAGGCTTGACGAGCGCCTTCTCCGGCTTGGGCGGGTACCTGCTCAGTGGCCAAGGCAACGCTGTCAATATGGCTGCCGCGGCCACAAAGGCCTGCACACGGTCCGACGATCCCGAAAATCACTATCACAACGAGGACGGCGGCAGCATCAGCTGGACTGCAACCCGTCGTCTCGAGGAGGCTTAATTTGTCCCCATCCTTTCTTGTTCCCCCCTCCATCTCCCTGGGTCACACAGCAACAATCGCAAACCGCAAAGGGCACCGACTTCACCGGCACTACCTTAGCCTCGATCGATATCATGTATTCTTTTTCCCCCTTCTCTCGTATTTCTACCAGCACAATTTTCTTCGCTTCTTCTCTCTCTCTCTTCTTTTCCAACGATGATCTTTTCTTTTTATTCTCTCTGTTACTTTAGCGTCCTGATGGCATAAGGACGTACGACAATACATGGTCTTTCTCTAGCATCCTCCCAGGGATGATTGGCACACGTACGCTCTGGCTTTCCAATCAGCTTGGTGCCCAAGTCACGTCAAGATGAGGCAGGAGGGAGTGGAGGGTGCGCGAGTGTCGGACAAAATTTTCAGAAGATTGGTCCCCTAAGCAACCCTCGAGAAAGCAACACCAAAAACTCCAACCTTGGCTTGGGTTCCGTTGGCTCGCTGCGCTGCTGGGGTGATCTGATCGTGGAGGAGAAGCGATGCTGGCGTACGGGAGTGGATGTCGAGGGGCGTACCAGGGGTGTACCCGACCGCGACTCGCGGCCACGCTCGCCCGTCAATCGGCGACGAGGACGCCCTGGCGCCTGTGCCTGTCCACCTCTGCAGCACCAGCCTCGCAGCATGCGCGAGAGCGCTTTGAGCGGCTCCGTAACGTCTCCTTTTGGGGCCACATCGATGCAGGAAAGACGACACTGACGGAGCGTGTCTTGTATCTCTCTGGCGCGCTCTCGCCGCCGTCAGGCGCCGCCGGGCCTTCGACGGGAGCAGCAGCGGCAGGAGGCCCGATGCCCGGCGATGTCGACTCGGGCAGCACCGTGACGGACTTCCTCGAGGCGGAGCGTGAGCGCGGCATCACGATCCAGAGCGCCGCCGTCGGGCCCATTTCCTGGAGCCCCTTGGGCGGGGCATCGGCAAGGGAAAAAGGAGCCGATGGAGGCAGGGTCGACATCACGCTCGTCGACACGCCAGGCCACATCGACTTTACAATCGAGGTCGAGCGGAGCCTTCGAGTCGCCGACGGATGCGTCGTTCTCGTCGATGGCGTCGAAGGTGTGGAGAGCCAGACGGAAGGCGTGTGGAACATTGCGCAGAGGTCAGTTCTTGTTGCTGCTTCTCTTCTCAGCCGAGAATACTGATCAGAGGCCCCGGGAACAGGTACAATGTTCGATCGCACATCGTCTTTGTCAACAAGATGGACCGCGTGGGCGCTTCTTTGAGGAAAAGTATCGCTTCCATAGTCGAGCGAGGGCTCCACCCTCGTCCGACCTTGCTGCAGCTCCCGGTCTACTCGACATCGGCGTCTGCCAAGGCCAATGGCGAAGACGAGGGCATCGTGGGGCTGATCGACCTGGTCGACGACAGCTTGCATGTGCATTTTTTTGGAGGGAAAGCAGGCGAGACTGTCGAACGGGTTGCGTTAGGCGAAGCGGTCAAACGCAGGCGCATCGACCAGGCACTTGCTGATGAGGCGCATAGAGCGAGGGAGGCACTCGTCGAAGCCGTCGCGAGTCTGGACGAGGCGCTGCTCGAGCATGTATTGACCGAGAGCGATGCAGGTACGGGAAGTGCCTCGGTCCCGACGCACCTCTTGCGACCGGCCATTAGAAGACTGGTCGCCAAGGGGGAGATCCTAGCGGTGCTTTGCGGCTCAGCGCACAAGAACGTCGGTGTGCAAAACGTCCTCGATGCCATTGCTTGGTACCTACCGAGCCCAACCGAAGCGGGCGACTTCGATGCTTCTGCCAAGAGGGGTGTCGAGGGAGGATGCGTCTGGGCAAACATAGATGCAGAAGGGGCAGGCACACAAAAGGCGCCGACGCGAGCGGCTCATCGGAAGAAGGGGAGTGAGGCGGTCAGAAAGGAGGGGCCTGTTCCATCGGAGCAATCGCACCAGCAAGACAGCGATGGGCACGAGAGCAAGGTTGGCGTCAGCGTACAGGATGGCGAGCTCGCCGCGTTGGCGTTCAAGGTCGTCTGGGACAAGCGCAAAGGTCCCATGACTTTTGTGCGAGTCTATGCTGGTGAGCTTCTTCTTCTTCCTCCGCTTGAGGACGAGCCACTTTCTTGCCCATGCTGACGCTATTTTAATCACCAGGTACGCTGTCAAGAACGTCAACGCTGCTCAACACGACGACACAAACAAAGGAGAGGCTGTCTAAGCTGCTTCTTCCTTATGCCGACCAATTCGTCGAAACAGAGGAGATTGGGGCGGGACAGATTGCCGTGCTGCTTGGGTTGAGAGATACGAGGACGGGCGATACACTGGTGGATCTGCGAGCCTCATCTTCAAAGACAACACCGTGGGCAGGACACGCAAAGTCTCTGCGGTTGCGCAGGGTGGATGTCCCACCGCCAGTCTTTAGCATGTCGGTCGAGGCCCTGTCCAAATCGGACGAGTCGAACGTGAAGGAGGCTCTCGACATGCTCGTTCGCACCGACCCCAGCTTGCGTCTTGACGATGGCTCCTCTTCCTCCACTGACGGCAGCGGTGGACTCGGCGCCGCTGGCACTGGACAGACGGTGTTGAGTGGCATGGGTGAGCTTCACCTCGAGATCGCAAGGGACAGGCTCAAGGGCGAGTTTGGCGCAAAGGCCAATCTGGGCGGCGTCAGGGTCAGCTATCGAGAGACTATTGCGGGCGATGATGAGGGGGTAGAAGGCGAGACACGGGTAGAAGAGGTTCTCGATAGAGAGGTGATGGGCAAGCCGCTCAAAGCTGGCCTTGAGCTGCGTCTGAAGCGGCTGAGCGCGCAAGATGGTCCAGGCGACGACACGTTGGGCGGCAACATCATCGACATTGATCTCGACGATGAGCTGCTGCGGGGAGGCAACGAACGCAGCGCATCAGCCGTTGCAAAGCGGCCCGACGAGGTTCTGGACAGCACCGCGATGCGGCAGGCGCTTCGGGCAGGCCTCGTTGCGAGTCTCTCGAGGGGCCCACTCACTTCGAACCCGCTCAGCGGACTTCACATCTCCGTCTCGCACGTCCAGACCTTTGGGCAGGACCTCACACCGGCCAGGGCGCTGAGCCTCGCCGCATCGTCTGCCCTGCGGAAAGCCGTCAAGGAGAGGGGCGCCAAGATGATGGAGCCCGTCATGAAGCTCCGCGTAGAGTGTCAGGAATCGCATCTGGGGAAAGTCGTAGCAGACCTCACGAGCGAGCAGCACGGCGTGGTCGAGCATGTAGACCACGAAGGTCTGGCCGAGCAGGGCGCTGAGGGAGCGAGCACGAGCGAGAGCCGCTTGCAAGGCATCTACCTACCCCCTTCGTCTGCAAGCGCGCCGCTCGAGTCGACGAGTGACTCGCTCGAGCTCTCGCCCACGGACGCACGGCAGCGGACGACGATCCACGCCCTGGCTCCCCTCGCGAGGCTCGTGAGCTACAGCAGCAGGCTCAGGGCCCTCACAGCTGGCTCAGGCACATTTACGATGCGCCTTTCTGGCTTCCAGACCGTCGGTGCGGATCGAGAAAGGGAAATCTTGACCAGCCTCGGTCGCATGTAGCCAGACTTACAGTACCGTGTATGCATGTAACAATATTAATCCAGCATTGCTTCAGCCGCACGAGAGCAATTGTCAGCCGAAAACGAGCCATTGGTGATACAGAAGGGGTCGCTTGTGCGACTAAATTAATTGATGATGATGATGATGTTGTTGTTGATGATGATGATGAAACGAAGTGATGATGAGACGTCTCAAGACCTCTAAGCGGATCGAGAATCTACAATGTAAGAGAGAGAGGGAGAGCTAGCTAAAGCGAAAGTATAATGTCCATCAAAGTAAGAGAGGAGAGAGAAAGAGAAAGCACTTTAGAAGAGGTAGAGGCCAACGGCCAGCACCGACAGTCCCATCGACGAGAAGGACGTGGCGACGTTGGAAGTGGCACCGCCCGTCGAAATGCGGGCCGATTGAGGCTCAGCATTGGAGCTCTGCTTGGACGCAGAAGAGGTGCCCTTCGTGGAGCTTGACGAGGAGCTGCTGCTGCTGCTGCCATTCGAAGTCTTGGCGGCCTGGATCGCACCAGGGAGGATGCTGTCGGCCTTTGTAGGCGCTTCGGCGCCATTCTGTGCGTTGGTGTACCATGGCATTCCAGCGCCGAGGTCCGAAATGGCCTTGGGCTTCCATCCCTGCCCCTTGAGCTTGGGGTAGTAGTCTTCGAAGATCTGCACCGTCTCCTTTCGGAGCTCGTGCTCGAGGACAATGACGCCAGGCGACTTGGGGCCGACGAGAGCCTTGTTGATAGCCGCCTCAACCGATGCGCGGTCCTTGCCAGGGTTCTCGCCAGGGCATGCCGTCTTGAAGCCCTTGGTCATGCACCAATCGTTGGACTCGGTGTCCCACATGACGCAGGTGACGTTGAAGACTTCCGTTGCAATCGCCCTGACACGAGCATCAATGTCGCCCTGGGGCGGGCGCATCTTTGTTGCAATGTAGCCTGTGGCGTCGTAGATGATCTGCAAGTTCCAGCCCAGCTCACCCACGACACCAAGGTCGTCCTTGGTCGTGAGGAGCGAGTGGGACCACGTGTGTAGCGCAAGCTCTTGACCCTTGTTGGCCGCCTCCTTGACGACGTCCATGTAGTCGACGACCTGGCTGCCAATCATGAAGTGCGTTGCACTCTGGTTGTTCTGCTCAAGGAAGGTGTACAGCTTCGAGCTGGCGCCAGTCGGTCCATCATCGAAGGAGATGGCCCACTCGTTGTCGGGGGCCTGGTAGATGTCGTTGGGTCCGTTGCATTTTGCGGTTGTCCCTGCGGGATGAACAGAGAAAAGATCAGTATTGAATTAAAGGCATTACCGGAGCATGAAAACTCACAGCTGCACCAGTCCTTGTTGTAAGTGCCCGGGTAAGTGTTGCTGCCATCGGGGTTCTCCGTGGACAAGGGAACGTCGGGAATCTTGCCGGCGGCCTTGGCCTTGTTGTAGGCATCAACCCACTCCTGCTTGAGGCTCGAAGGAGGTGGTGTCTGGAGCTGCGGGGGGTATTGGCTCGCCTGTGCGCTTTGACGACGGACAAATTGCTTGTGGCCCGAAGAGGAAGACGAAGAAGACGACGCCGACACGGCACCAGCCAGTGTCAACGCTGCTGAAAGGAACGTCGAAGCTTTGACCATAATTGTCTATGGAACTGGGAACAGAGAAAGGAGTGTGTTTGGGGTGTTTGGGGTGTTTGGTGGTGCTGTTGACGGAGTGCAGGAGACAAAGGTCGAGATAAAGGGAGGACCAGCCTCTGTCTATCTTGTGTTCTTGTTGCTCCTGTAGGTGGACGCCCCAGGCGAAGTGATAAAATTAGATGCAGAAATAAGTGGCCTCCCTGCTTTTCCCCCTTGGCCGTACTGAGAAATTCTCCTAGCAAATAAAATAAAAAAAGAAAGGGAGACACCCGCACGGTCTGAGTACCTTCACAGCTCGCTTGGGACAGCGAGCAAGAAGACCGCAACAGTGGTATTCCACTCGCTTGCACAATGACTAGAATGACTATCATTTGTTGAGACATCCAGGCATCCGTGACGACGGTGTCCCTGCGCAAGTTGCTTGGCATTCCTTCGACCATCAACATACAGCCATCTCTCGTTGCCTGCATGTTGCCTGCAGCGACATGACGATGCGAATCACTACTGCTTTGCTCACGCAGCGGCTATCATTGGGCGATCTTGTTTTCTTCGCTTCGTGGATCTTCCATGACGAACCGCACGGAATTCCGCCGTTGGTTGCAGGAGCAGCGGATCTTCTCTTTCGGTCGGATAACATCAGGTACCTGACCAGTGGTCACCGACGACAGGTATATAATCCGTATTAAAAGAGGCGAAGCAGATGACTAGTGCAGCGCCCTCTAGACTCAAAGTAAAACATCATTTGCTAAAAATGAAGAAGCGAAAGAAGCAAAGAATCTTCACTTCATCGGGCGACAAAAGAAAGCCGCAAACCGGAGGGTCTGTCACTTGAGATAAGTTTTCTCCGCGGCTATCCTGCCCGGCTAATGCAAACACGTGTTGGCAGTTTTCCGTGTTTCGTGACAAGCATCTAATTAGCCTTGGGAACTTGATAGGACGAAAGGAGCTAGCAGCTACGACGTTTCTCGCGTGGCGCAGTTAAGGTCACTACCGAAGCGCTGTGTCAATCTCGCTGCGACGACGGCGCTCAGGCGACTTCGACATTATTGGACTGGGTGGCAAAGTCGGTGACTCTTCATCGGAATGTCGGTCGATGAATCGCTGCGCTGCAACTTCCTGTCGTGCCGCAAGTCGCTAAACTTGGATGGTGACTGGTCAGGCTATTGTTGACCGTCAGCCTGAGACCCTGATCAGCTCCTTTTGTATCTAGGCCGCGCTGTCGTGACCATTTGTTCCCGTTAGCAAGGAAATGTAAGAAGGTATTGCGCGCTCCTTGAATCCTGACTATTCTCTTCTTGGCGTACAGACATCTTCTGTTTTGATTGCGCCAATCAGCTCTTCTCTGGCACAAAGACTTGTCCCGCGTGCGAGACCTACCTGGGCGGCAATGACGAATTGGCTCTAACGGAGCTTTGCTATTCGGCAGACCGGAAGACGGTGATCCAAATGACTCTTCTTTACTTCTCGGCTCGTACTCACCGCGAGTGGCTGATCTCGGCAGACCCTCTTGGCCGGAGTCACACCTCCCGTCGTTATGTGAGAATGTATTTCCCTGGTATTCATCTTCCTACTCACTTCCTTGTTGAAGGGAGATATGCTCGCGCGCAATCTCCTTCTATCAGTATCAAGTAAGCGTTAAGCTAGAGGAGTTCCCTCACTGTGCTACTGACTGCGCCCGATGAAGTCAATGCAGGAGGTAAGACTGCCCCTCCGCACGCTATCTCTGCATCCTACCATGTCCGTACCCGCTAGGCCGCCTTTCAGCGCATGATCCTTAAGAATGCCCAGGAGAGGGCGGCGGTACTTGAGACGAGGATCGAAAAGTGAGTTGGGACTATCTTCTGGTTGAGACACACACACTAAAGATGTCTTTGCAGCATCGTGGCGGAAGGTTTGCAGCTTCCTATGGTCTTCCCTCTGCGTGAGGATGATTGACTGAAGGTCTCACAGCCAACAATGAGGTCAAAAACTTGCAGAACACCATCTTATGTGAATTCTGGTGTTGATGGCATTGAAGAAGTAGTACTGAACAACATCTTTCAGCTTTCAAGACGGGTCTGTCGCTTCTCCATCTTCATCAGCGGTTCATGTCATTGACGAGGCCACGAGATAGATCTGGAAGTGGAAAAAGAGAAGAATCACAATCTTTCCAGCGCATTGCGCACTTCGAAGGCCGACTACGATCGACTCAAAGTCCGTCTGATCTCCTGCCTTCCCCTTTGCAAGAAAAGCTGACGCATCGATAGGCCCAATGGGACAGTAATTTGCGCAAGTCTCTCAATCCGGGCACTTCGCAGGGTGCGAAATTATACGATGCTGCGGCGGCTGCCAGCTTTAGCGGACAATCGAGACCTTTCGTCCACAACGGCGTGAGTGACAGTGTCGGTACAGTGCGGACAGTCTTTCTTTATACGCTCGAAAATGCATGCAGATGGGAAACGGAAGTATCCACTCAAGCGCGACGTTCAGCTCCAAGTCCAAACACATGGGAGATTCCCGTCCTATCTGGCAAGCTCAGCTCAATGATGCCGCTGGAGGCGTGGCTGCGGCAATGGCGACCCCGTCGCATCACTCTCGAGCTTCTCCGAGGGTAAAACCGAGCTTCGGAAAGACGCATGTACAGACGAAGTCAGGCGGAAGCCAGCCTTTCGTCGCGGGGAGGACGACCGGTAGCCCTTCTCCTCGCTCTCAGCACTCATTTCTTCCATCGCATGTGAGCAATGACACGCCTTCGATTGCGCAACACAACGAGTATTCTGCTACTGGAACATGGAAAGCGCGTTCTCCGCCAAGCCTCAGCCGACGGATGACTCATGAGACACACGAGACTGACTCCCATGGCCGTGCGAACGTCGATGGCCTCTTAACGCCTCGTCAACACCGTGCGAGCGCAGGGCTGTCTCGGAGTGTGGGAAGGGATGCGGAACAATTAGCCTCCACACCTCGTCCAGCAATCTCCGCCATGCCTCTTCCAACTCCGCGCAAGAACGCCACTCCTGACGTGGCAGTCGCTGGCTTGTCTGCGCGCGATCACAACAGCCACGGTCGGGTGCTTACGTCGGGCCGCGAGGACCATGAAATCGCAGAGGCTAGGCGTGCCGGAACACCTGCCCACAATTCTTTCCGGTTCGCTCCAGCGTCGTGAATATGCCCAAGTTCTTCAAGAAGGCCGACTCCCATTTCACTCACTCGCAACAAAAGATCTTTCACTCACCACCTGTCGGAGCAGACAAACATCACGACCCGAAGACCAGGAGAAAACACCCTACTTTGACATCTAGAAACAAAGCAAATGACAAATCTCGATCCAGATTCAGCATGATAGATTTTCTTGGTCAGACTACGACAGAACAGGTTTTGCGAGTGTTGACGGGATGAGAGATGATGCGAGTTTATTCTTCGTTTTGGAGCGAGCCCATAGACGTAACGAGACGAGACGAATAAGGGAGAGGTGGGAAGCGATGGAAGCTATGGGGAAATAGGCAAAAGAAAAGGGGGAGGTGGGTGGGTACTGTACTGCTATTGAGGAAGCAATGGTGCAAAAGGTCCGTGGAGCGAGGAGCCAGCTTCATCGGCCGGTAAATCTTCTCGCAGCCAATGTCGGCGTTTTGTCATCGTTGGCCGATCCTGTTCCCGACGTCAGCGAGTCGTCCTCGGAACGTTCTTGCTGTTGCTGCTGTGCTTGCATGGCCTGCTGATATGGTGGTGGTGGCGAATCCTCACCGGCATTTGTCACATTGGCGTTGTTCACGTTGATGTCCCCTTCGTTGCCCGCAACGGTGGCACCAAGATTCGTCGCGCTTGTCCTCCTGACCAAACGGTTAGCATTGCTCCTTGTCGTCGATGCTCCCGGTAGGTCGTCGCTGCCTGGCGTTGCGCCAATCTGCAAACGGCTGCTAGTGCTTGCCTCTGTAGATGCTGGCCCCTTTTCCCCCTCGGCAAAGCGACTCGGCTGCTGCTGACTAGTCCACGTTCCTGCGAATCGACCGGCGCCCGCAGGAGGGGGGCTTGGCGGACTGTGGATCTCCACACTGCCCAGCGGCTCCATCTCGCTCGAATCAGTCGACGAGCTCATATTGAGGCCAGAGCCACTGAAACCCATCGAAGACGACGAAGACGAGCCTCCGTGTTGATGCTGCCTCGCTGCTCGCTGAAGATGAGGTAGGATCTCACTGCCAGTCTCGACGTCAAATTGTCTCGAGGGGCTCGGCGTCCGACCCCCGGCGCCAACAGTGGCCATCATACCTTGCAGTGAAGGGCTCGCTGCACGAATTGTGTTTGCAATTGCGCCATTGGTCGGGAAAAAGCTGGCGGCCCAATTGCCCAACGAATTAGTGCGGGAGTGAGGAGCGGTGAACGATGAAGTGGCCGTCGTAGAGCCCAACCATGCAGAATTTGGCGTGCTGCTGACTGACGAGCTGGTCGGGCTTGCCATTGTGCCATCGTCTGTTCTTGAAGTTACGCTGCTCGAACTGTCGCCTGTGCTATTGCCTCGGTCGCCTACAAAGTATGCCGGCAAGTAGAGCATACCACCAGCACCCCGAGCTGAAGAGCCTCTTGCCCCCGATCCCCCAAAGTTGATGAAGCTTTTTGATCTTGCCTTGTACTTGCTTGCGCTCCCGCTCCGCGCCAAGTCGGCAGCCTCGGCCACTTCGGTCTCGCTGAGGCCTCCTTCGCTGCTCGACGGCCGACTTCTCGCCAAACCGTCCCTGACCCATGCCAGAAGCCCGGAGCTCTCGGGGACGCTACCCTGCTCGGCGTTGAGTCCCGGTCCCAAGTCGTCTTCCTCCTCGGATCCCACCTCTCCACCACCTCCTTCCCTCAAATCAAACATGGGCATCGATACCCTCTGCGGTCGAGGGGCAGCCACACGCACCGTCGAGGACCCAGAGCCGGACGCCATGGCCTCAGCAGCAGCAGCTGCCGATATCGTCTGGGTACCGGAATGTTTGCGCCGAGTATTTGGTTTCTCACTACCCTTGCTATTCGACAGCGATTTGCGAAGCTTTCTCGCATCGGGATCGCTGAGAGGAAGCTGAATCCATCGGCCTCCTCCGCCTCTCCGACCACTCGCGGTGTTGCTCCTCCTCCTGCCATCGACGCGCAAGCTGACTTGTCCTAGCAGCCTCGGCAGCAAACTTCTCCCGAGGCCATATATGACGATGCAGCCGCCCAGGAACATGAGGAAGCGCCCATGATCACGGAGGAAGATGAGAAAGTCGGCATCATTGGCGTGCCAGCTGGAGCCATAGAAGTGCCGGAAGAAGGCATCGGGGGCCTCTGAGGGTTTCGCATTCTTGCCATACAGCGGCTTGGGGAGCACGCGAATACCCGAAAAGCCAGCAGCCGGGTTCGAAGACGTAGACGGCATGGACTGGCCGTGGGCGTCGACGTAGAGGCCGTACGATGCGCTGACGAACATGGGCCCGGTACTGAACATGACCGTCGGGTAATGGGTGAGATACCGGTGGTTGAAGGTGACGAGATTGTGGATCAGGTGGTCCATGAACGGGTGGCCCTTTGCGGCCAACATGACATCGTTGGACACACCGACAGGAATTGTCTTTGGCAGGACGACCTCGAAGCGCAGCAAAGGATCAAAGCGACGGAGGCAGCCCACATCGAGATCCATGTAGATGCCGCCAAAGTGATGTAGAATGAAGTAGCGAATGGCGTCTGCTCGCTGGATCGGGTAGGGATAGGCATCGAATATGGGCACAAACCAGGAGTAGTGTTCGACGAGGAATTTGCGCGAGTCGGCATCTGTCCACAGCATGTACTCGCTAAGGGACGTGTGTACCCGTCAGCCAAAGCATTGAACGCCATCCAGAGGCTTTAGGAAGAAAAAAGACACTCACTAGTCAGGGTGCATCTGAGCGCATTCATCACGCACAGCCTGCCAGACGGGGGGCAAGATGTTGTCTTTCCATGTCTGATGAATGATCCTGGGAATCTTCTCTGGTGGGTCCTTTGGATCCCAAGCCTTGACCGAGTTGTCTCTTCCCGGTGGCTTGAAGATCTGGCCCTCCGCATCGCCCCAACCAGCAGCCCTTGCGGCCTCCTCTTGAGCCTTCGCTATGGCTTCAGACAGGCGCCTGCTCTCCTCGCTGATAGGTGCAGCAATGACCCTTGAAGGCTTGTCGGAGCTGTCTTGTAAGATCGACGACGCTGACGTGGGCGAGGGTCGCAGATTGAGAGCCTTTGACAACCAGGGGTATTTTGACCTCCACGACCAAGGTAGCTGGTTGACATCGCCACTCCACTGGATCTCTTCCCAGGACCCTAACTCCTCCGGCTGGATGATGGCCGAGGCATCGATGGAGAAATAAGCATTGACGGCATAGAGGAAGACGACTGTGCCGCCGAGGAAGAGGCCCAAGAGAACGAGAAGGAGCTGCGTCGTCCTCCTGCTAAAGAGTCTCGCCATTCTCGTTGATTGCTGATCGCTTCCTGTTTGGTCGCGTCACTGGCAGTGCTGTGCCGTCTCCCCGTGACGTCGACCTTTCGCGACGGGTAGCAGATAAGAGGGGAAGCTTTCAACGTTGTCCTTGACGAGCCCTGCAGGGTGCCATCAAGAAGGGGAAAAGGGCAACTGCAGAAAGACGCGGGCGCAGACGTAAAGTGAATTATTTGCGTTGCGGTGCGCAAAACAGGTGCCGCCGACGCCAAGGGTTTCCTCGTTCTCGTCGATGGATTTTTAGCCAACTGACCAAAGACGCAGTCGTCGAATATTGAAAAGAGTTTGAGGCAAAAAGAGCCCCGAGGGCGAAGGAGAGGAAGGCAAGTGGGAGGTGGAGCGTGAGTGACGTGCTTGCTCTGCTCCTTTCTTATTCCCGCTTCCAGTCCTCTTGGTGGTGGCGTGCGAGCACGGGCTCGGATTCGTTGAGAAAAGAAGCAGCTTTGCGAAGAAGAGATTGACGTAAACGGAGGCGACGAGCGTCGGAGGGACAGGACCGAGAGAAATTTGACGAGCTTATCGGCCCGGCATGGTCTCTTAGGCTGACGTTCTCTGATCTTTTTGCTCGTGCTTGTGGGCTGGGATAGGAGCCGGCGCGATGTAGGCTGCACAGCCGTCGTCGAAGGGTGGCGGTCGTCGAGGGAGGGAATAGGATTAGGTTACACCTCGGAGTGGGAGGGGATGAAGAAGAGCAGCTCAGACGACCTTGTTGTGCGGTCCTGTGTTAGTTTTGGCAGGAAATCATAATACCAATTTGACTACTACTACTACTACTACACTGAGCTAGTCAGCTTAGGCATCTGAATAAACTTGGGTATGCAACTTTCTCTTTCCCCTCGCTTTTTTGTTTTTCTTGGTGGATTCGGCTTGCTCTCCGGCCTTGCCTAAATTGCAGAGAATTCGCTCCCTCTCAAACCACGCTCAGTAGTACGTATTGGCATGCTACTATCGTCATAGTGGGCCGGTGCGTGGGGGAAGATTGCACTTAGCTTCGTACCTTTTTTCCCAAGAGGCGATGACTTCTTTATCAGCTGGCTTCCGCTCTTATTCGGAACGTCGCCCTTGTCTGGCCGGCTGGGAGATCAGACGTGTCGAAGGGTCCGGCAGGCCGGCAGAGGACGGACCCAGCTTATAATTTTTCAATCCTGCACAGCCAACTAAAGCATTTTGCTGACAGGTCGGAAAGAGGCTTGGCTGCATCTTGATATGATTTTGGACCAGGCTAGACTCTACCCTTTTGAAGCTCAGCCATTGTTGCTAAAAATGGGAAAGACGGACCTCAGCTCTGGTCGGAGCTGTGGCATGTCTTTGGCACTTCTTGATGCTCTGCGCTCTACGGATAAGAGCATTCGGCAAGCCGGCGCTATCAATGGGTGTGACCGTTCATCCGTGCCGTGTAATCATGGTACTGCACAGAAGAGACAGTGCGAATTTCTAATCGGCTCTCCCTCGGAACAGATTGAGTTCTCCGTCGGAACAGACTTCCTCGGAACGCTCAATCCTTTTCGTGTTTCGGTCAAGAAAAGCCGCGGAGCTTCGTAAGTCACGATGAGACGAATGCTTCCGGCTTGCTTCTCCGTCATGCGCAGAATGGAGAGGAGGCGTAGTTGGAACCGAACGTCTGCTACAGGCAGGACTTATCCTTATGGATCCGGTAGTATGGCAGTATTAGCAGCGGTAGTAGTAGATATGATCTCTTTCATCACTACAAAGAGCTGCGAAGACTTTGGCACATCATGAACTTGACTTTGGCATGGCTTTGCTCATGGTGAGAGGAGATGAGATCCTTCATTGGTGCCCGATCTCTGGACAATCGACGCAGATGAAGAAGCCACGACATAGAAGGAGGGCGGGCGCGAGCGTACACTCGCGCTGGACTCAGAAGCCACGGACAGGGAAAATAAAACACGTGTCTCGCCTGAGATTCGATCTGTCACCGCCCTTGCCGGCGCCCAACTTTCGCTGCTGGACCTGCGGGAGGAGGGCGTCACAGCACCTCAGCTCTTCGATTGCTTCTTCGCACCCGGTATCCTCGTGTGGCTTGCCCTCGACAGCACCGCCTGCCCGACCGTTTATCGGAATACTTGCGGTGCGCGAGTCCGTATTGCGGCTTTGCCTTCGACAGTGCAGGCCGGAGCGACTCCTCGGATCGATATAAATAAAGACGACCTTCCTAGTCCGGCTGGGGCCCGTCCGTCATTGGTTGATGAACGCCGCCTTGGCAGCCCGTCGTTCATTGTCAACTTTGTCACTACCACCACGAGCGTTCACACGGTCCCTTCAGCCACGCTTCAAGTCGACGCACCACCCTACCAGCCAGCCCACCAACCCCACAGCACCCAACAGTCCCTCCGCCGGCCAGGCTCAACTCAGGGCAGGTGCTGCACTCAAGCCCCGACTGCCCCTTGCTCCTCCTCCGCACCTCGTCGCCGCTGGTCCCTCTTCTGCGCAGCCCGCTCAGCCTCCGCCCTCGCCCCACGGACCGCCGAGACTGGTGCGATTCCCTTCGCCAGACTACTCCTACACCTACGGCTCCTCTACCTTTTCGTCGACGGACGGCAACTCGTCGATCACCTACACAAAGGCACCCGTGAGCCGACTCTTTGGATTCCACAACGCCGCGACGGCCACGTCTGCTTCTTCTTCGACGCGAACGAGGACGTCGATTGGCTCGCCAGCCTTTGCTTCTCGCTCCCAAACACTCGACACAATGTCCTCGTCGACGGCCGGACACGTTGCCTTGCCATCGTCGTCAGCAACGGCAGCATCAGCAACAGCACAGACAGCAAATGGGGGATTGAGGCAACGCAGAGCAGGCGAGCACGATCACGATCACGACCATGACCATGACCATGACCACGGGCACAGCCATGGCTGGTTTGGACACAGTCATAGCCATGCCCACGGGGCCGAGGGAAGCGCTGAGGAGGCCGACCGGCTCCTGGCTGCCCTCAAGGGCAAAGGTGCGCTTGCGGCTCGTCTTGCTCTCTCGTTTGATCTTGACTAGAAAATGCTTACAATATTCTGTCCCAGGTGACCGAGGGAGCAACATCACCGTCGTTGGCCTGATTGCCAACCTGGCCCTGTGCGGTGCCAAGGGCGTCGCTGGCGTCTGGCTCCATTCGGCCTCGCTGCTGGCCGACGCGGCGCACAGCTTGAGCGACACCTTTTCCGACATTGTCACACTCTTCTGCTGGAAGATGTCGCAGAGGCCGGCGAGCCTGTCTCACCCGCTGGGGTACGGCAAATTTGAGACAATGGGCGGTCTGGGTGTCAGTGTGGTCCTCGTCGCCGGTGCCCTGGCCATTGGACTGCATTCGTACGGACTCTTGCTCGAGGTGCTGCAGCCGGCACTGCAGAATGCGCCAAAGAGCATCCAGGCTATTGGCAGTCTGACGGGGCACTGGGCCTCGGCGGCCGGAGCTCATCTTCACGAACACCACCACGCAGTCAGCAGCGCCGTGCCTCCCGATGCGGCCAGCGCTGTCCTGGGAGCCGCCGAAGCGGCAGCCTCTTCCTCCTCGCAAGCCAGCGCTGCGACGGCCCTCGATGCGCACGGCCAAGGGGAGAATCTGCTGGACCCTAATGCAATGTGGTTTGCCCTCATCAGCATCCTCGTCAAGGAATGGCTCTACCGTGCCACGCTCAAGATTGCAAAGGAGGAGAACTCCAGTGTACTCGAGGTGGGTTCTTGGAATATTGTGAATTCGCACGTATTTGTGAGATCGTCAAGCTGACCTCATTGTCCTATTCAAAGGCAAATGCGATCCACCACCGCTCCGACTCGCTCTCCTCGGGCGTCACCTTCCTGGCCATTGGCGGCTCTTACCTTGGCTTTCCCGTTCTGGACCCCCTCGGCGGCCTCCTCGTGGCCGGTCTGATCGGCAAGCAGGGCTTTGACTTGCTCCTGGGTGCGCTCGCCGACCTCTCGGACCGAGGCGTGGAACCCTCGGTGCTGTCCGACTTTGAGTCTGCCATTCGTAGAGTCCAGGACGAGCTGCAGAGCCAGAGCGAGGGCGAGGGAATCGCCCTGTTGGACTTTAAGAATCTCCGGGCTGTGCGCAGCGGCGTGAGCAGCTTCGTCGATGTCACACTCGTCCTTGCACCCGAGGTGCAGCTCGCCAGTGCGAGAAAGGTCGAGGTCAAGGTCAGACAGGCCATCGAAGCAGCGCACAAGGGCGTCAAGGAGGTCCGCATTCACCTCGACACCCCGACATAAAATAATTCTCAGCAAAGATCGTAATACAACCTCATACAGGCTGTGTGAGCTTCTCTTTGATCTCGCAGCTGCTTGCCGCAAATACACATGTGTCCCTTCTTCTCGCGCAGCGCTCCTTCTGCTAGTCATACTCTCTAATCGAGCGCGAAGAGGAGTAAGTAGTTCCAGCGTCCTCGCGCCGACGTGCCTCCACACGTGTTCTGGTTCTTTTTTTTTTTCTGAGCTTGTTCCGTGGGGACGACGAGGTCTCGCGACCTTTGTCAGCATCGACAGACACTCGCAATGGCGTCGAAACCCGGCTTTGGGCGCGCATTCATCGGCGGCGGCCTCATCGTCGTCGCGGGCTACTTTATCATGAAGGGTGAGTGGTCTCTTTGTGCACCTCGCCAATGGGGTTGTTTGTTGGAGCTGGAGTCTGGGGCGAGAAGAAAGCTGACGAGAAGGTCCTCGCGCCGACGACAAACCAGCGACGACGCCGACGGATCAGCAGTTCTACGACAGCTTGAGCCCGAGCCTCAAGAAGCAGGTCGACATGCAGCGCCAGTCTGGCGAGCGGCAGCGGGCATACCAGGAGCAACTTCAGGTGCGCAGCGCTCTCGAGGCTCCTGCGCTGTCTCTAGGAATGATTTGACTGACCCGCGGCTGTCGTTGTCACTTTGTCTCTTTACAGAGAGCAAGGGAGCTCGACGAGGCGCCCATCTTGCCCGAGAAGAAGACGTAGCCGGGAAGCAAGTTGTAGATTAATCTGATTCGAACAGGGCTTACATTGAGGAGCACGGAAGTGCAGAGATTGTGCGGGACGTGGCCTAGAGGCTGTGATCTGAGAGAGGCATGGGACAGGCGATGTCACCCTCTACTCTTTCTCGATCTGGAGGCGACAAGTAAATCTCTTTGCAACCAGATTGTAAACCGAGGGTCAGACAATCCAAAGCTCGAACCGACGAAAGAAAGAAATCTGAAGAAGGATAAAGCGCTGCTTTGCATTCGATGGCATTCACAAAAGCAGAAGAAGTCCCCCAACTCTAAGATTACTTTGGCGGGTATTCGTAGAAGCCCTTGCCGCTCTTTTTGCCCAGCCAGCCGGCATCAACCATGCGGCCGAGGAGGACGCTGGGTCTGTACTTGCTGTCGCCCGTCTCTCGGTGGAGCGTCTCTGCAATGTAGTACACGGTGTCGTTTCCGATAAAGTCCGAGAGCTGGAGCGGGCCCATGGGGTGGTTCATGCCCAGTTTGAGCGTCGTGTCGATGTCCTCCTTTGTCGCCACGCCCGTCTCAAGGGCGATGATGGCTGAAAGAGGGGGAACGTGCGAGAGGATCTCAGCATGACTCTCGATAACACCATCATCACTCCAGCAATACACGCACCCTCGTTGATGAAAGGCACCAGCAGCCGGTTGCTGACGAAGCCGGGCGTGTCGGCGCTGCGGGTGATGGTCTTGCCGCAGGCAGCTGCAAAGGCCGTCGCGCGATCGACGACGTCCTGCGACGTCTGGAGCCCCGGGATGAGCTCGACGAGCTTCATGACGGGCACCGGGTTGAAGAAGTGCAGTCCAAGTGCCTGTGAAAAAGGGCAACTGATCATGTGAGCCTAGCACAACAAGAAGAATGTGAATAGTGACGAGGGCGCACGCACCCGCTTGGGCCCATCCCAGACCTCCTTGCTGCCCGGCGCAGCGTTCTGGCTGACGGCACTGGCGGCAATCTTGCTGACGCTGATGCTGCTCGTGTTGGTCGCCAGGATCGTCTCGAGGGGCAGCTGTGTCGCGAGCTGGCTAAAGATCTTCTGCTTGATGCTCAGGTTCTCTGTCGCGGCCTCGATGACCATGTCGGGCGTCAGCTCCTGGCCCGAGCCCAGCGAGGCGAGGCCGTCGGCGACGGGGTGGAGCGATGCGCGTGCCTCGTCGGCGTCGGACTGAGAGAGCTTGTTCTTAGACACGTCCTTTGCCAGGAGCGAGTCAAAGAACTTGAGGCCCTTGTCCAGCTGCGCCTGCGACTGGTCTAGGAGCAGGATCCGGGGCACCTTGGCCCGCGTGGCAGCGACGTAGGCGATGCCGTTGCCCATCTGCCCTGAGGCGCCCACAATGCCCAGCGTCTTGATCCCGTGCTTGACCGACATTATTGCTTGCACTTGTCTTTTTCTGTTCTCAGTTCTTCGGTCAATGTCTTGATTATGGAGAAGAAAGGACGAGCGCCAGAGTGTCACTTGTGGAGAACATCGCGCCTCTCTTGAGAACCCGGACGCCCGGCCGGCCGGAGCTTGGACCGGTCAATCTTCTAGCGCGTCTATAGCCGCACCGTCAACAGGCGCGAGAAAAAAAAACTCAAGTCAGAGCGAGATCGCTTGGCTGGTGAAAGTTGCTGCTTCAAGCATTGGTGGCCTGCGTCAATGGATACTTGAAGGATAACGCGTAGAGAGTGAAGAACGCTCGCGCTGCGCCATCGCAGGAATAGCATCAACAATGACAGTTTTTTCAGGTTTTTTACAGTCTGCTCTCCCTCTGATCATTCCCCTCGCCCTTGCCCTTGGTTTGAGCCATGGCCAGCCGCGCCAGGATAGCCCGCCCTGCGCTGCTCCCGTTTGCCTTTCCCAGCGCCTCGTTGATCCACTGGCCAATCTTGGCCGCCGCCTCGAGGTCGACGCCGGTCTCGTAGCCCTCGCGCTGGAGCGCATACACGACGGACTCGGTGTCGATGTTGCCCGTCGCACCGGGCGAGTAGGGGCAGCCGCCGAGGCCGCCGACGGCGCTGTCCACGGTGCGCACGCCGGCCTTGACCATGGCCAGGACGTTGCTCAGGCCCGAGCCCATGGTGTCATGGCAGTGTGCAGCGAGCTGCTCGGGTCGTGCAAAGCGGGTGCACTCGTTGAGCACGGCCAGCATCTCTGACGGGCTGGCCGCACCGACGGTGTCGCCGAGCGAGACCTCGTAGCAGCCCATCTCGAGGAGCTTGCGCGACACGTCGGCGGCCCGTCTGGGGTCCACTCTCCCTTCATAGGGGCAGTGGGCCACTACGCTGACGTAGCCGCGTACACGCAGGCCAGCCTCGGCGGCCTTGGACGCGACGCCTGCGAGCCTGTCGAGGGACTCGTCGATGGAGCAGTTGGTGTTGGCCCTGCAGAAGCCCTCGGATGCTGCGGTGAAGATGGCGATCTCGTCGGTCTTTTTCGCCGTGCCTGCCGCCTCCATATCGCCCTGCAGTCGGAGCAGCGTCTCGAGCCCCTTGGCATTAGGCACCAGGAAGGGGTAGGTGACGCCGGCGCGTGTGGGCATGCCTGCCAGCACGTCGGGCGTGTCGCCCATCTGCGGCACCCACTTGGGGCTGACAAAGGCGCCCGCCTCGATGCAGCGCACCCCTGCCTCGTCCTGCAGGCGCCGAATCAGCTCAATCTTGGTCGCCGTCGCGACCATGCCCCCACGCTCGTTCTGCAGGCCATCACGTGGGGAGACGTCGACGATCTTGACACGCCGGTCAGGTGCGGCAGAGGCCAGCCCTCGCCGTCCTTGCTGGCCCAGCAGGCGCGCGTGGGCAGTGGCATTCAGCAACGGTGACGGAAGCCGCGTGCGGGCCAGCAGAGACATGGTGTGCTGTGATGATGGCAGGTGGCACAGGATGCAGCCAGCCCCTTGTCGCTGTGGACGGGCCAATGTCCGGGGGACCAACGGAGAAATCCGAGAAAATAAGAGCTCCACATTGCCTGTGAGCTAGCTCCTACTCGTCGTGTGTAGGTGCGCACGGCTCACCGTCGATCAGTCATTCAGTCGACTACCTTCTCACCCCAATTCCACTCGCCATCCAAAACGAGATCAAGATGAGTCGCGTCCCGCTGATCTTTGGCACGATGACGATCGGCGATGCCGGCAAGGACGGCGTGCGGACGTCGGACAAGGCCGATTCGCAGCAGATCCTCGACATCTACTTTGGCCAGGGCCACGGCACCGAGCTCGACACGGCCCGCCAGTACGGCGAGGGCACCACCGAAGCGTATCTCTCGACGCTCAATCTGCACGACGCTGCACTCGACACAAAGGTCTACCCAGTCCAGCCGGGCGCGCATTCCGCGGCGAATCTGAGAAAGACGTTTGAGCTGAGCCTCGAGAAGCTCAAGGTGGCCAAGGTCAGGACGCTGTACCTCCACGCACCCGACCGCTCTGTCGACTTTGCAGAGACGCTCCAGGAGGCCGACAAGCTGCACAAGGAGGGCAAGTTTGAGCAACTGGGTCTGAGCAACTATACGGCGTGGGAGGTGGCCGAGATCGTGGCGACGGCGCGGGAGCGCGGGCTCCTAGTTCCGCGCATCTACCAGGCCATGTACAATGCCATGACGAGGGCCATCGAGGAGGAGCTCGTCCCTTGCCTCCGCAAGTACGGCATCCGTCTCGTTGTGTACAACCCGCTGGCCGGCGGTCTCCTCACGGGCAAAGTGGCAAGACCCACTCCGAGTGCTGCCGACGAAAAGCAAGCAATCGAACGGGGCAGCCGCTTCGATGCGGGAGCAGGGTCGGGCAGGATTGCAAAGATGTACCAGGGGCGCTACTTTAAGGAGGCCTACTTTGACGCCATCGAGCGCCAGCTCAAGCCCCTCGTCGAGGGCAAGCATGGCCTGACACTTGTGGAGGTCGCTCTTCGATGGCTGCAACACCACAGTGTGCTCAAAGAGACCGACGGCGTCATCTTGGGCGCCTCTTCGGCGAAGCAGGTCAGTCCAGAGCCTTGTCAAGGGTCCAATTTCTTTCTTTATGGATCTGCTGACATGAGCCGGTTTGTATTGGCTTGAGAACAGCTCGAGGCGAACATTAAGGCCTGGTGAGCAGCGGCAACACCTCTCCTCTTCTTTACCATTGCCTGGGCTCACTCTACCCTGACTCCTGCAGCCAAGCTGGACCACTACCTCAGGACATCGTGAACGCGCTTGATGTCGCCTGGCTCAACGTCAAAGGCAGCTGCGAGCGCTATTGGCGCTGAGCTCTTCCACGCTGATGCGGCCTCTTTGTGCTTTAGGTATGACTTGCACTGCAATTCCATTACCTCACACAAGCGCGCGGAGTGAATAGAAACGGGCATATGTACAGTTCGGATATGACATCCCGAGTCGCAGCCAGCCACCAGCCAGCCATCTCTTTCTCACCGCTGCTGTAACGGTCTTTTTTTTTCTTCGTAATGAAGAAACAAAACAATCTTCTCCCCAGCACAATTATTCCCGCGACGGCCCGTCCACACCATTGTCGCCAACATCAATATAAATTGCCGTCGGCCCATCGGCGAAGGCGCGGCACATGTACTGTACCTCTCCCTCTACACAATCTCTTCGGCGAACTGTGCTGGCCGTAGGCTGTGTATCTGTCAAGTTAGCCGAGAATACAACGATGCGCGATCTCTTCAACGCTCTCGGAGAATGAATCTCGCGCAAATTGGGGAGCGCGGCGGGACCCCAAGCGTCGTGAATAAGCTGAGTGAGAAGTGTTGAGCGGCCGCCGTCGTCGCCGTCCTTTCTCGTTAAATGGGTCATCGTCTCCCTGTAAGACAAAAATACATTTGCTCCTCACGGAGGCTGGACACCTTCTCGCTCGCCGTGTCAACAGTGCCTACATGTCTTGGCGAAAGAGAAAGGCAATGCAGTTTGAAACACATGTGTGCGGTGCGGAGCTTCCAGCGGGACTGGAGGTGACTGTGAATCGGCTCTTATGTGGCCCTTGCGGAGATATGCTCAGGCACTGCTAGCATTTTTCTCTCCAAGCTGGCCGCCCTCTTCTGAGGCCGCCTCTCGCTTAGAGGCATTTGAAAGCTCCCCTTTCCCCTCTTCCAGCTGACCACCAGCAAGTCACCTTCCAGCAACAACTCACAATGGCGACTAAAAAAGTTTATGTTCTTCCCCTGACCCAGACCCAGTACATGCTCTCGATTAGGTAAGTGAGTGTGCGACGACGAGCAATCTCTCTCTCTCATCTTTGTTCTTCGTGAGGGTAAAGACAACGGCTGATGATCTTGACACAGCCGCGCTTCTGCCCTAGGAGCATCGATACTTACGATGGCCATCTGCTTTGAGCTGGCATACGTTCTCTTCTCGACGTCCGTCATTCGTCGCTCGCCCCTCTTCATCGTCAACCAAGTCTCATTTGTACTATGCGCCACTTACGCCGTCTTTGCCCAGCGCAGGGCCATCGTCGAGATCCATCAGCACTTTGACCATACAAAGTCTGCAGACCTTAATTACGTCGTCAACATCCTCCTCACTGACTTTTTCTCGATTCTCGCGCCCGTCGTTGCCGACTCTACGCTTCTCTTCAAGCTCAACACCTTTTACCCCTCTTGGCACGCTTCTGTGCTAAAGCGTCTGGCAATCCTGGGTGTAATCGCCACCTTGCTCGCCGGCAGACTCTTCTGCTCCTTCATGATGCTTTTTTTGGATTACTTTGACGTCGTGGTGCCGGTCGCAAAGGGTCGTGAAGAGAAAGGCAAGACAATTTTTAGGCACACCACCGCCATCCGCTTCGCCGACTCGCTCATGCAGCTTGCCACTTCTACCTTTGGTTGTTGTCTGCTCTTGTACCGAGCCTACCATTACAGGAGGCAGATGCAAGCTTCGTCCACCGTTGTCCAACGAAGGCTGCGCTTTTTTGTCGAATCGACAACGATGACGTTCCTTCCCCCCGTCTGCATCCAGATCGTTCTCGTCGTCGGCATGTTCATCAACAACATTCCAGGCCGGACGGCCTACGGCTGGGGAATCGCGCTCAATGTTCTGTTCTCCTACGCTTTCTCCATCCTCGCCACATCCTGGTCCACTATTCGTGAGGCACCTTTCAAGGCCTCGAGCAATCGCCCGCGCGACCATAGCACGGCCTCTTCGGTGTCTGAAGTGGTGCCTAACCAAGGCCATCCCCAGCAACACCATCACCAGACGCAACAACAGCATTCGCAAAATGACAGGACGAAGATCTCGCCAATCAACCAGACGATTATCGGATCCATCATGAGCGCAGTGGCCGCCCCTGCCCAGGAAGCCTACGATGACCACGACCAGATGGAGGTTCTTGTGTCGCTTCCGCACGTTGGAAGCACCGACATTGGCGCCCTCGAGAACCAGAGGCACAAGCACCCCTCCTCCTCTTGAAGTCCCATTTCTCTGCTCCCTTTGCAGAAGATCGGACATCACACCACGAAAGGTACGCCTCGCTTCTTCTCAATCTCCTTTGATCTTTTCTTCCCTCTTCTTGGACTTTTTCCAAAAAGAGCCTTTTGACCGTGGTGGTGGGGCCCAATTGTCACCGTCAGATTTCATTCCCTTGAAGCTCCTACCATCGTCTCTCCTTGTAGCATTTCCTACCGTGATTACTTCTCTCTTCAATATCAAGATCGAAATAGCCAGCCTGGTGTTGCTGTGCCAACCTTACTCCTTTTTGAGCTTGATGCCTGGGGTGTCCATCGCTGGACGTGATGTAAGCGTTTTGCACCCTTTGACGCGCACATGAAAATTGACCCCAAGCATTCCAAGACCTCACTAGATGAAGACGTAGTCACATCTTCGCATTAGGAGAGCTCAAGGAATCGTATAACGGTAAAGACAACGAGTGACATGTGACCGAAAAAAAGAGACGGACAGGTGAAGAAGAGCGAAAACTGGGCGATTGAAGATTAGTCGAACTGGCAAGCCAGGGAGGGAAGCAAGAGCATCAGGAATTGTTCGAAGTGACAACCGGCGCTTGCTGCTGCTGCTGCTGCTGCTGCTGCTGTTGCTGGAGCTTTTGTTGCCTGATGCTGATGGCGCGTTGGATCTTTCCTCTGCGCAGCTGCGTCTCGCTACGAGAAAGCTTACGGCCGACCTTGAGGGCCTCTTCGCGCGTCAACGCGGCTGCATTTCTGAGTGAGGACATGGAGTTGGAGGTAGAAAGTATCGAAGAAAGCTTTCCTTTTCCTTCGCTCGTGAAGTTCTGCGTCTTTTGGGCAGGCGAAGGGATGCTATAGACAGAGGCGTCGTCACTGATAATCTCGTCTTCCTCTACTTTCATTTCTGTCCCATGCCTATCGCCAGTCCTTCGGAGGCGAGTTCGCTCATCATCCGAATCATCTCTAGCGTACTCGCTCAAGAGATCCTCGATACCGGACTCGCTCTCGCTCGAGAGTTCGATTGTGCCGATGGAGGGAATGTAGACGGAACGACGAGACTGGCGCCGCTTCCTGGCTGCTGACTCCATGACTCTCGCGGCGAGGATCTCGCTGTTAGGCGACTTTGGGATTCCTGTGTTCTCTGTGCTGCTCTTCGAATCCGCAAACTGTTGCAATTGCATCACCTCGCCATTCTTTTCCGGATGAATCGCACCTGCAGTGTTCTCCTTCTCCATTCCTGCGCCTCCATCGGCATTAAGGTCCCGGTAGTAACCGTCCTTGCCCATTTTGAAGCCTGTCTGGAGATGAGGTGGCTTCCAAGGGTGGGCGTCTGTGCTGCTGGCGGCCTTCACGTATGTCGCGGTATTTGCGCTTCCAGAGCTTCCTGGCCTCCTGTGTGCCTTCCTTGTCTCTCTATCGCCTCCTCCGCTCCACAAAGAAGGAGCTTTGTTGGATGACAATCCGGCCGAGGAGGTGGGAGGCGTAAAAGAATTGCCAGTCTGCGGATTGGACGTATTATTCGCGAGCGGACTGCTGATGATCGGCGTGCTCTTGCTCCCTCCCTTGGTACCATTAGAAGAGCGGCTAAAGCTCGCACCGCTATTGTGACGTCTGTGTTGCTGCTGTTGCTGCTGAGCGGAAAAGACGCCCTCCGGACTTTTTGGGCTCTTGTTTCCTGCATTCGACTGCAGTGGTGGACAGCTCTCTCCTGTACCACAGTACATGCCTGCCGAGCTGTAGCCGGATCGTGGGGACGAGGTCTTCGCGGGATAGTCTCTGTCAGCACTATGCTTGGTGCCCGTTGACCAAGGAGACGATGATGTCTGCGTAATGCTCGACGCCGACCCTTTGGGTGAAGAGAAGGTCGAGTTGGAGTTCAACGAATGAGGTGAAAAGGAGGGAGACGATACCGCAAAGGTCTGATGACTGTGCAGCGATGACGAATTTTGCTCAGGTGCCGTGCGCGGACGGTCAGAGGAGCTGAACGGGCTCGTGGGTATGTGGGTGAGATCAATCGAATACATACTTCCATCAAGCCTCTTGCCGGTGGTTGCGTCGATTGCGCTCTTGATGGTTGAAGATCGGTGTGCCCTAGTGCGACTGCTCTGGTACCGCTCATTGTCTCTGAACATGAGTGAAGGAAGCACCTCTACCGGAGCGTCATGCTGTTGCTTCTGCTGCCCTGGTGCACCGAGGTGATGAGAGTACATTCCGCGGGAGGATCGGCTGGCTCGTGTGTCCCGTGACACGTCCATGCTCCTGGGTCGTGGAATGAGTTTCTTCTTCGACGAGCGAAGAAACCCATTGACGATGGCCAGGAGCCCGAAGAGGAGACCAACGAGGAGAAGCGCAATAGCCGTCCCCCACATCCAGTACTTCTGGTACTCGAGTTCTTGCTCCCGAAAGACGAGCGGATACTGCGCTGCGCTAATCCCGAGAAGCACATAATGGATGGAACGGCCTTGGTAGGTGTTGAGGTGTGACATCTGCCTCTGAAAAAAGGCCGGGCAGGGAAACAGCTCGAAGATGGTGAAAATGAGGCCGCTGAGCACCAAGACTCCGGCAATGTAGGCTGTCCTCAGGTTGAATTCTGGATCGGCGAGGGCGCCCGTCTCGTCAGCTTTTGACTTGGTTGCACGATATACTTGCACCGGACTCACGCATCATTTGAAAGTTGACGATGGCGCCGCTGATGCAGAGGCACCCTGCGACAAAATTGAGGCCGCCGACGAGCCAGTCAACTGTCATCTGCCCCATCTTGAATCTGGTAGTCGTCCTGATCACAATTTGATGTGGTGGTCTTAAGTCTCACAAACCTGGAGCCTATCGCCAGCTCGGAAACTCCTGTGAGCGCAAAGTCGGTGCCAGAAGAGGAAAGACAAGAACTAAATGAGCGAGAGCGGGCAGATGGCAAACTCCTAGCACCGTGTCTCGTATCGCCGCGCCGCGCCGCGCCGCACCGCGCCCGCGTCCGCGCACTGTTGCACCTGTTCCTCACCCAAAGTGGGCTCAAGACAGACTCTTTTCCCCCCTTTTTCTATCTTGTCGCTATCAGCACTTGATGACGCTGACTCCTGTCAACAAAGCAAAACGTAATGGTAAATGGGACGGGACAAGTCCTGTAGCATCAGAGGGTTTACACACTTGGTAGTAACTAATCGCATGTCAGGCTGCTCCACTGCCTGACTTCCAGCTCAGCAACGGCTTCGTTTGAGATGCTGCATAATTCATACCGCCCAGCGCCCGCCTATTCGCGCTTCGAATTCGGCTGCGGTGTGTGACAAGGCTCGCGGAGGCTCGCAAGAGGGAGGCGCAAACGTCGCAATCCCGGCGTCGGAGACGGAGTGGGCGCAAAGGTGAAAACAATGTATCGCCCGTCGGTCCTCGTCACAATGAGACCGCGTGACAAAAGTATTGTCACCCGTTTCATACCGCCGTCACCATTCTTCGATACCATTCCATCGGCGTAAAGGTACTTCGCCTGGGTGGTCTTCGTCTGGCAAGTTGGCACGAGGACCCGAATTGAAGCTGGAACAATGCCACCGAATCGTCGCCTATTTCGAGGCTGGCTGGTCCTACGCCGAGATCAGTGAGAAGGAGAAGGTAGCCAAGACCACCGTTGGACGCATCATCCGTCGATGGCAACGCGGCGAGCAGCTCGAACCGAAGCCACGGTCCGGACGACCTCGACGTTTATAAGGGCAGCACCCCGACGAAGTCGACGGCGCACTGCGTTTCAGAATCAATCTTTATGCGATAGTGGGAAGGGTCACCAAGTGCGCTCTTCCGGGTCCTCGAAGGGTGGGAACGGGGTTGAACGCCCCCCCTACGCTGGGCGTCGACAAAACTTCTGCAAATTTCTCAATCACCCTTCTAGATAAACAACACTTTGCATAAATGACGGCTCTCCTCGTCATTGTCATTATCAGAACCATGCCATTCGCTCACAGGGAATCACATCACTTTTACAATACGGAGACTACCAGCCAAAGTGTTCCGACAAAACCTTGAGTTCCGATATTTGGTCCAACCTGCCTTTGAGAAGATCGAGCTGCATGTTCGCAGCCTCGGCACGCACTACCTCTGACATGCTGTGAGGTCCACACACGAGGATGGCTGCCCGTTTCTTTGTCCGGTTATTTTCGCCACCGCTTCTGCTGATGCCTTTCACAAACTCTTGAACCTCGAAGGCGACGTTTGCTCGACGGTTACTTCGCTCCACTATGAGGCCATCTCCGTCACATCCTTCGTGAGCCTGCTGTGGGCGTGGCTCTGCCAATGAAAACGTCTTGTCCACTTCGCCATCTTCTTCCCCTTGAGGTCCAATGGGCGACGCTTCTGTCCCGCTCCGGCTTATATGAATCGTAAGCTGGAGTGACTGCGGTGGTATGATGGCCTGGGCAGCTTCAAACTGGTCCTTAACCCACTCGATGCATTCTAGATGATCCCACTTCAGTCAGTAATATGTCCAGTGCTGTCCAACGACCTCCTATCTCACCTTCATCCTTGACCGACCAAAAGACACTCAACTTCTTCTGACCTCTTTCCGTCCTGGTGCGGTGCCACTGCCACGCAAAGTCCAAGAGAGAGGCCACGACAAAGGTGATGCCACTGCCGCCAGCAACCATGAGGACCTCGTCAAAATCGGCCGCGCTAGCGCTGACGCCGTAGGGTCCGTCGACGACGACGGGAACCGTGATGGTCGAGTGCTCCGAGCGCAGGCCCATTGTCTCTTCCTCATCGCCTGGTTCCTTTCCTTCTGTGAGCCCACAGTCAAGAGCTCGCTGATAGAGCGTGGCTGTCAAGCCAGATCTCTGCCTGGCCATGAGCACCATCGTGCTGGGCGTTGTGCCATTTGGGCTGGCCAAGCTGACGATGGTGAAAGGGTGGTTGGACAGCGGTCGAATGGTGGGGAAGCGCAGGAAGACGTGCTGGCCAGGCGACCACGCGGCGGTCGTGTCGAGACGAATTCTAGTGATGCCACCGGGCACCGCCTCGAGCTGCGCGTGGCAAACGAGAAAGGTGGGCGAATTGTTGAGGGAGCGAATGATGCGCAAGAAAGCTGAGAGGCCGTAAAGGGCTGCGGCGCCCCAGAGATAACGCCAGCTCGTCAGTTCCATCTGACAGTGGATGAACATGAATGCGAGAAAGACGAGGGCGACGATGACGTGGACCGTGACCCAAAGGGTGTAGCTCCAGTTACGCAGGCTGCGAAAGCTCGAGAATACGAGAAAGAAGAGCATAGCAAAGGCGACGGTGCCCGTGATGTTGATCGACTCGGCAAAGTAGTACTCCTTAAGTCCAGCTACACCACCCTCATGCAGAGGCTGGTACATGAAGCTGTTTCCGTTCGTTAAGCTTCATTTCGGCAATAATAATCCAGAACACTCACGGGATGGTGTGCACTGTGGCCAGAAAGAGCACGAATCGAGAAGCCCACTGGTGAAAGACTTGCAAGCGCTCGTGGCTGGAGCCAGTGAGCATGGCGATGAAGTTGACCTTGCTTCCAAGCGCAAAGACAAAAGGAATAAGACCGAGAGCCATCATTCCACTCCGCAGTGCTAGAGGTGGACTTCCATACGTCGAGTCGGTGCGGTAATAGGGCTTGATGATGAACGCCCAGATAGTGAAGCCCGCCATGAATGCCGTAAGAAAGATGAAGACGCCGAGAACCGGCAGCCGGACATCAATTGCCCGTCTGAGAAACGTTTCTCTTCTCGAGGCCCTCCGCTGCTGACGGCTTGGCAAGATTGGCTTGTATGCGAAATAGCGCGACAAGGCGAGAAACGATCTTGGAAGGGACAAGAAACGGCGAGCGAGAGCGTGAAGGGCAGCCAAGGCTATCAAGGCAAAGCAGGTGTAGGCTTTGTTGGGACACCATGTAAAGGTAAGCACTCTTCTGAGCGATGTTCCATTGTTCCTGAGTCCGTCTACCCACCCATTGCACGAGCATACTTGGCCTGACCGGCCCAGGGGTCGGCCTTTGTGTTTCCTGGGTCATTTGGATCTAGCGAGGTCGGATTATGGCCCTCATGTCTAGGCAACAACCATAGCGAGTAAGAACTCTCCATGATACGTTGTTAGCAACAAGGACGTGCAGAGATGGCGGTGATGAGGATGATGATGGAGACTGCAGTGTTCAGCAAAAGCCCGCCAAAGCTTTTGTTCCTCAGCCTTTCCGCGCGCTGAATGCACCGACCGCTTTTGCACCGCTCCTCTCCGTCCTCCGCCGCCTAAGTAGTAGAGCAGGCTTTGAATTACACCAAAAAAAGGCGCCGAACAAGCCACAAAAACGCGCTGAAAAAGCGGCGGGCGTGAGCTAGACCTGCGGTCCAAGAGCAGACCCCAGAAACTCAAATCTAGAAGCAGAAGAAAAGGCGCCGAGGATCAATTTCACAGGGCAGTAGCTAGCACTGGTCAAGGCAAGCCGAATGAAAGCCAGGGTGGTAGTAGTGCAGTCGTGCGATAGGGACGACTTTGTTCCTGGAATGCTCTAGATTGCCTATTCTGATCTGGCCAAGGAAAAAAAGGGCCCGCGAGCGAGGAACAGAGGTCGTTTTCAGTCAGGGGCGGGTCCGGAATTGGTCAGTACCTCGTTTACTCCTTCCTTTGGCAAGACCGGACAATATAAAGGGGAAAGACGGCTTTCGGCTCCCCTTTTCCCCAGGCACCAACGTCATTCTGATCACGATTTTCACCTCCTCTCCTATCGATATGCAGGCGTCACTAATTTCGCTCGTCGCTCTTGCGGCCCTACCAGCTGCTGTGAGCGCCCATTTCCAGCTGCAGCTTCCTAAGTCTCGGTAGGTGTTCCCGTCTGGCGAAACATTCTTTGCGATCGTCGTTGACCTGATCTCACTGGCCACAGAGGCTTTGACGAGGACATCGAGAACGAGGCGCCCTGCGGCGGCTTCAACGCGTCGGCGACGCGGGCACCGTGGTACTACCAGAAAGGTCCTATCCAGATCAACTCGGAGCATGATACAGCCACCGTCAACGTAAGTCAAGGTTGATGCAGGCTGGTTTTGCGCTTGTGTCTTCTACCTTGTCACTGCCCCAGATCTACGTGTCGTACGACAGCAACCCAACGACGCTTACAAGCTTCACCAGCAATGCACTGAAGACAGACGTCAAGATCACAGGAGAAGGTGCGGGCCTCTTTTCAGGTCGAAGGCAATTTGACACCATGAATTCCTTTTCTGACTTCAAGACTTTGAATTTAACTAGGCGAGTTCTGCTTCAACAACAATGTTGCTGGCACCCAAGCAACGAACGGGGTCAATGCTACCCTCATGGTCGAGTATATCAGCACAGTTCACGGGCATTTGTACCAGGCGAGTCTTTAAGGGGCTCTCGTGCGCTCACACATCTTCAAGCTGACGATTTTTACTGCTTTGTTAGTGCTCCGATGTGACCTTCTCCTCGAACCAGACGCTCAACGAGGGCATCACCTGCACCGACGCCCTTACGGCCACCAAGAATCTCAACGATGCCGCCGTTCAGGCTGCGGGTGGCGAGACGTCCAACTCATCGTCATCAAACACGTCCAACACCACCACGTCATCGGGGAGTACCAGCAGCCATCATGACGGTGCCATTGCATTCCATTCTGACCTGCTCGTTCTGTTGAGTGTCACCGTGGGCGCAGCCTGCCTTGGCCTAGCTGTCCTGTAGTCTAGTCCCTCCAAAAAAGCCAAATGAACGCGATCAGTCTTATTCTCCACGTGTGTTTTATGGAGGCCGGTCCTTCTTTCTTTTTTTGGGTGAATACGAAGTCTTGTTCTTCTCGAGAAGCCGACAAAGGAGAGACAAAACAGAGGATGCCGCTCCCGGGAACCCTGTTGGAGCCATCGCTGACGGAGGTTGACTTTGTCAAATCTTCTCTGCTTTCCTCCATCCGGCCAGATGGTCGCTCCTTTCTCGAGTCCCGGCCTCTCAGTGTCGCCTTTTCTTCAGAGCTAGGCTGGGTCGAGGTGAAGCTCGGTCAGACGAGGGTGCTGGCGACGACATATGCCTCTTTGGTCGCCCCACGCAGCGACAGACCCTATGAAGGCATCCTCGAGCTGAGGGCAGAGGTGCAGCCCATGGCTGGCGTGCAGTTCGAGAGAAACAGGACTGGCGAGGAGGAGGTCCTCTTTGAGCGAGCGCTGGACAAGGCGGTGAGGCGAAGCGAATGTCTGGATCGGGAGGGGCTCTGCGTCGTTGCCGGCCAGAAGGTGAGGGCGGTCTCATCAGCTCGTCGCTTTCTGTTCCCCATGCTGACGCCGCGCTTCTCTTTCCAGGTGTGGTCGGTGGTGGTGACTGTCCACCTCCTCAGTGCGCAAGGATCGGCTCTCGACGCAGCCGTGCTCGCCAGCATCCTCTCTCTCCGGCACTTTCGAAGGCCGGACGTCTCGATCGAATCCGACACTGGTGCAGGGTCGACTACTTCAGCATCGAGAAAGGCTGCATCAACGACAAAGCCCCGTGTCATTGTCCACGACGTCTCGGAGCGCGTCCCGATTCCGCTAGCCTTGCATCATCACCCGCTGGCGGTCTCCTTTGCCATTTTCGACAAGGCTCACATGGCCTCTGCCGTCGTGTCGGGGGTGGGTGGCAAGACGTCGACGGCCGCAACTACTGCGCCACAGGAGGGCGGTGATGAGCTAGAAAACATCATCATCCTCGTGGACCCCACTCCGCTGGAGACGACGCTGTGCACGAGCAAGATGTACGTGGTGGCCAACGTCCAGGGAGAGATATGCGTGCTGGACAAGGCAGGAGGAAGGCCGCTGGGTGAGGGCGTGCTGCAGAGGGTCACTGAGATTGCCAGACGGAGAGTCAAGGAGCTGGCAGCAGTGATGGAGGCGGAGCTTCAAAGGGACGCCAGAGACCGGGTCCTCGAGGTGCGGTGATGTTCATGTCTGGTCACTTGTTGTACTTTTACGCAATTTCATTCCTTCTCTCTTTCTCTGTGCCTTTATCTTTTCATTCTCTGCCCACTCTCAGGAACCTGAGGAGCATGGTGCCGGTCTCTGGAAGAAGACGAAGTGGAGACACGTGACTTTGACACTTTCTTCTCGCGCGAGTCAGACCGGGGGAGAAAGGAAGACCCGGACTTGTAAAGACAGAGGCAAGGAGACACACCACCATGGCGCAACCAGACGAAAAGGAGGCGCGGCTGCAGCGATGGGTCGGCAGGCTGCAGAGCCTTCCCAGCATCGCGCTGCCGACAGACTATCCTAGACCGACGACTTCGCAGGTGGTCCAGGCGCTCTCGTCTCTGCACCTCTCTTCGCGCACACGCACTGCTCTCGTCCAGCTGGGCATTCACCACGATGTCGAGCACGGCCATGGGGATGAGGAGGAAGACGAAGAAGAAGACGACGAGGGACGGAGCGACGAGAACGGGCATTCGAGCGTACCATCACCCTTCCACCTCCTCTTGGCCGCTTTTGTCACTGTACTCCATCGCTACACCGGCGACACTGACATTGTTGTGGGCTCTTCCTCGCCCATCACGGGCGAGCCCTTGCTGCTGAGGATCCCCATTGAGCCGGGTGACCCCTTCTGGCAGATTGTCAGGCGGATCCAGGCCGTCGAAAAGGAGGCGGCCGACGATATCGCTAGCTACGAGGACATCGTCGATCGACTCGAGGCAATCAAGAAGGAAAAGGAGGAAAAGGGAAGCTCTTCGGCGCCGAGCGCACCCATCTTCCGTGTACGATTCTTTGACGAGCTGGGAAGCCGGCAGCGAAACTTTGTGCAGAGCACTAGCTTGACGACGGACCTGACAATCTTTGTTGCGAAGCCTGGCGCAAAGATTGGAGCCAGCGAGGGAGACGGTGCCGCCGATGCGTTGGGATCGTCGGTCACTAGCGAGGGAACGGTCAAAGGTTCGACGTCCTCGTCGGCCTCTCGGTCTGCTCTGGTGCCCGACATCTCGCTCTACTCGTCGTACAACGCCCTCATCTTTTCGGCAGACAGGGTCAAGCTGCTCCTTGCGCACATCTCCCACGTCGTCATCGCGGCCTCTTCGAACCCAACAGCGCTCGTCGGCAGCATCGGGCTGCGGACGAAGGCAGAAGATGCAGCGCTGCCCGACCCCAGGACCGATCTGGACTTTTGTGGCTGGCAGGGCAGCATCACAAGCATCTTTGAGCGGAATGCAAAGGCGCATCCGGACCGTCGCTGCATCGTCGAGAGCCTTCCCCAAGAGGACGCGCGGGCGATCTCCATGCCACCGCCTGCGAGCCGAGTGCGTCAGATTTCCTACCACCAGCTCGACGAGGCTAGCAATGTGCTGGCCCACCACTTGCTCCAATCCGGTCTGCAGCGAGAGGAAGTCGTGACTGTGTATGCGTACCGAGGTGCAGATCTCGTCGTGGCCGTTTTGGGAACCCTCAAGGCTGGAGGCACCTTTAGCGTCATCGATCCTGCCTACCCTCCAAGCAGGCAGACCATCTACCTGCAAGTGGCCAAGCCGCGTGCCCTTGTCGTCCTTGCAAAGGCGGGCAAGCTGCACCCCACTGTGCGCAAGTGCATCCAGGACGAGCTTGAGATCCGAACCGAGGTGCCCGCCCTGGAGCTCCTTGACGACGCCTCCAAGGTTCGTGGTGGCTCGCACCAAGAAAGAGGCGCCGACGTTCTGCAAGGGCAACAAGCACTGGCATCGCAGAGCACAAATGTCATCCTCGGTCCCGACAGCATCGGCACCCTCTCCTTTACCTCCGGCTCGACCGGCATCCCCAAGGGCGTGCGAGGTCGCCACCACTCTCTGACCCATTTCTTCCCCTGGATGGGGACTCGCTTCGACCTCGACGCTTCCTCGCGCTTCACCATGCTCAGCGGCATCGCTCACGACCCCATCCAGCGCGACATCTTTACGCCGCTCTTCTTTGGTGCTGAGCTGCATGTGCCGACAGCAGACGACATTGGCACTCCTGGCAGGCTAGCCGAGTGGATGGCCGCCACGCAGGCCACCGTCACACACCTGACTCCGGCCATGGGTCAGCTCCTCTCGGCCCAAGCGACGGCCCTGATTCCTACGCTAAGGAACGCATTCTTTGTGGGCGACGTCCTGACCAAGAGGGACTGCACTAGATTGCAAGCGCTCGCCGCCAATGTCCGCATCATCAACATGTACGGCACCACCGAGACGCAGCGTGCTGTCAGCTACTTTGAGATCCCTGCCATCAGTGACCGAGCCACTTTCCTGGCCACACAAAAGGACATCATGCCTGCCGGCCAGGGCATGAAGGATGTCCAACTGCTCGTCGTGAACCGGCACGAGCGAACGGCGACATGCGCCGTGGGCGAAGTAGGCGAGATCTATGTCCGCTCAGGCGGTCTCGCCGAGGGCTACCTCGGCCCACCGGAAGTGACTGCGGAGAAGTTTGTCGCCAATTTCCTGGAAAAGGATGACACCAAGTTCAGCGACACACTCGTCGGTCGGCCAGAAGCGCAGTTCTGGAAGGGCATCCGCGACCGCATGTACAGGACTGGCGACCTGGGAAGATACCTGCCCGATGGCACAGTCGAATGCACGGGCCGTGCCGACGACCAGGTCAAGATTCGAGGCTTCCGAATCGAGCTGGGCGAGATTGACACGCACCTGTCGAGGCACGCTTACGTTCGCGAAAACGTGACGCTGGTCCGTCGTGACAAGGACGAAGAGAAGGTCCTCGTCTCGTACTTTGTCCCCAGTTCCAGTGCTGCAGAGTTGGAGTACAGCGAGAGCAGTGATGGAGAAGCAGGGTCCTCGGCCAATGCATCGACGGGCTCGAGCAACAAGGACCTTGTCAGGGGCATGCGTCGCTACCGCAACCTGATCAAGGACATCCGCGACCATCTCAAGAAGAAGCTGCCGGCATACTCGGTCCCGACGCTCTTCGTGCCCCTGGGCAAGATGCCGCTCAACCCCAATGGCAAGATCGACAAGCCTGCTCTTCCCTTCCCAGACACAGCCGTGGCCAGCGCTGCCCTCATGTCATCTTCGTCGAGCAAGCGAAGGCAGGCTGCGGGGGCTGCAATAGTCAATGGCGGCTCAACAAAGGGCGACGCCAATTCTGCATCGGCCCGAGATGCGACGCCAACGGAGCAGGCGGTGGCCGATCTGTTCGCCTCCCTCCTACCGTCGTGTCCCAGGCCTGTTCCCTTTGACGAGTCCTTCTTTGACCTTGGCGGGCATTCCATCCTTGCCACTCGGCTCGTCTTCTCGATGCGCAAGACATTCGTCGTCAATGTGCCCCTGGGCATCGTCTTCGAGAGCCCTACCGTCGAGGGTCTCGCTAAGGAAGTCGAACGGCTGCGCCATGCAGACTTGAACATTGGCGCGGAGCCTGTGACCAACTCCACGAATGCGGACTTGGCTGCAAAGGCCAATGCGGCTCCCAACGGTCCGCAAGAGCACGCGCAGGCTGTCGTGGGAGAAGACGACTACGACAGAGATGTCGATGCGCTCGGCCGAACATTGCCCGAATCATTCATCAGCTCTGGCGCGCTCTCCAACATCGCATCCAATTCCAGCTCCTCTGCTCAGCAGCAGCAGCAACAGAAGCGCACGGTGCTTCTGACGGGTGCCACTGGCTTCTTGGGTGCCTTTGTCCTTCGCGATCTTCTGTCTCTGCGGCAGAAGGAGGTGGGCCGCGTCATTGCTCATGTGCGAGCAAAGGACTCGGCGTCGGGCCTCGCCAGGCTTCGCGAGGGCGGGACGGCAAGGAGCTGCTGGGATGAGGCATGGGTCGAAGAGGGCCGTTTGGAAGTCATTGTGGGTGATTTGGCAGAAGAGAGACTGGGTCTCAAGGAGCGGGAATGGGTCAGGCTCGCGCAAGAGGTCGACGTCATTGTCCACAACGGCGCTCTGGTCCACTGGGTGTACCCATACAGTAAGCTTCGTGCGCCCAACGTCTTGTCGACAGTGGCCTGCATCAACCTGTGCGCCACGGGCAAGCCGAAGACGTTTACCTTGGTCTCCTCGACGTCGGCTCTTGATACGGAGCACTACGTCCGACTTTCAGATGCTCTGGTCCATCAGCGGAGCACCGATGCGACTCAGCAAGGGCAGCAGCAGCCGCTTCTTGGCGTGCCAGAGACTGACACGCTCCAGGGCAGTGCTCGGGGTCTCAAGTCTGGCTATGGTCAGTCTAAATACGTGGCCGAGCGGCTGGTCATGGTGTGCGCGTCGCGAGGCTTGCGTGCCTCCATCATCCGTCCCGGCTACGTCGTCGGCGATAGCGAGAGTGCCGTCACAAACACAGACGACTTCATCTGGCGACTTGTCAAGGGTTCTACCCAGCTCGGTCTCATTCCTGACATGTGGAACTCAATTAACATGGTCCCGGTCGATCATGTCGCCAGAATCGCAAGCTTGGCCGCCCTGGACACGGCAACGCAGAAGCCACTCCGCGAGACGGGAGGCGCCAGGGTATACCACGTCACAGGTCACCCAGAGATTAGACTCAACGACGTCCTCGAGGCCCTGGCCACCTATGGCTGGAAGATCAGCAAGGGAGAGTACGTCCAGTGGCGCGCTCGCCTCGAGGACCACGTCATGGCTGGCGGCGGTGGCGAAGAGACCAATGCGCTATTCCCTCTTCTCCACTTCGGTGAGTATTTTGGATGCTCTTGTTGCGGCTGAGAATGGCACTTACTGTTCTTGCGACTCAGTCCTCGACGATCTGCCCACATCTACCAAATCGGCCGAGCTCGATGACCGGCACACTGAGGCGCTCCTCGACGCCCACGGCGAAAGCAGCAAGGCGGGCGTTGTCGCAGGTGTCGACGAGGCTCTGGTCGGCACCTACCTCTCCTGGCTTGTCGCGGTTGGTTTCCTCGACAAACCGACCGTCCAGGCGGGCGAGCCCACATCGTTGAACGAGCAGCAGCAACAGCCAGACCGGCCAGCCGTCAAGCCGTTGCCTGCGCTCAAGGGTGATGGTGTCGGCCTGAGAGCGATTGGGAGAGGTTCTGCCCACTAGCTTCGGTCTGGTTTCCTGTTAGCGCTATAGAGACAAGTTAGACAGTGAAGTTATTGCAAGAATGTTGATAATGGTAGAGTTAGAGCGCTGTGCACCTTTGCTCGCATGCTTAGTGTCGTTTCTGCTCTCGGCGGCAGTCCGTCGTAGTGATGGGCATTTGAATTCCGACTTCCGATGAACCACTTTTTTTTCTCCGTTTCTTCTTTCCCAAATAGTGCTTCGAGTGAATCAACCGTCTTCTGCTGCTTCTGTTGCAAGGGTGGGCCAGAGAAGGAAAACACGATGGCGGACGCTGTCACACAGGACAAGATGGCGGGGCCTTCCCTGCGGAAGGAGGAACCATACTGGTACGTTTCAGGTCTTCCGAGCGTGGTGCCAGTGGCCCTTGCTGATCTGCTCGGCCAGGCATGACTACCACACGTTTGCCAAGATGCGATGGCTCAACCGCCAGCTCATCGAAGTCTTTGTCACTGAATTTCGCGACCGAACGAGCGAGTATTACAACTGGGCCATTCGCAAGGGGCTGTGCAACGTAAATGGCCGGACGGTGGACCCGCGATACGTTGTCCAGGATGGTGACGAGCTCTACAATCGGGTACACAGGCACGAGCCGGCCGTGACCACGGAGCCCATCAAGATTCTGCACAGGGATGATGCCTCAGGCAGGCTCGTTATTGTAAAACCAGGAAGCATACCCGTCCATGCCGCGGGGCGATATTACAAGCTGACGCTGCTGCACATGATCCGATCGGACCTGGGCATCGACACAGTCTACACGTCCAACCGGCTCGATCGCCTGACCTCGGGCATCATGGTCTGCTCGACAAACAAGGAGTCGGCGACAAAGATGAGCAACGACTTTGCTGTGGGCCGCGTCCGAAAGGCGTACGTCTGTCGGGTCAAGGGGCATTTCCCAGATGGAGAAGTCGTGTGCAAGGAGCCGCTATTGAGGTGCGATCGGCAATCGGGCGTCAGTGTCGTTCACCCGCTCGGGAAGGAGAGTGAGACCATATTCAATCGACTCTCGTACGATGAGATCTCAGACACTAGTGTCGTCTACTGTCGGCCGATCACGGGTCGCACGCACCAGATTCGCGTGCATACACAGTACCTGGGTCATGCCATTCCCAATGATCCGATCTACGCCCACCCGATCTGGGCGCAGCATCCTCCGACCATTTTCAAAGATCTCCATCTGGAGCCGGGCCGATGGAAGATTGAACCGGAAAGCACACTCAATGTCTTTGGCTGCCAGGAGCTCGATGATGTGGTCGCAGCCATCAAGATGGACAAAGACGACCGCGAAGACTGGAGTCGATGGCGCGACGAGGTCATGTTTGCTGGGCTCAACGAGGAGGAGGGCTTCGAAAGAGTCAATGTTGATGGGCCCAATGGTGAGCCGGTCGCGATGCAGCGTGCAAAGAGCAAGCTCGCCGAAACGGGAGGAGGAGGGACGAAGGATGCGATGGACAAGGGGCTTTTCTGCGAGGAATGCAGCGTGTAAGTACGATTTCCCCGCTTCTGCTGCCGAGAACAAGATGCTGACGACTTGTTCAATACAGACCTCTTTTGCCGGACCCCGACCCCTCAGAACTCTACATCTATCTTCATGCGATCAAGTACGAGACAAATGACTGGAGCTACGAGGATGAGTTGCCCTGGTGGGCACGAGAAGACTGGCGAGAGGCAGCAAAGGAAATCTCGTCAGATCCAAATGCTCCCAAAGTCGTCGAAAAACCCTCACTCAACGGTCACACGTCTACGGCGGCTCCTACATCTACCGTTATCGGCTTGGCAGGAAGGGCGAGGGAGGACACATGGTCCGAGGTCGAGCTTGATGCATTGACCACTCTTGCTTCTGTTCCTGACGTCAAAGAAGAGCCGTCGACCAAAGTATCTCCATCACAAAGAAATTTCCCCGCTGTCGTCTTTGACGTCTTTGGAGGTGAGTTCCGCCACTATTGTCTTGTGACATTACTACCTTTGCTCATGCACTCGATCTTGCGCCCCACTCAGGAATGGAAGACTTTGTGATTCGAGATCTTCTTCACCTCTTTCGGGCGCACACCGATCTGAAAGAAGAAGACCTACCCGCGATACCGCCGTCGGAAAGCACCGGCCACGTTGCGATTCCTGCTGGACCAGCAGCTTGGGCGGCGTATGACCTCTACAGACGCGGACTAGTCGACTGCGCAAAGAGGGCTTACCTGAAGGTAGCCGAGGGACCCATGCCCTCGGAGATTTTGGCAAGGCTGGGACAAGAGAGGAGAGACATCGCATTGACCATGGGGAACTATCATCGAGCAAGAAAGGGCTGCGCCAAGAACGGGGATGAAAAGCCGCCGCCAGCGCAGAGACCACAGGGTCCCACAGAGGCAGAACAAGACTTTATCGACGCCTTGAAGGAGTTTTGGGATGGCTGTGAAGCGCACAGGAAGCGAGCGCTTGAGGCCTGGACTGAGCTTAAGAGAGAAAATCCGCGAGGTGGAAGATTCAGAGGTTCCGCGGATAGGACGGGATACTTGCTCCCCACTATGAACACCGTGGCTTTGGAGAAAGAAGTCGGCGACCTGGTGAGTGCCTGGCAATTTGCGGTCTTTTACCACTGCTAATTATGACATTTGTTCCAGGTATACGATTGGCTCAATGGTCCGGACAACCGTGCAAGCGATCAAGCAGACCTCCCTTGGAAGGTCGACCTGACAGAGGCCGACCTGGACATAAAGCTCAAACTCGTCTTTGACAACAGGGCCACAACTGGGCCTATCACCCCCATCTGGCGGTCAAAAGCAGAGAATCCACCTGGCACATTTCTGCTTTTGATCACCCTCGACTCACCCGACGTCATCGCTAAGCACCGAATGCCCTTGCCAAATGAGCTCATCCACGGAGGAACCGTTCTGGCGAGGTACCGGGCGTATGCCATGTGTCTTGCTCTGCCGCTCTTCAAAGCTCCTTTCAGCAGAGGTGGCGGACAAAGACTAAGACTGTGGGAGCCGTGTGTAGGGACCGGGGGTATCGCCATCGAGCTCGCCAACCAGTTGAGGAGGAAGGGGCTCGAAGCCGACATCTTCGCTAGCGATATTGAAGCGCCAGAGATCGAACGGGCGAAGCAGACTGCAAGGATCGGTGGCGTCACAAATGGTGCCAACGCGGACGAGTCTGTCAAGTTGCATCTGGAAGTGGTCGATGCAGCTGAGCCAGACGCCGTCAAACGTTTCGTGGGAAGAGAAGAGGTCGACGGGATCATTACGGATCTCCCTTGGGGAAGGAGGGTTTTGACGCACATGGCCGTCTCGAAGCTCTACCCGGCGCTCATGCAAACATTCTGCGACGTACTGAAGCCGGGTGCTTGCGCAGTTGTCATGACGGCCGAGTGCAACACGCTCAAGCGCGCCACGATGAGCTTCGAGGGAAAGCAGCGCAAAGCCGGCGAGGAGTGGTACCTTGCGCTCGAGCAAGTCGACGTGAATGGAGTGCCAAGGGAAGCGCCCCCCGAGGAAGGTGGTAAGGCCGAGAACAGTCAGCTTCTCAGATACGTGGAGTGCGGGTACGATGTTTCTCTGGCTGTCCTGAGAAAGAGGCCCCTGGTGGGATGATGAGGTGGATCTGTAATTTACATCACATTTCGTTCTTCCATTGCATTGTCACTATCATTCGCTCAAACAGAAGAGTGAGCGCAGAGCGTTCGTATTCCTTGACAAACTGTTCACTTTTATCTGCGGCCATAGAACCGTGAAAGCACCGCATCCCGTCCGATCTGCGAAGTTAAGCACGGTATCGCCTAGTCAGTACTGCGGTGGGGGACCACGCGGGAATCCTGGGTGCTGCAGTTCTTCCTTTTTTTTTCCTCTCTCTCTCTCTCCTCAGCGGAACGTTCACGGTGAGGCCAAATTTGCTTTTGGCCTCACCGTGAACACGGACTTCCTTCCTGTTTGTACTGCAAACGGCGGTCCGATGGTGTGTGTGTTCTGCTACGTCGTTTTTCCAGGTTGGACGAGGCGAATGACGAAAACAAATGACGAATATCTACACGTGACAAATCTCGAGAGAGGTTGCGCGCGTCGTGTTGCTTCTCCGTTCGTTCGAAATCACGACGCAAGAAGCCAACAGTCGACCAGCAACATGGAGGCACGCATGGTCGACTCGCGTTCGCAGTCGCCCATGGCGTACGCTTCTTCGCGTGCTGCAAGCCCTTACCCTCCTCCCGTCTCGCCCTCGGAGCACGGCCTGAGTGGGGCGGAAGAGCATGGGGAGCAGGAAGGGGATTATTCACACAAGCACCAGCCTCCTTACGCGACCTTTAGCCGGACCGTCGGCGAGAGCGGCCTGCTCATCGACATGGATGAAGAAGAGGACGAAGACGCCGAAGAGGAAGATGTGGAGGACGAAGGCCCTCCTTCGAGCGAGGAGCTGAGCAGCGAGCCTCCCCCGCAGCGAAGCGAGGGTGAGTGGGAACGTATCGATGAGGAGATCAGAGAGATGGAAGCAAGCGTCGAGGGAATCTCCAATTACGAGGTCATAGACAAGCTTGGCGAAGGTGAGCCTGGCTTTCATTTCTCTCCAGAGCTCCTCTGACATGTTTCCGTGCAGGGACCTTCTCCTCTGTATACAAGGCTGTGGACAGAGACCACTACCTGTTCGACAATTACATCTGGACTGGCAAAGTCCCCTCAGTAAATAGGAGGCGACAAAAGAGCGTCTATGTAGCCCTCAAGAGGATCTATGTGACGAGCTCACCGTCGAGAATCCTCAACGAGCTCGAGCTGATGGAAGACCTCCGCCACTGCCAACACATTGCCTATCTCATCACGGCCTTTCGGACTCATGACCAGATCATTGCTGTGATGCCATACAGCCGTCACAGTGACTTCAGGGTGAGTAGTCGCGCGCCAATTCCCGGACCTTGCCTCATCTTGCCCTTTCCTTCCAACAGGAGTACTACCGCATCATGCCACTGTCAGATCTCAAGTGCTATTTCCGTTGTCTCTTCGGAGCACTAGAGGGCGCCCACGCGCTCAATATCATACACCGAGACGTCAAACCGGCCAACTTCCTCTACGATCCTCGCAGTGGAGAGGGCACCCTCTGCGACTTTGGTCTAGCCGAGGTGGGTGGTTTGATGCTCGCTCGCAAGATCGCGACCCTGAACGTTTCCTTCTTTGCCAGCGTTTCGAGCCGCAAGAGTGGCGCGGCAAGTGCCATCACACGTGCCCCACGAAGGAGTTGCCCCATGGAAAAGTTGTCGCCAACCAGCACGTCTACAGCAGTCACATGGAGCCTGGTGGAGCGCTGTATGAAAACCGAGGCAAGTCTTCAACCGCATCCGGGGCGGCCAATCTCAAGAGGAGAGCCATGGCTCCTCCCGAAAGGATCGGGTACAACAAAGAAGACGCTCGCCCGGGAGTGAGGGCCAACCGAGCAGGCACGCGAGGCTTTCGTGCGCCTGAAGTGCTGCTCAAGTGCCAGGACCAGACGCCGGCGCTCGATATTTGGTCGGCTGGCATCATTCTCTTGGCTTTTCTGACCAAGCGCTTTCCTCTCTTCAACTCCAACGACGACATCGAGGCACTGTTGGAGCTCATGGTCGTGTTTGGGAAGAAGCGCATCAATCAGGCCGCCATTCTACACAACCGAGTCATGCACTCGACGGTGCCCCTTGCCAATGCAGATGGCTACCGCATCCCTGACTTTGTTCTCAAAATGAATCCCGCCATCCTTGACACCCCCGCTGGTCACCCCGACCCGGAGCTCTACACCCAAGAGGTCCACCAGGCCATGGACCTCGCTCGTGCCTGCCTGCAGACCGACCTAACGCGTCGTTACAACGCCCGCGAAGCCCTCAGCCATCCTTTCCTCCAGCTCGACGACGATGAAGAGGTGATGCGCAACGCGAGGGAGTTTTGATCTTTCACAATCCCCACTTTGGCTCTTCCAGCAAGGGAGGAGCAAATCGACATTGAGACATCTGTACCATTATTATCATCCTCATCATTATCGATCTGACCAACCATTCCGTACACAAGAGAAATACTCATCTTCACATAGGCTACAAGCATCACTCGTCTCTCCGAAAGTAAAGTCATCAATGTGGGTTCCATTCTCATGACATCTACCCGTTACATTCTATAAGTACACCGCGGAAAAGTTTTGGGGGGTGAGGGGAAGGGCAAGGCGATAGGGTGGGGAAGAAAAAGAGAAGAGAACTAGGAGATCCAGTTCCAGAACTTCTCCCACACGTTCTTGGGAGGCTCCTCCTCAACCTCGGCGTCCTTGATGGCCTGGACACCCGTGACGAAGTCCATGTTCTCGGCGGCGATGAACTTGCCGCCCCACTTGTAGGCGCCAAAGGCGTAGAGGACGAAGAAGAAGGGAGCGGGGAAGTAGGTCGTGACAAAGTCCGAGGGGGACCAGTTGCCCTTGAGGAAGACGGCCCAGCCAGCAAAGAGGATGACGAGCGAGGTCCAGGCGAGCGTGTACCAGCCATAGAAGCTGCCGAGCTTCGTCTTGTAAGGGAGAATGTCCGTCGAGTGGCCCTGGGCCTTCATGCCGGCGCGGAAGCGCAGGTGGACGACGGCAATGGCAGCCCAGGTGATGAGACCGCAGACCGATGTGAGGTTGGCAAAGTAGCCGAAGGCGGTGCCGGCGCCGGTGGTGACGGTCATGTAAGAGAGGAGGGAGAAGAGGATGGCGACGATCATCGAGACCCAGGGGAGACCGTAGCGGTTGGTCTTGGCAAAGAAGCGAGGAGCCTGTCCCGAGATGGCCAGACCGTAGAGGGCACGCGACGAGGTGTACATGTCCGACGAAGCGGCGCTGACGGCCGAGGTGAGCAGGCAGGCGTTGATGACCGAGGGGAGACCCTTGATGCCGGCGGCCTTGATGGCAATGACGAAGGGCGAGCGGGCGGCCGTCTTGCTCTCGGTGGTGAGCTCGGGTGCGTTGGAGGGGCAGATGACCGAGATGGCGAGTGTTCCGAGGACGTAGAAGATGAGGATTCGGTAGAAGACCTTGCGGACGGCCGAGGGGATCGTCTTCCTGGGGTTCCTCGCCTCACCAGCGGCCATGCCGACAATCTCGGTACCGATGAAGCTGAAGGCCGAGTTGATGAGGACGGACCAGAAACCGAGGAACTGGCCGAGAGAGCCGCTGATGCCGTTGTACTGCACGAAGGGGCCGGGGTTCTTCCAGAATTGGAAGCCAAGGCGGCCCTGTTTTCCGACGGCACCAACATCGATGAGGAACGAGAGGATGATGAGACCGACGATTGTGAGGATCTTGATGCTGCAGAACCAGAACTCGGCTTCACCGTAGCCGCGCGCACCAAGGAGGTTGATGGCAACGACGACGACGAGGCAGGCGGAGATGAAGATTGCGGGCGAGGCATCGGACCAGAACGAGCACAGGACGGCAGCGGCAGACAGTTCGGCGGGGAGGACGATCGTCCAGTTGTACCAGTAGTTCCAACCCCTTTTGAGAGAAGACAAGGTGTCAATCTCCGCTCGGAATGTTGTCACAGCCACCGCGTTGACTCACATTGCAAAGGAAAGGGCGGGCGAGACGAAGCGCTGCGCCAGCTTGATGTGGCCACCGGGCACGGGCAGGTACGAGAGGAATTCACCGAGGCACTGCATCATCGCATAGCAGACCTGTGCGAGTGAAGAGACGGATTGGAGTTAGAAACAAGACCCGAGGAACAGGAGTGCATGTTGCAGACGCACCGAACCCATGATGCAGTAGCCGAGCCACAGACCCAGAGGGCCACCGTGGTGCAGGGAACCAGCGGTACCGAGGAAGAGACCTGGAAGAGAGTAGATGAAATTCGGTAGTGAGTAGACAAGTCTCAGCGCCCTGTCGCGTTCGCCTAATCTCACCTGTCCCGATAACACCGCCAATACTGATCATAGCCACATGACGAGGCTTGAGGGCGTGGGCGAGGTGCTCGCCCTTGCGCTGGTCGAGCTCGTTGTATTCGCCACTGAATTCAGTGCCGCCCTGCTCAAGAGTGCCGACGTACTCCTGCTTCTCGGGCTCAAAGGCACCCTTGTAGTCGTCCTTGCTGTCAACCATTGTTGCGTGTCTCGAAGGAGGGAGGTAGGGGAGGGAGGACGGAAGGGTTGTGAGGTGGTGAGAGGGGGAGGTGAAAGCGGTGGTCAATGGCTCCCTTTTATTCCCTGCTTGCCCCCTTCAGCGGGGACTCTCATGCAGCCACCATGCTGTACTCTGACAGCCATACCCAGGGCGGGGAATGAGTGCTCAAGTGCGGACCGCAAGGTCAGGGCCAGATAAGACGGAGCTAGCCTAGTAGCAGGAACCGCAGAGTAGTCGCAAGCGCTAGTACGGGGCAGCCTGGGCCTTTCCTCCCCTCGAGCTATCTTAGCCAGGAACGGACAGCATGGGACGATTGCCGTCAAGCCACAGCACGGTACAGCGCAAGAGGAAACAAACGATGCATTCGAAACGCTCTCGAGATTGGCAGTTGAAGGCTGCTGACAGGCTTTCTAGGCCTAAAGAATATAGAAAAAAAGGCTTCTGTATTATCCGGCGGAGAAGACGCTGCTATTACGGGAAATTGGGCCGCGGGTCCTTTCGCCAGACAGATAACCACTAGTTTCTGCTCGATTTGTCTTGCGCGCGCGCCGTTCTGGCCGTGCGGGACGCGCTATCTTTAGCTTGCAGGCCTGCGAACCACTAGGGGCCTGGACCAATGAGGGCCAGAGCTCGACATTTTTCCGCCTCTTCCAAAGTTGGCGTCCCTTTCTAATAACGTCGCTTTTCGCCACAGTCGCGTGCTCCCTATCTTGTTATCAGTGGTGTACTCATGAATTCGATTCGACTCTGAGGGTAGGCGTGTTTGATACGTTATCTATCGCGCTCCATGCGAAAGCGGCCGGTCAGTGTGAATAGTGAGGCGGACCATAAATCTAGCCGCGCCGATTAAATCGCCTATCCTGTGCTGGCTTTCGTCGCCCTTTTGTCTATCCATTCCCCGAAGCTTGCTTGGGACTTAGCTGCTTAGGTTGCCAAAGAGAAAAGTGGCGCTTTCACCGAAGATCGCGAAGAAAAGGAAAGATTAATAAAAAAAAGAGATGGAGCCCAAGCCACATCATCGGGGGAGAAAAGTAAATACGGAGACTATTAACAAAGGCTGGTCAGGGTCGCGCGATACTGCCCTTCTGGCTCTGGATCTCAGGATATCTAATTCGGCATTGACGGATGCTCAAAGGGACAAATGGGGTGCCGTGGACCCCGCATGGGATACAATGCCATGTCTCGACGTCCCAGGCCCAGGCTTGTAGATGCTGAGCAGCCGACCGGCGCGCATTGCATTCGCTGCTGTCTTGTCCCATTCGCTCTATATCGGTGTATTGGTGGAGAGCTCGGTCTCATCGATCCTTCTGAATTGTACAAACAACCCTTTAGCAGCCCGTCATATTGCTGCCGACCAATCAGAAGCAGAGACTTTAGGACGTATCTGGCCATTCTCGTCTGCAGGAGACATGTGAAACTTTGTGCGGAGACCAGCGGCAGGAGTGAGATTTGCGACGTCTGACATGTTCGCATCTGAGCTCAATCTTGCGCAATAGCTCATCATCCATCATTCCGTTCAGTCCCACGATCGAAGAGCTTCCTGCCCTTCCAAGAAGCACCTTCCTCTCCTTCCAAAGGGCGCGGGCAGGCCGACGGCCAAGCTCTGGTCCCCAGTGGCATGTGGGGAGCGGAGCTTGAATCTGACCCGCGCGCGCACCAATTTCCGTGGCATCCGGCTCCGTACTTGGTCCTAGCTTCATCACAGAGAGGCAGGAAGAAAGGCACCGTTCCCCGCCTGTCCGTCTTCAGGCACATCGATCACTAATGCAGGTCCATACAATTACATGATGCCAAGGGTCAAGGTTGCTGTCCCTAGTGCTAAGATACCTACTGTGCAGGTTGTGGGCCTGACCCGTCCCCGCCAGCAGGAGCGGCAGGGGCTGCACTCGTGAGATGATCCTTGCCCATGGGCAGGCCAGAAAGACGGTGTCGCAGCCGTTCGTACTTTTGCCTCTGTGCTGGTCCAACGCTGGGCGACACTTTCGACATGGCCAGGAGGAAGTGCTGCTGTAGGACGACGACCTTGTCCGAAGCCCGAAGCAGAGAAGGATCTCTTAAAGTCTGACGTAGGGCAAGCACGCTCGCTTCCCGTGTCAGGGCCGCGAGATCAGCACCGCTAAATCCATCGAGGCGTGTGTCAAACGAGACCGCGCTCAGGTCCACATCGCCTCCCAAGGGCGTCTTCTTTGTCAATGTGCTTAGGATCTCCTGACGCTCGCCAGCAGTGGGTAGATCAACGTAAAGGAGCTTGTCGAGTCGTCCTGGTCGGCACATGGCAGGGTCGATCATATCAGGACGGTTTGTCGCGCCAATGACATACGTCTGCGCCCTCGACTCCAGGCCGTCGAGCTCCGTGAGCAGCGTATTAACGACCCGCGATGAAGACTCAGACAGTGCGTCGTCTCGTCGCGGCACCAGAGCATCGAGCTCATCGAAGAAAATGACGCAGGGCGAGGATGTTCTTGCCCTTGCGAAAACCTGTCGCACAGCCCTCTCGCTTTCTCCGACGTACTGCGATTGAAGCAAGGTCAGTCGTACTTCTGGAAAGGCGGGAAACAAGACAGCCTCACCTTGTTCAGAAGCTCGGGGCCTTTGACGCTGATAAAGTTGGCTCCCGATTCGTTGGCCACCGCCTTGGCCAACAGCGTCTTTCCACAACCCGGTGGACCCCAGAGAAGGACTCCGCCAGAGCTCGTGACACCGACACTGGCAAAGAGCTCTGGCCGCTTGATAGGCTCGACAATCGTCATTTCCAACTCCTCGCGCGTTGCCTGCAGGGCTCCAACGTCATTCCATGTGACCTCGGGCACCGTCGCAAACCCTTCTCGCTTGGATGATGGCTGAATAGATGGAAGAGCAAGCTCGAAGTCCTTGGGTGTGATCCGCAGTCGATCGAGTTGCTCGCTTGCCAAGGGACCTTGATTAGACTGAAGAAAAATGGCGATGGAACTTGACTTGAGGGAGGGAGGCAGCGCGTCGAATAGCGAAGATGAGGGCATGGCATGCGTTCGCGGTTGTTCATGCTGCTCATTGACCGCTTCTTCATCAGTCGGACCCGGCTTTCCTTCCTCAACAAGTTGCTGTTGCTGCTCATCTTCCCCTTGCTCCTCTGCGCCACCCTCCTGCATCTCGATGTCGGCCTGAGGTTGCTGTTGCTGCACTTGCGTCTCGATGGCCAGCTCGGTAAAGATTCTCTTGACCGCTCGAATACCAGCGGCGGCTGTCAGCGCCACCAGATCGGCACCCACGTAGCCGGGAGTAGCTTTTGCTAGGGCCCGTAGGTCAAAATCTCCAGATAGCCTGAGGTTGCTGCAGAGGATTCTCAAGATCTCTTCTCGTCCCGCTTCGTCGGGCACCCCCAATGCAATCTCGTGATCGAAGCGACCAGCCCGTCTCAACGCAGGATCGAGCGAATCAGGTCTATTTGTCGCACCAATGACCATGACTGGCCTTCCGTCTGTTTTGTCCCACGTCAAGTCTGGAAGCAGCTCTCGAATGTCAATACATGCGCTTGGTTCCGGACAGCTGTGAATTGAAACTCACCATCGAGACAGGTCAAGAGCTGGGCCACAATTCGACGTTCCATCTCGCGCTGCGCCGTCTCTCTCTTTGGCGTGATTGCGTCAATCTCGTCCAAGAAGAGGATGCAAGGCGCTGTCCTTGTGGCCTCCTCAAAGAGCTGTCGTAACGTCTGCTCCGACTCGCCCGAGGTGCCCGATACAATCGATGGAGCACTAACAGAAAGCAGGGGTACATTGAGATCGCCCGCTAGCGCGCTGGCCAGCATCGTCTTGCCGCATCCTGGTGGGCCATGGAGGAGCACGCCTCGCGGTGGCTTGATGCCTGTGTGCGTGTAAACTTCGGGGTGGCAGAGGGGGACAGCGATGAGCTCGAGGATCTTGTCGAGAGCGTTAGAGACACCTCCGAGATCCTTGAGCCTCGCCGTGGGTATTTGCGCGTTGCTTTCGGGCTTGGACGAGGACGCTGCCTTTCTCCGCTTCGAGCTGGACGAGGCTCCATTAGAAGAGCTGGCCGTTAGCCGCGCTTTTCGTTTCGCCAATGCCCTCCCATTCTCCGTATCTGGCTCGCCTGGCGTTGCAAGCGCCGAGTCGCTACCTCCTTCAGCAGCTGCATCTTGTGCCGCTTCGGCCTCTCGCTGTGCAGCCGCGGCCGCGGCCGATTTGGGAGGGAGGTACACGTCTCCCTGCGCAGCAGCAGCAGCTGCAGGAGCGGGAGATGGCGTCGCTTGCGGGCTCGGCGCGTTGAGGCTGATCTTTGTGGACTTCTTTGACCCGGCCTGAGCCCATGCGCCCGTGATGGCCTTGTTCATCTGCCTCTTCTCTCCCTACTTTTGCTTGGCCGCTGGGCTCTGCAGATGAAGAGGGAAGTGGAAGATCCCAAATTCTAGAGAGCAATCCAGAAAAAAAAAAAAGTTGAACCCGGCCGAGATCTAGAAAGCCTTGAAGAGCTCCACAACGACACGTGCCCAGCATTTCAAACAGACCGGGGAAATGAGGACCGAAGCCGATGGGCGACATCACAACCCGGTAGTGGCTCTTGCAGGGTTGGAATTTCACGACTTCGAGATAGCAAAGTGCTCACACGCATCTTCCTCTTCCCCACTTCCGGCCACCTCCGTCAAGCGCCGTCTCGCACGCCCGTCGTTGCAATGGCTCAACAAGAACCTCTGACGCCATTTGGCAATGCCTTGGCTGGCGCACTGGGCGGTAAGTGCGGGGAAAGGAATAGATAGACGCTTTCACAGATCCATCCGCTCACGTTGCTCCTTGATCTTGATCAGGCGTATTCTCCAACGCCGTCATCTATCCTCTCGATACGTGAGTGTCAATTGCCGAAATTGGACATGGCTCGAGCTGACTCTTGGCCCCCTCCAGCGTCAAGACGCGGATCCAGGCTGACCAGGGCCCAAAGAATGACGCCAAGAAGAAGGGTCAGGTGACCGTGCGCAAGGGCGCTGGTCTCCTCGAGGGAGTCATGACCATCGCTCGATCCAAGGAGGGTGTCACGGGTCTGTACAGAGGATTCGGCGCATCGATGGTCAACACCTTTTCCACCCGTGAGTGTCTTAGCGCCGTTCCTCACACTCTGTCTCGTCTTCCTCACTGACTTCATACCACATCCGCAGAATTCGCCTACTTCTATTGGTACACTGTTGTTCGGACGCTCTACGTCAACCGACTCGCCACAAAGGGCAAGGGAGGTGTCGCGCAGCTCTCGACGGCCGTCGAGCTCCTCTTGGGTGCCGTCGCTGGCGGCCTGGCGCAGATCTTCACCATCCCCGTCAGCGTCATTGCTACGCGGCAGCAGCTGGGCGGGCCGAGGAGCGACGAGGAGGACATCGTGGAGAAGAAGCAGGAGTTGGCGGCTGCAAACTCACCTGCTCAGCCTACGGCGTCGGCCAAGGCCAAGAGCGCAGCAGTTACTGCAGGAAAGTCGGTCGCGAAGGTGGCCAACCCGTCGGACCCGGACAGCTTCCTGGGCGTCGCAAGGGAAATCCTTCGCGACGACGGCATCACTGGGCTTTGGAGGGGTCTCAAGCCTAGTCTCGTCCTCACCGTGAACCCTGCCATCACTTACGGTGTCTTTGAGCGTGAGTGAAAGCATGAAGGCGGTTTTTCGTTTGAAGAAGAACTCTCTCGCTGACCTGCAGTATTACAGGCGTCAAGAACATCATCTTGGCTGCGTCGGATGGCAAGATGACGCCTGCCAAGTCGTTCCTCGTTGGTGCCGTCTCCAAGACGCTGGCTACTCTCGTCACGTTCCCCTACATTCTCGCAAAGGTTCGCCTGCAGGCAAAGGACACGCCGTACACGGGCGCAATCGACGTGCTGCAAAAGGTCTTTAAGCGAGAGGGCGTCATTGGCTGGTACAAGGGATGCCAGAGTCAGGTGACAAAGGCCGTCCTGGCCCAGGCCCTGCTCTTCTACTTCAGAGACTACTTTGAGGTCTGGACGAGAAAGATCCTCTACTCGGCAAAGAAGCCCTGAAGGAGCCAGGCTTCAGCAATTGGATCACGTCTCCCCTTCTCCCTCTCCCTCTCTCTCTTCCCTCACGTTGCTGCCGGACTCCGTCTCCAACTTACGAACCAAGACCTCACAAACTGTCTTGTATAGCTCGCTTGGCACTCAATGAGATTCTTTTCCATAGATGATTCGGGTGATAATGGATCTGCTAGGCGGTCAAGTGAAGACGGGAGACAAAAGGCTCTAGTACCCAGGCTTGGGATTGAGCGAGGAGTCTTCGCCCTTGATTAGCACCGCCGTGACGGCCGAGGTGAGCTGCGTCTTGAAATTGGGCGGATTGAGCCTGCCAGCCTTGAAAAAGTGTCGAATGAGCTCCTTGGTATCTTTGACCGCGCCCGACTTGACCAGGTCAAGAATCTCTTGCTCGAGCGGTGAAGCCGGCACTCGTTGGCCTCCCTCACGCCGCGAGGGCGACCCAGACCTTGAACCAGCGTGGGCAGGCGGCGAGCGGGTGCCGGCGCCCGACGGAGAACGAGCGCCGGGAGCCTCCTCGGATCTGGGAGACCCTGGCTGGGAGTTGGACCGGCTCTGGCTGCCACCTCGCTGAAGATTGGAAGACGTACGGGGACGCTTGCTCGAATCGTTTGAATCGAGGCGATTGTGCGACGACGGTGTGCTATTGCCCGAATTTGCAGTGTCAGATTTTCGTTTGAGCGAAGGTGGTGGTGTCGCACGGTCGGGAGAGCCAGACCGACTGCCCTGACGGCTATGGGACCCTGCCCGGTTGGGACTTGTCGCTCGTTGGGCCACACTGGCGTGCCCTGCTCCGGGCCTACCCTGTTGCTGCTGCTGTTGCTGCTGAGGCCTGCGACCCGCTTGCTGCTGTGATTGACCCCGGCCCGCCACATTGCTTTGCTGTGCGTGCTTCTCGGACCGACCCGACGGCGTATTGGCTCGCGAGTTTTCGTTAGATGGTCGTTTGCTTGCATCCGCTGTCGCTGAGCCATTGGTCTGAGCACCATTCTTGGCAGCTTCGCGTGCTTCACGTTCTTTTTCTTCGCGGACCTGTCGAAGTGCCTCTTCAGGGTTATTCATAACCGTGTCTTCGTCGTCGGAGTCCTTAGAAGAGTTCGATGATCAGCAAATGCCTCAAAACTGACAAGGGAACAAGAACTCACTTCACTAGCGTAAGGATCACGGTCTTCGTCGTCTTCGTCGTAGGCTTCATTGCCTTCTCTTCTGCCCAGGGCGCGCATGATCTTTCGCATCTGCTTTCCGCTGCCCGTCAGCTGGTCGTCCTCGCGTCTGCCCTTGCGGCCTCGACCATCGTCGAATAGGTCGTCGTCCTCATCAGCCTCCTCACGAGCTGCATCTTCCTCAGCCTTGGCCATTTCACGCTTCAGCCTCTGCTCCAGCTCCTTGGTTTCCTCTTCACCCAGCGCATAGTCGTCCCCCTCGTTCCTCTCCTCGTCGTCGGGAAATGACTCTTCAAAGTCGATTTCGCCATAGGTTCCTTCCTCACTTTTGACTCGAGGTCCAGAACTGACGGCAGTGAATTTGCTCCTCCGGCTCGATGAATCGCGATCATATGCGTTGCTGTTGCGCGCGGAGAAGGAACCTGGCAGCGCCAGTTCTCGGAGATACGCAATGTCGTCATCTTCCTTCTTTGGTGCTCCACCCCCTCCACGGCCTGACCACGAGCTCGCACCACCGACTCTGCGTCCGATAGCAGGATTCCCGTCGTCACCATTCTGCCGGTGTATGAAGCGGTCGAGGACACCTTCGCCCATTCTCGCCTTCTGTTGCTTTTTGTACTGTAAAATGTCCAGGTCAGATCAGCACTGCCATGGCTAGTGCACCTTTTCTACACTCACCAGCTCCTCGGCCTCTTCCCAGCCGATCTTGTTCGCATGCTTCGGTCGTTGAAGAAACTTGTACATTCTCGACACGGGCACCATGCGGAACCCTCCTGCGCCTCGGTCGTCGAAGATGAAGAGGGCGTGGGACATGGCACCTCCAGCCGACGTCGATGCGCTCTCATGAGCCTCTCCATCCAATTTCCCAATCCAAGGCGAATGATTGGGTCCGTGAGGATCATCGTCGTCCTCTTCGCTGCTCTCATCGCCCTTTCCCTTTCCCTTCTTCCCTCGGACGCCCACCTCCTCCTTCTTCACGCCGTCCTCCTCAGGCTTGGCCTTGGATGACAATCGCACCGGCCAGGCTCCTCCCTCTTTTCGCACTTTGATGGCCTGTTCGAGTGCCTTGAGGCCGTTTCTATTTGGCGTCTTTGCCGGCTCCCACTTCTTCTTTGTCTCCCAATCCTCTAGGACCCAGGGTAGGGCCTCCTCATTCATCGTCTTGCGCGCAACTGAAGAAGCTTTGTACACCTCTCTCACACGCTTCTGGAACATGCCCGCCTTCTGCCGGGTGGCATTATTGGCAGTGGCACTTGGCCCAATGAGGCTTGCATCGGCTGTTGCTCCTCTGTTTCGACGAGGCGCCAAGTCGGTCAGTGATCACTGGGTGCATCAAGCAGGTAATTGGCGTGTGCTCACTTGACAGGGTTCAATCGTGCAAGCGCCGCCTCAACAGGTTCGGAGTCATCATCGGGAAAGGGCCATAGCAGCGGGATCTTCTTGACAGGAACTCCAGTTGGTGCTGGGTTGCCATCCTGCGAGGGAGGTGGGACCATGATGGCATTGCCATACTGGTCAAGGACTGGCGATCCCGCTCTCGGAAGCTTGTCCTTCTCCTTTGGTGGCAATTTCCTGTTGAGCCTGACTGGGCCTGGGAACTGAGCCGCATCAGAAGGGTTGACTCGCGCGTGCGAGGCAAGCTTCATGAGGTGGTGCTTCCAGTCGCCCGTCGAGGAGCTATAGAGGGGGATGTCGCGAAACGTCGTGGGCTCAGCCGGTGTGGCTGCGCCTGACGCTGGCTCCTCCTTCTTGACGCCATCCTCTTGCTTGACTGGTGTGCCAGACAACATGATCGTGAGGGGGAAGGACTGCCTTGGTGTGGACAATCAGTGATAGACAAGTCTGAGAAGCAAGGTTGCGCCCCACGTGAATTTTTGCTCCACTCAGGCGCGCTCGGGCCGCCTGGAGGGTCGGAAGACTGCACCTCCTCCAACCTGCGCCTAGTCTCGAGCTGCCTTACGTCGCCGATGGAGGAAGCAGGCGGGCCTTCAACGCCGGCTTTGACGCTGGATGCATTCAGACTAAAGATCCCGAGAGACGCGGCGCAGGAGAGAGAAGGGCAGAAGCAGCAAGAGCAAGAAGATAGCGATCTCGAGGCGTGTCTCGCAGAGGAGCCAGCCACCTGTACCGATGGCTTCTTCTACATTCCCAACTTTATCACTGAGGATGAAGAGAGGTATTTGATCGAAAAGGTGTGTGTGGCTGCTGAAAGCTTCTCACTCGGTGATCACCCGCTAAATTTGAGCATTACCCACAGATCAATTCGGCCCCGCTTCCCAAATGGAAGACGCTGGCAGCGAGAAGGTCAGTTCTGAGAAAGAAAGAAGATCAAGTCCCGCCAAGATGAGCCTGACACTGTGGACTTCTCTCTTGAGTGGTCGTGACCTGTGCAGGTTGCAGTATTGGGGTGGGTCACCAGGCTTTTGCTGGAGCGCCTTTACAGTCACTGACGGTCCTTCAGGCGGGCAAGTGTCGAGCAAGCAGACGTTGATTCCCGAGCCAATGCCAGACTTCTTGGTCAAGTTCCCCCCAGTCGTACGCAGAACAAAGTTTACGGGCGCTTTCAAGGGCAGTCAGCACGGCGAACCGAATCACTGTGTAGGCATTGACTAGCGTTTTAAGGTCCGTCGATGGGCTGACCGGGACTCTTCTTTCAGCTGGTCAACGAGTACGAACCGGGCCAAGGTATCATGGTGCGTCACTAAGGGAAGGAGATACAATACATGCGCTGTGTAAGCTGACTACGTCTTCTGCAGCCTCACGAGGACGGAGATGCGTACTTTCCTGCGGTGGCCACCATATCGTTGGGGTCGCACACGCTCCTCGACATCTACCGGTATGCTTCCGAGGACAAGGCTGAGTCAGAGTCAAAGGGCCGTGCGCGCGAACAGGACCCCCGCTTCTCAATCCTACAGGAACGGAGAAGCCTTCTCGTCACGAGAGGGGCGGCTTACAAGGCCTTCCTTCACGGTATTGCAGAGCGGCGTCAAGACACACAAGAGCATCTGAGCAAAGTCATCAATGCCGACAGGATAAAGGATGCTGAACTCAAAAGTGCGCTCAACGGATCGTCGCTCGAGCGGCAGAAGCGGCTCAGTCTGACACTTCGAGATGTCGAAAGGGTCTCCAAAGGTCTTGCAGGTCTCCTGGGTCGACGGCCTTGAGCTGGACAATTAATGTATACAAGAAGAAAAGGATGTGATTGGATTGCCACCTTTTAGGCAAGGTAATTTTGATGGCAGACGAGATCAATACCTTCCGCGGTACCCTCTTGCCCTTCCTCGCCCTCTGAACGGCCTTCCCCTGCCCCTCCCACGCCCGCGGCCCCTCGCGGCCATGCCCGGCAGATTTGTCCTCTTTGCTGTGACCTGTTGCCGATTGAGAAGATGGATGAGCCTCAAGACAGTGAGACACGTTCACACAAAAGCATGATGCTGCCCACCTTGATTAATCTTCCCCGGAAGAGGCTCTCGTTCATCACCATGGCGTTCGCCACCAGAGAGGGATCCGCAAACTCGACGTATGCATATCTGGTCGCTCTCCATCATTAGTACTCTGAAAGTCGCTGGGGAACAGGACTTAAGAGAACTCACCCTTTGGGATGGCCCGTGAACTTGTCGCACAGGATCGTGACCCGATTGATGGTCCCACAGCTGCTAAAGTGCTGCTGAATCTCCTCTGGCGTCGCTCCGTAATCGACGTTGCCCACATACACGCTCCTCGCATCCACCTCTTCCTTTTCCTCGTCGGTCGCGCCCATGCCGCCAGCGCCGGCCTGGCCGCCGCTGCCATCGACGCCGTCTTCGTCAAACGACGAGGAAGCAGGCAGGCCGTGGTTGGCCTCGGCCTGCATCTCGCGCAGCTTGGCTGCCTCAGCCTCCATCTCGGCCACGCGGGCCTTCATCGCTTCCAGCTCAGCCTCATCAACGTCGTCATCGTCTCCTCCTCCCCCTCCCGCGCCTGCGCCAGCTCCAGAAGACGACCCGCCCATACCGCTGCTGGGGCCCGCGCCAGCAACTCCACCCTCCTCGCCACCGCCGCTTGCCCCTCCGAATTGGATCTCATCCTGGATCGCGCTCATCTCTGCTCGCCTCTCGGGGTGTGCGTGTGTGTAATTTGGTGTTTTCCTTCTTAGCAGCCGGCCAAAACAGAAAATCTCGAAGACGCCTGCTTGGAAGAGAGCGAGCTAGAAAGTCACGTGCGCGCAAGAGTGTGTCGTGAATTGGTGACGATGGCAGTGGACGAGCAACGAGAAGGCTCAGCAAGGACAAGAAAGTAATACAATTGTCTTCCGGTTTGTGAGAAGGAAGAAAGAGAGAGATATCTAGAGAGTCAAAGCCTGCGGTGAAGGAATGAGAGGAGAAGAGAGGGAGAAAGTGATAGGAAGAGAACATGGAAGTCTATTTGTACAGAACGGGAAAAGGGGGTGAGAAGGGAATCTCAGGCCTCCGGATACGAGAGAGCGAGGGTAACTGCGCAACTACCTCACAGAAAGTAGTCTGGAGCGCTGCGCTTCGATGGCACGTTTTGGCTCTCTTGTGCCGCGGCGTCGAATGTCTCGTACTTTTGATTAAGCCCGTCGTCGAGCTTGAGGATGCTGGCCACGTTGCCGCACCGGTAGCAGTAGTTTGGCGCGCTCCAGACTGTGACGATGGTCGAGTCGAACATGAGTTTGTAGCCCTCCAAAACAAGTTGGTGGGCACGCGCAATGAGGTCGATGTCGTTGGTGTGCGCAAAGTGCGTCGCCACGTCGCCGCCAAATAGGAAGCCGGCTCCGCGCGGCGACATACCCCATCCGACAATCTCGTCGGGATCCGACCAGAGAAGGTCGCACATGGCTCCGTCGTGCGGCACCTCCTGCTTCCGATCGATGGACCGAATCTGGTTTGTATTTGTCAGAAGGGCGTATTTGTCTTTGGGAAAGGCTGCTCCACTCACCTGGTCAATTGTCGATACGCTCGGACTGAGACCACCATGGACACAAAACACCCGACCGTCGACTACAGCACCCAGTGCAAGATAGTCAAACACTTCGCAACAATACCGCCAGACATTTGAGCTGCCGTACTTGCGCGAGCACTCGTCGTAAAAGCCATAGACCTGGGTGATCTGCCGCGACTCGTGGTTGCCCCTGATCAAGGTGATCCGATCGGGATAGCGAACCTTGTATGCGAGCAGGAGCAGGAATGTCTCGACGCTGTAGAAGCCTCTGTCGACAAAGTCGCCTGTTTCAGAGTGGAGCAATGGGTCAGTCACGACATGATTTCCGAATAGGCACGTCCAAAGAGAAGGCAGGTGAAGCGCGAGACACACACCCATGAAGAGATAATTGGTCGTTGGACAGGGGCCTCCATGCCGAAACAGTTCCATCAAGTCCCAGAACTGTCCGTGAATGTCGCCACAGATGGTCACCGGTGCGTCGACATGCTGGACGTTGGCCTCTTCGACGAGGATCTCTCTCGCCTTCAGACACAGATCCTTGACCTGCGACTCGGATATCGGCTCACAACGCTCCAGCTGGGCGATTTGCCTGAAGAGATCGATACAGGGCCCCGGGCATCAGCGTCTGAAGCTGAGAAAGAACACGGTCTCCCAGGCCGGGCGCTCACCTGTCCAGATCGGACGGCATCGTGTGACGTGGCCCTCGGCAGTCCTACGAGCCCTCCCTTGCGGATGAGGGATGCCTCCTCCTGCCTTGACCTCCCCTTGACGCCACTTGGATTGCTCAATCGTAGAAACACGCTCAGACCTGCCTCGTCGTGGCCGTTGTCGTCAAAGTTCGTCGCGGTGATGATGATGATGATCAATGTCCCGGAGTTTGGCTCTGTTTGAGACCAGGAAATTTTTCAGAATTCAATCCACAAGGCGGAGAAATCCAAATTTACCCACGTGGGATCCGGGCCCTGTCAGAAGCCAAAATCTGCCTGCAGCTCCAGGGATTTTGAGGTGTGTATCTCTCTCTCTCTCTCTGTTGCAGAGAACAACACCTTCGGGAAGAAGAGGCACAACGCCATGACGACGCTTCCCTCGCCCTCGTTGCGTGACATTCTCTCGCCATCGCCGGCCGTGTCTGCTGCTGCTGGAGCAGCCACCGCAGGTCCATCAAACTCAGCCTACCTCTCGCCGCTGCAGCATTCGCTCGTATACGAGCTGACGACGCGTCGCGCCCACATCCACGCCCAACGGCTCCGGGCGCGTTTCTGGAGGGAGCGGGAACAGCGCCTCTCCACTGGCAGTCTCGACGAAGGTGCTGAGCACGACGAGGAGGAGGAGTTGGACAGGTTGATTGAGGAGAGAAAAGCCAGGCTGGAGCTGCTTCGTCTCCGTCGAGCGCTCCGGGACACGATCGTCGAGAACGCGGACGCGGCATTCGTCATCAACCGCTCTCTCTCAATGACGCAGCCACCACCGTTTCTTGCTCATGGCGAGCCAGCACTCCACGTGGACGGGTGAGTCGCCGTTGTCACTGCCGTTCGTTTTTCCTCGCACCTTGCATTGGCCAGCTGAAGACAAAGCAGGCCGCTTTCTGCACAGCCGACGCGTATTCTCGTGCATCGGCGTGATCAGCTAGCACTCAAGTGCCTTGAAGCTGACCAGGAGGTCAAGTCCATCCGGGCAGATCGCGCTGGGATAACGAAGGACATAGAGGGTCAGTACATGATGACTGCGCCGGCTGTTTGGTGCCGCACACTGAGGGCAACGAGATCATCACCTTGGCACAGAAACGCGGACGTTGACCTCGTCGTTGCTGGAGGTGATTCAGAAAAGAAAGAGCGAAGTGGCCGCGCAGAGGGACAACCTCTTTGCCGATGCGACAGCGCGCGAGATACCCGAGAAGAGACCAGGACCCAGGAAGGGTGGACCCAAGGCCGTCGAAAGAGTCCGTGCCTTGGAAAAGGAGCTGGCCACCGTTCTCGGTCAAAAGGAGATGGCAAAGGGCACGCTGAGGGTGAGAATTCATCGTCTCGTTCCATTCTAATCCAGCAAGATATCTAATACCGTCGAGCAAACTAAAATATAGGGCATCATTCTGGAATCTGGGGTCGACTGGTACGCTAGCCGCGAGCTTCGCGAGCTGATTTTATCCCTCACCGACGATGACGGACTGGATTCAGAGGAGGAAGAGGTGGACAAAGGAACGGATGAGGGATTGAATGAAGACCAAGACGAGGACGAGATGTAGCGGGTCGAGTTTACGGTGCATGCTGGGTTGACGTTGATGCCTCGGCTGCGTGTTGTTGTCTCCCACGACCTCTACTTCCAGAGAGAGGAGATTTCTTCATCACATGTTCCCACTTATGCGTCAAAGCAGACCGGCCGCTCTCGTCTTTGCTCGCGTAGCGTTCCTTGGGATTCTTGAGGCCGGGCATCGGGATCTTGGGATCGTTTTTAGCCAGTACATCGATATTGGCGATTGTCCTCTTCATATCATCGGCGAATAGCCCATCGACTTGCTTCTTGAGTTGAGTCACGTCAGGCCTTCGTTCCTTGACCAAGGGCATTATAGTTCCGAAAGCCTTCATTGAGTCAAGTAGATCTCCCTGTTGCTTGGTGGACGGTCTATGAGCCAATATGACGTGTTTGTCGACATACATGCCGGCATCAGATTTGGATCTTGCTAAAGAAGGAGGCTTCGGGTCTTCGATCACAGGACGGGGGTTCTTTTCTGTGAGCCTTGGGGACATTGACCCATGCTTCTCGATCCCGAGAGTCTTGAGTTCCGACTTCTCTCTAAAGAAATTCTTCGGTACTCTTTTCTTTTTCTTAACATTGGCCTGTCGTTGCCTTTCGGCTCGGGTCCACGACGGAGGGTGGCTACTACTCTCTCCAGAAAGGTGCGACGCCTGCGGCAGAGTCTCCTGCCTTGGAGAAGGTTGAGTTTTGGTCGATTTGCTGCTGGACCACGGTAATTTCGATTTGAGGCTGCTCCACGACTCGCTGATGCCCTTCTTCATCTTCTGCCACAATGTCGGCTTGGTTTTCCCCTGCTCTGGCGAAGGTGAACTTCGTGGCCCGCGGTGCGCTTGTTCAGGCGACAATGATCCTTGCGGCCTCCTGTGCACCCTTCCAGACGACGTTGTTATTTCGTGCGACTTGCGTTGCGGACTCGTCCTTCCCGGCGACGATGGTTGCGACCCGTCGTGTTCGATTTCTGTCGACGAGTGCCCATGTTCTGGCGGCGATCGTTGCGATCTGTCGTGCTCAATTTCTGACAACGAATGTACATGGTCTTGCGACGACTGGTGTTGGGTTTCGACGGCTGGAGATCCATCTTCCGGCCAGCGTTTGGAATCATGATGCTCCCACATCTCCGGTGGCGGGCCGGAGCCATCGCGGGTTAAGGTTCTGCCCTGAGCCCAGCGGCTATCAGGTTTTGTGCCGCGAATTTCAGGACTAAACAATCTGTCACTCGGCCTTAGCTCTATCGACGCATAGTCTCCCTTCGTCACGGGCTGTGATTGCGTCTTGTGGAAGTGTTTAGTCGGGTTAAAGAGCCTTGGGGGATCCGGCAAGTCATAGTTGACCCTGCTAGGAAGAGATTTTGATCGCTGTAGCGGTTTGTCCGCCAACGGAGGGGGATGCTGAAACGGACGACTATAGATTTAAAGGTCAGTATCGTTGTGTCACGGCGCGAGATCCGTGGAGAGGAGAATACTCACCTGCCTTGAACTGCTTTCCCTTTGGCGGAAGATGCTGACGATGACGCCACCAAAGATCCCGTCGAGGGAGGTGGGGACTGATCGAACAGATCTTGAAGAGTTGTCCTCACTGGTCTAGGTCCCTGCCATGGCTTATCTGACTTATCAAAATGTTTAAAGAGAGGCATTCTATCTCTTTCTCCAGACGATGAGGCCACAACATGCCCCTTCCCTCGCACCGATGAAGCATCGGGCGGGTTCTTGTTGCGCCATGGACTTAGTCGGTCGAAAAGAGACTTCGTATTCTTTGTCTCGGGCTGTGGCAGCGCGCTGGTGTCGACTTGATGAGAATGAGGCGAGTCGGACGCTTGCTGCGAGGGGACAGGACTGCCCGACTTCTTCCTGCTCCAAAAGCTTAAATGGTCTTCAAAGGTCTTCTTCTCCTTCGTCTTGGGCTGAGCCGGCACACTGGTGGTGAATTCATGAGAATGCGGCGAGGGAGACTCAGACAGGACGAGAGGATTGCTGAATGTCACCCCCTTTTTTTTCTTCCCGGGGGCAGGACTGGCTGCTTGAATCTCGTGGTGCGTCCCAAGGTCAGTGGAGCTTCCCGACCCCGATCCTTGTGATGAACTGCGCGCCCAGCTATTTCTGCGAGGATCGACAAGAACATGATAGTCCTCGTCGGGACCCAACTCCGAGGCATGAACATGAGGATTGTCCGGAGTGCTATCAAACCTCGGAGAACCAGTGTCCTCCCGATGGCTTCCTGCCTGGGACACTGGTGACGCCGTTAATGAAGAGGCATGACTGGATGGTGGCGACAAAGGGGTCGGGGGAAAGTCATGAGCGGTCGCCCGGGATTCCCTCTGCCCTCCCGGTGGCGTCAAAAGTCCCGAGTGGGAGCCATGAGCAGTCTCCCAGGATCCCCTCTGC